GGGGTAAGGAGGGGAAAGTGCCTGCGCGTGTGTATGTGTGTGTATGGGGGGGTGTGAGGAAGGGGGAGTGATGTGTGTGTCAGTGAGCAGTGCATTGATGCTTGCACTGCTAAGCTCTCCAAGACACGACTCCATGTGAAGATCGCTGTATAAATGCAAGCCGTTACTGTGCATCTGTGACTTTTTGGGGGGTCAGCCGGGTGTCTGACACGCACGGAAACCCACCACCGTGCCTAGGAGTACCCAAGCCAAGCTGAGAATTCCCTGCATCCCGCCTACACGTGGAAATCCCAGAGACAGATTATTGGAATGGAAGCACGCGTTCCTGCTGACATAATTCTGGTAAGTGTTAGGCTCAGGTTGGGCAAGAGCCAAGGCTTGGGGACCCCAGAGTGTGCGTTGGGGGTAACTGCTGGAGTCTAACCAGCTAAAACCACATAAGAGTTAAATGTTCAAGATCTTGCTCCCAGTCAGGGTGGAGCTAACATCAACTACAGTCTGACTCTATGGCCCACTTGCGAGTGTGTATCTCTTGTGGATTTTGGTGCTCACTTCCAAATTCAACTGCAACCATTTAAATCTTTTAGATATCTTATTATTTGATGCATGATACCTTGGGTGCAGCTAGTCACTTGCAAGTATTGGTGGACAATTATACCCAACAAGCTGTATAGGCATACCAGATACACAATAATAATGATAATCCTTGCATTTGATGTTCACCCCTGCCGCTGTGCAACGCTCCGAGGCGCTCTCCTCCGTGAAGGACGCTAGTTAAATGCAAGTTGTTGCGTTGTAGTTGTATATAAATGCAATTTGTTGTTGTCGTTAAATTGCGCCACTTTTTTTCCCCCAGAACATTCCATAGAAATACAGTTAGAACTGTAGCAATATAATAAGATCTGTAGAAATGTACAGCACAGGAGACAATACAAGACAAGCTATATTTATACAGTGCCTTTCACATCACTTTCTGCCTGTCGTGTCTGCACTGACTCTCTCAAAAGAGCAACAGACAGCACAATACACCAAGGAAGGTTACCGAGCGTAGGCAATTGCCGCAGTATAGAGAAGCTGAGAGTGATCAAAGAGCGAAAGAGCTGAGTTAGAAAAAGAAATAAAGTAGGAGGTTTAAAATATCATCCAGTTCCGAGACTGCTTTAATGAAACCCAGTCCTTCAATCTGATTCCTTCCCAGGCAATTCTTCAAAGTAAGCTACAGCGTATTGGCCTTTGGGGATGTATTTGATGCTCTCGACTTCACCACCGTGGTTACTAGGTTTCTGGAAATGGATCTCAAGCTTGTCTTGCAACTCCTCTTGGTCCATATCACTTCTGATATCCGACAGCAGCACAGTTTGTCTGGAGATGCCATTGAAGGTCTGAAAAACAATACAGGGTGCGGCATTGTGAGCACGATGGGCTTATGAGGCCGCACTTCAAATGCTGACGCCCAGATGATAAATCTTTATACTTATCATATTTATACTAATAATAATAACAACAAAATAACACATTTATAAGGTCCCTCTCAAGCCGGCGGACATCCCAAGGCTCTTGGTAATAATAATCGTTGCATTCGATAAAAAAAACGTCCGACTCCTGGGTCAACCGATCACCCGTGACTTCACTTCCTGCGTACTGCGTGTGAAGCGCTGCTGACGCCATTTTGCAGGGGACGTGACATGAACGGCACTTTGCGCGGCACACAGGAAGTGACAGCAGCAGCGACCCACAAGGCAGCCATTTTTTATGCTTTGCTTACGCTGCATTGGAGTGTCAACAGAGACCATGTGGTTTCCAAGTCCCGACGTGGGAGTTTGAGCCCACAAACTTCTGACTCAGAGGCGAGAGCGCTACCAACCGAGCCAGGCTGACACCGAAAAGTGTAAATGTGTGTCTGCACTGGCCTGACACCTTTCCGCGAGATGATTTGATGCGTCAGCCCCGAACGCAGCTCACTCACCTGAAATTTCTCCAAATGGTAGGTCATATAGGGCTGAACCTTAAGCTTAATGATTCTCTCCTGGACGAATAGCGGGTAGTGACGCTTCGCTGCAACACGTTGCGCCACTGAAAGATAAACACGGGACAAGAAGAATTAGCAACACAATAATAATCCTCGTGCTTGAATTAACTGTCCGTCGGATGAGACTTGAAACCGAGGTCCTCGAATAAACAGCCATAAAGCGAATGACCAGTTTTTTCTTTCTAGGGGATTGGATTAGACATCTTTACTTTTCAAATAGTCTTATCAAAATTTAATGTCCATCTAAACATCTCCAACAATGCATCGCACCCCAAGTCCTGCACTGGACTGTGAGCTCAAAGTCCCTGTTCTTTGCATTGGAGAAAGTGATCTGTTTCGCCTACCTCCTTTCTCGAGGAATGTGATCACCGCTGTACCAGCTGTTGTGTCATACTTGACGTCCTGAACCTCCCCACCACCCAGGCTCGGCTTTGAAAAGCTTATTTCCAGCTTGTCTTTCATCTGCTCGTCTGAGAGAATTTGTGGAATATCGGAAACATTGATCTTCTTCCTCGAGATGTCAACGCACACCTGACGGGCAGTTCACGAAAGGGTAGTAAAACTCTTAAGCATGAAATTAAATTAAAATTGATCCTCTTCAAAAAGGACCTGGTGAGGGTAAGACGTAAAGCAACAAACCTGTTTATTGCAACATAATAATAATGCATTTATAATAATACAGTGCGTCAGGAGGATGTCTCAAAGCGCTTCCCACGATCTACTGTGAAGTGCGGGGACTGTGTATTTGTAGGCGAAAGCGACAGTCAATTTGCACGCAGCAACTTCCCACAAACAACCATGGGTGTTTTAGTTGGGGCACTGTTGGCTTGGACGCCAGGAGAAACTCCCTTCACTTTTCAAAAGCCACCAAGGGTGGTTGATGCCAGGACGCATGTTATATTCAATGCATTTACACAGCACCCTTCACACGTGGTAGCAATTCAGAGCGCTTAACAGTGGCGGAGCTTGACATGGCCATAGACACAGTCAATGACGAATGCCTTCAGATGCGATCTGAAGATGGGCAAGGAGGGGGCAGTTGGAGAATTTGAGGCAGAGAGTTTCCAGAGTTTCGGGGCATAGTGGCTGAAAGCACAGTTGCTGATGGTGGAACGGAGGGCAAGAGGAACGTGTGGAAGGCCAGAGCCGGCTGAGCAAAAGGGGCAGGTAGTGCAGTAGGGCTGTAAGCGAGTCGGAGAGGTAGGGAAGTGGTAGGGCGTGAATTGATTTGTAAGTAAGTGTTAGGATCTTGAAATCAATCCCTTCTGCAACAGGGACCCAGTGAAGCCTGGCAAGGTCTGGTGCGATGGAGGTAGTCAAGACAGCTTGCGTTGTTGATTCTCCTGTAAAAGCCCTTTTTCTTACTCCACAATATTTGATCTCAGTGAGTTTGGCAATACTCCGCGGATTCCAGTCACTTACATCAAACTTTGTTGCGCTGCTCAGTGTGACTGGCTCCACCTTTACGTCTAACTTCCCTGGCTCTAGGTTTATCTGATGTTTGGATATCTTCAAAATCTTCTCAGCAACTGGATTCGAAAGAGTCAAAATGTAATGATTAATATAATAATAATAAATAATAATAATAATCCTGACATTTGATACAGCGCCTTTCACAGGATATACTCTAAAATGGAGTGACTATGTGTTTTGGGGGAAATATAATAATAATCCTCGCATTTGATACGGCGCCTTATCATTTTATTGAGACCTCTCAAAGCGCTTCACAGAATACACGGCAAAGTGTGTGCATTTTGTGGGCGAAACGCGCCAGTCAATTGTGCACAGTAGCGTCCCACAAACAGTCGTGGATCGAGTGACCCAAGTTTTTTTTCAATGTGAACATACACGAACATTGACGGAAGACGGTTTCTCTATCAAGGGTTGGACATGCCAAAATGCAGGTCATGTTTATTCCGCTTGGCGAGGAGGGCTTTGAGACGTCTCAACGAAGTCCTGTGTGGAGTCCTGTAGCTCAGTGGTTAGAGCACTCGCTTTGCAAGCGAGAGACCTGAGTTCAATTCCAGGCAGAGGGCGAAACCTTGGGCAAGTTTCCTTACTCCACACAGAGCATAATAATAATCCCTCCAAAACCCAAATAATAAATTGGTCATTTTCAATCTACGATTGTTTGTGGGACATTGCTGTGTGCAATTGGCTGCCGCGTTCGCCCACAAATATACAGTCAATTCACTTTACAGTGTGTTCTGTGAAACGCTTTGGGACGTCCTCCTGACGTGAAAAGCGCTATATCAAATGCAAGGATTATTATTATTATTATTATATAAAGCGCTATATATATCAAATGCAAGGAAAAAGCCACGCCCTCAACATCCCTAACATTGGTCAAGAACGCACCAAGAACATACAATCACACCTTGTTCTTCTTCGAAGGTGATTATGACTTGTCCAGGCCGAAGGCTTAGTGAAACATTGGGTTCTACGGTGTACCGGCAGCTGATGTTCAGAAACTCCTCGCCCTCTTCCTCAGTGGGAACGCTCTCCTCAAGCTTGGTGAATTTAGAATTCACATCCGGAAAACTCGTTTTAATCTGTTAATCACGAAAAAGTTTACGAAGTTTAAAAGGGGAAAATTAAAAAACTGGTCGAATGTGTGTTGTAACAGCCTTTCAAAGGAGACTGGATGAATACTTGAGTAAAAATATTAAGGAATGAGATGCAATAAATACAATATTTACGTGCATATAGTGCCTGTCGTTGGCGGGAGGACATCTCAAGCACTTGACACGTAGATGTTGGGAAGCCGAGCTGGGCAGGTGGGGGGTAGGAGGGGGGTTTCAGTCAACTTACCACCCCCACCATCTCATGAGGGGTGGCATTCTAAAGAGCAGGGCAGAATGGCTTAAAGCTCACCTGCCAATGTTTGGAGCAGACGGGGCGTGGGGAAGGTGAAGAAGGCCTGTATTTGCTCAGTGAAGTGAGTGTTTGGGTCAGTAGAGTTGCAGGATGTCGCAGAGGTAAGGTTGGGGGGCGGGGGTGGGGTGCGAGGCAGTGAAAGGATTTGAATGTGAGGGCGAGCGATCTTGAATTCGATCCACTGAGGTCTAGGGAACTGGGGGAACGGAGCAAGGATGGGGTGGGGTGGGGGGGGGGAGGGGGGAGTGACGGTGTTACAGGTTGGCGGAGCCTGGTGGATGAGAGGATACGGGCTGCAGAGTTTGGAACGCAAGTCAAACTCGGTCCACTGTGTTCTTTGGCAGTGTCGGAACCTACCCTGGCTTGATCCTTCAGGTAGAAACATTCGTCCAGCTTTTGTTTGTGCAGCTTTTCGAGATCATCCAGCTTCACTTTCAGCTGTACATTTTCATCCTTTTTTGCGGCAAAATTCGCCTGCAAAAGGCAAACAGATTTTTAATTTTTCTTGCAAAACGAGCGATGGGTGAAAGCGCCAAGGAAAAGAAATAGCTTAGACCAGGAAGAAACAAACAATTTAATAAAAGCCCACTCCCCACACCGTCCACCCCGCCATTGGCAGGTGGGCTTTCAGCCATTCTGCTCCCCCACTGCACCCCCACTGGATTCCCTTCCCTCCGACTCGCTCCCTCTCGTTCCCGTCTTTCAAGGGATGTCTCAAAACGTCCTTGCCTGCGCTTTCAGTTATCTTTCTCCTCCCCACCCACGCAACTCGCCTCCCACTCCCTGCCCGGTGCCCATCCAGCAGTGTGAAGTGCTTTGAGACGTCCTCCCTATGTGAAAGGCGTTGTATAAACATAAATTCTATTGTATCCCGTAGAGTAATTCACAAATATTAAAGTGAAAACTTAGGCAAATTTCCTTACTACACACACCTAATTACCTAGCAGTAATTAGGAACCCGGTTATTAGTCAATTAGTCGATTCCGTGGGTAATAATCCTTTCAAAATAAAATAATAATTTGGTCACTCAATTCACGTCTGCTGTATGCAACTGGCTGCCGCGTTTGGCCCACAAAATACAGTCAATTAATTCACTTTACATTGTATGAAGGGCTTTGAGACGTCTCAACAACGTGATAAGGTCGATAAGGTGATAAGGTCGAGGATTATTATCAAGTGTAAACTATTATTATCACCACCCCAATCCTCGCTCGGCCCTACTGGCTCCCCAGCAAACCAGCGATAGAAAACAAGAGTCAGATGTCTTCAGGAGAGGAGCGGAGGGGAGGGGAGTAGGGCAGAGGAGAGGAAATTCACTTTACAATATACAAAACAGGCGTGTGGAGTAAGGAAGTTTGCCTAATAATTGTGAATTACTCTTCGGCTTGTGGAGTCCTGTAGCTTAGTGGTTAGAGCCTTCGGGAGAGGAGAGGCGAAGAGAGGAGAGGAGGAGAGAATGGAGGAGAGGAGGAGAAGGGAGAGGAGAAGAGAAGAGGAGAGGACGGGAGGGGAGGGGAGGGGAGAGGAGAGGAGGAGAGGGGAGAGGAGAGGAGAGGTGGAAAAGAAAAATGACTTTACTTCAAAGATGTTCTTTTGCTTTGTGAGCTCCGCTTGCAGCTGCTCATGTTCCGTGTGTAGCTTGGTAAGCTTACACATCACTTCCTTTTTCTGCTCGTCAACGTCCAGTTTGGCACAAATGCAATCCGATTTCTCCTTTTCCACCAAGTCCACTTTTTTCTGTTGAAAAAGAGGCACAGACAGGGCAGCTGAGTAAGCAAAAGGCTTCACGTTGGCGTCACTTTCTAAATCCCTCCTTTTGGATGGTCGTGTGCCAGCCGGTAGCGCTCTTTGCCTCTGAGTCAGAAGGTTGTGGGTTCAAGCCTCACATCGAGACTTGGAAACCCGTAAGAGTCCGGGCTGACACTCCAATACAGTGCGTTGCGTTGTCGCAGGTCCCATCTGTGTCCGTTCAGGTGAACATTAAAGATCACCTTGCACTATCCAAAAAGGAAGTGAGTTTCTCCTCGTGTCTTGGGTGACAATTTCCCAGATAAAATTGGGTCATTTCCTGTTTGTGGGACATTTGATCTACGCAAATTGGCTGCCTTATTCGCCTAATAGGGTTATCGGGGTGCCGGGTTTCCAGTAACTCTGGATTGTTTTGTTACGCTGGGAACAATTCCACGAAACGGCGATTGGATTTTCTCCCTCCTTTGCTGGGGATTGCTGTACACTAACCTTCCAAGCGTACAACTCTTCTCTCGCTTGTTGCAGCTGTTCAGGGACATTATTCTCACATTTTGAAAGCCCTGTAATACAATACAATGCAAAATTATACTTGTAAAGCGCCTTTCATGTCAGGAGGACGTCCCAAGGCGCTGTAAATAATGACAGCTATTATTATATAATAATAATAACAATCATAATAATAACAATTGCAATAATAATGGCAATAATATTATTAATAACAATAATGATAAGGATACATAATCATAATAATGTTAATAATATTATTACAATTATTATTATTGTTAATAACAACAATACTGATGATAATAGTAATTGTAATAATCAGCATCATCCTTGCATTTGATAGAGAGCCTTATCGCATTGTTGATACATCTCAAAGCGCTTCCCTGGATATGTCGTGGGCGACAGCCAGTTGGATGCAGCAACGTCCCACAAACAGCCTTGAAGGGATTGACTACGCTTTGGAGTCAATCCAGTGAAGCGCTTTCAGAGGTCTCGGCATAAGGCACTTTACCAAATACGAGGATAACTATTTATTGGGTTGTTATATAAGAAATAAAACAGAGATTTTGTAAAAAAAAAAACCTGTATCATCTTGAGATCGACCTCCGAGTTGCTGAGAGACCATTTGTACATCTTGGGAGTTCACCTGAAAAAAACATGAGCATTGATTTACAACAACAACAGCTTGCATTTACCCTCACGCAGGGCAGCGACCCAGAGAGCTTGATAGTGGTGGCACGACTCTGAGCCCGGGGGGAAAGGGAATTTTGTGGGTGAAATGTGGCAGTCAATTGCGCACAGCAGTGTCCCAAAAACAGAATCATAGAATCGTACAGCACAAAAAGAGGCCATTCTGCCCATCGAGTTTGTGACAGCTCTTTGAAAAGAGCAATGCAATGCCAATCCCTTTCCGCATAACCCTGCAAACCCGTCCTCCTCAATTACCCGTCCACCGGGTTTTTAAAAGTAGTTATCGAATCGGCCTCGACCGCCCTTTCAGGCAATGCGTTTCAGATTCGAACAAAGATTTCTTCTCACCTCCCCTCGGCTTCTTTTAGAGACTATTTCGAATCTGTGACCTCGAGTCACCGACACCACCACCAGTGGGAACAGTTTTTCCCTTTCTAACCTATCAAATCCCCTCATGATTTTGAAGACCTCTATCAGGTCTCCTCGTAACCTTCTCTGCTCCAATGAGAATAATCCTCTCTAGTCGTTCCTCATCATCAAGGTCCCTCATTCCTGGTACCATCCTCATAAATCTCCTCTTTCCAATGCCTTAACGTCCTTCCTATAGTGTGGTGCCCAGAACTGGGCGCAGTATTCTAACTGAGGCCTAACCAGTGCTTTGTATAGGTTAGTCATAACCTCCTGACTCTTGTACTCTATGCCCCTATTTATAAAGCCCAGTATCCCATATGCCATTTTTACCGCTTTATCTACCTGTTCTGCCACCTTCAAGAATTCATTTACCTTCACCCCCAGGTCTCTCTGTTCGTTTACCCCCTTTAAGATTGTATTACCAGCCTATATTGTCTCCCCTCATTCTTTCGACCAAAATGCATCATCTCGCATTTCTCCACATTGAAATTCATCTGCCATGCGTCTGCTCATTTTATCATTTTACCAACAGTCATGGATTGAGTGGTCACATTTATTTTTGTGGGGTGGTGGGGGGTTCATTAATTCACTTTATAATACATTACAGCATGTTCTGTGAAGTGCTTTGATAAGACGCTGTATCAAACGCAACCATTATTATAACTCCCCCACCCATTAATATTATAATATAATAATCATGCTCAAAAAAAATAATAAAATAATCCCGTAGTAGTAATAATAATAATAATAATAATGCCACCTACCACTTTTTCATTAGGGGGAAAAAACTGCTGCACCCAAAATCATACAGTAAAATTATTAGAGACGATCAATGCATTGCAAGTCACCTTAATTTTAACAAATTTCAATTTCCAAGAGGGCGACAGAAGTCACAAACGAGTGAACCTACAGTGTTGCAATCCACTGGATCCAAACTGGTGTGTTCCTTGGCTCGCTGGCAATCTGTGAACAAGGAAGTGAACACTTGAAACAGAAAGTAGCTCAGCAGAACGGAAAACAAGTCCTGTGGATGTGTATACGTAATAAAACCCGGAATATCACGCAACCATTTGAAAGGTGAGTCAAGTTTTAGTTACTTGTCTCTGCAGTGTGGCGAGACAGGCTCACAGGAGACAGATCAGGAACACTTACCTTGTTTTCGATCTCTTCCCAGACTGCTTGTGATTTCAAGTCAGGGTTGAAGCGAGGTCCACCCACAATTTACTTTCAGTTTCCAAAGTGCTTGTTTTTTTAGGAAATCATCTGACCTGAGTGGAAATTGAAAGATGTTTTCTTATAGGGAGATGAGCAAACCAGGAAAAGAAAAACAAAGTATGGATTCTGTGTAATAGTAATAGTAATAATAATAAATCTTGCATTTGATATAGAGCCTTACCATCTCAAAGCGCTTCAACGAATATATTGTAAAGTGAATTGACTGTATATTGTGGGCAATTTTGTATGCACTCAACAACCTTCATTTTGTTTTTCTCTCTCCTACGCACTCCCCCATCATTATCAGTGTCAAGATTATATTTGTACTAACATTTAATATCAATGTAAATTAAGCAAGTTTCCATACTCCACACGCCTCTGTTTACTCAGCAGTAAGTAGAAACCTGGTTGTTAGTCGATTGGCGGATCGCTTTCTGGGGGTAATAATCCCTTTAAAAATAATAAATAAAATAATAATAATTTGGTCACTCAGTCCGTGACGGTTTGTGGGACGCTACTGTGCACAATTGGCTGCCAGGTTCTGCCCACAAATATACAGTCAATTCACTTTACAGTGTGTTCTGTGAAGCGCTTTGGGACGTCCTCCCGACGTGAAAAGCGCTCTATCAAATGCAAGGATTATTATTATTATTATCTCGACGATGTGATAAGGTGCTATATCAAATGCAAGGATTATTATTATGATTATTATTATTAGCTGAGAACAGGCAAATGCAGCAGCTAATTTGTGCACACAGCAGCCAACCCAGTCATGAAGTGAATGAACAATTTACCTGGAAGATATTTGGCCACGAGGAGAAACTCCTTCTCCAAATTGTGTCAAGAGATCTCTAACCTCCCACTCGAACAGGCAGACAGAACTCCAGTTTAACGTCTCTTCTGAAGCACGGCCCCTCTGACAATTCAGAGCTCTCCCTTGTGCTGCACTTGAGTATCAGCCTCGACGGTGATACCTGGAATCCTCACAGTCTGGGAGCAGAAACCCAAACAGGGCCCATTTCTAGCTATCTTAAGGAGTTGATTTTCCCAAGCCGTTGGCGATGTCTCGGATGAAAGACATTTCAGAATGACAGACGTTCCAAGCAAAGCCATCTCAGTTGCACCAGCGCTGACGGAAAGTTCAACAATTGTTCTGTTCGATAATTCAATTGTAATAATAATGATTTGATAGAATGCCTTCGTGTAACTGAACGAACACCTCGCTCTGAGAGCCAATGCAGGCTCGACGGGCCGAATGGCGCTGTAAATTTCCACGTCACAACAGCAACTCAAAGCGCTTCATGGATTTACTGTATTGTGTAGTGACTGTGAACAAATTATAATGAGGCTTTTCCCCTTTTTATTGTTCTTTTCTAGGGAACAGCATCGAGCGCCCCCTCAAGTAAGTTCTCCTGCAGGTCGTTGTTGCAGTATAAGTCTCGCTCTCATGAGTGTATCATGGGGTGGGGGTGGGGGAACGGAATTGTGTGGGAAATTAGACTTGGTAGTCTGGTTCCTGAGCCAAGTGGATCACAGTATTCTGGGGCACTGCTGATGGCAAGCAATATGGTTTTAGCTGGTTACAACTCCAGCAGTACCGCAACGCTCTTATGGTGAGTTGTGGGTAGTGCTATAATGATAATGATATCCGCATTTACAAATAAGAATTGTTTCAGAGTGACAGCCTTTGTGCCTGCAATGCTGCTCCATCCGGCAGCGCAAACACCTGGAATAACAGTGATGCTGAAGAAAGGAGACATCACTAAAGAGAGCACGGACGCCACATTGAACAAGACCTTGGACTTCACTGTCAGTAAGTTTTCAGAAATGCTGACTGCAATCTGAACTTTAAATTCTGTTCACATTTTCACAATTAAGTTCAATTTCCCTGTGTCTCCCTTCTGGACTCCTGACAGTTTCTGTGTAAGTGGGTGGCACACACATTTGGAGCTCTCAGTCAGGTTTGGATGCTCTCAAGCATGGTGACAGGGTTATGTTTCCTTCCCTTTGATTCAGGGCCTTTTACCGAAACGTCTCAAAGCACTTCACGGGATGAACTGTAAAGTGAAGTGACTGCGTGTTTTGTGGGTAAAACATGGCAGCAGCCAATTTGCGCATATACAGCCATGATGTGACCAGCCACCAATTTTAACCTGGGGCAATTCAGACTGGCTGTCGGGATTTTGGTCTTACAAGTCTTGGCTGATACTCCAGAGCAGTGTTGGAGGAACACGGCATCGTTTTAGGTGACCTTAAAATGGGGACCCATCTGTCTGTTCAGGTGAACGTTAAAAATCCCATAACACTATTCAAAGAGAGTCCCATCTCCCAGATAAAAATGATTGGTCATGTAACGGCCATTTGTGGGACATTGCTGTGCGCATTCACCTGAAAGAATACACAGCCACTGTACGTTCTTATATTGTGCCTTTCAAGTGGGGCAACACCTAGAGGTGCATAACCTCATCAACTAACTGGAATCCATGGGAAATCAACCTTCTAACCTGTGTTTTTTCTCTTCCCTTTGTAGGTGTGCCTGGGGAGATACTGGAAGCTGCAGGTAGTTCTGATAAGGATGAATGCAAATCATTAGGTGCGGCATTTCACTACTAAGAGTTTGCTCTCTGGGCTAATTTGATGTGAAAATCGATCTTCTTCAATAGGACGATGGTGTGAATTACTAGCTATTAGAACCACCAATATGTAGTGCGGTAAATGCAAGTTTGACTCCAGTGGCGGAGCAAGCAAAACACAAACAGCGACACAACAATGGTGCGAAGAGCCAGGGGTATAGAGGAGCTAACCTCGGGGGTGGGGAGTGGGGGGGAGATAATTCCAGCATGAATATAATAGGGGAAATAGATTACAGTAGATAGCTATGGGGAGGGGGAAGAAAGCACCAGAATGGACATGATAGAGAAAGAGCAGGGAAATGGGATTACAGTAGATAGCCTTGGGGGAAAGGGGGTGTGGGGGGGAGGGAAGTGGAGGCAGCTCCAGCACAAATGCAAATATAAATCCCCAGAGCATTTTTCAATAACAAGAATAATAATTTGTTACAGTCTTAAATGCACTGCCTGAAAGCGTTGTGGAAACGGACGCAATAACAACTTTCTAAGGGGAATTAGATTGGTACTTGAAAAGGAAAAATTTGCAAGGATATGGGGAAAGAGCAAGCAGGGAGTGGGACTGACTAGGTAGCTCTTCCAAAGAACCAGGACAGTTTTGGTTTTGTACAGTTTGCTTACGAAGATCCACTTTTGACAGCACTGTGAACCAAGCCTCGTCAGACTAACCGTTCATTCATTTGTTTCCTAGGTTCCCAGCCAGATGATGGTGGGCAGCTGCAGCGCTCAAATATAGTGCACGCGGTAAAACACAAGACTGCGGCTCTCATTACAGCATCAGTAGAAAAGGTTCTCGAAAAATGTGATCTGGCGAACATTGCTACTGTTGCGTTCCCTGCCTTAAGAACAGGCAAGATCCTCTTCTTCGACCGTACCTTCGCTCACCCTTCTAGCCCTCCCCTCCCCACCCCTCCTGATCCCAACCACAAGCTCGGGTGCAAATCCCTGACTGTCAAGGGTCTTGGGACGTCCTCCTGACGTGAAAGGCGCTATACAATTGTTATTTTTTGTTGTTGTCGTAAAACCTCCTATGTTATGACTGGATCTGGTCTGGTCACTGTCTCACTTGCCTGGCGATGTGGCAACTAGAGGGCATAGATTTGAGGGATTTTCCATAAGAGTTGTTTGGACATGGGATGTCTTATAAATAATGATGATAATTCTGGCATGAGATACAGCACCTTTCATGTCGAGAATACTTCTGAAAACGCTCCACATGATATACGGTATATTGTATATTTTGTAGGCAAAACATGGCAGCAGCTAGTTTGCCACAGTAATGTCTCACAAATATCCATGAGGTCAGTAACCAATTTTATCTGGGGCAATTTCGACTGACCATAGGTATTTAGAGCTTACAGTCTAAGTGATGCTCCAGTGGAGTGCTGGGGGGAGGGGGGCACTACATTGTTTGAGGTGATCTTAAACTGAGCATTCGAATTCAAGATCCTCACCCTCACCTACAAGGCCATTCACGGCCTCACTCCCTCCTACCTCTCTGACCTACTATCCCCCTCCCTACCCGCCCGTATCCTCCGTTCTTCTGGCTCCGGTCTGCTCCACATCCCCCACCCCAACTGCCCTACTATCGGTGGCCAGGCCTTCAGCCTCTCAGCCCCGAGGCTCTGGAACTCTATCCCCCAGTGCCTTCGCCGCCTCCTCCCTTTCCTCCTTCAAGGCCGGTCTCAAGACCTTTCTCTTTGACCGTGACTTCAGCTCTCCTCTCGACTCTCTACCCCCTCCTTGCTCCCTCCCTTCCCTCCCCTCACCCTGATCATTTCCCCCAATGCTCGGGTCCTGACCCAACTGTACAGCGCCTTGGGACGTCCTCCCGACGTGAAAGGCGCTCAATAAATGGAATCTTGTTGTTGTTGTTGAGCAGGTGGATGTTAAAAATCCCATAGCATTTTTCAATAACAACAATAATATTAATCCATGCATTTCACGTCAGGACAACATCTCAAATTGCTTCACAAGGATTACCACGAAACTCCACCACTGTTAAGCATTCCGAGGTGCTATCCTGCTTGAAGGGTCCTATATAAATCCCTTGTGGTTAGCACTACTACGTTGGTGAACATGGCGGCTAAATTACACACAGCAATGTCCTGCGATCAGCCATGAAGTAAATGCATCGATTTTATCTAGGGCATTGTTGGACAGGCCATTGGGAGAAATTCTCTTCTCTTTTTCGAACACTGCCATAGGATCTTTAACGTCTACCTGAATAGCTGGGACCTCAGTTCAATGTTTCATTCAAAGGATTGCACCTCTGACAATTAGGTGAAACCCCAGCACTGCACTGGAATGTCCGCCTAGACTACTCACAAACTTTTTACTCAGAGGCAAGGGTGTTACAAATTGAGCTAGGTAGGCTGACACCTTAACCATTGCACCTCAATATCTGTATCTTTATTTTCCAGTTCTGCTGAACCTCCCAGGTATTGGGACTAATATGAATGGTCAGGAGTATCTGGTAGTTACCCTACAGGTTGGCTCAGCGGAATATGAAAAAGTAGTAAATGATCGCGGTTGACATAATTCAGGTAGGCATTTAGCTGGACCTCAGGAACATAAACAAAGAACGTGAACTTACACAGCACCCTTCACGTAGAATGACTTTTCAGAGCATTTTTAATCAATGTTAATTTCATCACTCGATTGATCATTTCCTTAAGCTTGGCTTTGGAGAACTGGTTTAATGGGAACACATTCGAACTCACAGTTATCAAACTGTAAGCATGAGAAGATCCTTGTATCCTCACTTGCTGCCCAACACTCCTCACACTGCTCTACGTTACAGTCCGTTGTACAACCCATCGCTTATTTACACTACATACTGTATATGGAAAGAATGAACCACCATAGCTTTAATATGCATGAGTTAAACAGGGTACAGAAACCTGGCCTTGATGTTCTGTAGCATTTGGTTAGAACATTACCTCGCAAGCGAGAGGATCCGGGTTCGATTCCCAGGCAGGGCGGAACCTTAGGCAAGTTTCCTTACTCCACACTCGTCTGTTTACCTATCAGTAAGTGGGAACCCAGTTGTTAGTTGATTGGTGGATCGCTTTCTGGGCTAATAATCCCACCCAAAAAATAATAATAATAATAATAATAATTTGGTGACTCAATCCACGAATGTTTATGGGACACTGCTGTGCACAATTGGCTGTCGCGTTTCGCCCACAAAATACACAGTCAATCCACTTTATAATACATTCTGTGAAGCGCTTTGCAATGTGTAAATGACATGATAAGGTACTATATCAAATGCAAGGATTATTATTATCATAAACAGTGGTTGAGATCACGATAGCCGGATAATTAAGCTTGACGATTTTTTTCATTCGATTTTACTTTGAATGATTTTGATAGGAAACTGAATGTGACACAGGTGGCTATATGACTTAGGCCATTATATGCTTCATAAAGATAAGACTTGTGCGAGTTTTACTGTATTGCATTTAGTACAATAAAAATTGTCCCTTTTTGTTTAGATCGACAGGATCCAAAATCGCAAACTTTGGCGGAGTTACTCGGTCAGGAAGCAGACGGTGGATAGAAAGTATCCTAATGTGGTAAATGAGCAGATCCTGTATCGCGGGATCACAGGATGAAATTGCCCACGAAGTGAAGGGGACAGGCTTCAACAAAGCTTTTGTGGCAGAAACGGTAAGTCACTGCACTTTACAGGGCACACTGTGAATGGGCCCTGGGATGCCCTCGCAACATGAAACGAGCTGTAACAAATGCAAAGATTATCATTATTAAGTTCAGAGCCTTTTCAAAGTGGTTGCGTATGAGTTTTGCGGAGTTATTTTTTTTTGAAGTGTGTAACTATCACCTCGGATGACACACCAAAGCAAGGACATTAACAAGCTATGATGTTTTTCTTGCATTCCTCAGCCATATCTTATGGAAGAGGCACTTACTTTGCCAAAAACGCCCAATACTCATGTGACAACAAGTACTCCAGCCCCAGCGACCAGGGATACAGATACATGTTTCAGGCACGAGTGATAACTGGGAAGTTGTGCCTGGGGAACAGATCGATGCCGGAACCAACTCCAGTAGATTCAAACAAGGATCCGACTAATCTCTGACTGTGCGGTGGACAGCATATTAAACCCGTCCGTTTTTGTTATTTTTTGTGATGACGGGGCTTATCCCGAATACTCAATAACCCTTAAAATGTAAGGAACAGCACATTTGGGAGAATATTGAGGAAGAAATTCCACGCGGGGCTTGATTTATTCTGACTTTCTTAACCTTTTAGAATTTGGCAAACTGTTTAATTCATTTTTAACGTTGAAAGCAATTTTCTGTCGTTCCTAAAAGAAAAGGCAAAAAAAAAATTAAAACAGCATTTCAGAACTTGCCGATTTCTGGGCCCTCTGGAATGCTAAGAAAATAGAGTAGTTTTTCACCCACGGAACAATTTTAACCCCACTATGATTTGTACCTTGCTTAAGCTTAACTTAAGCTTAGGCTTAAGACTGCTTAACAGTCCTGTATCCTTGATGAATCTCAAGGTCAGATCAGATGAAGAAGGACCTTTGGCTCATTTGATCTCATTGTCCTAGAAAATCCACCTGACTGTCCTTCCATCACAGCTATACTTAAATGAACACAGTGACCGAACCTCAACCCTGCCCTTTCTGATAACCTGTATCACTGGTTAATTATCTTCTATGTAAAAATAAATACTCCCTGGAGTCTGTCCTAAAGTTGCCCTTCACAAAATTGATCGCTGTTTCTTGACATAACTGAAAGTATTGGGTTGGGTTTACTTTATCCCATTTGACATCTTATATATCTCTGGAAGGTTTCATCTGAGGAATCTCTTTTTAAGGTTGAGGAAACCTTTTTATCAAGATGTTCCTCATAACTCATCCCTATCCCACACTCTGGAACTCCATCCCACTGTCCCTTCGGATCATTTCCTCCCTTGCCTCCTTCAAGGTCGGTCTCAAGACCTTTCTCTTCGACCGTGCCTTTGGTCTCCCTCCCACCTCTCTGCCTTCCCTCACCCCTACACCACCCCTCCCCCATGCTCAGGCCCCGACATCCGACTGTTCAGCGCGACGTCCTCCCGACGTGAAAGGCGCTCTATAAATGTAATTTTGTTGTTGCTTGTCTAACTAGGACCACTCTACCCATTGGGGTTTGCCCGTAGGATTAACAGGAGCTGCTGAGTGTGATGATTCCCTTTCCCCAATGACTGGCCTGCCCTTCCAAGTCCTGCTGATGAACCAGACTGGCTGTGCTGTTCCGTCATCAGTAGTGCCCTGGAATATTACGGACCTATCTGACTCAGGACCCAGACTAGAGGCAGTCACAGAGGGCTGACGATCCTGACATACCATTGCCAGGCAGCTCACCTTGGAGCCAGTTCAGCCCGAAGGAGGCACTGCTTACCTCCAAGGAGCTTGCGTTACAACCAGCTTCAAAATGAAGACCATTTCACACATTTTACTGCTAACCTAGATTTTTCACTTTAACGATAAAAATTAACACAAAGAAATAACACACCTTAGATTGTTGCAAAAAAAGAACAACAAATTACATTTGTATAGCGCCTTTCGTGTTGGGAGGAAGTCCTAAGGCACTGGATAGTCAGGGATTTGGATCTGATTTGAGGGTTGCGAACAGGAGAAGCGGAGGGCAGGGAGGGTAAGGCTAAGTGGGTGACTGAAGGCCTAATCGAAGAGGAAGGTCTTGAGATGGGATTTGAAGGAGGAAAGAGAGGGTTAGGGTTAGGGTTAGGAGCAAGGCGAAGGAACTCTGGGATGGAGGTTCAAAGGGTGTGGGGACATAGAGGCTGAAGGATCGATCGCTGATGGTGGGGAGATGGGTGGGGACATGAAGCAGGCCTGAGAACTATGAGCGGGGGAAGTGGATAGGTTGATATGGAGTTAGCAGGTCACAGAGGTAGGGAGGAGCAAGACCGAAGGACTTTGAAGGCTGGGACGAGGATTGAAGCTGTGGAAAGCTAAGTAAATAAGAGTAAATTTAGATCCCCACTCGTGAGGGCAAAATATGTCTTTGCCTCAATAACAAAAATCCTTAAAAATAATCATAATATAATCCTATAATAATAATAATAATAATAATAATAATAATAAGGGCCCCTATCACTTTTCCACAACAACAGCAAATTTGTTTTATATAGCGCCTTTCCCATTCGGGAGGACATCCCAAAGTGCTGGACAATTAGTGACAAAGAAATTCCCTCCTCATCAGCCTTCCCAACTCTTCCATTCGCAAGCTGCAGATCATCCAAAACACTGCAACTCGTGTCCTCTCACGCACCAGGCTCCGTGACCCATCACTCCCACCCTCGCCCGACTCCACTGACTCCCCATCCCTCAGAGGATCGAATTCAAGTCCTCACATTCAAGGCCATCCATGGCCTTGCGCCCTTCTACCTCTCTGACCTGCTGACTCCCTACCAACCTGCCTGCTCCCTCCGTTCAGCGTGCTCCAGCCTGCTCCAGGTCTCCTGCCCGACCAATCCTACTATCGGTGGCTGAGCTTTCAGCCTCTCTGCCCCCACACTCTGGACTCCGTCCCACGGTCCTTTCACATCGCTTCCTCCCTTGTCTCTTTCAAGGCCGGTCTCAAGACCCTCCTCTTCGATCGTGCCTTCAGTCGCCCTCCCACCTCTCTTGCCTTCCCTTATCCCCACCCCTCCCCATGTTCGGGTCTTGACCCCTGACTATGCAGCGTCTTGGGACATCCTCTCGATGTGAAAGGCGCTCTAATGTAATTTTGTTGTTGCTGTTCACAATGAAAGAGATCAGGAACACTTATCTTCTTCTTGATTTCTCCCCATATTGCTTGTAATTTCACAGTCAGGTTAGAACCACAAGATCCACCCACAATTTACTTTCAGTTTCCAAAACCTTTTTTTAAGAAATCATCTGACTTGAGTGGAAATCGAAATTCATTCTTTTAAAGGGCAATGGGAAAACCAGAAAATGAAAAAAAAAGTATTGATTCTGTTGTCTCTCTCCTACACACTCCGCTGATATGATCAGTGGCAAGGTTATGTTGGGTTAACATTTAACCATCAGTATTATTTACAAACCTGTTTAAATGTCAGGAAAAATAAGGGAGTTGAATAGAGAATAGAGAACAGGCAAAGATTAACCTTTATATTTAATAGAGTGCCTTCCTAATTGGGAGGGTATCCCAAAGCACTTCACTGTGTATTTGTAGGCAGAGGAGGCAGCCATATTGCACATAGCAATGTCTCACAAGGTGCCATGAAGCGAATAACCGATCATATCTGAGAGATTGTTGACCAGGACACCAGGAAAAACACCCTTATCTGTTCAAATAGTGCCATAGGCTCTTTAACATCCACTTGAACAGGCAGACAGGGCCTCAAGTTAGCAGGTCACAGAGGTAGGGAGGAGCTATGTGCATTCCACGTCCCAACATGGGGCTTCAACACACAACCTTCTGACACAGAGGGGAGAGTTTCACCCAAAAGTATCCAGTTATTATTTTGATGTCGACTGCTGTTTAAATCGTAGTCTTGATCTTCCTTCTTTAGAAGCTGAAATATGGTTTGTGCCTTCTCGTTCTCCTCGAACTCTCTGCTGCCTTCAATCCCATGGACCACTCCATTCTCCTCCACCGGCTCTCCTACCTCTCTGCCCTCCCTCATTCCAACCCTGCCCCCACCCCCCTCCCCACATGCTTTGTTTCCTGATCCCCCAACTGTTCAGCGCCTTGGGACATCCTCCTGACGTGAAAGGCTGTAGAAACTTAGTTTCCCCTGCAACCATATCTATATTAAATATATCTCTATAAAGTAAATACACTAACATAGGTATATTTTCTTTATACCATAACTAACGTTAATTGTACCTTATGACCTTATATGGTCAAGACCCCTTCTTGTCTGGATCCTACGTCGGTCAGACTATCAGAACAAAACATGCTGAGTAAAAGGCCTCAAGGGAGTAAGGACCAGCAAGAACCAGACGTCCTGCACACATGGGAGGCCACCTTTGCCCTGGTGTCCCTACTCCCCATTGTCAGAATTGATCACCGGATAGATCCCTATATTTGTATACCCTTATCGAGTGGTCCATAGTCCAGGAAAACAGCACCCTGAACATCTGCTGATTCCTGCATGACCTCAGAAGTTAAGACAACCATTGTCCCAGGATCTTGATTGATTTTAGATAACAGGATAGTCCTTGTCTTGCAACCCTGATTAATTTACTTGGTATGGCAAAAGACCTGTTTCGTCATCCTATGGACCCCGTTGGTATTGATCTATAAAAGGTCTCAGAATCTCTGTTATAGCAGAGACCTTACCACGTGTATACTCCTGTGCACTGTCTCTCCGGCCCATAAAGAATATTATTGAAATATAACATTGTGTATGTCTGACTCTTTTACAACAAGGCGCTTTACAAATATAATTTTGTTGTTGTTGATTCTCTTTTTGAATCGATCACCATTTATACAGTTGGGTAGGTGACCTTTCACTTATTGTCTTTTGCAAGACGGTTCCTTTATATAAAAAAAGGCAATACAACAACAACAAAATTATATTTATAGAGCACCTTTCATGTCAGGAGGACATCCCAAAGCGCTGAACAGTCAGGTGTCGTGGCCCGAGCATGGGGGCGGGGTGGTGGACAGTGCCGGTCATGGCGCGGATGTGGGGAAGAAAGGACAGCTCAGGGTCAAACAAGACACCCAGGTTCCTGACTGACTTAGTGAGGTTGAGTGTGCAGCCGTGGAGGCTGATGCTGCCAGCGCTCTCCTGTGTTAAAACAGCTGCAGACTATTTTTCCATGAGAAAATGATTGGTAAGGAATGAAAACAGTTTGCTGTTTAAAAACAGTCTGTTGTTTCCCATCCTTGAGAAAGGATCCCCTGTGAAGCTACTCACAACCAGGTCCCATCATATCCTATGAGATCGATTATAGGTCTCAAAAATATAAGCATCGCAAATATAATTATTTGACACATTCATTACAGAATCCTACAATATGTACTGCCCCCACGCCCCCACCTCAGCCCATGTGATTTGGGAGGTGGCTAAATATTATATTTGAGTGCATTTTCAACTTTCAGTTTCAGTTAAGATAAAGTTAACACAGGAGGAGATGTATTTCCTGCCAGCAGTCGATTTGAGAGTTTTAACAAACTTTTTAAGGAAACGCCAAACAAAATTGTTCTGAGGAACTTCGTTGTTTGAGGCTGGACTGAAGCCTGAGGGCTTTATCCCTCCCTGGTGAAGTGGAGAAGGGGAAGGGAGAAACAGGGAGAAATGGCAGAATTTCCTGTGCTGGTGGATGGTTTGCCTGCAGATCTGGATGTGGACTCAATAAGGAATAAACTTTCCATTTATTTCCAAAGCAAAAGGAAATCTGGAGGCGGAGAGTGTGAGGTCAAAGTACATCAGGACCCTGGGAAAGCCTTGGTGTATTTCAGAGTCGAGGAAGGTAAGAATATAATAATAATAGTAATCCTTGCATTTGATATAGTGCTTTTCACGTCTTCTCGACGTCTCAAAGCGCTTCACAGAATAGATTGTAAAGGGAATTGACTGTATATTTGTGAGCGAAATGCGGCAGCCAATTGTGCACAGCAGTGTCCCACAAACAGTCATGGATTGAAATGACCAATTTTTAATGTTTTTTTTGAGGGATTATTATCAGGCGTGTGGAGTAAGGAAACTTGCCCAAGGTTTCACCCTGTGCCGGGAATCAAACCGAAGTCTCTGGCTTGCGAAGCGAGTGATTTCCAAAGCCTTGGTGTAACCACTGAGCTACAGGACTCCATTCACGCCACTCGGCGCAGTCTTCACACAGCAGAACGATCGTTTTTTAATTTTCTCTCCCAGTCGATGAAGTATGATTCTGCCGAATCTGTATTGTATAAATACTGTAATAATAATAATCCTTTGCGTTTTTATGGCGATTTATCGCGTCTCACTGAGTCATCTCAAAGCGCTTCACAGGATTTTACTGTAAAGGGTAGTGATTGTGTAAGAATTGCTGGCCAAGATACAGGGGGAAATTCCATTCTATTTTTGAATAGTGCTGAATTACTTCATTGGAGGATCGATGATCGGCAAGAACAAAGGGAGAAGATCCCTTCTCTTTACGATTAATGTAATGGGATCTTTAATGTCCACCTGACTATAATAATAATAATAATAATCCTTGCATTTGATATAGCGCTTTTTCACGTCGGGAGGACGTCCCAAAGCGCTTCACAGAACACCCTGTAAAGTGAATTGACTGTATATTTGTGGGCGAACGCGGCAACAACAACCACAAGAAAATGACATTTGCAAAGTGCCTTTCACGTCGGGAGGATGTCCCAAGGCGCTGAACAGTCGAGGATCAGGACCCGAGTGTGGGGGGTGAGGGGCGGGGGGCAGGGTTAGGATGAGGGATGACAGAGGGGTTAGGAGGGCGGCTGAAGGCACAGTCAAAAAGGAGGGTCTTGCATCGTGCTTTGAAGGGGGCAAGAGAGGGAGCGAGGCGAAGGGATAGTGGGATGGAGTTCCAAAGGATGGGGGCAGAGAGGCTGAAACTCCAGCTGCCAATGGTAGAGCAGGTTGGGCAGGAGACATGGAGCAGGCGGGAGTCTGCTGAGCGGAGAGAGCGGACAGGTTGATAGGGGGTCAGCAGGACAGAGAGGTAGGAGGGGGCAAGACTGTAGAGGACCTTGAAAGTGACGACGAGGATTTTGAATTCTATCCTCTGAGGAATGGGGAGCCAGTGAAGCCAGGCAAGGGTGGGGGTGATGGGGTCACGGAGCCTGGTGCGAGAGAGGACGCGAGCCGCAGAGTTCTGGATGATCTGCAGCTTGCGGAGGGAGGAGTTGGGGAGGCCGACAAGAAGGAAGTTTCTGTAGTCGAGCCTTGAGGTGACGGATGCGTGTATGAGGGTTTCGGCAGCCTGAGGGGTGAGGCAGTGGCTGAGTCGGGGAATTTTGTAGATGTGGGGGAAGACAGAACGATCGGCATTGAGCAGTGCTTCCCCAGAGTTTAAAGTCCTGACGGCGGGGGCTTGAACCCACTACCTTCTGGCTCAGGGGCAAGAGTACGAGCAACCGCGACTGACTGATATCTGATTGTGACTTCCTCTTCAGATAAGGCAGTCAGCTTGTCAGACTCTGCGCTGTGTTTAGATCTTTAGGGCAGGGGGTGATTTCAGTTTGCGGATCCCAAAGAAACCTTTTAACTTGCACGATTCTCCGAGATCTTTGCCCAGTAAGAGAGAGACTCCGCACGCACTTTGAGCGGGAATTCATGATATGGTGCTCAGGAACTGAATTATCAAACTCAAAACCAAGGGGAGGGGGTGGGAAATGGAACAGGATGGGAAAGGGCGAGGGGGAGGAGGCTATTCTGAGGCCAATTGTCGTTTGACCTTAATCTACCTGAGAGGTGAAAGGCAGGTATCGCTACCTGTTTATATCCCTGTCTCCGTCTCTGTCTCCATCGCTATTTCAAAAAAAAAAATTCTTTCTGGATGTTTGAACTAAAATTCCTTCATTAAATCCGCCTTACCAAACCAAAACAAAATGAATGAAGTGTCTCATCTCTCGGATTGGCACAGATTAGCGACAGCATTTGTCGCCAATACCAACGTATATCGACAAAAATGCAGTCACTACACGTAATAGTAAAATCCCTGTGAAGCGTTTTGAGACAATCATGAAGGGCGCTATGCAAGCTCAAGTTGGGGTTGCTCTTATATCAAATGCGTAACATTCACTTCATTTCTAATTAGTTTTGTTTCGCAGTGCCTGGAGACGTTTCTGTGAAAGGAGTGACTCACTGTTATTCTGGCTATATCCTCCTTGTATCTGTTTGGCATGAAATCTAATTTTAACTTAGCGATAAAAATATAACTACGTGAAAGATACGTTAAAGGTCCTGAGGCACTATTGGGAAAAGAGAAGGGAGTTTCTCCTGATGTCCTGGCTAACAATCTCCCCAGATAAAATTGATGATTGCACTTCATGGCTGTTTGTGGGAATTTTGTGCTGTGCACAAATTGGCTGTTGCTTTAGCCTACAAAATACCCAGTCACTACACTTTATAGCAGAGTCAAAGGTGCTATGTCAAATGGAATTTTTATTTATTAATATCTCCATTTAGGCTTATCTTTATAACCCCGAGAGGTCCAAGACGCTACCCTTGTGAAGGGCACCATATAAATGCAAGTTATTATTGTTATCAGCGGCAAGTACAGTATACACCAAACTCCTCAATAAGGTGGGGAAAATATTGTAAATTTGGGGTGTGTTAATCAACTACCTTGTGCTAATGTGCCAGTAATGATTGGTCATCAATTTAGAGACCTTATATTGATTAACACAATGAATGACAATGACTGCTCAACCCCACTCATAAAAGAAACAGGAATTGGCATACTTTGGGGGTAAGAACATGAAGACACGGGTCACAAACAAGTTCTCTGATAAACGGCCTCTCTGCATATAGAAGCCAGATTTTTGGGGTATAAAAGAAGGAGTTTTAGTCAGTATCAGTAAGACATAGATCTGACCGACTCCCAGCTGCTCTCCCAGGAGATATGGTAACTGATCATTACTCATCCTCGGAAACCTGATTACTAACATTGTTTTGCGTCTTGCGATAGTGGGTTGTTTTTTGGATGTTTATTAATGTAGAAATGCAATAAGGAACCAATTCTTTAACATCCAAATTGGTGCATTGTGTAATCATTAATTAAATAATAAACAGATTTCTTCCCCCTCTCTTTTAGATTGTTTTGCTGTAGATGTTTCCCCCTTCTGGATTCACCCCCCCACCCTCTCTAGACTCCCCCCTCCCCCTGTCTCATTTTGCACTGGACGAAAAGAATGCCAGTCAGCTTGACAAACCCGCTCCACTGCTTGTGGTATTGCAGAGTCCTGCAGCTCAGTGGTTAGAGCACTCACTTTGCAAGTGAGAGACCTGAGTTCAATTCCAGGCAGAGGGCGAAACCTTGGGCAAGTTTCCTTACTCCACACAGAGCCTAATAATAATCCCTCCAAAACCACAAACAATAATAAAATTGGTCATTTTCAATCTACGACTGTTTGTGGGACATTGCTGTGCGCAATTGGCTGCCGCGTTCGCCCACAAATATACAGTCGATTCACTTTACAGTGTGTTCTGTGAAGCGCTTTGGGACATCCTCCCGACGTGAAAAGCGCTATATCAAATGCAAGGCTTATTATTATTATTATTATTATTATTGCGGCAGCTCTGTTAGACTCTCAATCTCATTCCTCCATTCTTTCACCACATTTTTAGCATTTCCCTGACGCACCTATTACACCTTGTTTGATTTTTGTTATTTTAAAAATAATATCTTCGTTCAGGTTCTTTTCCAGATATTTATCCTTTTTTTTACATATAAAAACACAGAACTACACAGTTACATAGAATGATGTGGCATGGAAACAGGCCCTCTATACTCCACACAAGCCCCTTACCTTCCTGTTTGCTCTACTGGCTCCCTATCACAGAACGGTTCAGCTTCAAGATCCTCACGCTCATCTACAAATCCCTTCACTCCCTAGCTCTCTGACCTGCTTACTTCCCACTCCCATCACCCACCACCTCCGCTCAGCTGGCTGGGGCCTCCTACTTGTCCCTCGTCCCTTGTCTTCGGAACATCGCCAGACTACGGCACTACCTCACCCCTCACGCTGCTGAAACCCTGGTCCACGCCTTTGTCACCTCAAGGCTGGACTATGGGAACTCTCTCCTCGCCGGTCTTCCCGCCACCTCCCTCCACAAGCTGCAGGTCATTCAGAACTCTGCAGCTTGTGTACTGTCCCGCACCAGGCTTCGGGACCACATCACTCCTACCCTCGCTCGCCTCCACTGGCTCCCCATCCCCCAGAGGATTGATTTCAAGATCCTCATCCTCACCTACAAGGCCATTCACGGCCTTGCTCCCTCCTACCTCTCCAACCTACTATCCCCCTACCTACCTGCCCGTACCCTCCGTTCCTCTGGCTCTGGTCTGCTCCACGTCCCCCGCCCCAACCGCCCTACCATCGGTGGTCGGGCCTTCAGCCTCTCAGCCCCCAGGCTCTGGAACTCCATCCCCCAGTGCCTTCGCCGCTTCCTCCCTTTCCTCCTTCAAGGCCGGTCTCAAAACCTTTCTCTTTGACCGTGCCTTCAGCTCCCCTCTCGACTCTCTTCCCCTTCCTCGCTCCCTCCCTTCCCTCCCCCTGACCATTTCCCCCCTCCTCTCTCCCTCCCTTCCCTCCCCTCACCCTGACCATTTCCCCCCTGCTCGGGTCATGACCCAACTGTGCAGCGCCTTGGGACGTCCTCCTGACGTGAAAGGCGCTTTATAAATGGAATCTTGTTGTTGTTGTTGTCCCCTCCGCTCCACCATCAGCTGTCGTGCTTTCAACCGCTACACCCCCAAACTTTGGAACTCTCTTCCTCAATTCCCTCCATCTTACAGATAACACTTGACCTTCCTCTTCGACCGTGCTAACGGTCACCTCCTCCTTCCCTCCAGCTCGGCATCAGGCTCGGCCACTGTTAAGCGCTCCAAGATGCTACCCTGCATGAAGGACGTTATATAAAGTTGTTGCTGCTCTATAGCACAGGTGGAAGACGACACTGGGGGTGGTGGGGGGGAATCTATTCTCACCAAATCACTGACTTTTTGAGTGTTGTCCTGTGTCAACAGTGCAGCAAAATGTTTTGAAGAAGGAATCACACAAGGTCAAACTTTCGGGATCGGAGTTCATTCAGCTGCGCGTCACGCTGTTTGAAGAAGACAATCCGGTGAAAAAGAAAGAGTTCAGTCCCAGGAAGCCAGCGACAGAAACCAACAGCCTCCAGGCCAGCGCACAGAATGACAAAACTTCCGAGCAGGTGAGTGGTTAAGATACATCCGATGCGTATTTCACAAGATCACAAGATCGGTGCGGATGAAGAAGGCCCTCCAGCCTGTCTGATCTCGTCCCAGAACACTCATCATATCATCCTCGCGGCACAGTATCGAGCTGCTTTTTTAATGAGTTCTCTCCCATGCCTCCTTCAAGGCCCATCTCAAGAATCTCCTATTCGACCGTGCCTTCAGTCACCCTCCTACCCCTACCCTCCCCGCCCTCCAACCCTCCTGATCCCAATCACCAGTTCGGGTCAGAATCCCTGACTGTCCAGCGCCTTGGGATGTCCTCCTGACGTGAAAGGCGCTATACACATGTAATTTGTTGTTGGTGTAGAGTCCCAGCATCCTGGCCTCAACCACCTGTCTGCAAATTAGCCACTATACATACAGTTAAATGACGTTACAAGCTTTACATCAAATGCACGGATTATTATTCATTTTGCTGAGTAATGTAATGTTAGCTGTGCTTTTTGTCTGCTTTCTCTATACAGAGCTCAGCAGGGGCATCAGACACTCCAAAAGGAGACTCAGGTACAAACCTCACTACCACAAACACAACCGTCCATAGTCTATATGTTAAAGCGCCATTTGATATAGCGCCTTATCATGTCTTCGACAAAGCGCTTCACAGAATATACTGTAAAGTAATAACTTACTAGATCAAAAGCAAGGATGATTATTATCATATTCTAATAGAGTCCTGTAGCATACTGGTTAAGGCACTCGCCTTGGAAGCAAGAGGACCTGGGTTCAATTCCAGGCAGGGCAAAATGTTAGGCAAGTTTCCTTACTCGACACGCCTCTATTTGCCTATCAGTAAGTAGGAATCCAGTTGTTGGTTGATTGGTGGATTGCTTTTCATGGGTTATGAACCGTTCAAAAATTTTTACAAAAAAATAATAATTTGATCACTCGAACGACTGTTTACGGAACATTGCTGTGCTCAATTTCGTCCACAAAATATACAGTCAATTCACTTTACAGTATATTGTGTGAAGCGCTTTGAGGCATCTCAAAGACTCAATAAGGAGCTGGATCAAATGCAAGGATTATTATTATTATCATTTACTTGTTAGTTTGTGCTGCAGCTCCTAGAAAATAACTGGACAGGGAAAAATTGCCTTTAAATATGTATACTTTTCTCTCTCAGATCAGTCCCCAGCTGCGTTCATGGTCACCTCTGAGACTCCAATTTCAACAGAGGTCATCATGCTATATTTTGAAAACATTGCAGAAGACACAAAAGTCTCGGAAAAGGGGAAAAGCTCCTGGTTTGTCATCTGTCCTTCCAAAGACGGTAAATGTCTCTATTGGTAGCTACAGGATGAGAGGAAGAAATAACATGGGCTCCACAAGCCTAACACCCCCATCCTCATTGTGCATTCCTCTCGCCCCCCAAAAACTCATGAATAATCCAGTCCTAGAGTGTAGCTTCAACCTTGCACCCTGTGATTCAGATGCTACTATCATCCTTGGGTGGAGGGGGAGAGAGGAGGTACAATAACCTGTATTTATATAGAACCCTTCAGGCACTCAGCGTCTTGGAGAGCTACCTCCTCTCAGAGGTAAGAGGGGTCTCCTTAGAGCAGAGCTGGCTCCGAGGTGATGTGTTGATAATGGGATGTCAGAATGGAGTCAATCCTCTGTGATCTGTGGCTAGCTGCTGAGCCAGATGGCTCCACAGTCTTCCAGGGCACTGGCAATGTCTGACCAGCCAGTCTGTCGTGTTGGTGGAACTTGGTAGCAACAGACTAGTCACGGTGGGAAGGGATTCTTTCCATTATGAACCCCGTAAGACAAATCCCAAATGTGTAGGATGACCCAGCTGGACAAGTAGCAGGAAGCTTGCCAGACAATGCTTTCAATGGGAAACCATGTGTTTTTCGCGGCTACATTGACACACACTCTGGGGTTCCCAAGCCTTGGCTCTTGCAAAACGTGCACCAAATACTGTCTAGAATTAGGTGGTTCCCTCAGAGTAAAGAGTGCACAATCCATCCCAGACAGAGGGAAATACTTAGGTGGCTCACATATGTGGAACTCTCAGTTTGGTTAGGATAAGCATGGTGATGGTCTGTGATCTCTGATTACAGGCCGGGAAAAGATTCTCTCGAGGAAACAGCACAAGGTGCTTGGCAACATTCTGACAGTGCAAGCCTACAATACAAAGAGAGAACTCCAAGCATTTGTTCTGAAGGGCTTCGATGGCTCAGCGAGGTTGGACCACATCTCACTGTACCTGGACAACTGCAGCGGCAATGCAGAGCACTCCATCGAACTCTTGGGTGACGATGAAACCCTGGTCGTTGTATTTCAAACAGAAATAGGTCAGTCTTGAGAGAAGACGTCTGTCTCACACGGGACCTTATAGTAGTGCATGACATTTTAAATGGGATTGAAAAAGCAAACTCACAACAATATTTTCGAGCGCACCAAGGAGGATATAGATCATCTAACAACAACAAGAAGATTACATTTGTATAGCACCTTTCACGTCAGGAGGACGTCTCAAGGCGCTGGACGGAGTATAGCATTTCAGACCCGAGCTGGGGTCGGGGGGTGGGGGGGGGAAGGGGGGTTTCCGATGGCATGGTCAAGGAGGAGGGTCTTGAGGCGATCTGGATTTAGACCTGATGGTCTAGTTGCAAAGGCCAATTTCAGGACCCAACTGTAAGTGAGGCCAGGACACTGGGACTTGTTTAAAAAGATGCAGCTTGATGCTATGATGGGAGGATGGGGAGAGTGGCTGTTCTGGAGAGGTGAGATCAGATGGAGACAAGGGTGTTCTTCGCCCGAACTGATCTTGTGATCGTGCCAGTAATATAACAATTCAAGCTTTTTCTGTTGCTTTATTGATGGCCTTGAGATATCCCAACTCACACACTTTGTAAGTAGCCGGGAAACTGCCATTTGAGATTCGGGACTCAGCCAAGCAACATTGGTATGGGGGGGGAGTTTGCATTGCGAGGCAGTAACTTCGACAAGAGTCGATGATTGATGTGATGGGGGGGTGGGGGGGGGAGAGAGTGGGGCAATTCATAATGAGCCTTCTCTTCTGTTGCCTTTTCAGACTCTCGTAGCTTTGTACTGAATTGTTATCAGAAGTTATTTGCTAACAACCGCATTAGTGCTGAATATCTGCAGAGCACAGACACTGTGTATGTGGAGGGTATTCAGCCCACCCATTCCGATGACTTCCTGCGCTTGTATTTCTCCAACCAAAAGCGCAGTGGAGGTGGAGTGCTAGCCGAGATGTCTGTCAAAAGACAGGAGGGTACTGCTATTCTCCAGTTTGAAGACCCAAAGGGTAATGTACAATATTTTTTAGAACCAACTTTGTGTGGCAAACGTAACGCTTTTAACCCTTAGACTGCTGGTGACTTCGCCCTAACCTCTGGAACTCATGCCTCTGTCCCCCCTGCCTTGCCCTCTCTTCCCTGCCACCGATCTGTCTTTAAATTGTTTATGAAAAGACTATCTCTTCGGTGCAGGTTTCAGTTATTTTGACGGGGTTTCATTTTATTTCCACAGTGGTAAGAAGATTGGTTGATAAAGATCACAAAGAAACTCAGCTGACTGTTAATCCACATTACCCATCTCTGGGTGCACCTGTCTACAGGAGCAATGATCCGATTCCTATAAACCACCTTGAGGAATTCACGATCGCTGTCAATCCCTGTGTGTTACAGCACCTCCAGAAGGAAAGACGATGCATACAAGATTTGGATGAAATTGCAAAGTCTGTTTATTGCAGTTACACCTTTCAAGGGAACCACTTTGTTCTGAAACCTTCCGTCAATGAAAATACCCAACTGTACTTCAAGATTGCCAAGAAGTGGCGAAAGAACGTGGAAGATAAAGTGGAGGAATTTATCAACAGGTTTGACTACAAGGAGGAGTCAGCAGACGCTGAGCTTTGGGACAAGGTGAAGAACAAATGCAGGGGTCTGAGATCGCCGTGGATGGACCTCCAATACTCAGATCAAACCAAGAAGATCATTATGGTCGGAAAACAAGAAATTGTTTGTGAAACATCCAGGAAAATGCGGGACATCTTGAAGAAGGCAAAGGACGAGATAGAGCAGGAGAGAACCATCGTTGAAGAAAAGATCCAATTTGCAAGGGCTGTAGAGTTAGCTTTTGTGTTCAATCACATCAAGAACGACGTTCAAGAAGTGAAGTTATCCAGAAGTAAGTCACCGCCGGTCTTAACGGTGAAAGGAGTGAAAAAGAAAGTCAAACTCGCTCTCACCTGCATCAACTCGTTTCAGTCCCAGCTACGAAACAGGCCTCTGGGTCTGTCCCCAACTCTTGAAGGCTTCATACGCACTCTGGATCTGGAGAAAGTGGCTCAGATTCACTTTGTTCCAAATAATATCAAAGCCACTTTGGTGTTGAAAGGCAAGCTTGACATCTTAGCCATTGAGGGGGATGTGCAGAAAGCCCAAGATAAATTAAAGCAGGTGTTTGGAGATGAGACACTCAATCTGACGCCAGAGCAAATCGCAGTCACTGAGGGTGATGGCTGGAAGGTGTTTCTCGGTGAGCTGGAAGCTGAGGCCAAGTCTAGCAGCGAGGGCTGCAGAATTGAATTGCTGAAGAACCCGGGCTCGGTGATGTTGACTGGCTTTACCAACATGGTGACTGATATCAAGATCAAATTGTGCGATTACCTGGACAAGAAGCGGCTGAGCTCACAATTCATCCCTGCCACCAAGGAGCAGGTGGATTTTGTGGAGAACTGCCTGGATCTGTCAGAGCTGCTGGACCTCAAGAACCAAGGAATATCCCTACTCCCTGTCAGAACTCTTCCCACAGGATTGAAGGTCACAGGGACGGCGGAGAACTTAAATACCGCCGTTTCTGCCATCAAAAAGGAGCTGTTGTCAATTCAGTCTGAAACGTTCACGTACGACAAACCAGGAGAGGCTTTGGCTCTCATCAAGCAAAACGATTCCCTTAAGGTGAAGGCAGGAGACAATGGGTGTATGTGTGTATTGGAGTTTGTCACCAACGAGACCTCAACATGTCTTAGCAAACACAAGCTACCCAATGGGCTCAGTCTGACCATCTGGCAGAAGGACATCCTACATCAGAGGGCTGATGCTGTCGTCTGTCAACTATGTAATTGCTCGGATCCAGTCACCGGGGTTACAAAGGCGATCCTCACCGCTACAGGGATTGATGTGCCAGAGATGATCAATGATATTAAGAGCATAATGGGAGCGCTGACGGAAGAGACTGCACTAGCCATCTCCGCGGGAACCTTACCCTTTAAAGAGCTGATATTGGCGGTGACACCAGGGGTGGGGAGTGGTGTAAACCCAGTTGTGGGCAACCTACAGAGTGTGGTCATGAATTGCCTGGAAACCGCTGAGGTCAACCAATGCCAATCCATCGCATTCCCCACACTAGGCCGGCCCGGCTCTACCCTCGACCAACGTGTGAGGGAGACCCTAACCGCAATCCTGGAGAATTGCAAAGAAACCAAAAGCAAGAATAAGTATCTCCAGCACATCCACTTGGTTGAGAAGGACGGATCCACGGCCAACAAATTCAAAGAGATGGCTCAAATGATGGTCGTTTCAGCAGATTCTATCAACGTAAGTGCAGCATTTTGTTTTTGTTGGCTGGAATCTGTTATTCACAGCTTCACCGGATTCTGTTCACATAGAATTTACACTGTTGGTTAGACACCAGCTCTTTACCCCCCCCAATGCTCACCTGTGAGGGCCCCAAGCCTTGCTTCTCGCTCACCTAATGCTCCCTGGATTGAGGTAAGCAGGGAGCGTCCCTCTGAGGAAAAAAGTACATATTCCATTCCAGACACAGTGAAATTTCCATGTGTACGTGGCATACATACTTGAGACTCTTGATAGACTGTTATAACAGTTTATATCAAACTATCTGATGGAATAAAAAGGGCCCATGGATTGTCCCGTCTTGACATCCTCTGCCCACGCTCAGCAACTGGAAATATTAACGTGTTTTTATTCCTTTCCTTCAGAAAGTTGATGCATGTCTCAAGAAAAGCAGGCAGATGCCAACAACTTTAAAACAAGGTAATATTTTGGTGTGTACTGTGCGTGGGTGCAAACGTGTGCTTATATCACCCTCATGGTAAATGTGGCAATGGTCCAGCCTTCCGTGATTTACATTCTCCTATTGTATTGATTTTCCGATGCTGTTGCACGTTCCACCCAACTCCCTTCTCGAGCCTCACAATTAGCAATCAACAACAACTTGCATTTATATAGCGCCCCTCAGGCTGGGTAGCGTCCCAGAGCGTTTGACAGTGGCGGAGCACGATGCTGAGCCATTATTATAACAGTACAATATTATATGGATATAATATTATGATAATTATTATTTATTAATCACTCGATGCCTTTCCAATGACACCATTGTCTTTTTGATCTTCCTCCTCTGTGTGCATTTGCTTTCTTCTTTTTAGTTATCTGCCCCCCCCCCCCCCTCCCAGTCCCGATCTCTCCCGCTTATCTTTCCTGGCCTCGCTTCCCCCATTCCATTAAAAATTGAACACAACAGACTGGTGTCCTACTGTGTTGAAGGCGGCAAGGTTACATGCTTGCAAATTGATTGTCAGAATGAAGTCCACTCTCTGCGGTGGTCATGGTCTTCTGGCTCCTCAGCCAAATGGGTTCACAATATTCCAGGGCACTGCTGATGGCAAGCAATGTGGATTTAGCTCATTAAACTCTAGCAGGACCCCAACACTGTTATAGTGAGTTTGTGGGTAGTGTTATAATGGTTGTTTGGGGAATATAATGGTTTAAGTCAACAACATTGAAGATGGCAGTAGAGGCTGAGTGGGTCACATTGTGTTCATTGCAATGATACCAAACTGATTAAGATGTATTTCAAAACTGGAAATACTTTTAATAAGGAGTTTCCTTTTGGAAAGAAATCGCACTGCAGAGACACAGAGATTGTTAATATCATGAAAAACTGTGCATTCCCCTGTCATTGGCACAGTTTGACCCCGCAAACATTCAACCAGAAATGTAGCTGAGGTTGGCGTTTACAAATAAGAATTGTTTCAGAGTGACCGCTTCGATCTTTCTGCAGGGTATGTGCCATCTGTCCCTGCAATGTTGCTCCTCCCGACAGTACAAATAGCTGGAAAAACAGTGATGCTGAAAAAAGGGGACATCACTCAAGAAAGCACCGAAGCCATAGTGAATTCTAACAACAACAGCTTGGACTTAAATTCCGGTAGGTTTTCAGAAATGCTAACTGCAATCTGAACTTTAAATCCCATTCACAATTACATTCACAGTTTCACGATTAAACTAAATTTCCCTGTGTCTCTCTTTGGGCCAGTTTCTGTGTAAGTGGGTGGCACACACCTGTGGAGCTCTTGCTCGGGTTTGAATACCCGCTGTGGATCACGGTTTTAGGTATCTGAAGGTGTTAAAGACTTGACTGAACAAAAAGCAAATTCACAGAAAAATAACGATTGGCTCATCAATAATAAAATTAGACGTCTCAAAGCGCTTCACAGAATATACTGTAAAGTGTAGTGATTGTGTGCGAAACGAGGCAGCCAATTGCGCACAGCAGTGTTTCACAAACAGTAGTGGATTGAAGTGACCAATTTATTTATTTTTTTTCTTGATCGATTATTATCAGGCATGTGGAGTAAGGAAACTTGCCCAAGGTTGGGAACTGAACCCGGGTCTCTTGCTTGCGAAGCGAGTGCTCTAACCACTGAACGACAGGACTCCAGCAACAACAACAATTTCCATTTATATAGCGCAGGGTAGCGCCCCAGAGCATTTGAAAGTGGCAGAGCACGACACTGAAGGGGGGGCGGGTGGTGGTAACAGTAAGCACAGTCGAATAGGAAGGTCTTCAGGCATGACATAAAGATGGGGAACGGATAGAGGAAAAGTGTTCCAGAGTTTCGGGGTGTAGTGGCTGAAAGCGTGGCCAACAATGGTGGAATGTAGAGTACAAGGGTCATGCAGAAGGCATGAGCCAGTCGAGCGTAGGCAGTGAATCCTGTGAAGCTTTTTGAGGCATTTTGACGATGTGATAAGGCACAATATCAAATGCAAGGATTATTATATTATAATAAATTCTTATATAATACCTTTCAAGCAGGTGAATACCTGGAGGTGATTAACGTCACCCACTAACTGGAAGTCTGTCACACTGACCCATGCGAAATACACTTTCTAACCTGTGCTTTTTCCCCTTCGTTTTGTAGGGGTGTCTGGGGCGATACTGAAAGCTGCAGGAAGTACTGTTAAGGATGAATGCAAGAAGATAGGTGCGGCACTTCACGACCAAGGGTTTGCTTTCTGGGTTAAAGGACATGGGCTGCAGAGGTTTGGATGATCTGCAGCCTGTGGAGGGTGGAGTTGGGGAGGCAGACAAGCAGGGAGTTTGCGTAATCGAGCGTAGTGGATGTGATGAATTCGTGGTTGAGGGTCTCGTTGGCCTATGGTGAGGGACAGTGGCGGAGCCGGGCAATGTTTCATAGGTGGGGAAAGGAGGAGTGGGTCATGGCACAGGTGTGGGGGATGAAGGACAGTTGTGGGTCGAACAGGACCCTGAGGTTCTGTACCGGCTCCATGAGGTGTAGAGTACATCCATGCAGGGTGATGCTGTCAGTGCCTGAGGTATGGAAGCGCTGATGGGAGCCAAGCAGTTGACATTCAACTGGAGAAAGTTTGCTCTCATCCAGGGCTAGATGTCCGACAGGAAGACTGTGAGGACAGCAGTGAGCCTTGAGTCGAGGGTGGAGGCGGAGAGATAGAGTTCGGTGTCATTTGCATACATATTGAAGTTGACCCCATGTCTACGGATGATGTCACCAAGAGGGAGCATGTAGATATTGAAGAGGACGGGACAAGTACAGAGCCCTGAGGGACACTACATGTGATGGTGCCGGGCCGGAGGAGAAGCCGATAGTGGAGAGCACAATAGGGAATGATCAGGGAAATGGGTTATGGTAGATATGACGTTTGAGAACAAGTACCAACATGGACACATTGGGTGATAAATCAGCACATCACAAACCAGATATCCTCCCTCATATGCCTCACATGTATTTTCCTTTGTATGGTGTGTTTACTAAGAGCCTATTTTAATAGCATCGTGAACCAAGCCTCGTCAGGCTAACTGTTCATCCATTTGTTTCCTAGGTTCCCAGGCAAATGATGGTGTTGTGGTCACTGGAGGTGGGCAGCTGCAGTGCTTATATATCGTGCACATGGTTGGGCCTAAGACGGCACCTCTCATTACAGCAGCAGTAGAAAAGACTCTCGGAAAATGTGACCAGTTGAACATTGCTACTGTTGCGTTCCCCGCCATAGGAACAGGTAAAACCTCCTATGTTATAACCAGATCTTCTCTGGTTACTGACTCACTCACTGGGCACATTGGCATCTAAAGGGCATAGATTTGAGGGATTTACCATGAGGATTATTCGGATGTGGGAAGCCCCATATATAATGTCGGTGATCCTGGCATCTGATACAGTGCCTTTCAAGTTGGGAGGACATCTCAAAATTCTTCACAAGACATAAAGTTAAGTGTAAGGATTGTGCATTTCTTAGGCAAACTCGGACTTCAGTGTACGCCCTAATTGGAACCGTGGGTGATGCAGAATCCATATTAGCTTTAAAGAGGGAAATAAATAGACATCTGAAAACTAGAATTATCAAAGGGTATCGGTGGATAAAGCAGGAGTGTGGGAATAAACTGTCAGCTCTTTCAGAGAGCCAGCGCAGGCACGATGGGATGAGCAGCCTCTCTCTGTGTGGTAAATGTCTATTGTTCTACAGTTCATCGAGTTTCACTGAACTCGTTCAGCTGCTCACTTTCATTAATTGGCTTCTGATTTTATTTAGGCAACGCTGGGATTGATTTCCGAGTCGCCATCAACGCAATCTTTGTTGGAATGGAAAATTACTTCCTGAAGAATACAGCTTCGAGCCTGAAAACCATTAATATTGTCGCATTTGAAACAAATGTTCACGATATTTTTGCGACATTTTTTGATGAAAGACAGCAAATGTCTAGTGGAGGCACTGAGGTAATCTTCATAATAATAATCCTTAATGTCGCTCCTATAATGTCAGTCAGCCCAGTCATGAAGTGAATGACCAATTTATCTGGAAGATATTTGGCCACTAGGACCTTAGGGGGGGAACTCCCTCTCACTTCTCATTGCGTCAAGAGATCTTTAACATCCTAATGGCCCAGGTAGATGAAACACAATACTTCTGACAATTCAGCGCTCTCCCTAGCACTGCACATGAGTGTCAACTTAGACAGTGAGCCCAGCGTTCTGTGGGACGTGAACCTGATTTTTTTGCCCAAGAAATGAGAGTCCAACCCATTGAATCATGTTGATGCAGAGACTCCTCACAGTCAAACACTGTGGAATTGAATGACCGAACACCTTGCTCTGAGAGCCAGTGCAGATTCGATGGGCCAGGTGGTCTCCTTCTGTGCTGTAAATTTCTACGTTTCTATGATTCCATGCCTTCCACGTTAGAATAAAGTCTCAAAGCGCTTCACGGGATCGTGTAGTGACTGTGTATTTATCGGTGAACAAATTATAATCAACTTCTCTTTTTATATTGTTCTTTTTCAGGGAACAGCGTCGGTCGCACCCTCAAGCACCTTGTCTCCGGCTTCGTTTCAGTGTAAGCGTCGCTCTTGGGGCTGGGGGGAATTGTAGGCAGCTGCTGATTGTATGTACATGGGCTGCACACTGCAGCATTGGCAGCAACAAGCAGCGTCCAGTCAGTGTTTCAGCGGAGGAAAGGGTATTAGATATAATAAAAGAACAGGCTCGAAGGACTGAATATTCAATGCCTGTTCCTGTCTTAATAATAATAACAATCCTTGCATTTGATATAGCACCTTATCACGTCGTTGAGACGTCTCAAAGTGCTTCACAGAATATATTGTGAAGTGAATTGACTGACTATTTTGTGGGCGAAACGCGGCAGCCAATTGCGCACAGCAGCGTCCCACAAGCAGCCGTGGCGTTTTTTTATTTATTTTTATTTGGAGGGATTATTACCCCCAGAAAAGTGATCTGCCAATCGATTAACAACCTACTTAACGCGAGGTAACAACAACAACAACAACAAGATTCCATTTATAGAGCGCCTTTCACGTCAGGAGGACGTCCCAAGGCGCTGCACAGTTGGGTCATGACCCGAGCAGGGGGGAAAATGGTCAGGGTGAGGGGAGGGAAGGGAGGGAGAGAGGAGGGGGGAAATGGTCAGGGTGAGGGGAGGGAAGGGAGGGAGCGAGGAGGAGGAAGAGAGTCGAGAGGGGAGCTGAAGGCTCGGTCAAAGAGAAAGGTTTTGAGACCGGCCTTGAAGGAGGAAAGGGAGGAAGCAAGGCGAAGGCACTGGGGGATGGAGTTCCAGAGCCTCGGGGCTGAGAGGCTGAAGGCCCGACCACCGATAGTAGGGCGGTTGGGGCGGGGGACGTGGAGCAGACCGGAGCCAGAGGAGCGGAGGGTACGGGCAGGTAGGTAGGGGGATAGTAGGTTGGAGAGGTAGGAGGGAGCAAGGCCGTGAATGGCCTTGTAGGTGAGGATGAGGATCTTGAAATCAATCCTCTGGGGGATGGGGAGCCAGTGGAGGCGAGCGAGGGTAGGAGTGATGTGGTCCCGAAGCCTGGTGCGGGACAGTACACGAGCTGCAGAGTTCTGAATGACCTGCAGCTTGTGGAGGGAGGTGGCGGGAAGGCCGGCGAGGAGAGAGTTCCCATAGTCCAGCCTTGAGGTGACAAAGGCGTGAACCAGAGTTTCAGCAGCGTGAGGCGTACAAATAAGGAAACTTGCCTAAGGTTTCACCCTGCCCAGGAATCGAACCCGGGTCCTCTCACTTGCTTCTCACGACTGCTGATCAAATTGGGAATTGGATTTCCTGGTTAATTTGATGCCAAGTAGTCACCCTACAAATTGACCCATTAAGGATGCGTCTGCACAGTCTGACAGGCTTCAAAATCCACAAGGTGGCAGCAGACACCCAAAGCGAAGAACCTTGTGGAACAGTTCCTCCCAAATGCTACTCGTTGCTTGAGGCTTCTTTCGTTTGTAAGCTCTCGTTTTTGTATTTTGCCCACATTCCTTTGCAAAAAGTCTAGCGATTTTACCTCTGAGTCACTCATTTCATGGCAGCGGATAGTGTATGCTCTATGTATTTTCTGTCGGGTTGCACTTTCTTTTACGTAATGGGAAGCTCACAGGAGCTGAGTTCATGGTGAAACGCTAACTTAAGGGCACTTTCTTTTACTCTTCTCCAGTTACCAAACGCACAATGCTGCCTACTCAGATCAAAATCCACGAGACAATCGTGGAGGTAAAGCAGGGAGACATAACCTTGGATACGGTTAAAGCTATAGTGAACTCCACGAACACCACTTTGAACCTGAATAGCGGTAAGAGAACATTCTGATGGTATATAATACTGTGTATAATACTGTCACGTACCAAATATCTCAACCAAGTGGCCATTCTTTACAAGTGAGCTTAGAGGAGGATAGTCAACAGGTTGACTATGTTGGGTGAGGGAGGGTAAAAGGCATCATAGTGTGGTGTTAGGCATACGTCTATTGTTTTAAAATGTAAAACATTTCAGAAATCCATCTTCCAATTGTTTTTCCCAAATTCTGATCAATCTTAAGGCTAAGACCATGTGTTATGGGAATGAACCCTGGGAGATTTTCGCTCCCCAGCCAGGTGCACTGAGGCCAATTGAAATGCTATCCCCTATTGAAGCAAAGCGTAAAATAATAGAGATTTGAATGAATAAGAGAATAATGCATGCAGGAGTTTTTATTTCTATCGAGAGCAGCTCTCTTTCGCACCTTTGCAGGACCAATTTTTTTAATATAAACTTTGAAATGGAATAATGGCACACAAAAACAACACTGAGGCCAGAAAGAAGAATAATAATTATAAACCTTTTGATATAGCGCCTTATCACACTTTCGAGACGCCTCAAAGTGCTTCACAGAACATAGTGTTAAGTGATTAACTGTATATTTTATGGGTGTAAGAATGACGTGACTCTTGTTCCCTCTTGGTGTTGTAGGTGTCTCTGGAGCAATATTTACTGCTGCTGGAAATACCGTAGTGGATGAATGCAAAAAACTGGGTAAGTTACCGTTACAGGGAGATTGGCATTACCTTAGCAAGCATGCAGAGTATTAGACATGTAAATTGCACAGAATTCTATAGACTGTAAAATGTCGAAAAAGACCATTTGGCCTAACTAGTTGAGGTCGGTGTGTAACATCTACTTGATTCTCCAACCATCCTAATCTCCTCTCCCATACCATTCTATTCCTTTCTCCCTCATGTACGTGTTTTCATAAGATACAGCTTGCATCAATTTCACAACTTGAACTGGAAATAAAGTACAGAGAAAATACCCTTTGAGTTGACACGTTAAACTGAGATCCTATCTGCTTGAATGGTAAAAGGTTTGCGACACTATTAAAGGCTGTTGCTCCCGTTGTCCTGGCCGCACATCTGCCACATAAATTGGTCGTTCACCTCTCCAAAACAGAGGAGCGAGCTTCGGAGTAATGACCATGTCATGATTCACCTTTGGAATTAAGTATCCCATGCACATTAAGACAGCATCTCATTCACAACGAGGCTAAGGTTCTTCCCACTGAGCTGTTGTTCTCCCTAGGAACCAAAGCCCTAAACAAACAGGACAAGTAGCAGGAAGCTTGCTGGTGATTGCAATGGAAAACTGGGTGCTTTTAGCTAGTTAAACTCCAGCAGTATTCCAACACACACTCTGGAGTACCCAAGCCTTGGTTCTCTCCAAGCTTGTAACTAAACTCTCAGTATTAGATAGGCAGGGTGCATCTCTCCGGGAAGAGAGTCCAAGGCCCACACCCAACACAAAACAATTTCCAATACATATATGCAATTCTCAGTAGTTTGGTTTGGAGATGCTTAAGCAGTGTGATGGGATTCCCTGTAAGTCAGACACCCGGCTGACCAAAACAAAATTCCGTGCAGAGGCAGCTTTTGGAGCTATGGTCAAACAATTGAGCAGACAATTGAAAGAGGCGCTGACTAATTATTGCACGTATTTGGTTGAACTCAAAAGCTTCGGAGGGAAAAGAAAATAGTTTGGAATTAATTAACTTTGCGTTTTATTTATCATTTCCCTTAGGTACTCAGCCTGCCGATGGGGTGGTTGTTACAGGACCTGGGAATCTGAACTGTGATCACATCATACACATGGTTGGTCAGACCAGCGCGCCCACCATTACCAGCTCGGTGGAGAAAGTGCTGAAGGAATGTGAAAGGCTCCAAGTGACGACAGTGTCCTTCCCTGCTTTAGGCACAGGTAATTAGAGTCAAGGCTCTAGAGTCATCAAAACACTGTTGAAAATCCCAGGGTTGGGCAACACCATTCATCTAAGGCCCTTTGAACTTCTCTGATTCCTTTTCGATTTCATCACTGTTGAATCACAAGGTATCTTCACAACTAACCTTAGGAGCACAGAAAGAATCCAACCGGTCAGTGCTAGAGAAAAACAGAATAGCCCTATAACAATACTCCATCCTCTCTTCCTTTTGTTATGCTCATCTTGCCATGCGGACTACAGTAATAATCCTTGCGTTTGATAAAGCGCCTTATCACGTCTTCAAGACGTCTCAAAGCGTTTCACAGAATATGTGAAAAGTGAATTGACTGTCTATTTTGTGGGCGAAACGTTGGCAAGGTCAGTATTCATCGCTTATCTCCAGTCCCCGTGAAGAGCTAGTGGACACTCCCTTTAAGATGCTAATATTCTCTCAATTAATTTTTTTGGGCCAAATAGCTATCTAATCTCCTCTTTTAAATTTGTTGATGTAATCTGACTCCACCACTTCCCTGCATTGTCCACTCCACATAGCCAGACCTTATATAATACTGTATTTACTTTTGTAAAATTTGTGACTGTTTATGGGACCTCAACAATTGTCAGGGTGCCTTCCCATGCTAGTTTGTATAATGAAGAGCCAAGCAGTTCCCTTCGCAAGATTCAGGGTAGAGATTAGAAGGCATTTCTTCATTCTGAGGGTTATTAGGATCCAGAGTTAATCAACACAATTCTCTGGGTAACAAATAGCCATTTCATTTCATGGCTGTTTTGGGGACATTGCTGCATGCAAACTGGCTCCCACATTTGCCTACAAAATACATAGTCACTCCATTCGCTGCACTTTACGGTATTGTTGACAATTGTTGAGGTCTGTGAAACGTTTTGAGATGATCCGTCGATGTGATCAATCAAATGCAAGAGGAAATTGGCTGCCGAGTTTGTCTTCAAACACACAGTCGCGACACTTCACAGCTGTGAAGTGCTTTGAGATGCTTCTACGACATGATAAGGTCCTAGATATAAGGTCGTCCACAGAATATACAGTCAATTCACTTTACAGTATATTCTGTGAAGCGCTTTGAGACGCATCGAACACATGATAAGGCGCTATATCAAATGCAAGCATTATTGTTATAACCCAAGTAATGGCTTTAAGGCATATGGCGAAAAGGAGGAGAAACTGGATTAAAATATCCACAGTGGTCCAATAAACCGGTGGAACAGGCTTGAATGATTTCCTGCTGTTTGCCTGTTCCTAAATTTGCTGCTGTGTCCTTCCCCTCTACAGGCGCGGGAGGACTCAAACCAGAGGTCGTGATTGAGAGCATGCTGATTGCGTTTGAAAACCATCTGTCACAAACAAATCCGTCGGTCATTAAATTTATTTACATTGACATCTTTGAGCCAAGATGTTCGACCCGTTTGTGGACGCTTTGAAATGGCAGGTTCAAGAGGTAAAACAAAAAAGCGGGGGCTTAGAAACAAGATCAGTATCCTTCCCTGCTTAGGCACATGTAATTAGAGTCAACAACAACAACTTGCATTTACACAGCGCCCCTCACGTAGAATAGTGTCCCAGAGCACTTGACAGTGGCGGAGTACGATGCCAAGCCGGGGGAAGCGGGGGTGACCGTAGACACGGTCGAATAGGAAGGTCTTCAGGCGCGACCTGAAAATGGACAAGGAAGGGGCAAGGCGGAGGGATAGAGGAAGAGTATTCCAGAGTTACAGTCAAGACTCGAAAGTCATCGAAACACTGCTGAGAACCACAATGTCTTACAACACAATTCATCATTGACACTTTGAACTTTGGTTTTAAAATATGATTCCACTTATATTTCATCGTCCTCAAATCACGAAGGCTGTCCACATGAAGTAACAGCTGAAACATTACAAAACTACTGGTGGGGGAGGGATTTGGTGAGGGTTGCACAGTTTCAGTGGAGTGATCCTAGCACAAGCAACGATGGCAAGTTTGGTGACTTTGGTGATCAGGATGGATGGTAAGATTCAGTGGAGGGGATGAGGACTGGGAGAGTGTGTGGGGAAGAAACTAACATAGAATATCCATGCATAAACCTCTGTACCATTATTTTCTCCTTCAGAAAAAGAATCTTGTAGAAATAAAACTCGGCAAAATAAAAGTCCAGCTCATCCAAGGTGATATCATAAAAGAAAAGACAGATGCCATTGTGAATTCCAACAATGTTAGCCTCAATCTACAAACTGGTGAGCCTCGATAACATTAATCAGGTGTCCACTTGATCGTTTTATACACGTGATAGAGAAGAGAATAGAATGGTTTGAGGACACGCCCTGCTTACCAAATACCAAAGAGTGTTAAGCAAGGTTGACGAGAGCCAAGGTTTGGGAACACCAGAGTGTGTTGGGAGCTTACCAATAAAGTAAAGCACATGGTTAACAGGAGCTGAATGGGAAAGTCCTTGCCACTCCCAATGACTGGGTAGGCCAAACCTCCAACTCCTGCAGACTAGTCATCTTTTATAACTAATTGACTAACACACAGCAATTTTATTTATTTGAAAAGATTTTAATTGACCGATTTAAAATTTCGCCTCCCTATTCTTTTCGGGGTGAAGAGGAAATAGGTTGATCAGTAATGATTCTTTAATGGTTGTATGCACATAACTCGTGCCTGAAAGTTGAGATCCGTTGTGGTCACTCAAAGTTACCAGACTTTCAGTAATATTCACCAACTTCTGTGTTTTGCAGGTGTCTCTGGTGCTATTCTGAAAGCAGCCGGAAAATCAGTGGTGGATGAATGTCAGTCACTGGGTGAGTAACAATAATCCTTACATTTGAGGTCTGTAGTACCTTATCACATTGTTGAATGATTCAAAGCTCTTCAGAAGATTCTCCGTAGAGTGTAGGAACTGTGTAATTGTAGGCGAGCGCAGCAGTCAATTTGTGTGCAGCGATGTTCCACAAGTAGAAATGAAGTGAATGATCAATTTTATCTGGGGGATTGTCGGCGAGGACACAACAACACTTCTTTCAAATAGTGCCATGAGATCCATAACTTTCAACTGAACAGACAGACAAAATCCCATTTTAACATCTCTATCAAAGGACAGCAATGCATGACCTGCCCTATATTGGAGTGTCAGCCTAGCCCATGAGCTCAAAGACCTGTGTTAATATCTGCCTCTGCATGTGGCCAAATTGAAGCAATGAAACTGAATTCATACCAAAATGTTAGTGGCCAACCTGAAGAGGATAATGTTCAGGCCAGCGAACAATTCCCAGGGATAGATAAGAGGTTTTCTTTTTAAAATATTTTTATATTCTGAAAACGCTTGACATTTTTTCCATATGAGATATAACTTTTTTTTAATGGCATGTCCTTTTAAGAGAAATGGCTATCAGTTTATCTAAGTGTGGTAGGGGATTCGGAGGACGATTTAATGAATTATCAAGTAGATGTTTTGAGCCCAATTTTGTTTCTTTTCACAGGAGTGCAAAACAAAGACAGTGTTTCAGTTACTAAAGCAGGAAACCTTAGAGTAAAATCCATCCTACATTTGAGTGGATGGACCCAAGTAAAACAGACAAAGTTATCCATTGGCAAAGTACTGAATCAATGTCAAAATCTGAATATAAGCTCAGTTTCTTTCCCAGCGATGGGAACAGGTAAGTTTCAGGCGTAATCCTTGAGTCTGATACAGCGCTTATTACATCAAAAATGTCTCAATGGATTTAATGAGTAAATGCTGCCAAGTGTAGGCAAACAAGTTGGCCAAGTTATGAGGCATGATATGAATGAACAATTCATCTGGATGACTGTTAACCAAGACACGCCACTCGCTTTTAGGTTAATTCCATAGGATCTTTAACATCCATGTAGACAGGCAGACACTGTTTAACATCAGATCCAATATTCTCCTAATAATCCTCACATTAGGACGTCCTAAAGCTTCACAGGAATTATGAAATGAATGACCAGTTTTATTTGGGGGGTTGTTGGCCAGGATATCAGGAGAAACTTCTTTCTCTTTTCAAATAGTGCCATGGGATCTTTAACGTCCACCTGTACAGGCAGACGGGACCACCTCGGTTTAACATCTCATCCGAAGGGTGGCACCTCCAACAATGCAGCCCCACTCCCCCCCATCACTGCATTGGAGCGTCAGCCTAGACTATGCAAATAGCAGATCATTACATTTCTTCATTTTTAGTGGAACCATCTTAATTTATATCTTGCCGAAACACATAGAATATTTCAGTGTGCAAATTTAGTGTTTTGTCTATCTGTCTGTTAGGCTGATACATAAATAAATATCCTTGAGCATAGGAACTCACTGACCCTGTTTTTCTTTGTAGGACAAGGCAAGCTGAACCCCAGTAACGTTGTGAATTCAATGCTCGATGCCGTAGCTGATTACGTGTTGGAGTTTTCTCAAACTTCCCTCTCTCTGATACGCATTGTTGTGCTCAGACCTGATGTACTGAACGAGTTTTGGCAGGGCTTTGCCATTCGTTTTCACACCTTGAGGAACATACAGCCTGTACCCGGTGAGGAACCTCCTTGATCATATTCAACTAAGAAATCAATAAAATCATAGTGAAAGCGAGAGATCTGGGTTCGATTCTGGGTAGGAACTGGTTGTTAGTCGATTGGCGGATTGCTTTTCCAGGAATAATAATCCTTAAAAAAAAACAATAATAATTTGGTCACTCAATCCATGACTGTTTGAGGGATACTACTGCGCACAATTGGCTGCTGCATTTCACCCACAACTATACAGTCAATTCATTTTACAGCATATTCTGTGAAGCGCTTGGAAGACGTGAAAAGCACTATATCAAATGCAAAGATTATTATTATTTATTATAATCTCATCCTCATTTTCATAGAATGTTAGAATATTGCAGCACACAAGGAGGGCATTCGGCCCATCATTCCTGTGCCGGCTCTTTGGAAGAGCTTGGCAATCGGTTCCACTCCTCCTGCTCTTTCCCCATTTCCCTGCAAATTTTTCCTTTTCAAGTACCTATCCAATTCCCCTTTGAAAGTGCATTCCAGACCATAACAACTCTTAAACAACCGTTTTCCTTAATGGTAAGGAAGCGATCAATCACAGTGCCGTGAAGCCATATAAATCCACGACACAATAGGAGGCCATTTGACTCAATTGATTTGTGCTAGGGCTTGTTTCTCCAATAAAGCCAATTATCCAATTCCAACAGCAACAACCTGAAGTTATATAGTGCCCTTCATGTGGGGTAGCATCTTGGAGCACTTAAATTCTCCACTCTCCAATATCCTCCTCTGCTTGTGCTTACCTAATCCAATTTTTTGAATCCAGTGATTTCTCTTTGGAATCCCGGGGGCAGAGATACTTTGCTTTCAGCTCCTGCTAACCCTGCAACTCAAAACCCTAATGGGTAGGGTAGGCTTAGCTGGACAAGCAGCAGGAAAGATTGCCAGACAGTGCTTTTGTATGCAAAGCTATGGTTTAAGCTGGATAAACTCCAGCAGTTACCCCAAACCTTGGCCAACCTGGGGCAAATACGCTCCAGAATTAGTAAGCAATATGTGATCCTCAGGGGCGAGAGACCAATCATTCTATTCTATTCCAAACACCGGTGTTTCCATGCATAGGTCAGATGTATGGAACTCTCAGTCCGACTTGGTTACTCTTAAGCATGGTGGTGGATTGCTCTTTGTGTCAGATACCCGAAAGACTCAAAAAAATTGGAATCCTATACGCACTATGAATAGTCCCGGCATGGATTAGTTGGGCCAAATGGCCAGTCTCCATGCTGTATAATTCTGTACAAATTTAATGAAAATGTTTTTTCTTTCACTTCTCACTAGTTCAAGTGATCCAGCCGGTTTTCCCGATCATATTGAGTGCATCGAAGTTCCAGATTGGCACGGTCAGGGTGTACGGTACAAGTAAGGCCGCAATGGCTAAGGTTCGCAAGGACCTGGATGATATCATCGGGCAAAACTGGTGCAGCAAAACCACAGACTTTGATTGTGCCGCGGGTCTGTCTAGCGATGAGAAGCAGAAGATCGCAGAGCTCTGTACCAAGCATCAGCTGAAACTCGAGATCCAGGAGAAGAAGATCATAACAGAGGGATACAAGGAACACGTTCTTGAGACCATGCTAACTCTCAATCACATACTCCAATCTGTCAAAGATAGAGAGGGCAGGAAGGAGGATGAGGCACATTTGAAGAACTTTGTGAGCTGGGAGACTGTGCAGAACAGAAAGGCCCAGCCTTACGATACAAGCTTAAACTATGAACTTGAAAAAGCTTACCAGGCCAAGAAGCCAAGCTACACCTATACAAAAAACATGCAAAGCTTCACCGTTCACTTTGACAGGATGGAACAAACCGACTCAAGTAAAAATGTAGTGCCCGTTAGACGGAAGAATCCTGACATGGGTATGTTACAATAAAGCTCTGCCTATTTTAAGAATTCCTAATTTATTTGACTTGGGTTTGACTTGGTGCTTTTCACGTCGTGACAAAGTCTCAAATTGCTTCACAGGAATTACTGTAAAGATCGACCACTGTTAAGCCTTCTGAGACGTTATCTTATTTGAAGGGCCCTATATAAATCCGAGTTGTTGTTGTTGACAGTGACTATTATGTTGTTGAACATGGCAGATAATTTCCGCACAGCAATGTTCCACAATCAGCCATGAAGTAATTGAGCAATCTTATCTAAGCGGATTGTTGGACAAGTCACTGGGAGAAATTCTCTTCTTTTTTTTGAACAGTGGCTTAGAATCTTTAACAGTCAGGTGAATAACTGGGACCTTAGTTTAATGTTTTATTCAAGGGACGGCACCTCTAACAATGCATCGCAACCCCAGCATTGCACGAGAGTGTCAGCCTGGACCATATGAGTTCAAAGTCTCGATATGGAGCTCGAATCCGCATCTTTTTGACTCAGAGGCGAGAGTGCTACAGACTGAATTAGGCTGACACCTTGAACGTTGCACCTCAATATCTGTATTTTTTTATTTTCCAGCTCAGTTTGAGTTCCCAGCAAGCTGGAGTCATATGAACGATCAGGACCACCTGGAAGTCGTCCTACAGGTCGGCTCAGCGGAATACACCAAAGTAGCAAATGATTTCACGACATCTTGCCAGAACATTGCAGTTAAAATAATTCAGGTAGGCATTTAGCTGGAACTCAGAAAAACACAACCACAAAAACTTGAACTCAAACACCACCTTTCAGAGCGCTTTTAATCAATGCTAATTTCATTATTCGACTGATCATTTGCTTAAACTTAGGTTTTAAGTTGAACATATTTGGAACTCACGATTATTAAACTGTAAAGGTGAGAAGATCCTTGTATCTTCACTTTAAAGTCTCAAATTGAGCCTTGATACAAGCAGAAGTTGAGGGACCATAAAATCCCAAACCTCAACAACAACAAATCACATTTGTATAGCGCCTTTCATATCGGGAGCAGGTCCCAAAGTGCTGAACCTCCTCTTATAATAAGCTCATGATAGCCGAATAATTAGGCTTGACGATTTTATATCAGTTAACATTGGGAATTTTTTGGTTTCCCCAAATCATTGAAAATTAATTCACATCGATAAACTTCATCTTGTTTTTTGTTTTGAACTATTTTAAGTTACATAAGCGTCGCAACTCGCACGGACCGTGAATGCTCAATGTATAGGAAGGGAGGCTCTCGGTCAATGGTAACCTTCCCGCCACCCCCACCCCCCCCCATTTTTGATAGCCAAAATAAAATCAAAGGATTCCAAAAAAAAGGAAAACTAAGGAATCAATGTCAATGTTTTCTATTGAATTTTTTTTTAAAAAATCTAAAAAATGTCCATCGTACAATTTACTAATTTAATGTTATGATTTAAATGAATATTTAATACAACAACAACTTGCAGCGACCTTCAGGAGGGGCAGTGTCTCAGAGCGCTTAACAATGGGGTAGTTTGATGTCGGTCCAGGTAAAAGGAGGTGAACGTTTACAACAACGAACAAATAATAAGGAATTATTAAGAGTAATTATTGTTTTTGATCATTCTTGTATAAAAAGTTATTGTTCAGGTTAAATAATAATTATTCTTTTATGATTTATTATTCTTTTATTACCAAAGAATGATAAATTACACGGCATAATTATTGTTAAATTAGTATTATTGATCATTATTCACTCTATTTTGAGATTAGCATTACTATTTATTACTATTTATTACTATTAAATTTCAGGGGTTTTGTTAATTTTTAATGTTTAATTTAAAAGTCATTATTACATTTAGTGTTTAAAAAAATATGTTCACACTGGAAAAATTGACCTTTTTTTTTTTAGATCGACAGGATTCAGCAACGCAGACTTTGGCAGTGTTACTCTGTCAGGAAAGAGACAGTGGATAAAAAGTACCCGAATGTGGTAAATGAGCAGATCCTGTATCACGGCACCACACGTGAGATTGCTGACAAACTGAACAAGTTAGGCTTCAACAGAAGCTTTTGTGGCAGGAACGGTAAGTCACTCACCGCACTTTACAGTGTACCCTGTCAATGGGATGTGGGACATCTTGCCAACGTGAAAGATGCTGTAATAATAATAATCTTTGCATTTGATATTATAATAATAATCCTTGTATTTGATTTAGCGCCGTATCACATCGTTGAGACGTCTCAAAGCGCTGCACAAAATATACAGTAAAGTGAATTGATTGTGTATTTGTGGACGAAACGTGGCAGCCAATTGCGCACAGCAGTGTCCCATAAACAGCCGTGGATTCAGTAACCAAATTACTATTATTAACAACGGGGTTCCCACTTACTGTAAGATAAACAGAGGAGTGTGGAATGAGGAAACTTGCCTAAGATTGCGCTCCACACAATCTTAGTACTAAATTCAGAGGCTAATCTTTTTAAAGTGGTTGGGGTTGACTTTTGTGGTGTGTGTTGCTATCACCTCTGATTGTACACCAAAGTACGGACATTAACAAGCTATTATCTTTTTCTTGTATTCCTTAGCCACAGTTTATGGAAGAGGCACTTACTTTGCCAAAAACGCCCAATACTCATGTGACAACAAGTACTCCAGCCCCAGCGACCAGGGATACAAATACATGTTTCAGGCACGAGTGATAACTGGGAAGATGTGCCTGGGGGACCAGTCGCTAATAGAACCAACTCCAGTAGATCCAAACAAGGATCCGACAAATCTCTGTGACTGTGCGGTGGACAGTGTATCAAACCCGTCCATTTTTGTTATCTTTTGTGATGACGGGGCTTATCCCGAATACTTAATAACCTTTAAAATGTAAGGAACAGCACATTTGAGAGAATATTGGGGAAGAGACTCCATATGGGGTGGGGGGGGAAGGGGTGAAGAATAACTCTTTCAGGAGCCCTTGGGGAGTGGGGGGGGAATTTTTTTCTTTTTATTCACATCATTTACAAGCCCATTGCTAAGAGGGAGCTATTGCCCCTCAATCTCATCGTTCCACATTCCATCGTTGTAGCTGTAGAGCCCAGCATCAGAACCCAATTTTTTGCTAAGTTTACTTTGGGCACCACTGGCTTTCATTGATGGTGAAATCAACACAACTTATATGTACAAATGTCTGTCTACTTACTTCAATCAATAATTTCCAAAGGTAAAACAGGTAAAATCACACCTGTTACTCTAGATTTACTCTAACAACTTGGCACGCAGTGTCCATAATTCATTAATAGTCTTTAATGAAGTTGCTAAAGACTCGCATTAGATGCACCTTACTCTCGCTAATGAGGGAATGGAAATCACAATATACAGTAAACCTCATGTGAATCAGTTGGGACCATGCACTTAATATGACTTATGCAAAGTATGAGTTATTTGAAACTTGTATTGTATAATATGACTGATGTAAAGTTATGTATATATAACAAATACACAAGTACTGAACAGGCTGGTGATGTTAAGCAACAAAAACAACATCTTGCACTTACATAACGCCCTCCACACAGGGTAGCATCTCAGAGCGCTCAACGGTGGCGGAGTCTGACTCCAAGGTTTCTGTACCGTGTTTAACCCATACATATTAAAGCTATGGAAGCCTAGTCTTTCCATATGCAGTACTGCACAGTATCACCAGGTAATCATTCAAAGTCTGTGGCTTCAAATCAAATTTGGGGGCAATGCCCCTCTTTTTCATCTCTGGATTTGCCTTGCAAAATTAGAGAATCTGATACGTCTCCTGATAAGTCCTTATCAGTAATTTGTGTTTATTTGGGGTATCTGAATTGTCTGATGCCATGATTGTCAAAAACTTGTCTTCTGTACTGTTCACTGTTCTGTACTGCGCATGCGGTCCTTCAGCATTGCAGCTGATAAGTGACCTGACGGGTCAGGACTTAGGTTCCCGAGATTGTCCCACATGGAGCACTGCGCATACAGCTTCAAGGCACTGCGGTCAGTTGTGAAAGATCCCCTTCGCTCTCCCAAGTGATCAGGCATTTCATTGTCCCTTCACTCACTACATTACCAGGTGACGCTCTTTCCTCTCGTTGATGTTATGCCCTCGGGAGGGCGTGGAGAGTGTCGGGGTCCGATGTGCTGGGTTCCGTTTGAGGCAGGTGAGGGAAACAGAGTAAGTTCGGTACCGGCGAGAGTGGTAGCGAGTGGATTTAATAGGAAATTCAACGGGACTTAAGCAGATGTACGGCTTATATGATTATACGATTTATACAGATTAGACTTTTGCGAGTTTTACTGTTCAGTCTCTCTCCATGTTCTTCCTGTTTCTGTGTGTTGATTCCTGAGGTTTAACTCCCATTCTACCTTGCATGTAGGCTAAAATAAATACCGTCACTTTCAGACAATGCAGTGCTCGACTTGAATTATTCTGATTGTATGAGATGAACCAAATTAAAAAGCAAGCAGTATGAAGTAATTATATGGAACAGCTCATTTATTAACCCCGAATTGTTGTTAAATCAGATCTGAGAAGCTGAAATGCAATAAATCATGTTGAAACTGTACAACGTAAATTCCAAACACTTGAATGTCCCGGATGGACGTGAAAGATCCCATGATACTATTCAAAAGGGGAAGGGAGTTTGTCCCAGTGTCCTGTGAGAAAACTCCCAGATAAAATTGATCATTCACTTCATGGCTGTGGTGGGATAAACCTGTAAGCAAATGGGTTGCTTCATTCACCTACAAAAAACACGATCACAGCACTTCACTATGAAGTGCTCCCAACATGGACAGCTCAGAGGCTTGGGACATTCTCCCGACATGAAAGGCATTATACAAATGTAATTTTGTATTGTGTTGTATCTCATTCTTTCAATGGTTCTATGGTCTGTCCAGCAACTTGGTTTGTGCCTCCGATTCAGAAAATATTCAGTAATATTGCCTCCTCGTTGAAAAACCTAACGCATTCAGAGCCCACACTCAAGTCTGTCTGCTGATATTACCCAAGATGGGTTAAAGGAAATGGAGTGTGACGTGTCAAGTGTTACCGAAGACAAACAACATGTAGTTGCTAAATGCGATTGAGACTGGTAAATAAAGACGGCTCAGTTAATGTGATGCGATCCCCTCCCACTCCACATATCATCCTCCAACCCCACCATCCTCCAATCTTCGAGATAATGGTTAGGCTCGAAGTATTCCACGGACGTAGTTTTTGCACTTTTGCCACTGGTTTTAAGGTGTGTCATTGCTCAGCGAAGCTTTCTGAAGCTGGACAACAGGACAAGGGCACGTGAACACAGCATTGTTGCAGGAGGGCTAACGGTGAGAAGAAAGTTTCTTATGCAGAGAGGACTTACATATCAAAAAATGTTCCCACATTGTTCTATCGCTTCATGACTGTTTATGGGGCACTGCCATGTGTAATTTCCTGTTGCGTTTTGCCCACAAAATACACAGTCAATTTACTTTACAAGACATTCTGTGAAGCGCTTTGAGATGTCTCAACGACATGATAATATCGCTATATCAATTGCAAGGATTATTATTATATTGAAGCAGCCAATTGCACACGGTGTCCCACAACAGTCGTGGATTGAGTGACCAATTTATTATTATTTTAATTTTTTGAAGGATTTATTACTCCCCAAAAAACGATCCGCCAATCGACTAACAACTCCTACATACTCCTAGGTAAACAGAGGAACCGAGCAATACGTGTTCTATACATGCGATTTGGGAGGTGACTGAATATTATAATTAAAGTTTTCAGCTTTCAGTTTCAGTTAAATTGCAAATATGAGGAAGTTTTTGTTAATTGACTGCCAGTAGCTTTCAAATTCGAATGAACAAATCTCTTATCAAGAAACCCCGAAAGAAATTGCAAGACATTGTTCTGTTCTGAGCAACATCGTTGTTTGAAGGCTTATTCCCCCCGGCGGTTAAGTGGACGAGGGAAGGGGGGAGAGAAATAACTTGATTTTCTCTACTTGTGGATGGTTTGCCTGCAGATCTGGAGATGGACTTCATACGGAATAAACTTTTCATTTGCTGCCATAGGATACCTGGAGAGTGCTGTGGCTCCAGGATCGGTAAGAATTCACAATACTCTGCACTGTCTTGGTTTCACATAGCGGTACGTTGCTTTTTCTTTTCTCCCTCAGTCGATAAAATATGATTCTGCTGTTACTGCATTTGGGAAGATTACAGACTATAATAATAATAATAGTAATCCTTGCATTTGACATAACAATTTATCATGTGGTCGAGACGTCTCAAAGCGCTGCGTAGGATTTTGCTGTATATGAATGTGGGGTACAGGGACGCTCTATTTTGAACTGCGCCAAATTGATTCATCTGGAGAGAGGTAGCCAAGCAACAAAATAAATTTTCCTCATTGAATATTTCTTGATTTATGCCATATTCAGATCCCATGATTGCAACTTTCCAGTCTGTGAATCCAGAGGAAACCTTTTAATTATGAGAAACGTATAAATAACCTTGTTCCGCAAACTACCTGTAGACATTTCCGTGTAAGCCGGGCCTCATTGTTATTGTGGCACTCCTGATTGTATCTGCCATTAAAGCTGATTTAAAGCGCAAAAAGAATGTAGAAAAGTACCTTGAAAAGTACCTTGCAATGTCAGGTAGCTCCACCTTATGAATACAAGAAGTCGCCAAAGGTGCTTGGAGCATTCTCTGGCTCTTTCAGGAACTCAGCCTGGCATGTAAATTACTCCCAGTACATTGCGATGCCAATTAAAGATTGTATCACAATCTGGGGAAATCAGAACTGGGGAAAATAAAATACCTTCAAGTTGCTTGGAAACCACCCGGATAAGAGAACAGTAAAACTCGTTTATGTCTTCTGTATGAATCATATAATGTATGAATCATATAAGCACTTCAGTTGCTCATCTGCCCAGGTCCCATTGAAGTTCCTGTTAAATCCATTTATCTGCACTATTCGATTGAATAATTGCGCAACTCGTTTAACCCGCAAATATATAGTCAATTCACTTTACAGTATATTCCGTGAAGCGCTTTGGGAGACGTCTCAAAGACGTGATAAGGTGCTATATCAAATGCAAGTATTATTATTATTATTGGCACAATAGAAACCTGCAAACATTCAACTAGGAATGTAACTGAACAATATCCGCGTTTACAAATAAAAATTGTTCAAGTGTGACTGCTTGGATTTCTGCAGAGCCAACAATAACATTGCAAATAGCTGGAATAACAGTGATGCTGAAACAAGGGGACATCACCAAAGAAAGTGTGGATGCTATAGTCAACACTACCAACAAGACATTGGACTCGAATTCCGGTAAGTTTTCAGAAATGCTGACTGCAATCTGAACTTTAAATAGTATTCACATTTCGCAATTAATTTAAATATTTGGTGTCTCTCTTCCGGACTTCGGATGGTTTCTGGGTCAGTGCGTGGCACACACGTGTGGCGATATTATAATCGGATCATCAAAGCCTTATAATCTTTGCATTTTGTCAAATTGTCGAAAAGTGCTTCAAAGGTTTTACTGTAAAGTTAAGTGACTGCATACTTTGTAGGCAAAACATGACAGCAGTCAATTTGGGCACAGTAATGTCTCAGAAACACACATGACGTGAATGATCAATTTTTTCTGGGGTAATTTAGACTGGCCATCAGGATTTTGAGCATACAGCTGTGCTGGGGGAGTGCTGGATTGTTTGAGGTGACCTTAAACCAAGGAACCAGCTATCTGTTCAGGTGGATTTGGTTCAAATAAAATCAGTCATGTCTCGGCCGTTTGTGGGACATTGTTTTGCACCAATCGTCTGTTGTGTTCGCCGAGAAGAATACACAACCACTACACTTTCCAATGAATCCTGTGAAGCTCTACGAGATGTTCTGACAATGTGATAAGTGCAATTTCAAATGCAAGTATTATTATATTATTGTAAATTCTTATATAACTCCTTTCAAGTAGGACAATACCTGGAGGTGCTTAAGTCACCCACTAACTGGAATTCTGTCACACTGACCCATTGGGAAATACACCTTCTAACCTGTGCTTTTTTCCCTTCCCTTTGTAGGTGTGTCCGGGGCGATACTGGAAGCTGCAGGAAGTTCTGTTAAAGATGAATGCAAGACGTTAGGTGCGGCTCCTCACAACCAAGGGTTTGCTCTCTGGGCTATTTGATGTGAAAATGGATCTTCCTTAATAGAATGATGGTGTCAATTACTAGTTATTAGAATCACCAATATATAGTGCGGTGAATGCAGGTTTGATTCCAGTGGTGAAGCAGCCAAAACAAAAACAGCAACACAACGATGATAGGAAGAGCAAGGTAATGGGTTTAGCATCCAGGGAGAGGGGAGAAGATATCTGCAGCATGAATATGATAGGAGAAATTGGGTGACAGTAGATAGGAAAGGCAAGCTAGCACCCACAACAATAACTGCCACAATCCTTGTATTTGATATAAGGCCTTATCACAATTTGGAGATGTCTCCAAGTGCTTCACACAAACCACTTTAAAGTCAATTGACTGTATATTTTGTGGGCGAAACGTGGCAGCCAATTGCATACAGAATATCCCACAAACTGTCATGGATTGAATAACCAAGTCATATTAAAAAGCTTTTTATTTTATTTATTTTTGGGGGGATTATTATACCCGGAAAAGCGATCGCTGATCAACTAACAACTGGGTTCCTACTTACTCCAGGTAAACAGAGGCATGCGGACTTGCCTAATGTTTCACCCTGCCCGAGAATTATGAGGCCAGTGATCTAAACAATACAGGACACCAGCACAAATATACTCGGGAAAGAGCAGGGAAACAGGGGCAAGACAGATTACTCCAGGAGGGGTGAAGGAGAACAAACATTAACATGGACATGATATGTGATAATTAGCACATCACACACCCTATTTTACCACCCACCACTTTACCCTTTGTATGGTTTGTTTACTAAAAGCCTATTTTAATAGCATCGTGAACCAAACCTCGTCAGGCTAACTGTTCATCCATTTGTTTCCTAGGTTCCCAGCCATATGATGGTGTTGTGGTCACTGGAGGTGGGCAGCTGCAGTGCTTATATATTGTGCACATGGTTGGGCCTACGACGGCAGCTCTCATTACAGCAGCAGTAGAAAAGACTCTCAGAATATGTGACCACAGGAACATTGCTACTGTTGCGTTCCCCGCCATAGGGACAGGTAAAACCTCCTCTGTTATAACCAGATCTTGTCTGGTCACTGACTCACTTGCAGGGTGAGTTGGCAACTAAAGGGTATAGAGTTGAGGGTTTTACTGTATTGGCTCTTAGGATGTGGGATGCCCTATCTATGATGATAATCCTAAAAAGGATTTAAATAAGACACCTCAGCAGGAGAATTGACAAAGGGTATGAGGGGTAAAGGCAGGAGAGTGGGAATAAACTATTAGCTTTTTCAGAGACCCATCGCAGGCACGATGGGATGAGCAGCCTCTCTCTGTGCTGTAAATGTTTATTGATCTACAGTTCATTGAGTTTCATTGAGCGATCAGCTGCTCAATTTCAGTAATTGGCTTCCTTTTTTATTCAGGCAATGCTGGGATTGATCCCCGAGTCGCCATCAACGCAATCTTTGATGGAATGGAGAATTACCTTCAATTGAACACGGCTTCAAACCTGAAAACCATTACCATTGTCGCATTTGATACAACTGCTTATGATTCTTTTGCTACAGTTTTTGATGAATGTCTGCAAACGTACAGTGGAAGCTCCATGGTAATCTTCATTATAAAAATAATCCTTGCATTTAACATTGCACCTATAATGTCAAAATATCACAAGGTATTTGCAGTCGTCCTGATATTAGCAGTGACTGTTTATTTGAAGGCAAATGCAGCAGCTAATTTGTGCGCACAGGTATCCACCAGCAGTCAGCCCAGTCATGAAGTGAATGACCAATTTATCTGGACATTTGTCAGCCACTTGGCCACTAGAGGAAACTGGGTTTTACTTCTATTTCTGTCAAGAGAGCTTTAAAGCCCCACCTGAACAAGCAGACGTGACCTTGGTTTAATACCTCCCCTGAAGCACTGCACCTCCCCCTCTTGAGTGTCAGCTTAGTCAGTGAGCTGAGAGTCAGTGTGAGGTTTGAGGCAATAGCAATCGAATCATGCTGATACCGAGGATCCTCACAGTCAAACACCTGGAAGCAGAAACCCCAATTGGCTCATTCCAATGTATTTTTATAAGTTAGTTTTCCCAAGCAGTTGGAAATCTCTCAGAAGAAATCCTTATTATTATTATAGAATCCTTATTATGGAATGACTGGCGTTCTGAGCAAAGTAACCCTCAGTTGCAGCTCTATTGATGTAATCATTGTTCCATTCAATAATAATTATATAATTCTTGCATTTGATATAGCGCCTTACGTTCGAGATGTCTCAAAGCGCTTCACAGAATATACTGTAGTGTGAATTGACTGTATATTTTGTGGGCGAAACACAGCAACCAATTGCGCACAGCAGTGTCCCACAAACAGTCGGATATTGAGTGACCAATTTATTATTATTGTTTTTTTGAAGGAATTATTACCCCTGGAAAAGCGATCCGCCAATCGACTAACAACCGGGTTCCTATTTACTGCATACTCACGTTTCTTGCTTGCGAGGCGAGTGCTCTAACCACTGAGCTACAGGATTCATAATTACAATCAATACTAAGTAATAGTAATAATTGTTCTGTTCAACAATTGAATTTATCATAATAAGAATTTGGTATAATGCCTTTGAGGAATTGAATGAACCCTTTGCTCTGAGAGATGGAGCAGAGTTGATGGGTTAAATGGCTTTCTTGTGTCCTGGACATTTCTATGATTCCATGCCTTGCACATCAGAATGATGTCTCGTGGCATTTACTGTAATATGTAGTGACTGCTTTTTTATAGGTGAACGAAACATAAATTATAATCAAACTTCTAGCCCTTTTGCCTTGTTCTTTTTTAGGGATCAGTCCAGAGCTACTCCTCACATCAGTCCATCTCCCTGTCGGTGTATCAGTGTAAGTACTGCTGTTTTTTGGGGGAGGGGGGGATTGCGGGGGAAATTAGACTAGGCTTCTGGTTTCTGAGCTAAGCGAGTCCACAGTATTCCAGGGCACTACTGATGGCAAGCAATACTGTTTTAGCTGATTAAACTCTAGCAATATTGTTATGATGGGTTGTGGGTAGTGTTATCAGAGTGGTTTATACAATATGCAATGTTTTGTAACTGCTGTGCACAATTGGCTACCGTGTTTCACCCACAAATATACAGTCAATTCACTGTACAGTATATTCTGTGAAGAACTTTGAGATATCTAGAAGATGTGAAAAGCGCTATATCAAATGCAAGGATTATTATTATAAAGAGATTATTATCATGAAAATCTGTGCACAGTTTGACCAGAAATGCAGCTCAACCATATCCATGTTTACAAATAAAAATTGTTAAAGGGTCACTGCTTTGATTGCTGCACTGCCTGTGTTCCCAGTGGGGACACTGCCGTTCTACCCGACAGTACAAATAGATGGAATAAAAGTGATGCTGAAACAAGGGGACATCACTGAAGAAAGTGTGGATGCCATAGTGAACTCAACCAACAAGACCATGGACCTAAATTACGGTACGTTTTTAGAAATGCTGACTGCAATCTGAACTTTAAATTCTATTCAGTTACACAATTAAATTCAATTTCCCTGTACCTCTCTTCCGGACTCCGATGGTTTCTGTGTAAGTGGTTGGCACACACTTGTGGAGCTTTTGGTCAGGTTAGGATGCTCTGAAACACAGAGCCAGATTTTTGCACGTGGCACTCTGTGGAGTCCAGTAACTCAGTGGTTAGAGCACACGTCTTGCACGCGAGACCTGGGTTCGATTCCTGGCAGGGCGAAACCTTGGGCAAGTTCCCTTACTCCACACGCCTGACAATAATCCCGGCAGAAAATAAAGGAGAATAATAATTTGGTCACTCAATCCACGACTGTTTGTGGGACACTGCCTTGCACAATTGACTGCCGCGTTTTACCCACAAATAACAGTCACTTTACAGTATATCCTGTGAAGCGCTTTGAGACTTGAAAAGTGCTATATCAAATGCAAGGATTATTTATTATTATTTTGCTCACCACCCAGTAAATTTACAGAAAAACATCAATCGAATCATCAAAGCCTGATAATCCTTGCCTTTGATAAAGCACTGTCATATCATTAAACGTCTAAAAGAGTTTCACAGGATTTACTGTAAAGTGACTGTATTTTATAGACGAAACATGGCAGCAACCAATTTGCGCACAGTTATGTCTCGCAGATACCCATGAAGTGAATGACCAATTTTATCTATGACAATACAGACTGGGCATCAGGATTTTGAGCATACACTAGGTTGATGCTCCAGTGTGGTGCTGGAGGAGCGTTGCATTATTTCACGTCACCTTTAAACGGAGTTCCCTTTTGATTTCAGGTGTGTCTGGGGCGATACTGGAAGCTGCAGGAAGTTCTGTTAAGAATGAATGCAAGACGTTAGGTGAGGCTCTTCATTACCAGGGTTTGCTCTCTGGGTCATTTCATGTGAAAATGGATCTTCCTCTATAGAATGATGGGAAATAACTTCAGCATCAATATGATGTGGTTACAGTAGGTAGATATGGGGAGGGTAGAGATACGATAGGAAAAGCAGGGAAATGGGATCACAGTAGATAGCATTGAGCAAAGAGGGAATGGAAAGAGGGAGGGAGATAGTTCCAGCAGACACATAGTAAGGAAATGTGATTACGGTAGGTAGCTCCGGGGGATTAGGGAGAACAAACACTAACATGCAGATGATGTGTCATAATACATCACACACCCCATTCCCACCCCTGACCACATGTAATTTTAGTACATTTTGTTCACGTCAAGCCATTTTAATAATTATCCTAGCGTTTGATACAGTGCCTTATCTCACCATTGAGACGTCTCAAAGCGCTTAACTCTTTTAGTCCTTGCGTTTGATAAAGCCACGTTTGAAGAATATTAGAATATACTGCAAAGTGACTTGACTGTATATATTTGGAGCGTAAACCAATCCTTGTCAGGCTAACTGTCCTTCTGTTGTTTGCTAGGTTCCCAGCCACATGATGGTGTTGTGGTCACTGGAGGCGGGCGGCTGCAGTGCTTATATATAATGCACATGGTTGGACCTAAGACTGTGCCGTTCATTACAGCAGCAGTAGAAAAGATTCTCGAAAAATGTGACCAGTTGAACATTGCTACTGTTGCGTTCCCTGCCATAGGAACAGGTAAAACCTCCTCTTATAACCCGATCTTCTCTGGTTACTGACTCACTCACTGAGCGATTTGGCAACTAGAGGCCATAGATTTGAGGGAATTACCATGAGGGTTGTTAGGATGCAGGATGCTCTATATATAATGACATTAATACTTGCATCTGATACAGCACTTTTCACATCAGGAGGATGTCTGAAAGCATTTCACATGACACACTGTGTATTTTGTAGGTGAATTCGGTGCCCAATTTGTGCCCTAACTGGAACCACGGATGAAGCAGAATCTATATTAGCTTTAAGATGGAATTAAATGGACACCTGAGAAGGAGAATTATCAAAGGGGATGAGGGGTAAAGGCAGGAGTGTGGGAATAAACTATTAGCTCTTTTGGAGAGCCAACTCAGGCACGATGGGATGAGCAGCCTCTCTCTGTGCTGTAAATGTCTATTGTTCTACAGTTCATTCAGTTTCATTGAGCGATCAGTTGCTCACTTTCATTAATTGGCTTCCTTTTTTACTCAGGCAACGCTGGGATTGATCCCCGAGTCGCCATCAACGCAATCTTTGATGGAATGGGGAATTACTTGCAGACGAACACGGCTTCAAACCTGAAAACCATTACCATTGTCGCATTTGATACAAAAGTCCACGATTGTTTTGCTACGTTTTTTGATGACTGCCTGGAAATGTCCAGTGGAAGCTCCATGGTAATCTTCACCATAATAATAATAATCCTTGCATTTAATACAGCACCTATAATGTCAACATATCAAAAGATAATTGCAGTCATGTGCAGTGACTGTTTATTTGAGGCAAATGCAGCAGCTAATTTGTGCGCACAGGTATCCACAAGCAGCCAACCCAGTCATGAAGTGAATGACCAACTTATCTGGAAGATATTTGATCACTTGGACACTTAGGTGAAATTCTCTCTAACTTCTAATTGTGTCAAGAAATCTTTAACATCCACCAAATAAGGCCGACGGGACCTCGGTTTAACATCTCCTCTGAAGCACTGCCCCTCTGATAATTCTGATCTCTCGCTAGTACTGCACATGAGTGCCAGCCTAGTCAGTGAGCTCAGAGACCTTCTGTGGGACTTGAACCCTGAGCCGTTTAGCGTGGGAAGCGAGAGTCCTACCAATTGAATCTTGTTGATGCTGAGAATCCTCACAGTCAAATACCTGAGAGCAGAAACCCCAATTGGCCAGCAGTACTGACGCAATATGCAATAATTGAATTGTAATAATAATAATTTGATATAATGCCTTTGTCTAATTGAATGAACACTTTGCTTTGAGAGCAAGTGGCTCTTAGAGCCAGTGCAGACTCGATGGACTAAATGGTCTCCTTCTGTGCTGGACGTTTCTATGTTTCTACGATTCCATGCTTTCCACATCAGAACGATGTCTCAAATCATTTCATGGGATTCTGCTGTGAATGTGTATTTACAGGTGAACAAATTATAAATTATAGTCAAGCTTCTTCCCTTTTATACTGTTTTTTAGGGAACAGGTTCGAACACCCCCACATATCAGTTACACTCCATGCCGGCGTTTCAGTGTAAGTGCCATTATGGGTGATGGGTTAGCAATTAAGGGTGATTGAAGTGAATGACTAATTTTATCTGTGGCAATGTAGACTGGATTTTAAGCTTGAAGTCTAGGCTGATACTCCAGTGTAGTGCTGGGCAAGTGTTGCATTGTTATCCTTCTTGACGGTCACTATATAAATCCAGGTTGTTGTTGTAAGTCACTACTGTGTTGGTGAACATGGCAGCTAATTTACACAAAGCAATGTCCCAATGAAGCAATTGACCAATGTTATCTGGGGGATTGTTGGACAGGACACCAAGAGAAATTCCCTTCTCTTTTTTAAACAGTGCAACAGGATCTTTAACATCACCTGAATATCTGGGACCTCAGTTTAATGTTCCAATCAAAGGACGGCATCTCCTACAATGTAGCGCAACCCCAGCACTGCACTGGAGTGTCAGCCTGGACTATATCAGTCCAAAGACCCGACATGGGGCTTGAACCCACATCCTTCCGACTCAGAGGCGAGAGTGCTACAAACTGAGCTAGGCTGACACCTAAAAGGTTTCACCCAAACATAGGCATCTTTCATTTTCCAGCTATGCCTGAGCTCCCAGCAAGTTGGACTCCCATGAACGGTCAGGAGTATCTGGAAGTTCCCCTACAGTTCGGCTCAGCGGAATACAACAAAGTAGCAAATGAATTCACGACGTCTTGCCAAAACATTGCGGTTGACATAAGTCAGGTAAGCATTTAGCTGGAACTCAGGAAACACAACCGCAAGAACTTGAATTTACACAGCACCCTTCACATAGAATAAATTTTAACCAGTGTTAATTTCATTATTTGCTTGATCGCTTCCTTAAATTTGGCTTTTAAATTGAGCGTTGGACTCTGGAGAACATAATAATATTTTAATACGAAGATAGATTTAATGTTTATTTTAAAAGTCATTATAGCATTTAGTGTAAAAAAAAATTGCCGCTGTAAAAATTGCCGCTTTTTTTTCAAGATCGACAGGATTCAGAATCGCAAACTTTGGCAAAGTTACTCTGTCAGGAAGCAGACAGTGGATAGGAAGTATCCGAATGCGTTAAATGAGCAGATCCTCTATCACGGGACCTCAGGCGAAATTGCCGACAAAGTGAACAAGTTAGGCTTCAACAGAAGCTTTTGGGGCAGGAACGGTAAGTCACTGCACTTTACAATATATCCTGCGTGTGCTTTGGGAGGTCCTCCAGACATTAAAGGCGCTATACTAAATGCCAGGGTTATCATTATTAATGTTATGTTCTCACAATTCAAAACCCAATCAAACAAAACAACCAAAATCCCTTCAGTTAGTTTTCCTGATCCCCTTTCATTGGTTCCCAGTAAATTGGTCACTTCTTCTTTGAGGGTATCCAACATCTTCAGTCAGAGACGGGAGAAGTTGTAATGGGGGATAAGGACATGGTAAAGTCCCTAAATGGGTACTTTGCATCTGTCTTCACCCTAGAAGACACAACAAGTCTGCCAACAATAGAGATGCACCAAAGGGATAAGGACAGGGAGCAACTTAGGGAAATTTTCATTAGTAGAGAATTGGTGTTCGGAAAACTGTTAGCACTAAAAAATGACAAATCCCCTGGTCCGGATGGCTTGCCGGGGTTTTAAAAGAGGAGCTTATGAGATAGTAGAGTCCTTATGTCTGATCTTCCAAAATTCCTTGGATTCTGAAACAGTCCCCATGGATTGGAAGATCGCAAATGTCACACTACTATTTAAAAAAGGTGGAAAGGCAAAGATGGGGAACTATAGGCCAGTCAGTCTCACATCAGTGATAGGAAAAAATTTGGAATCATTGATTAAGGATGTGGTAGTGCGGTATTTGGGGCACAATATAATTAGGCCAAGTCAACATGGCTTTACAAAGTATTTGGGCATCAGCTATTTACCATCTACATCAACGATCTTGATGAGGACATTGAAGCTAATATATCTAAATTTGTGGATGACACAAAACTAGGAGGAAGTGCCAACACAGAGGATGACATTAAAAAAATGCAGCGAGACATAGATAGGTTAGGTGATTGGGCAGGTAGGTGGCAGATGAAGTATAATGTAGGGAAGTGCGAAGTCCTCCACCTAGGTAGCAAAAGCAGTAGAGCGGGTTATTTTTTAGAAGGGGAGAGATTGGAATGTGTTAGCGTCCAGAGGGACTTGGGTGTCCTTGTACACCAATCACAGAAAGTTAGTCTACAGGTGCAGCAGCAATTAGGAAGGCGAATGGTATGTTAGGGTTCATTATGAAAGGATCAGAGTATAAGAGTAGGGAAGTCTTGCTGCAACTATATAGGGCCCTGGTGAGACCACACCTGGAATACTGTGTGTAGTTTTGGTCTCCTTGTTTAAGGAAGGACGTACTTACCTTGGAAGGGGTGCAGCGTAGATTTACTAGGTTAGTACCAGGGATGAAGGGGATGAGTTACGAGGATAGGCTGACCAATTTGGGCCTATATTCTCTAGAATATAGAAGAATTAGAGGGGATCTTATAGAAACCTATAAGATCTTCAAAGGGCATGATAGATAGTGGGAGATTGTTTCCCCCGGTTGGAGAAACTAAAACCAGAGGTCACATCCTTAAAATCAGAGGCAGCCCTTTCGCACTGAGTTGAGGAAGAACTTCTTCACTCAAAGGGTGGTGAATGTATGGAACTCACTACCCCAAAGAGCTGTTGACGCTCAGTCCTTGAACATATTCAAGACTGAGATAGATAGATTTCTTATTGCAAAAGGGATTAAGGGATATGGGGATAAGGCAGGGTCAGGTTCAGCTGGAGTTAGATTAGAAGATCAGCCATGATTGAATGGCGGGGCCGGCTCGAAGGGCCGAATGGCCTACTCCTGCTCCCACATGTTGTTATCTTCCCCTTTTTGGTTTCTTCTTTTTTCTCTCTATGTCTCAGTCTTGTTCAGTTAATCTTCACGTTTGTTTTACTACTCTTCCTGACCTGGTGGTTCTCGATATTTTTTCCACCCCTGGATCTTCCTTCTGCTCTTCTTTTTCTTCCTCTGTCCTTCTTTGGCGTGTTTCCGTTTTTTTATATATATATATATAAAATTTTTACCTTCTAACCTCAATGTGTGCGGTATTTGCATATGTCTTGGTATGTATGTGGAGTCCTGTAGCTCAGTGGTTAGAGCACTCACTTTGCAAGTGAGAGACCGAGGGTTGATTCCCGGCAGGGTGAAACCTTGGGCAAGTTTCCTTACTCCACACGCCTGATAATAATCCCTCAAGAAATAAAACAATAATAAATCGGTGACTTCAATCCACGACTGTCTGCGGGACACTACTGTGCGCAATTGGCTGCCGCATTTTGCCCACAAATATACAGTCAATTCACATTACAGTCTATTCTGTGAAGCGCTTTGAGACGTCTAGAAGATGTGAAAAGCGCTATATCAAATGCAGGGATTATTATCATTATTATGGCATTTGGCTCTGCTTCTCCGTAACTCATTCTGGCTCGTTTATCATCTCTGTTCAATCTTTTCCGATTCAGTTCAGTTTCACTTCTGACACTATGTTATGTTCTCACAACTCGAAGGTAGAAATCACTATTTTATTCTCAGTTCTCAAAACACAATCCAACACAACCACCTAAACCACTTCAGTCAGTTGCCCTGCTTTTTACTTCCTGATCCATTTTCGTTGGTTCCCAGTTAATTGGTCATCTCTTCGTCAAGAGTATCCAGCAATTAACTTCAGAGGCTATTCTTTTCAAAGTGGTTGAGGACGACTTTTGGCGGTGTTACTGGTGGGGGGGAATGTTGCTATCACCACGGATTACACACCAAAGTAAGGATATTACTTCGCGGAGTCCTGTGGCTCAGTGGTTAGAGCACTCGCTTTGCAAGTGACAGATATGAGTTCATTCCAGACAGGGTGAAACCTTGGGCAAGTTTCCTTACTCCACACAGAGCCTAATAATACCTCCAAAAAACAGAAACAATAATTAAATTGGTCATTTTCAATCTACGACTGTTTGTGGGACATTGCTGTGCGCAATTGGCTGCCGCATTCGCCCACAAATATACAGTCAATTCACTTTACAGTGTGTTCTGTGAAGCACTTTGGGACGTCCTCCCGACGTGAAAAGCGTTATATCAAATGCAAGGATTATTATTATTATTAACAAGCTATGATCTTTTTCTTGTTCCTTAGCTGTACATTATGGAAAAGGCACTTACTTTGCCAAAAACGCCCACTACTCATGTGACGACAACTACTCCAGCCCCAGTGACCAAGGATACAAATACATGTTTCAGACACGAGTGATAACTGGGAAGATGTGTTTGGGGAACAAATCAATGATGGAACCAACTCCAGTAGATCCAGACAAGGATCCGAATGATCTCTGTGACTGTGCGGTGGACAACATATCAAACCCGTCCGTTTTTGTTATTTTTTCTGACGATGGGGCTTATCCCGAATACTTAATAACCTTTCAAATATAAGGAACAGCACAAGTAGGTGTAATGAGAGAATACCGGGGGATAATTTTCCACGCGGCGCTGGATGTATTCTTATTTCCTTGACATTTAAGAATTTGGCAAATTTTAATGAATTCACTCTCAATTTGGAAAGCAGTTTACTGTAGTTCTTAAAAGAATCGGCAAAAAAGTTAAAGACTGTATTTCTCAACTTGACAAACTGCCATGGATCTTTCACCACTGGTGCCTTTGAGGGGAGAGGAAGAGTAATTCTTTCATGAGTTCTTGGGTGGGGAGGGATGGGAACAATTGTTTACATCTTATTTACATTATTTACAGGCCCATCGCCAAGGGAGAGCAATCGCCCCCCACTAAACACACACAATGTTTTGCTAAGCAAACCTTGTATATATTGCCGCCCCTGCACGTGTTCCTGGTTCATTTACCTCCATAGACACTGGTGCGCGTGGAGAAGGGGGGGGTGGGGCATAACTAGCTCAGAGGAGCCAATACCGGGGGGAGATGGGCACCGTTGACTTTCATTGACCTCTTCCAGCCTCAGGTGAAACCAGCACAAGTTTTAGGTACAAGTGTCCGGCTGCTTTCTTCAATGAATGAATCATTAACTTCCAAAGGTGTAAAATCCCACCTGAGTCTTCAGATTTACTGCATTAATGTAGCATTTCAACAACATCAACAGATTACATTTGTACAGTGCCTTTCATGGCGAGAGGACGTCCCAAGGCAATGGATGGTCTAGGATTTGGACCCAATCTATGGGTTGGGATTAGGAGGGGTGGAGGGCAGGGAGGGTAGGAGTAGGAGGTTGACCAAAGGTCTGGTTGATGAGGAAGATCTTGAGACAGGTTTTGAAGGAGGCAAGGGAGGAAAACCATTTTCCTTGTAGTTTCTTAAATGTAGAGACCCAGGTGGGATTTTATCCCCACGAGTGTAACATCTAATAGAAAACCTTCACTGCCATGTATACCATAGCGTCTACAGAAGGAAGATCTTACCTATGAACCTGCGCTCACTCACAAAAATCACAGTAATCGCACTTTATAGTATATCATGTGAAAGTATTTTGGGCATCCTCCCAATGCTATACCAAATATAACGATTATTATTTTTATTATCTCATTAATTGCTTGTCTAGCCTCAGTTCTCCATTATAACCCACATATGCAGGTTTATGAGCACGAGTAAATTACAATACTGTATTAGCATTTACACAAGTTGCTTTCATCATAGCAATATATTTAAATTACCTTTAGATCTCCTTACTTGAAGGAATAGAAATTGTAATATATACATGTTCAGTCACCCCTCAATCATCTACAAAATACAGTCACAATACTTTCCAGTGTATCCTGTGAAGCACTTTGAAAAGTCCTTCTGACATGAATAGCTCTATATTATTGCTTTATTATTCTTTTGATGATTTTTTTGCTCTGTGGAAACATGTGATTTTCCAACTGGATCTGTGCCTCTGATTCAGAAAGCTTTCGGTAATGTTACCTGCTTTATGAATAAAGGAATAATTTGGTCACTCAACCCTCGACTTTTGTTGGACACTGCTGTATGCAATTGGCTGCCTTGTTTCACCCACAAAATACACAGTCAATTCACTTTACAGTATACATTTACACTTCACGTTTTGTGATTTGGGAGGTGGCAGAATATTAGAATTCAACTTTCAGTTTCGAATGATTTGCATTTATAATCTGCACGAGGAAGTTTAGTTTACTTGACTGACAGTAGCATTCACACTGGGTTGAGTGCAGGAGAAAAGGGGAGGGAGAAATAGGTAGAAATAGCTGGATTTCCTCTGCATGTGAATGGCCAGCAGATCTGAATATGGATTTCATAAGGAATAGACTTTTCATTTGTTTTCGAAGGAAAAGAAGATCTGGAGGGCATCAGCAACCTATGAAAGGTAAGAATTCACATTATTCTGCACAGTCTTGGTTTCACACAGCAGTACAATCTTTTTCTTTTCTCTCTCAGTTGGTGAAATATGATTCAGCCGATACTGCATTTGGGAAGGTTATAAATGATAATAATAATAATAATAATCCTTGCATTCGATATAGCGCTTCACAGGAATACGCTGTGAAAGGCAGTGACAGTGTAAGAAATGTGGGGAATTGTTGGCCAGTGTCCCAGGGGAAAATTTACCTCTGTTCGAATTATGCCGAATTGATTCATCTCGAGAGTGGTGGCCAATCTTTTATGGTCGGCCAACAAATATAAATGTTCTTGACTGAATATTTTGTAATTTGTTTCTTGATTCACACTAGTCTAGGTAACTCCAAGTTCAATCAGTAAGGATTGATCACGGACTTACCTAGACTGGCGCTTCTTGATGGCTCTGCAGAATCAAACTTGCCAGTGGGCCGTAGTTTGGTCCGCAGTGATCTAGCGGATCATTGGTTAGCAATACCAGAGGGGAAAGCTCCCTTCTCTTTATGAATGGTGTAATGGGATCTTTAATTTCCATCTGAATAGTCAGACAAAATCTCGGTTTAACAGCTCAACCAAAGGGCGGCACCTCGAACAACAGAGTTTAAAGTCTGGCTGGAAACTTGCCCGAACTCCAGCCATTATTCATGTGCGAACCTTGATATTGAATGTCAGCACGGCGTTCAATACATTGGAGTCTAGATGGTGCTCAGGACAAAAAACTTGAGCTGATGTATTAACCGAGGGGAGGGGGTGGGGAATTGAAGAACAACAACTTGCATTTATATAGCGCCTTTCACTCAGGGTAGCTTCCCAGAGCGCTTGACAGTGGCGGAGGGAGGAGGAGGTGACCGTAGGCACGGTTGAAGAGGGAGGTCTTCAGGTGTGACCTGAAAATGGGGAAGGAAGGGCAAAGGTGGAGGGATAGAGGAAGAATGTTCCAGAGTTTCGAGGCATAGTAGATGAAAACGTAGCCGCCAACGGTGGGACAGAGGACACTAGGGACATGCAGAAGGCTGGAGCCAGTCGAGCGGAGGCAGTGGGTTGTGGGTTGGAGGGTAAGCAGGTCAGAGATGTAGGGAGGTGCCAGGGCACGAAGGGATTTGAAAACGATTGTGAGCATCTTGAAATCCATCTGTTCACCGATAGGGAACCAGTGAAGCCTGGCGAGGACTGGTGTGATGGGGGTACAGAGTTTAGAACGGGTGAGTATGCGGGCGGTGGAGTTTGGGATCAGCTACATCCTGTATATGGTGGAGCTGGGGAGACCGGCAAAGAGGGCACTTGAAAAGTCAAGAGATGCCAAACACATGGACGAGTCTTTCGGCTGCATCTGTGTTAAGATACAGTTGGAGGCGGGCAATGTGGTGGAGGTGGAGGATGGCAGAGCTGGTCAGACACCAGATGTGGGATAAGTAAGGACAGCTGTGGGGACAGTTGGAGGAGAAGTAGATATGTGTGTCATCCGTATACATGTGGAAGTTTACCCCAAGAACGCCAAGAGAACAGGATAGGACAGAGGCAGGGGATACTCTGAGGCTAATTGCAGAAACTATTTTGTAATAATGTAAAATAATCTCTGCACAAATAATCCTCTGCTTTTTGGCCTTAGAGGTCAAAAGGCAGGAGATTATGTTTGCATAGATTATTTGACTTTATTACCAGGTTACAATCGTAAAATAGGTTTCCTTACTGGAAAGTCCCTATAACGGAGGCACAAAGCAGAACCTGCTGTTTTTAAAATATTGGTCCTTTAACTACTTTCTACTGAGAGTGAATATTGCCTTTGTGCCCTGGGGATCAGAACTGGGGAAAATAAAACACCTTCAAGTTCCTTGGAAGCCACCAGGAAAAGAGAACAATAAAACTCGCTTATGCCTGTTCCGTGTAAATCGTATAATCGTCTCAATCGTACATCTGCCCAAGTCCCATTGAAGTTTCCATTAAATCCACTTAAATTTATCTGCACTAGTCGTATTTACAATTGCGCTACTCGTAATGCTACTACCACATTTGCAATCGATCTTACCAGTTCCCTCCTTCCCATGGGTAGCAAACATCAACATCTCAGCCTGAGATGTTTATACAGTATGCAATGATACGTAGTAAGTTGGCAACACTGAAGATAGCAGTAGAGGCTTAGTAGGGTCACGTTGTATTCACTGCATTGCTATTGAACCGATTGAGATGTCGTTTGAAACTGGAAATATTTTAATAAGCAATTTCATTGTGAAAAAAATTGCACTGCAGAGAAGCAGATTGTTAATATCGTGAAAAACTGTGTATTCCTCTGTCATTGGTACAATAAAACTACGCAAACATTCAACTTGGAATGCAACACATTTACAAATAAAAAATGTTCTGTGGCTGCTTTGATCTCTGCAGAGCCGACAATTACATTGCAAATAGGTGGAGTAACGGTGATATTGAAAAATGGGGACATCACTAAAGAAAGTGTGGATGCCATAGTCAACACTACCAACAAGACATTGGACTTGCAATCCGGTAAGTTTTCAGAAATGCTGACTGCAATCTGAACTTTAAATTCTATTCAGTTTCACAATTAAATTCAATTTCCCTGTGCCTCTCTTTTGGACTCCGATGGTTTCTGTGTAGGTGGGTGGCACACATGTGGAGCTATTGGTCGGGTTGGGATGCTCTCAACACGGTGTCAGATTTTCACAGAAACATAACAATCAAATCATTAAAGCCTTAATAATCATTCCATTTGATACAATGCCGTCAAATCGTCTGAAAGTGCTTCACAGGGCTTTACAGTGAAGTGTAACTCACTTCACACTGTGTATTTTATTGGTAGCCAATTTGGACACAGTAATGTCTCAGAAACACCCATAAATGAATGACTAATCTTATCGGGACAGTTTAGATTGGCTGTCGGGATGTTGAACTTACAGCCTAAGGGCAAAGTACAATGCTGGGGGAGCGCTGCATTGTTTGACCTGACCTTAAATCAAGGTACCAGCTATCTGTTCAGAAGGATTCTTTAAAGAGGACCCCCAACCCCCAGATAAAATCAGTCATGTCTCGGACGTTTGTAGGATATTGTTTTGCGCCAATTTTCTGTTGTGTTCACCTCGAAAAATACACAACCACTACACTTTCCAATGAATCTTGTGAAGCTCTACGAGATGTTCTCACAATGTGATAAGTGCAATTTCAAATGCAAGTATTATTATATTATTGTAAATTCTTATATAACTCCTTTCAAGTAGGACAATACCTGGAGGTGCTTAAGTCACCCACTAACTGGAATTCTATCTCACTGACCCATTGGGAAATCCACCTTCTAACCTGTGCTTTTTTCCCTTCCTTTTGTAGGTGTGTCTGAGGCGATATTGAAAGCTGCAGGAAGTTCTGTTAAGGATGAATGCAAGAAGTTAGGTGCGGCTCCTCACAACCAAGGGTTTGCTCTCTGGGCTATGCTCTCTGGGCTTTGATGGGAGGGAAGAGCAGGGATCACCCCTTTGCTAAGAGCCTATTTTAATAGCATCGTGAACCAAACCTCGTCAGGCTAACTGTTCATCCATTTGTTTCCTAGGTTCCCAGGCAAATGATGGCATTGTGGTCACTGGAGGTGGGCAGCTGCAGTGCTTATATATTGTGCACATGGTTGGGCCTACGACGGCACCTCTCATTACAGCAGCAGTAGAAAAGACTCTCAGAATATGTGACCACAGGAACATTGCTACTGTTGCGTTCCCCGCCATAGGAACAGGTAAAAAATAAATAAAACCTCCTATGTTATGACCAGATCTTGTCTAGTCACTGACTCACTTTCTGAGCAAGTTGGCAACTAGAGGGCATTGAATTACCATCAGGATTGTTAGGACGTGGGAAGCCCAAGAAATATTGACGTTAATACTTGTATCTGATTCAGCGCCTTTCATGTCAGGAGGATGTCTGAAAGCACATCATGTAATACACCTAAAGTGTAGGGACTGTGTATTTTGTAAGTGAACTCGGTGCCCAATTTGTGCTCTAACTGGAACCACGGGTGAATAGAATCTATATTAGCTTTAGGATGGAATTAAATGGACACCTGAAAAGGAGAATTAGCAACGGCTATGAGAAGACAAGGCAGCTTTTTTAAAGACCCAGCACAGGAATGATGGGATGAGCAGCCTCTCTCTGTGATGTAAATGTCTATTGATTTACAGTTCATTGAGTTTCATTGAGCTTTCAGCTGCTCACTTTCATTAATTGGCTTTTGATTTTATTCAGGTAAAGCTGGGATTGATCCCCAAGTCGCCATCAAAGCAATCTTTGATGGAATGGACAATTACTTCCTGACGAACATGGCTTCAAACCTGAAAATCATTACCATTGTCACATTTGATACAACTGTTTATGATTCTTTTGCTGCAGTTTTTGATGAATGTCTGCAAACGTACAGTGGAAGCTCCATGGTAATCTTCATTATAAAAATAATCCTTGCATTTAATATTGCACCTGTAATGTAAACATGTCACAAGATAATTGCAGTCGTCCTGATATTAGCAGTGACTGTTTATTTGAAGGCAAATGCAGCAGCTAATTTGTGCACACCAGCAGTCAGCCCAGTCATGAAGTGAATGACCAATTTATCTGGACGTTTGTCAGCCACTTGGACACTAGAGGACATTGGCTCTTACTTCTAATTCTGTAAAGAGAGCTTTAAAGTCCAACTTAACAAGCAGACGTGAACTTGGTTTAATACCTCCTCTGAAGCACGGCACCTCTCCCTCTTGAGTGTCGGCTTAGTCAGTGAACTGTGAGGCTTGAGGCAATACCAATCGAATCATGCTGATACCTAGTATCCTCACAGTCAAACACCTGGAAGCAGAAACCCCAATTGGCTCATTCCAATGTGTTTTTATAAGTCAGTTTTCCCAAGCAGTTGGAAATATCTCAGACGAAATACATTTCAGAAAAACAATAATCTTTTATTATTATTATGACATCCTTATTATAGAATGACTGGCGTTCCAAACAAGTGTTGCAGCAGTTTTGATGTAAACATTGTTCTATTCAATAATAATTGTAATAATAAGTAATGAGTAATAATTGTTCTGTTCAATAATTGAATTTATCATAATAATAATTTGATATAATGCCTTGATTGAACTGAATGAATCATGCGGTAAATTAATTGGATTAACGTCTTGCTCTGAGCTTTCTTCTGTGCTGGACCTTTCTATATTTCTATCATTCCATGCCTTCCATATCAGAACAATCTCTCATGGGATTTACTGTATTATGTAGTGACTGCTTTTTTATAGGCAAACAAAACTTAAAATTATAATCAAGCTTCTACCCTTTTATATTGTTCTTTTTTTAGGTATCAGTCCAGAGCAACTCCTCAAATCAGTCCATCTCCCCTTTGGTGTATCCGTGTAAGTATCACAGTTTTTTGGGGGATTGGAGGGAAATTAGTCTGTTTCTGAGCTAAGCGGGTCCACAGTATTCCAGGGCACTGCTGATGACAAGCAATACTGTTTTAGCTGTTTAAACTCTAGCAGTACCCCAGTGTTGTTATGATGGGTTGTGAGTAGTGTTATAAAGGGTTGTGGGTAGTGTTATCCGAGTGGTTTATACAGTATGTATGTAATCACGGAGCCCGGTGGGGGAGAGGACACGGGCTGCAGAGTTCTGGATGATCTGCAGCCTATGGAGGGAGGAGTTACATCAAATGCAAGGATTATTATTATTATTTTGTAGTAAGTTGACAACATTGAAGTAGAGAAGAGGCTGAGTGTGTCACATTGTGTTCACCGCAATTGATTAAGATGTATTTCAGAACACGGAAGTATTTTAATAGGCAGCTTTCGTGTAAAAAAACAAATGCACCGCGGTGACAAAGGGATTATTAATATCATGAAAATCTGTGCACAGTTTGACCAAGAAATGCAGCTGAACAATATCCGCATTTACAATTAAAACTGTTAAAGACTCACTGCTTTGATCACTGTGTTCCCAGTGGGGACACTGCCGTTCTACCCGACAGTACAAATAGATGGAATAACAGTGATGCTGAAACAAGGGGACATCACTAAAGTAGGTGTGGATGCCATAGTGAACTCTACCAACAAGACCATGGACATGAACTACGGTAGGTTTTTAGAAATGCTGACTGCAATCTGAACTTTAAATTCTATTCAGTTTCACAATTAATTTCAATTTCCCTGTACCTCTCTTCCGGACTCCGATGGTTTCTGTACGAGTGGATGGCACACACTTGTGGAGCACTGCATAATTTCTGTACATGGCAGAGATCCTGGTCACCACACAGTTCACAGAAAAATAACAATCAAAGCCTTATGAAGCAAAGTGTCATATCATCAAACGTCTAAAACGGTTTCACAGGATTTACTGTAGTGAATGTGTATTTTGTGGACGAAACTTGGCAGCAACCAATTTGTGCATAAACAGCCATGAAGTGAATGACCAATTTCATCTACGGCAATTCAGATTGAGCATCGGGATTTTGAGCTAACAGTCTAGGTTGATGCTCCAGTGTGGTGCTGGAGGAGCGTTGAATTATTTGACGTCACCTTTAAATCAAATTCTCTTTTGATTTCAGGTGCCTCTGGGGCGATACTGGAAGCTGCAGGAAGTTCTGTTAAGAATGAATGCAAGATGTTAGGTGAAATTCTTCACTACCAGGGTTTGCTCTCTGGGTTATTTCATGTGAAAATGGATCTTCTATAGAAGAGGAGCTAGTGCCGGGTGGGGAAGGGGATTAGGGAAATAACTTCAGCATCAATATGATAGGGCAAGTGTGGTCACAGTAGGTAGATAAGGGAGGGTGAAGTTAGCACCAGCAGAGATACGATAGGGAAGCAGGGAAATGGGATTACAGTAGATAGCATTGGGCAAAGGGGGGATAGAGAGAGGGGGGGAGATAGTTCCAGCAGAAACATAGTAAGGAAATGTGGTTACGGTAGATGGCTCAGGGGGATTATACAATAATAATAATCCTTGCATTTGATATAATAATAATAATAATAATAATCCTTGCATTTGATATAGCGCTTTTCACGTCGGGTGGACGTCCCAAAGCGCTTCGAGAACGTCCCAAAGCGCTTTGAGATTAGGGAGAATACTAACATGGACATGATGTCACACACCCCTGACCATGTGCAATTTTTGTACGTTTTGTTCACCTCGAGCCAGTTTTAATAATAATAATAATCCTAGTGGTTGACACAGGGCTTTATCTCGTCATTAAGACGTCTCGAAGGCTTAACTCTTTCAGACATTGCGTTTGATAAAGCCACGTTCGAAGAATATTAGAATATACTGCAAAGTGACTTGACTGTATATATTTGGAGCGTAAACCAATCCTTGTCAGGCTAACTGTCCTTCTGTTGTTTGGTAGGTTCCCAGCCACATGATGGTGTTGTGGTCACTGGAGGCGGGCGGCTGCAGTGCTTATATATAATGCACATGGTTGGACCTAAGACTGTGCCGTTCATTACAGCAGCAGTAGAAAAGATTCTCGAAAAATGTGACCAGTTGAACATTGCTACTGTTGCGTTCCCTGCCATAGGAACAGGTAAAACCTCCTCTTATAACCCGATCTTCTCTGGTTACTGACTCACTCACTGAGCGATTTGGCAACTAGAGGCCATAGATTTGAGGGAATTACCATGAGGGTTGTTAGGATGCAGGATGCTCTATATATAATGACATTAATACTTGCATCTGATACAGCACTTTTCACATCAGGAGGATGTCTGAAAGCATTTCACATGACACACTGTGTATTTTGTAGGTGAATTCGGTGCCCAATTTGTGCCCTAACTGGAACCACGGATGAAGCAGAATCTATATTAGCTTTAAGATGGAATTAAATGGACACCTGAGAAGGAGAATTATCAAAGGGTATGAGGGGTAAAGGCAGGAGTGTGGGAATAAACTATTAGCTCTTTTGGAGAGCCAACTCAGGCACGATGGGATGAGCAGCCTCTCTCTGTGCTGTAAATGTCTATTGTTCTACAGTTCATTCAGTTTCATTGAGCGATCAGTTGCTCACTTTCATTAATTGGCTTCCTTTTTTACTCAGGCAACGCTGGGATTGATCCCCGAGTCGCCATCAACGCAATCTTTGATGGAATGGAGAATTACTTGCAGACGAACACGGCTTCAAACCTGAAAACCATTACCATTGTCGCATTTGATACAAATGTCCATGATTGTTTTGCTACGGTTTTTGATGAATGCCTGGAAATGTCCAGTGGAAGCTCCATGGTAATCTTCACCATAATAATAATAATCCTTGCATTTAATAAATACAGCACCTGTAAGGTCAATATGTCTCAAGATAATTGCAGTCATGTGCAGTGGTGACTGTTTATTTGAGGCAAATGCAGCAGCTAATTTGTGCGCACAGGTATCCACAAGCAGCCAACCCAGTCATGAAGTGAATGACCAACTTATCTGGAAGATATTTGGTCATTTGGACACTTAGGTGATCTCCCTCTAACTTCTAATTGTGTCAAGAAATCTTTAACGTCCACCAAATAAGGCAGACAGGACCTCGGTTTAATATCTCCTCCGAGGCATTGCCCCTCTGATAATTCTGATCTCTCGCTAGAACTGCACTTGAGTGCCAGCTGGGACAGTGGGCTCAGATTCCGGCTGTTCTTGAACCCTGAACCATTTAGCCCAGGAGGTGGGAGTCCTACCAATTGAATCATGTTGATGCTGAGAATCCTCACAGTCAAATACCTGAGAGCAGAAACCCCAATTGGCTCATTTAAAGAGGTTTTTTTATAAATTGCTTTTCCCAAGCAGTTGGAGATACTTCGGATGAAATACATTCCAGAATGACAGACGCCCAAGCAAAGTGACCTCAGTTGCAGCAGCACTGACATAATGTTCTATAATTGTTCTGTTCAATAATTGATTTATAATAATGATTTGATATAATTCCTTTGTCTAATTGAATGAAAAAATTGCTCTGAAAGCCAGTGCAGCAACAAGAACAGTAACAAATTCACATCGGAAAGATAATAATAATAATCCTTGCATTTGATATAGCGCTTTTCATGTCGGGAGGACGTCCCAAAGCGCTTCACAGAACACACTATAAAGTGAATTGCCTGTATATTTGTGGGAGAACGCGGCAGCCAATTGCGCACAGCAATGTCCCACAAACAGTCGTAGATTGAAAATGACCAATTTATTATTGTTTTTGGTTTTTGGAGGGATTATTATTAGGCTGTGTGTGGAGTAAGGAAACTTGCCCAAGGTTTCGCCCTCTGCCTGGAATTGAACTCAGGTCTCTCACTTGCAAAGCGAGTGCTCTAACCACTGAGCTACAGGACTCCCAGGGCACTGGACAATCAGGTGTTTTGGACCCCAGCTGAGAGTTTGAGTCAGGAGGAGTGGGGATGGGAGTGTGGCCGAAGGCACGGTCGAAGAAGAAGGACTTTAGACAGGACTTGAAGGAAGCAAGAGAGGGGATGGGTGGAGGGATTGCGGGATAGAGTTCCAGAGTGTGGGGGCAGAGATGCTGATTGCCTGTCCACCAATGTTGGGGCGGGAAGTGCAGAAGGCCTGGAGCAGGCCGGTGTCCACCAAGCGGAGGGAGGGGACAGGCTGATATGAATGTTCAATAATTGAATTATAATAACAATAATTTGTAATAATGGCTTCTATATTGATATTGTTCTTTTTTAGGGAACAGGAGCAAGAAACTCCACAAATCAGATATCCACCATATGTAAGTATTGTTCTGGGGGTGGGGGGGGGGGGGGGTGGGGGAGAGGGAGAATTGCGGGGGAAGTGAAGTGAATGACTATATCAACGGCAATTTAGACTTTATTCACAATTCACATGTAAAGAAGTGATAAGTGTACCATGACAATCTTTCATTTTCCAGCTTTGCAAGACCTCCCACAAAATTGGACTCCGATGAACGATCAGGAGTATCTCGACTTTACCCTACAGGTTGGCTCAGCGGAATACAACAAGGTAGCAGATGATTTCAAGACATCGTGCCAGAACATTGTAGTTAAAGTAATTCAGGTAGGCATTCAGCTGGAACTCAGGAAACAGGACCACAAGAACTTGAACTTAATAATAATAATAATAATCCTTGCATTTGATATAGCGCTTTTCACGTCGGGAGGACGTCCCAAAGCGCTTCACAGAACACACTGTAAAGTGAATTGACTGTATATTTGTGGGCGAACGCGGCAGCCAATTGCGCACAGCAATGTCCCACAAACAGTCGTAGATTGAAAATGACCAATTTATTATTGTTTTTGGTTTTGGAGGGATTATTATTAGGCTCTGTGTGGAGTAAGGAAACTTGCCCAAGGTTTCGCCCTCTGCCTGGAATTGGACTCAGGTCTCTCACTTGCAAAGCGAGTGCTCTAACCACTGAGCTACAGGACTCCACAAACTTACACTCCGTACTCCCATCTCAGCAGTTCTGGCCGGGCTCCCCATCACCGAACGGACCAACTTCGATATCCTCACGCTCGTTTTCATATCTCTTCACTCCCTGGTACTTCCCTACCTCCCCGACCTTCTCACTTCCAAATCCATCACCCGTCGCCAACGTCCGGCTGGCACCTGCTTGTTCCTCACGCCCTCCGCTCCACCATTGGAAGCCGTGTGTTCAGCCACTTCACCCCGAAACTCTGGAACACTCTCCCTCAATCCCTTCGCCTTGCCACCTCTCTCCCCTCTCCCCGCCTCAAAAAACCTTCCTTTTCGACCGTGCTTACGATCACCTCCCCACCACACACCCGCCCCCGGCTCGGAGTCAGGCTCCGTCACTGTTAAGCGCTCTGAGACGCTACCCTGCATGGAGGGTGCTAAATAAGTGAAAATTAGAAGTTTTAGGATTTATTATTCTTTCAATACACCAGAATAATATATTATAACGCACAACTGTTGTTAATTTGTAGTATTGATTATTATTCACTTTTTTACGGTATTAATAAAACATTTTTTTAAGAATTCATCATCGTTTTATTATTTAATTTTTAACGTTCGTTTTAAGTCATTATTGCATTTTGTGTAAACAAAAAAGTTGACGCTGTAAAAATTGCTACTTTTTTTTTAGATCGAAAGGATTCAGAATTGCAAACTTTGGCAAAGTTACTCTGTCAGGAAGGAGACAGTGGATAGAAAGTATCCGAATGGGGAAAATGAGAAAATCCTGTATCACGGGACCTCACGCAAAACTGCTGATAAAGTGAAAAAGTTAGGCTTCAACAGAAGTTTTTTTGGCAAAAACGGTAAGTCACTGCACTTTATTATATATCCCGTGAGCGCTTTGGGAGGTCCTCTGACATTAAAGGTGCTATGCCAAATACAAGGGATATTATTATTAAATTTAGAGGCTATTCTTTTCAAGGCGGTTGGGGATGAGCTTTGCTTTGCGGCGTTATTTGTGGTGGATGTTGCTATCACCTCTGATTATACACCAAAGTACGGACGTTAACAATCTATTATCTTTTTCTTGTATTCCTTAGCCGCACGTTATGGAAACGGCACCTACTTTGCCAAAAACGCCAAATACTCATGTGACGACAAGTACTCCAGGCCCAGTAATCAGGGATACAAATACATATTTCGGGCACGAGTGATAACTGGGAAGATGTGCCTGGGGAAGCCATCGATGAAGGAACCATCTCCAGTAGATGCATACAAGGATAGGACTAATCTCTGTGACTGTGCGGTGGACAACACATCAAACCCGTCCGTGTTTGTTATCTTTTGTGACGATGGGGCTTATCCCGAATACTTAATAACCTTTAAAAAATAAGGAACAGCACAAGTAGGTGGAACCAGGTCTATTTGAGAGAATATTGGGGAAGAAATTCCATGCGGTGCTGGATTCATTCCTATTTCCTTGACATTTAAGAATTTGGCGAATTTTAATAAACTCACTCTCGGTTTGTTTGCCGTTTCTTTTAAGAACTACAGCAAACTGCTTTCCAAATTAAGATTGTATTTCGGAACTTGACAAACTGCCGTGTGCCTTTCACCACTGGTGCCTTTGAGGGGAGAGGAAGAGTAATTCTTTCATGAGTTCTTGGGTGGGGAGGGATGGGAACAATTGTTTACATCTTATTTACATTATTTACAGGCCCATCGCCAAGGGAGAGCAATCGCCCCCCACTAAACACACACAATGTTTTGCTAAGCAAACCTTGTATATATTGCCGCCCCTGCACGTGTTCCTGGTTCATTTACCTCCATAGACACTGGTGCATGTGTAAAGGGGGGGGGGTGGGGCATAACTAGCTCAGAGGAGGGGGGACTCTTCCAATATCGGGGGGAGATGGGCACCGTTGACTTTCATTGATCTCTTCCAGCCTCAGGTGAAACCAGCACAAGTTTTAGGTACAAGTGTCCGGCTGCTTTCTTCAATGAATGAATCATTAACTTCCAAAGGGGTAAAATCCCACCTGAGTCTTCAGATTTACTGCATTAATGTAGCATTTCAACAACAGCAACAGATTACATTTGTACAGCGCCTTTCACGGCGAGAGGACGTCCCAAGGCAATGGATGGTCAGGGATTTAGTTTCCAGTGTATCTTGTGAAGCACTTTGAAAAGTCCTCCTGACATGAATAGCTCTATGTTATTACTTTATTATTCATTTGACGGCTCTTTTGCTCTGTGGAAACATGTGATTTTCCAACTGGATCTGTGCCTCTGATTCAGAAAGCTTTCAGTAATGTTACCTGCTTTATGAATAAAGGAATAATTTGGTCACTCAACCCACGACTGTTTGTTGGACACTGCTGTATGCAATTGGCTGCCTTGTTTCACCCACAAAATACAGTCAATTCACTTTACAGTATACATTTACACTTCACGTTCTGTGAAGTGTTTTGGGACGTCTCAAAGATAAGGAGCTATATCAAATGCAAGGATTATTATATGAACTGCTCTGCCCCCACCCCACACCCTACCATGTTTTGTCACGTGGCTGAATATTATAATTCAACTTTCAGTTTCGATTGAGTTGCATTTATATGCTGCATGAGGAAGTTTAGTTTACACTGGGTTGAATGTAGGAGAAAAGGGGAGGGGAGGTAGAAATAGATGGATTTTTCCTCTGCATGTGGTTGACCAACAGATCTAAATGTGGATTTCACAATGAATAGTCTTTTCAGTGGTTTTCTAAGGAAATGGATTTTTGGTGGGGATCAGCCACCCATGAACGGTAAAAATTTACACTGCTCTGCGCAGTCTTGGTTTCACACAGCAGTACAAAGCTTTTTCTTTTCTCTCTCAGTCGGTGAAATGTGATTCAGCCAGAAGGTTATAAATGATAATATTAATAATCCTTGCATTTGATATAGCGCTTCGCAGGAATACGCTGTGAAAGGCGGTGACAGTATAAGAAATGTGGGGAATTGTTGGCCAGTGTCCCAGGGGAAAATTTACCTCTGTTCGAATTATGCCGAATTGATTCATCTCGAGAGTGGTGGCCAAACTTTTATGGTCGGCCAACAAATATAAATGTTCTTGATTGAATATTTTGTAGTTTGTTTCTTGATTCACTCTAGTCTAGGTAACTCCAAGTTCAATCAGTAGTGATTGATCACGGACTTACCTAGACTGGTGTTTCTTGATGGCCCTGAGGAATGAAATTGGCCAGTGGGCTGGAGTCTGGTCTGCAGTGATCTAGAGGATCGTTGGTTAGCAATACCAGAAAGGTCAGTCCGTCCGTCCTTCCCCCGCAGGCTGTTCGTTGCTAACCACGATGAGCGCCCTCCCCCTCTACGCCACCTCTAGCCCCCACAGCCTCCCGCTAAACCCGCCACCTCTCGCCCCAACGCATCCCTGACCCGAGCTGGCCCTCTCTCAAAATGCCCCCGTCCCTGTAACTCTCCCGCTCTGTCCTCTCTCTCCGCCCTCCCCACCTCCTGTCTCTGCTTGACCCCGACCCCACTGCCTCCTTCTGCTCCAGCCGGGAATCCTCCGTCAGGGCTCATGGCGGCACTCGGCGCTGGCTGTCATGCAGCAGCCACACCGACTACCCCATTCCCCACCACTGCCGCAAACCACCCTGGACCCTGACCCCAAGGGATAACCTCACCTCCCTCATCTGCATGCCCACTCTCCCTCCCAAATAGCCCACTACCCCCTCCCATCCCACACATCCGCCTGCCAATTGTCCAACCTTCAACTAGGAATGCAGCACATTTACAAATACAAATTGTTCTGCGGCTGGTTTGATCTCTGCAGTGCCGACAATTACATTTCAAATAGATGGAAAAGAAGTGATGCTGAAAAAAGGGGACATCACGAAAGAAAGTGTGGATGCCATAGTCAACACTACCAACAAGACATTGGACTTGCACTCCGGTAAGTTTTCAGAAATGTATTTTGTTGGTAGCCAATTTGGACACAGTAATGTCTCAGAAACACCCATAAAGTGAATGACTAATCTTATCGGGGCAGTTTAGATTGGCTGTCGGGATGTTGAACTTACAGCCTAAGGGCAAAGTACAATGCTGGGGAAGCGCTGCATTGTTTCTGACCTTAAATCAAGGTACCAGCTATCTGTTCAGGTGGATTTTAAAAAATCATAGCACTCTTTAAAGAGGACACCCAAATCCCAGATAAAATCAGTCATGTCTCGGACGTTTGTGGGATATTGTTTTGCGCCAATTTTCTGTTGTTCGCCGAGAAAAATACACAACCACTACACTTTCCAATGAATCCTGTGAAGCTCTACGAGATGTTCTCACAATGTGATAAGTGCAATTTCAAAAGCAAGTATTATTATATTATTGTAAATTCTTATATAACACCTTTCAAGTAGGACAATACCTGGAGGTGCTAAAATCACCCACTAACTGGAATTCCATCACACTGACCCATTGGGAAATACACCTTCTAACCTATGCTTTTCCCCCTTTTGCTTGTAGGTGTCTCTGGGGCGATATTGAAAGCTGCAGGAAGTTCTGTTAAGGATGAATGCAAGACTTTGGGTGAGGCTCCTCTCAACCAAGAGTTTGCTCTCTGGGCTATTTGATGGGAAGGAAGAGCAGGGAAGCAGGATCACGGCAGATTACAACAACAACTTGGATTTATATAGCGCCCTCCATGCTGGATGGCGTCTCAGATCGCTTCACAGTAACGGGTCCCGGGGCCGAACCAGGGGGAGGGGGAGGAAGGTAAGCAAAGGCGCGGTCGAAAAGAAAGGTCTTCAGCAAAACCTCAACAGGCTAACTGTTCATCCATTTGTTTCCTAGGTTCCCAGCCATATGATGGTGTTGTGGTCACTGGAGGTGGGCAGCTGCAGTGCTTATATATTGTGCACATGGTTGGGCCTACGACGGCAGCTCTCATTACAACAGCAGTAGAAAAGACTCTCGGGATATGTGACCGCAGGAACATTGCTACTGTTGCGTTCCCCGCCATAGGGACAGGTAAAACCTCCTCTGTTATAACCAGATCTTGTCTGGTCACTGACTCACTTCCGAGCGAGTTGGCAACCAGAGGGCACAGAGTTGAGGGGATTACTATGAGGATTGAGCGATCATTAGAAATAATGATGTTAATACTTGTATCTGATTCAGCGCCTTTCATGTCAGTAGGATGTCTGAAAGCACTTCACGTAATACACTGTAAAGTGTAGGGTCTGTGTATTTTGTAAGTGAACTCGGTGCCCAATTTGTGATATAACTGGAACCACAGGTGAAGTAGAATCTATATTAGCTATAAGATGGAATTAAATGGACACCCGAGAAGGAGAATTACCAAAGGCCAGGGAAAAGAAAAGGCAGGAGTGTGGGAATAAATTATCAGCTCTTTCAGAGCACCAGCACAGGCACGATGGGATGAGCAGCCTCTCTCTGTGCTGTTAATGTTTATTGATCTACAGTTCATTGAGTTTCATTAAGCGATCAGTTGCTCATTTTCATTAATTGGCTTCCTCTTTTATTCAGGCAAAGCTGGGATTGCTCCCCGAGTCGCCATCAACGCAATCTTTGATGGAATGGAGAATTACCTCCTGTCGAACACAGCTTCAAACCTGAAAACCATTACCATTGTCGCATTTGATACAACTGTTTATGATTCTTTTGCTACGGTTTTTAATGAAAGCCTGGAAATGTCCAGTGGAAGCTCCATGGTAATCTTCATTATAAAAATAATCCTTGCATTTAACATTGCACCTATAATGTCAAAATGTCACAAGATAATTGCAGTCATGCTGATATTAGCAGTGACTGTTGACTTGCAGGCAAATGCAGCAGCTAATTTGTGCACACAGGTATCCACAAGTAGCCAACCCAGTCATGAAGTGAATGACCAACGAATCTGGAAGATATTTGGTCACTTTGATACTAGAGGACATTGGCTCTTACTTCTAATTCTGTCAAGAGAGCTTTAAAGCCCCACCTGAACAAGCAGACGTGACCTTGGTTTAATACCTCCCCTGAAGCACTGCACCTCTCCCTCTTGAGTGTCAGTTTAGTCAGTGAGCTGTGAGTCAGTGTGAGGTTTGAGGCAATAGCAATCGAATCATGCTGATACCTAGGATCCTCACAGTCAAACACCTGGAAGCAGAAACCCCAATTGGCTCAATGTGTTTTTATAAGTCAGTTTTCCCAAGCAGTTGGAAATATCTCAGATGAAATGCATTTCATAATAATAATAATAATCCCTATAATTATATAATCCTTATTGTAGAATGACTGCCTTTTCGAAAGTGACCTCAGTTGCAGCAGGATTGATATAAACATTGTTCTCTTCAACAATAATTGTAATAATAAGCAACAGTAATGAGTAATAATTGTTCTGTTCAATAACTGAATTTATCTTAATAATAATTTGATATAATGCATTGATTGAATTGAATGAATCATGCGGTAAATTAATTGAATTAACCTCTTGCTCTGAATTTTCTTCTGTGCTGGACATTTCTATATTTCTATCATTCCATGTCTTCCATATCAGAACAATCTCTCATGGAATTTACTGTATTATGTAGTGACTGCTTTTTTATAGGCGAACAAAACATAAAATTATAATCAAGCTTCTACCCTTTGGTATTGTTCTTTTAGGAATCAGTCCAGAGCAACTCCTCAAATCAGTCCATCTCCCTTTCGGTGTGTCCAAGTAAGTATCGCTGTTTTTTGGGTGGCGGATTGCGGGGGTAATTAGAATAGGTAGTCTGGTTTCTGAGATAAGTGGGTCCACAGTATTCCAGGGCACTGCTGATGGCAAGCAATAGCGTTTGAGCTGGATGTGAAACAGGCCGGAGCCCGCTGAGTGAGGGAGCGGGCAGGTTGGTAGGGGGTTAGGAGGTTCCAGAGGTAGGGGGAGCAAGGCCATGGAGGGCTTTCAAGGTGAGGACCAGGATCTTGAACTGTATACTCTGTGTAATGGGAAGCCAGTGGAGTCGGGCGAGGATGGGAGTGATAGGGTCGCGGAGCCCGGTGGGGGCAGAGGACACGGGCTGCGGAGTTCTGGATGATCTGCAGCCTATGGAAGGAGGAGTTGTATCAAATGCAAGGATTATTGTTATTATTTTGTAGTAAGTTGACAACATTGAAGTAGAGAAGAGGCTGAGTGTGTCACATTGTGTTCATTGCAATTGATTAAGATGTATTTCAAAACATGGAAATATTTTAATAAGCAGCTTCCATGTAAAAAACAAATGCACTGCGGAAACAAAGGGATTATTATTATCATGAAAATCTGTCCACAGTTTGACCAAGAAATGCAGCTGAACATTATCCGCATTTACAATTAAAATTGTTAAAGAGTTGCTGCTTTGATCGCGGCAGTATCTGTGTTCCCAGTGGGGACACTGCCGTTCTACCCAACAGTAAAAGTGATGCTGAAGCAAGAGGACATCACGAAAGAAAGTGTGGATGCCATAGTGAACTCTACCAACGAGTCCATGGACCTGAATTACGATAAGTTTTCAGAAATGCTGACTGCAATCTGAACTTTAAATTCTATTCAGTTTCACAATTAAATTGAATTTCCCTGTACCTATTTTCCGGACTCCGGTGGTTTCTGTGTAGGCGGGTAACACACACTTGTGGAGCTATTGGTCGGGTTGGGATGCTCTCAACACGGTTACAGGTTTCTGCACATGGCAGAGACTTGCTTCACCACAAAGTAAATTCACAGAAACATAACAATCAAATCATCAAAGCCTTACAATCCTTGCATTTGATACAATACCTTATCATGTTGTCAAATTGTCTAAAAGTGCTTCACAGGGCTTTACAGTGAAGTGTAATTCGCTTCACACTGTGTATTTTGTTGGTAGACAATTTGGACACAGTAATGTCTCAGAAACACCCATAAAGTGAATGACTAATCTTATTTGGAGCAATTTAGATTGGCTGTCGGGATGTTGCCTAAGCGCAAAACACAATGCTGGGGGAGCGCTGCATTGTTTCAGGCGATCTTAAGTCGAGGTCCTATCTGTCTCTTTAGGATGTTAAAATTCCCATTATTCAATAACAATAATCCTTACATTTGACTTAATGTGTTTCACATTGAGACAACGTCTCAACTTCCTTCACAGGAATTAAAGTGAAGCTCATCTACTATTAAGTGTTCTGAGACGCTATCCTTCTTGAAGTTCACTATATAAATCCAGGTTGTTGTTGTAAGTCACTACTGTGTTGGTGAACATGGCAGCTAATTTACACAAAGCAATATCCCAATGAAGCAATTGACCAATTTTATCTGGGGGCTTGTTGGACAGGACACCGGGAGAAATTCCCTTCTCTTTTTCAAACAGTGCAACAGGATCTTTAACATTATCTGAATAACTGGGGAGTGGGATTGATTTGGATAGCTCTTTTCAAAGAGAGGGCACAGCCCCATTGGGCCAATGGACTCCTTCTGTCCCGTATAATTCTATGATTCTATGAATAAAATTGGGCAAATGGCAGTGTGTTCAACAAGCGTAAAGGTGGCTTGAAAGATGAAATAGATTGGTGCCCTAGGTCTGAGCTAACCATCAGTTAAGTGGTTTTTTGATTCCAAAGTGCCAAAGAAGACAAGATTAAGTGAACCTTTGACACCAGGGATCTCAAGGGCTGTGAAGGAATGATTGAATGAACCAGTCTGAAAATGTGATTGGAAATCAATGATGGAATGTGATTGTACAAAATAACGTATGAATTCCATTTTTCGTTGTAAAGGTCAAATGGACTAAATTAAGGGTAGAGAAGAGGAAGATTGAGCTAAATTCAGAGAAAGTGAGTAAGGGTCGGAGATGGATCTGACTGGGTTCGTACCTTTGACAACATTGAGAAGTGAAGGATCATGACTTTCAGAGTGCACCTGGAAGGAGCATCTGGAAATTCACGTGTAAAGAAAAGGGATAAGTGTACTATGACAATATGCATCTTTCATTTTCCAGGTACGCTCCCAGCAAGTTGGACTCCCATGAACGATCAGGAGTATCTGGAAGTTCCCCTGCAGTTTGGCTCAGAAGAATACAACAAAGTGAATTCAGGACATCTTGCCAAAACATTGCGGTTGACATAATTCAGGTAAGCATTTAGCTGGAACTCAGGAAACGTAACCACAAGATCTTGAACTTACACAGCACCCTTCACATAGATTAACCTTTCTAAGCACTTTTAATCAGTGTTAATTTCATCGTTTGCTCGATCAGTAATTGAAGGTCCATAAAATTCCCATTCCACTCTTATAATAAGCTTGAGATAGCCAAATAATTAGGCTTGATGATTTGATATTAGTTAAAATTGGAATTTGTTTCGGTTTCCAAAGTGGAGTCCAGTAGCTTAGCAGTTCGAGTGTTCGCCTCACAAGTCAGAAAATCTAGGTTTGATTTCCGGGTAGGGCAAAGCCTTATGCAAGTTTCCTTACTCCCCACACGCCTCTGTTTACCTAGCAGTAAGTAGGAACCCGGTTGTTAGTCGATTGGTTTATCACTTTTCCCGGTTGGAATCCCTTCCAAAACGGAAAGAAATACAAATAATAAAAATTCGGTGTCACTCTATCCACGACTTGCTTGTGGGACACCGCTGTGCGCAATTGGCTGCTGCGTTTCGCCCACAAAATATACGTTCAATTCACTTTGCAGTATATTCTGTGAAATGCTTTGAGATGTCTCAAAGACATGATACGGTGTTATATCAAAAGCAAGGATTACTATTATAGTCACGCAGTAAGTTACATTAATGTCATTGCCTTCATGGAGCCAGCATCCTCAGCACACAGGAAGGGAGGATCAAGATCCACAGAGATCTTTCGCCTATTTTCGCAGTAGAAAAAAAGATTGCTAAAATGGAAGAATTCTGAAAAGAGGAAACTAAGGAAACACTGTTCATGTTTTCTGTCGAATTATTTTTTAAAAAATATAAAAATGTCAGTCCTACAATTTAATAATTGAACATTATGTTTTAAATCAATATTTTATACAGCAACGTGCATTTATATAGCATTTTCTCACGCAGGGTGCCGTCTCAGAGCACTTAACAATAACATAGTTAGACGCCGAGCCAGGCTGGTGAGACCTTATTATTAAGAGTAAACAAATACAAATTAATTATTAATGGTAATTATCATTTGTATCATTCGTGTATCACCGCAGGGCTCCATCCTTTGCAGATGACATACTTTACAATTTACTTTGCCTCCTCCAGCTGTGAATCCAGGTCTGTTGATGTTCTATCAACTTTTCTGGATGAGTACAAAGTTCCTGCAGCTGAATGTGGACAAGACAGAAGCCATACTCCTTGGCTCCCGCTAACGTCTTCACTCCTGAACTCCTCAACCTCCTTGGGCTCTCCCTCACACTCACCAAACTAGTGCGCAATCTAGACGTCCGGTTCAACCCTCAGCTGTCCTTCCTACCCCACTTCCGGTCCCTGACCAGGACCGCCTTCCTCCACCTCCGTCACATTGCCCACTTCTGACCGTACCTTACCCCAAATGCAGCCAAAGCCCTCATGCATGTGTTTGACACCTCCCACCTCCGTACCCCCATCTCACCAGTTCTGGCCAGGAACCACCGGCTCCCCATCACCAAACGGATCGACTTCAAGATTCTCACACTAGTTTTCCAATCCCTTCACTCCCTGCCACCTCTCTACCTCTCCTACCTCCTCACTCCCCAACCCACCACCCGGCACCTCAGGTCAACTCCTGCTTGCCCCTCGCGCCTTCCGTACCACCATTGGAGGTCATGCATTCAGTCACTACACCCCAAAACTCTGGAACACTCTCCCTCAATTCCTCCCCCTCTCTCCTCTTTTTCAAAGTCACGCCTCAAAACCTTCCTTTCCGACTGTGCTTATGGTCACCCACTCGGAGTTAGGCTCCGCCACTGTTCAGCGCTCTGAGAACCTACCCTACATGGAGGGCACTATACAAGTGCAAGTTGTTGTTGTTGTATAAGTTATTGTTAAGAATTATGATTTATTATTCTCTCAATACACCAGAATAATATATTATGAAGCACAATTGTTAATTTATCTTATTTTATTGGATTAATAACATGATTTTTTTAAGAATACATCTTTGTGTCTCTTATTTAATAAATTAAAATGTTTATTTTAATAGACATTATTGCATTTTGTTTGTGTAAAAACAAGTTAACACTGTAAAAATTGCTGCTTTTTTTTTTAGATCGACAGGATTCAGAATCTCAAACTTTGGGAAAGTTACTCTGTCAAGAAGAAGGCAGTAGATAGAAAGTATCCGAATGTGGTAAATGAACGGACTCTGTTTCATGGGACAACGTGCGAAATTGCTGAGCAAGTGAAGAAGTTAGGCTTCAACAGAAGCTTTTGCGGCAGGAACGGTAAGTCACTGCACTTTACAATATATCCCGTGAGCGCTTTGGAATGTCCTCCCGACATTAAAGGTGCTATACCAAATATGCCAGGGTTATTATTATTATTAAGTTCAGAGGTTATTCTTTTCAAAGTGGTTGGGGATGACTTTTGTGGTGTCATTTTTGGGGGTGTGCAGTTATCATCTCTGATTACACACTAAAGCAACGACATTAACAACCTATGATCTTTTTCTTGTATTCCTCAGCCACACTTTATGGAAAAGGCACTTACTTTGCCAAAAATGCCCAATACTCATGTAACGACACGTACTCCAGGCCCAGCGACCAGGGAAACAAATACATGTTTCAGGCACAAGTGATAACTGGGAAGTTGTCCTGGGGAACGAGAGGACATCCCAAGGCGCTCAACATCAGGTATTTGGACCTGACCTATAGGTTGGAATCAGGAGGGGTTAAAGGTAGTGGTAGGATTGTGACCGAAGTTGTAGTTGAAGAGGAGGGTTTTGAGATGGGGACTTGAAGGAGGCAATGGAGGGAAACCGTTTTCCTTGTAATTTCTTCTAAGAAACACCTTCAATGTAAAGACAGAATTCAACAATTTGCTAAACTCTGGAGCTCTGAAATGCCATGTTAATAGAGTAAATGTCGAGACCCAGATGGGATTTTATACCCATGAGTGTAAGATCAAATAGAAAACCATCATTTCCATGTGTACTATAGCGACTACAGAAGGAAGATCTTACCTGTGAACATGCACTCACTCACAAAAACAGTATATAGCATATCTGTTATAAGTTGGTTAAAATGGCATAAAAGAAATGCTTATGAGGTGCTGTAAAATGGCTGAATTAAAAGAACAAGATCTTTGTGTTCTGACTCAAGGCCACAAACTGTCAACACAGTTATCCGCACAGTGTTTGGGTTCACCCTTGTTTTAATTCAGCTCAATGGGTGCTACGAGGATGTTTAGGAACAATCTTATCAGTCAGACATGCCATGAGACTATCACGTGATCACGAGACTTGTTCCATGAGATGAGCAGGTTCGTGTGGTGACCTCGGGATGATCTGATCAGAGGTTTTGTATAGTATGCAGTATTATAAAGTATTATAAAGCCAGGGTCCAACTTACGTAAGTTAGTTAACTCCAGAGCATCTAGGAGTGGTTGCAGAGAGCAACGAGGATTGAAAGCTTGGACAAAGAAGACTGAAAGCTAGAAAACGCAAGGCTTGATCGTTTGAAGAACTAAAGTTTGCTTACTATAAAGACAAAGTGCTGAATCTGCAACGCTCGGTAGTATTGCTCTGTTTTATTAAGATAGTCGTGATGTTCTTTTATACATGTATGCATAATTAAAGTTTGTTTTGATTAAAACATCCTGAGAGTATTATTCTTTGATGGTTATATAGCTCTGTGGAAAACTGATTTTCCAATTGGTCTGAGCCTCTGATTCAGAAAGCTTTTGGCACTGTTACCTCATTTATGAAAGAAGGAATGAAAATTGTCAAAGTGTGATGTGTCAACTGTCACCGGAGACAGCTGACACAGAGTTGTTAAATGTGATTGAGACGTGCAAATAAAGACCGTTTTTGAAAATGTGATGTGACTTCCCCTCACTCCACACACACCAGCCTCCATCCACACACACCAACCTCCCCCTATCTTCTCATCTCCGAGATAAAGGTTAGGCTTGAAGTTACCGCGGCAGTACTCTTGCACTTTCAGCACACGGTTCCAGTTTTAAAATTTGTCACCGCTCGACCAAATGTTCTGAAGCCGGACAAGGTGATGTGAGCACAGGATTGTTATAGGAAGACTTAAGGTGAGAAGAAAGTTTCTTATGCAGAGGGGAAGCAATAATAATCCTTGCATTTGATGTAGCGCTTTTCACGTTTTCTAGATGTCTCAAAGCACTTCACAGAATGTACTTTAAAGTGAATTGACTTTTGTTGGCGAAATGTGGCAGCACTTGAGACCAATCACATGCAAACCAATTTGAGATGGATCGAGAGGACCTGGCTTTGACTCCTGGGCAGGGCAAAACATTAGGCAAGTTTCCTTAATCCACACCCCTCTGTTTACCGAGCAGCAAGTAGGAAAATGGTTGTTAGTCGATTGGTGAGTCCCTTTTCCGGGATAATAATCCCTTCATCCCTTCAAAAAAAATACTAATAATAGTTTGGTCAATCCATGACTTCGTGGGACACTACTGTGTGCAATTCGCTGCCGTGTTTTGCCTACAAAATATACGTTCGGTTCACATTACAGTACTCATCAGACATCACGTTCTGTGAAGCACTTTGGGACGTCTCAAACATAAGGCGCTGTATCAAATGCAAGGATTATTATATGTACTGCACTCCCCCACACCTCCGTGATTTGGGAGGTGGCTGAATATTATAATTCATTTCAACTTTCAGTTTCAGTGGCACTCATGTGGCACTCAGTTTCAGTGGCAAACATGAGAAAGTTTATTTTACTTGACTTCCAGTAGTATTCACAATGGGTTAAGTGAAGGAAGTAAGTGCAAGAGAAGAAATAGTGAAAAGGAGCTGGATTTCCTCTGCATGTGGATGGTTTGCCAGCAGATCTGAATATGGATTTCATAAGGGATAAACTTTTCATTTGTTGCCGAAGGAAAAGGAGATCTGAAAGCAGTAGGGTGAATGTACATCAGGTTCCCATGAAAGGTAAGAATTCACATGGCTCTGCAGTCTTCGTTTCGCACAGCACTACAAAGCTTTTTCTTTTCTTTCTCAGTCGATGAAATATAATTCTGCTGATACTGCATTTGGGAAGGTTATAAATAATAATAATAATAATCATCCTTGCATTTGATCTAGCGACTTATTATGTGGTTGAAACATCTCAAATCGCTTGACAGGATTTTGCTGTGAAGGGTGGTGACTGTATAAGAATGTGGGGAATTGTTGGGTACAGGAAGAAACCCACATCTCTATTGGAATTGTGCAAAATTGATTCGTCCAGAGAGCGGGGGCCAGTCTTTTTGGTCAGACAACAAAATAAATGATCTTGATTGAATATTGGACTGCACTGCACTAGAGGACCGTTGGCCCAGAGGGGAAAGCTCCCTTCTTTTTATGAATGGTGTAATGGGATCTTTAATTTCCAACTTAAATGGGATCTTTCCGATTTTCATCCTCGGTTTAACGTCTCAACCAAGGGGCGGCACCTCGAACAACAGAGTTTAAAGTCTGGTTGGAAACTTGCCTGAACTCCGGCCATTATTCATGTGCGAATCTTGATAATAATAATAATAATCCTTGGATTTGATAACGCCCTTTTTAAGTCTTCTAGACGTCTCAAAGTTTCACAGAATAGACTTTAAAATGAATTGACTGCATTTTTTTTGTGGGCGAAATGCGGCAGTCAATTGCGTACAGCAGTGTCCCCACAAACAGTCGTGGTTTGAAGTGAACTTTATAAGGGCTCTGGGGCCAATTAACCAGGACCAATGAAAGGGATCAGGAGGTAGAAAAGCAGGAAGCAAGGAGAACCGACGAGACATTTTTTGGTTGGATTTTTTGATTTGTAACTTGTGAGCTGAGAATAAAAGCGAATGTCAGCACAGTGTTCAATACATTGGAGTCGACCCCTATCCTATTCTCCTTCCGGTGTCCACACTGACTGTGCATACACACACCTGAGCAGCAATCACTAGATACTTGAGCTGATGTATTAACCGAGGGGAGGGGGTGGGAAATGGAACGGGTGCAGAGGGAAGGGGGTACTCTGAGGCCAATTGAAGTAACCTTGATCAACCTTTTTGTAACAATGTAAAGTAATCTCTGCACAAATAATCTTCTGCCTTTTTACCTTAGAGATCAAAATGTAGGAGATTATTTGTGCAGAGATTATTTTACTTTATTGCCAGGTTACAATCGTAAAATAGCTTTCCTCAGTGGAAAGTCCCTCTAGTGGAGGCACAGCACAGAAGCTGCAGTTTTTAAAACAATGGTCCTTCAACTACTTTCTACTTGAAGTGAATATTGGCCGCGTTCGCCCACAAATATACAGTCAATTCACTTTACAGTATATTCTGTGAAGCGCTTTGGGACGTCCTCCCGACGTGAAAAGCGCTATATCAAATGCAAGGATTATTATTATTGCCTTTGTGGTAAAATGGTTAGCAGTGTGACAATTATTATGACTTGGTAACAATGCATTGGGCCAAGTAGTGACTTTGTTGTCTACCTTCACATCATTCTGTATTGACTAGTTATACCCAGATCATCATCTCTTTTGCGAACGAGTCATTGATTCACTTTACAGTATATTCTGTGAAGCGCTTTGGGTCTCTAGAAGACGCTATAATCAAATGCAAGGATTATTATATTGCCTTTGTGGTAAAGTGGTTAGCAGTGTGACAATTCCTCACGGTTACATTCAGAAATGACTTGGTAACAATGCATTGGGCCAAGTAGTGACTTTGCTGTCTACCTGTCGTGGAGTCCTGTAGCTCAGTGGTTAGAGCACTCGCTTTGCGAGCGAGAGACCTGAGTTCAATTCCAGGCAGAGGGCGAAACCTTGGGCAAGTTTCCTTACTCCACACAGAGCCTAATAATAATCCCTCCAAAACCAAAAACAATAATAAATTGGTCATTTTCAATCCACGACTGTTTGTGGGACATTGCTGTGCGCAATTGGCTGCCGCGTTCGCCCACAAATATACAGTCAATTCACTTTACAGTGTGTTCTGTGAAGCGCTTTGGGACGTCCTCCCGACGTGAAAAGCGCTATATCAAATGCAAGGATTATTATTATTATTATTATTACCTTCACATCATTCTGTATTGACTAGTTATACCCAGATCATCATCTCTTTTGCGATCGAGTCATTGATTGAGGCATTGTCCATCTTGCAATTCAGGTGAATGAAACCTATCCCTTCCTATTTCAGTCCCTGTCTCCATCTCTGTCTCCGTCGCTTTTTCAAAGAAATTTGAAAGGAATTTGAAAGCAAAGGAATTTTCTTCCTGGATGTCTTCACGAAAATTCCTTCATTAAAATCCACCTTACGAAACAAAAAAACAATGAATGAACTATCTCATCTATTAGGTACAGATTAGTTACGGTGTTTGACTCCAATAACAATGTATATCAACAAAAATACACTGTCACTACACTACAGTACAAATCAGGTGAAGAGTTTGGAGACAGCTTCTTGGTGTGAAAGGTACTATATCTTTCTTCCCTCCCTTCTCCTCACCCCCCTATGCTAGATGTCCACCCTGCCAATGTAAAGCCCTCCGAGTTATCCTACATGAACAGTGCTATGTAAATGAAAGTTGGTGTGGTTCTTAAATATGAGGTTTATGGTTATTTTTTAACATTCACTTCATTTTAATTAATCTTGTTCCACAAAGTACCTGGAGGGATTTCTGTGAAAGGCAGGACTCGCTGGTATTCTGGCACTACTCCTGATTGTATCTGCCATTAAAGCTGATTTTAACAGCACAAAAAGAATGCAGAAGAAGCACACTAAAAAAGACTGGCAATGTAAGACAGCTGCACCTTACGAACACAAATTCCTGTGCTTTGTGGACATCTATTTTTTTTGGTTCACATTGTAAACATTTTTAATCTTTGGTCACTCAATCCATGACTGTTTTGGGACACTGCTGTGCACAACTGACTGCCGTGTTTTGCCACAAAATATAGAGTCACTACTCTTTACAGTCTATTCTGTGAAGCGCTTTGAGACGTCTCGAAGAGGTGAGAAGGCGCCGTATAATAATGCAACGATTATTATTTTTAAAATGTCTCCAATGGTGCTGGGAGTGTTCTCTGCCTCTTTCAGGAAGTCTGCTTGGCCTGTAAATTTCCCCCAGCACATTGTGATGCTGATTAAAGTTTATACTATCGCAAAGGTCAGAACTGGGCAAAATAAAACACCTTCAAGTTCTGCAACAACTTCCATCGAAACCACCCGATAACAGTAGCGGGCATTGCTATGTTTTAAGACCCGTTTGTTAATGCCAACTTGACTCCACTGCTCGCACTCTCACCTCTTGAGACAGAGGTTTGTAGCTTCAAGCCCCTGGTCGGGATTTTTTGGGGACATATCAATTACATGATAAGGAACTATATCAAATCAAGCTTTATTATTATTATGAAATTCCTGATGTGCAAAGGTTATTCCACACAATGGGTGAAAAGGTTCATTTATGGTTAGCAATGTGATTTTAATAAGGGCTCTTTCAAACCTATGCTTGTTGAATGTCAAATGATCCACTAGTCACGATCTTGGTGCGGGGTGGCGGCGGGGGAGAGAGAGGTAAGTGAGGTCTCTGATGGACTCTGGGCACTGCTGATGGCAAGCAATATGGTTTTAGCAGGCTAAACACCAGCAGTACCCACTACTGTGAGTAATGTTATTAATGTTAATGGTTATGGTTTCTACAGTATGTAATTCTTAGTAAGTTGACAACACTGAAGATGGCAGTGGAGGCTGAGGGTATTCACCACAATGACACTGACTTGATTAAGATGTATTTCTAAGTTGGAAATATTTTAATAAGGAACTTATTGAAATAAATTCCACTGCAGAGATAAAAAGATTGTTAATATCATAAAAATCTATGTGTTCCTGTCATTGACACAGTACGATGCCACAAACGTTCAACCAGGAATGTTACTGAACAATATCCGTGCTTACAAATAAGAATTGTTTCATAGTGACTGCTATAATCTCTCTGCAGCGCTGACAATGACAGTACAAATAGGTGATATAATAGTGATGCTGAAAAAAGGGAACATCACTAAAGAAATTGTGGATGTCATAGTGAACTCTACCAACAAGACCTTGGACTTGAATTTCGGTAAGTTTTCAGAAATGCTGACTGCAATCTGAATGTTAAATTCTATTCACAATTAAATTCAATTTCCCTGTGTCTCCCTTCCGGACTCCGAATGATTTTCACAAGTGTGTGGAGTTGTTGGTTGGGTTTTCAATCCTCTCAAGTACGGTGACAGGTATCTGCATGTGGCAGAGATCTGGCTTACCGCAAAGTAAACTCATAGAAAAATAACAATCGACTCTTCAAAGCCTCATAAAGCCTTGTCACATCATTAAATCATTTAAAAGCACATCACAGAGTTTACTGTAAAGTGAAGTGATTGTGTATTTTGTGGGCAAAATTTGCAGCACCCAGCAATGTCATCACAAATAGCCATGTCTTGAATGACCAATTTTATCTGGGGGCAATTTAGACTAGCTGTCAGGATTTTGACCTTGCTGTCTAGGCTGATACTCTAGTGCAGTGCTGAGGGAGGGCTGCATTGTTTGAGGTGACATTAAACCACGGGCCCATGTATTCAAGTGGACGTTAAAAAAATCCATAGCATATTCAGAGAGTCCCCCCATTAAAAAATGATCTGTCAAGCCTCGGCCTTTGTGGGACATTGCTCTGCGCAAATTGTCTGTTATGTTCACAAAAATTCCCAGCCTCTATACATAGCGGTCTTGTGATGCTCTTTGAGACATTTCAACACTGTGATAAGGAGCTGTGTCAAATGCAAGGATTATTATATTATTATACATTCTTACATAATGCCTTTCAAGCAGGTCAATACCTGGAGGTGCTTAACGTCACCCACTAACTGGAATTCTATCTCACTGACCCATTGGGAAATACACCTTCTAACCTGTGCTTTTTTCCCTTCCTTTTGTAGGTGTGTCCGGGGCGATATTAGAAGCTGCAGGAAGTTCTGTTAAAGATGAATGCAAGACGTTAGGTGCGGCTCCTCACAACCAAGGGTTTGCTCTCTGGGCTACTTGATGTGAAAATGGATCTTCCTTAATAGAATGATGGTGTCAATTACTAGTTATTAGAATCATCAATATATAGTGCGCTAAATGCAGGTTTGATTTCAGTGGCGGAGCAGCCAAAACAGAGACATCAATACCATGATGGTGGGAAAAACAAGGGAATGAGTTTAGAGGAACTAGCATCCGGGGGGCGGGCGGGGGGAGGTGGGAGATGGGTTTAGCACGGATATAGAGGAAATGGGGTTACAATGGATAGCTTTGGGGAAGGTAGAAGCTTGCACCAGCATGGACATGATAGAGAAGGAACAGGGAGATGGCACTAGATAGCGTTGGGGGAGTTGACTCCAGCACAAATATAATTGGGAAAGAGCAGAGATACGGTAGGTATCTCCAGGAGGGGTGAAGGAGAACAGATACCAACATGGACACGGTGTGTAATAATTAGCATATCACACACCACATTCCCACCCCCACAAAGCCCCAGTATTATTATTTTGGGACGGTTTGTTGGATTGTTTATCACGGGCATGTTTCAACAAGCTCCGTCAAACTAACCTTTCATCCATTTCTTTCCCAGGTGGCAGATCAGTCAATGCTCTCGTCACTGGAGCTGGGAAACTGCGCTGCTCAAAAATAGTGCATATCGTTAGACATAAGTCTGACACTATGATTGCAACATCAGTAGAAGAGGTCCTTGCAATATGTAATGAGTTGAACATGGCTACTGTTGCGTTCCCTGCCATAGGAACAGGTAAAACCTCCTGTATTATAACCGGATCTGGTCTGGTCACTGACTCACTTGCCAGATGAGTTGGCAATGAGAGGGCATAGACTTGAGGGATTTACCATGAAGGTTGTTAAGATGTGGGATGCCCTACAAATAATGACGACAATCCTTGCATCTGATACAGCACCTTTCACATCAGGAGGACGTCTCAAAGAGCTTGAAAGATATACTGTAAAGCAGTGGTGGCCAAACCACGGCCATCGGGCCAGAAGTGGCTCCCATGGGGCCGTCAAGAAGTGACCGGCCAGACATTGGCACTAGTCTACTTGAATCTGTTTTAAACCAATGTTTTGTTTCCGGTTTTCTTCTTGATTGAATATTTTTTGGTTTATGGCAATTTATTTTGTTGGTGTTGAAAAAGGTTGGCCACTACTGCTGTAATGTGTAGGGATTATGTATTTTATAAGCAAACTCTGTGCCTAATTTGCACCTAACTGGAACCATGAGTGAATCAGAATCTATATTAGCTTTAAGAGGGATTTAAATAGACATCCAAAAAGAGAATTATCAAAGGGTATGAGGGCTGAAGGCAGGAGCGTGAGAAGAAACTATTAGCTCTTTCAGAGAGCCAGTACAGGCACGATGGGATGAGTAGACTCTCTCTGTGCTTAAATGTCTATTGTTGTGTAGTTCATTGAGTTTCATTGAGCAATAAGATGCTCACTTTCACTAATTTTATTTCAGGCCAAGGCGGGATTGATCCACAAGTCGCCATCAATGCAATCTTTGAAGGAATTGACAATTTCTTCCTGCTGAACATGGCTTCGAGCCTGAAAATCATTACCATTGTTGCATTTGATACAACTGTTCATGATTGTTTTGCTAAATTTTTTGCTGAAAGGCAGCAAATGTCTGATGGAGACACCAGGGTAATCTTGATAATAATAATCCTTGCATTTAATGCAGCACCTATCATATCAACATGTCTCAAGATAATTGCAGTCATGTGCTGTGACCTTTTATTTGAGGCAAATGCAGCAGTTAATTTGTGCACACAGGTATCCACAAGCAGCCAGCCCAGTCATGAAGTGAATGACCAACTTGTCTGGAAGATATTTGGTCACTTGGACACTAGGTGAAACGCTCGCTCACTTCTAATTGTTTCAAGAAATCTTTCACATCCCATGGGATAAGGCATACGGAACCTCGGTTTATCATCTCCTCTGAAGCATTGCGCTTCTGATAATTCTCATCTCTCCCTAGTACTGCACTTGATTGCCAGCCTAGACAGTGGGCTCACATTCCTGCTGCTGGTCTTGAACCCTGAACCGTTTAGCCCCGGAGGCAATAGTCCTACCAATTGAATGATGTTGATGCCGAGAATCCTCACAGTCAAATACCCGGGAGCACCAATGTTGGGGCGGTGTCGCCGAGCGGGGGGAGGGGACCGGCTGATATGAACGTTAAATAATTATTCTGTTCAATAATTTAATTATAATAATAATTTTGAATAATGGCTTTGTCTAATTGAATGAACACCTTTTATATTGTTCTTGTTTAGGGAACAGGTTCAAATACCCCCGAATATCAAGAAGTCCGAACCTCATTGCCGGCGTTTCAGTGTAAGTATCGTTATGGGAGGAGGGGGTAAGAATTATGGGTGATTGAAGTGAATGACTAATTCTATCTGCGCAATGTTTGACTGGATGTCAGGATTTTAAGCTTGAAGTCTAGGCTGATACTCCAGTGTAGTGCTGGGCAAGTGTTGCATTGTTATCCTTCTTGACGGTCACTATATAAATCCAGGTTGTTGTTGTAAGTCACTACTGTGTTGGTGAACATGGCAGCTAATTTACACAAAGCAATGTCCCAATGAAGCAATTGACCAATTTTATCTGGGGGATTGTTGGACAGGAAACCAGGAGAAACTCCCTTCTCTTTTTCAAACAGTGCAACAGGATCTTTAACATCATCTGAATATCTGGGACCTCAGTTTAACGTTCCAATCAAAAGACGACATCTCCTACAATGTAGCGCAACCCCAGCACTGCACTGGAGTGTCAGCCTGGACTATATCAGTCCAAAGACCCGACATGGGGCTTGAACCAACATCCTTCTGTCTCAGAGGCGAGAGTGCTACAAACTGAGCTAGGCTGACACCTAAAAGGTTTCACCTAAACATATTGTGAGGTAGTCTAGCAATAGGGGGTAAAAATTAAAAGAAGAATTAAAGTTAGAAAACTTGAAATTTAAAAAAAAATACTCTGTGAACCAGAGGTGGATTGGAGTTTACAATGATGGGTTCCAGGTGCTGTCATCTGAGGGACAGATATTTTTCTTGCAGCTCGTTATGTTTCTAAATCACTTGGCTTATCGATATATTATACATTATATTATATTATTTATTCACACAGGGAGTTGTTTAGATCTGGAATGCATTGCCTGAAAGGGTGGTGGAAGCCGATTCGATAACACTTTTAAGAGAGAAGTAGATCATTTTGGGGGGAGGACAAGTTTGCAGGGCGATGGGGAGAGCAGGAGAGTGGGATTGATTTGGATAGCTCTTTTCAAAGACACGATGGGCCAAATGGCAGTGTGTTCAACAAGCGTAAAGGTGGCTTGAAAGATTAAATAGATTGGTGCCCTAGGTCTGAGCTAACCATCAGTTAAGTGATTTTATGATTCTAAAGTGTCAAGGAAGACAAGATTAAGTGAACCTTTGACACCAGGAATCTCAAGGGCTGTGAAGGAATGATTGGATGAACCAGTTTGAGCATGTGAGTGGCGAAATCATGATTGAATGTGATTGTACAAAATAACCTATGAATTCAATTATTCATTGTAAGGGTCAAATGGACTAAGTTAGGGGTACTGAGGAGGAAGCTTGAGCTAAATTCGGGGAAGTGAGTAAGGGTCGGAGATGGATCTAACAAGACTAATACTATTAAAGATACTGAAACCTTTCCAGAAGAAGTAAAAATTGGTAAAATTATCTCTTCTGTATTTCCCAAGACATCTTTGTTCATGGAGTCTCAGTAGTTATGAAAGTATAAGATTTCATGATTTATTAAAGTTTGGTTAAATTCAATACTGTTAAAGTATTTTTTAAAGTATTGCCGATGTGCTATTGCGTCACTGTGCTGCATTTGGAAAACTTATTGAGATTTAAGAGAAATAAAGAGTTGTGGGTAGTTTGTGGGATGGCTCTGATTGAGCTTGTACTTTCGACAACATTGAGAAGTGAAGGATCATGACTTTCAGAGTGCACCTGGAAGGAGCATCTGGAAATTCACGTGTAAAGAAAAGGGATAAGTGTACTATGACAATATGTATCTTTTATTTTCCAGGTACGCTCCCAGCAAGTTGGACTCCCATGAACGATCAGGAGTATCTGGAAGTTCCCCTGCAGTTTGGCTCAGAAGAATACAGCAAAGTAGCAAATGAATTCAGGACATCTTGCCAAAACATTGCGGTTGACATAATTCAGGTAAGCATTTAGCTGGAACTCAGGAAACACAACCGCAAGATCTTGAACTTACACAGAACCCTTCACATAAAATAAGCACTTTTAATCAGTGTTAATTTCATCATTCGCACGATCCGTAATTGAAGGTCCATAAATTTCCCAATTCCCTCTTACAATAAGCTTGAGATAGCCAAATAATTAGGCTTGATGATTTGATATTAGTTAAAATCGGAATTTGTTTCGTTTTCCAAAGTGGAGTACAATAGCTTAGCAGTTCGAGTGTTCGCCTCACAAGTGAAAAGACATAGGTTTGATTTCCGGGTAGGACTAAGCCTTATGCAAGTTTCCTTACTCCATACACCTCTGTTTACCTAGCAGTAAGTAGGACCCCGGTTGTTAGTTGATTGGCTTATCGCTTTTCCCAAGGTAGTAATCCCTTCCAAAACAGAAAGAAATACAAATAATAAAAATTTGCTGTCACTCAATCCACAACTGTTTGTGGGACACCGCTGTGCACATAAAATATACAGTCAATTCACTTTACAGTACATTCTGTGAAACGCTTTGAGACGTCTCAATGACGTGATAAGACGCTATGTCAAAAGCAAGGATTACTATTATAGTCACGCAGTAAGTTACATCAGTGTCACTGCCTTCATGGAGCCAGCATCCTCAGCACACAGGAAGGGAGGATCAAGATCCACAGAGATCTTTCGCCTATTTTCGCAGCAGAAAAAAAGATTGCTAAAATGGAAGAATTCCAAAGAAAGGAAGGAAACTAAGGAAACAATGTCGATGTTAACTGTCGAATAATTTTTTTTAAAAATAATAAAATATCAGTCCTACAATTTAATAATTTAACATTATGTTTTAAATCAATATTTAATACAGCAACGTGCATTTATATAGCAACTTTTCACGCAGGGTGCCGTCTCGGAGGACTTAACAATAGCGTAGTTAGATGCCGAGCCAGGCTGGTGAGAATGGGGAAGTGACCCTACTGTTAAAAGAGTAAACAAATACAAATTAATTATTAATGGTAATTATTATTTGTAGCATTCTTGTATCACCCCAGGGCTCCATCCTTTGCAGATGACACACTTTACAATTTACTTTGCCTCCTCCAGCTGTCTGCCGATATTCTATCAGCTTCTCTGGATGAGTACAAAGTTCCTGCAGCTGAATGTGGACAAGACAGAAGCCACAGAATTATGATTTATTATTCTTTCAACACACCAGTGTAATATATTATAAAGCACAATTGTTAATTTATCTTATTTTATGGGATTAACAACGATGTTTTAAGAATACATCTTTGTGTCTCTTATTTAATTTTTAATGTTTATTTTAAAAGACATTAATGCATTTTGTTTGTGTAAAAACAAGTTAACGCTGTAAAAGTTGCTGCTTTTTTTTTAGATCGACAGGATTCAGAATCTCAAACTTTGGGAAAGTTACTCTGTCAGGAAGAAGGCAGTAGATAGAAAGTATCCGAATATGGTAAATGAACGGACTCTGTATCATGGGACAACGTGCGAAATTGCTGAGCAAGTGAAGAAGTTAGGCTTCAACAGAAGCTTTTGCGGCAGGAACGGTAAGTCACTGCACTTTACAATATATCCCGTGAGCGCTTTAGAAGGTCCTCCCGACATTAAAGGCGCTATACCAAATGCCAGGGTTATTATTATTATTAAGTTCAGAGGTTATTCTTTTCAAAGTGGTTGGGGATGACTTTTGTGGTGTCATTTTTTGGGGGGTGTAGTTATCATCTCTAATTACACACTAAAGCAACGACATTAACAACCTATGATGTTTTTCTTGTATTCCTTAGCCCTATCTTATGGAAGAGGCACTTACTTTGCCAAAAATGCCCAATACTCATGTGACAACAAGTACTCCAGCCCCAGCGACCAGGGATACAAATACATGTTTCAGGCACGAGTGATAACTGGGAAGTTGTGCCTGGGGAACCATTTAATGAAGGTACCATCTCCAGTGGATGAAAAGGATTCAACCAATCTCTGTGACTGTTCGGTGAACAATGTGTCAAACCCGTCCATTTTTGTTATCTTTTGTGATGACGGGGCATATCCCGAATACTTAATAACCTTCAACAAAAAAGAACAGCGCAAGTAGATGGAACCAGGTCTATTTGAGAGAATGCTGGGGGAGAAATTCCATGTGGCGCTGGATTTATTCTTATTTCCCTGACATTTAAGAATTTGGTAAATTTTAACAAATTCACTTTTAATTTGAAAAGCAGTTTGCCGTAATTCTTAAAAGAAACGGCAAAAAAGACAGTATTTCAGAGCAATTGCCACACCCCCACCCACCCAATTTGTTGCTAAGCGAACCTTGTATATATTGTTACCTTTGCACTTGGTTCTGGTTTACTTACCTCTATAGACACTGGTACACTTGGAGAGGGGGGTGAGGTGGGTGTGGGCAAATTTAGCTCAGAGGAGGTGACTCTTCCAAGCCTGGGGAGTGGGGGGGAGATGGGCGCTGTTGACTTTCATTGATCTCTTCCAACCTCAGGTGAAACCAGCACAACTTTTAGGTGCAAATGTCTGGCTACTTTCTTCAATGAATGAATCATTAATTTCCAAAGGAGTAAAATCCCACCTGAGTCTCAGATTTACTCTATTAACATAGAATTTCAACAACTACAACTACTTACATTTACACAGCGCCTTTCACATCGAGAGGACATCCCACTGAGCTCAACATCAGGGATTTGAACCTGACCTGTAGGTTGGGATCAGGAGGGGTTAAGGGTAGTGGTAGGATTGTGACCGAAGTTGTAGTTGAATAGGAGGGTTTTGAGATGGGGACTTGAAGGAGGCAATGGAGGGAAACCGTTTTCCTTGTAATTTCTTTTAAAAAACACCTTGAATGTAAAGACAGAATTCAACAACTTGCCAAACGCTGGAGGCTCTGAAATGCCATGTTAATAGAGTAAATGTAGAGACCCAGATGGGATTTTATACCCATGAGTGTAAGATCAAATAGAAAACCATCATTTCCACGTTTACTATAGCGACTACAGAAGGAAGACCTTACCTGTGAACCTGTACTCACTCACAAAAACACACAGTCATTGCACTTTATAGTATATGCTGTGAAAGTCTTTGGGACATCCTCCCAACGTGAAGGCTCTATACCAAATATAAGGATTATTACTTTTATTATCTCATCAAATGCTTGTCTATCCTCAGTTCTCCAATATAACCCACATATGCAGGTTTATGAGCACGAGTAAATTACAATACTGTATTAGTGTTTACAAAAGTTGCTTTCATTATAGCATTTAAATAGCCTTAGATTTTCTTACTTGAAGGAATAGAAATTGTAATATATACAAGTTCAGTCACACCTCATTCACCTACAGAATACACAGTCACAATGCTTTCCAGTGTATCCTGTGAAGCACTTTAATATGTCCTCCTGAACAGCTCTATATTATTACTGTATTATTTTTTTGATGGTTATATGACTCTGTGGAGGACTGTGATTTTCCAATTGGTCTGAGCCTCTGATTCAGAAAGCTTTCGGCACTGTTACCTCATTTATGAAAAAAGGAATGAAAATTGTCAAAAGTGTGATGTGTCAACTGTCACCGGAGACAGCTGACACAGAGTTGTTAAATGTGATTGAGATGTGTAAATAAAGACATTTTTGGTCAATGTGATGTGACTTCCCCTCACTCCACACACACCAGCCTCCATCCACACACACACCAACCTCCCCCTATCTTCTCAGCTCCGAGATAAAGGTTAGGCTTGACGTTACCGCGGCAGCAGTTTTTGCACTTTCAGCACACGGTTCCAGTTTTAAAATTCGTCACCGCTCGACCAAATGTTCTGAAGCCGGACAAGGTGACGTGAACACAAGATTGCTACAGGACGACTTAAGATGAGAGGAAAGTTTCTTATGCAGAGGGGAAGTAATAATAATCCTTGCATTTGATATAGCGCTTTTCATGTTTTCTAGACGTCTCAAAGCACTTCACAGAATGTACTGTAAAGTGAATTGACTGTCCATTTGTTGGCAAAATGCGGCAGCATGTGAGACCAATCACATGCAAACCACTTTGAGACGGATTGAGGTTATTTGCACTGTATCAAATGCAAAAAATATTGTTTTATTTTACTGTCAAAGTCTGATGCCCGAGAGAAATGTGTTGTTAAAGTGAATCGACTGTACATTTGTGGGCAAAATGCGGCAGCCAATTGCGCACAGCAGGTCCCAAGCATACACATACACCTGTGGGCATGCATTACACCTTCAGGTAAATCAGTCACTCACTTCATGGCTGTTTGTGGGACCCTGCTGTGGGAAAACTCACCTGCAGAACACACAGGGACTGCACTTGAGACCAATCACATGCAAACGACTTTGAGACGGATTGAGGTTATTTGCGCTGTATCAAATGCAACAAATATTATTTTAGGTTATTGTCAAAGTCTGATGCCTGGGCGGATAGAAATGTATTGTTAAGGTCAGGATCAAGCTTCTTAGGTTGACATTGTACTTTTTTGTGTAACATGTGTTGGGAACATATTGCATACCCCTACCATGTGGTCGAGTCATGTAGCTCAGTAGTTAGAGCACTCGCCTTGCAAGTGAGAGGACTTGGGTTCGATTCCCGGGCAGGGCAAAACATTAGGCAGGTTTCCTTAATCCACACGCCGGTTTGAGACTTTGAAGCGCTTTGAGACGCCTTGAAGATAAGGCGCTATATCAAATGCAAGGATTATTATATGTACTGTTCTTCCACCCCTACCCCTGTTATTTGTGAGGTGGCTGAATATTATAATTAACTTCAACTTTCAGTTTCAGTTAAGTTGCACTCATGGACTGCATGAGGAAGTTTATTTTACTTGACTGCCAGTCGTATTCACACTGGGTTAGGTGGAGGAGGTAAGGGGAAGGAGAGGGAGAAATAGCGAAAAGCAGCTGGATTTCCTCTGCATGTAGATGGTTTGCCAGCACATCTGAATATGGATTTCATAGGGATAAACTTTTCATTTGTTGCCGAAGGAAAAGGAGATCTGAAAGCAGTAGGGTCAACGTGCATCAGGCTCCCATGAAAGGTAAGAATTCACATCGCTCTACAGTCTTGATTTCACACAGCAATACAAAGCTTTTTCTTTTCTTTCTCAGTCGATGAAATATAAGTCTGCCGATACTGCATTTTGGAAGGTTATAAATAATAATAATAATAATCCTTGTATTTGATATCCCGACTTTCACGTGGTTGAAACGTCTCAAATCGCTTGACAGGATTTTGCTGTAAAGGGTGGTGACTGCGTAAGAATGTGGGTAATTGTTGGCCAGGGTACAGAGAGAGACCCATGCCTCTATTGGAATTGTACCAAATTCATTCATCAGAGAGCGGGGGCCAGTCTTTTAGGTCAGGCAACAAAATAAATATTCCTGATTGCCTGCACTGCACTAGAGGATCGTTGGCCCAGAGGGGAAAGCTCCCTTCTCTTTATGAATGGTGCAACTGAGTAATCAGGCGCAACCTCGGTTTAACATCTCAACCGAAGGGCGGCACCTCGAACAACACAGTTTAAAGTCTGGCTGGAAAAACCTGCCCGAACTCCGGCCATTATTCACGTGCAAACCTTGATATCGAATGTCAGCACAGCGTTCAATACATTGGAGTCGATCCCTATCCTATTCTCATTCCAGTGTCCACACTGACTGTGCATACACACACCTGAGCAGCAATCACTAGATGGTGCTCAGGACAAAGAACTTGAGCTGATGTATTAACCGAGGGGAGGGGATGGGAAATGGAACGGGACAGAGGGAGGAGGTATTCTGAGGCAAATTGAAGTGTCATTGATCAACCTTTTTGTAACAATGTAAAATAATCTCTGCACAAATAATCTTCTGCCTTTTTACCTGAAAGGCAGGAGATTATTTGTGCAGAGATTATTTTGCCTTATTACCAAGATACAAGCATAAAATAGCTTTCCTCAGTGGAAGGACCCTCTAGTGGAGGCACAGCACAGAAGCTGCAGTTTTTAAAACATTGGTCCTTCAAATATTTTCTACTTGGAGTGAATATTGCCTTTGTGGTAAAGTGGTTAGCAGTGTGACAATTCCTCACGGTTACATCCAGAAATGACTTGGTAACAATGCATTGGGCCAAGTAGTGACTTTGCTGTCTACCTTCACATCATTCTGTATTGACTAGTTATACCCAGATCATCATCTCTTTTGAGATCGAGTCATTGATTGAGGCATTGTCCATCTTGCAATTCAGGTGAATGAAACCTATCCCTTCCTATTTCAGTCCCTGTCTCCATCTCTGTCTCCGTCGCTTTTTCAAAGAAAGTGGAATTTTCTTCCTGGATGTCTTCACGAAAATTCCTTCATTAAAATCCACCTTACGAAACAAAAAAACAATGAATGAACTATCTCATCTATTAGGTACAGATTAGTTACGGTGTTTGACTCCAATAACAATGTATATCAACAAAAATACACTGTCACTGCACTACAGTAAAAATCAGGTGAAGAGTTTGGAGACAGCTTCTTGGTGTGAAAGGTACTATATCTTTCTTCCCTCCCTTCTCCTCACCCCCCTATGCTAGATGTCCACCCTGCCAATGTAAAGCCCTCCGAGTTATCCTACATGAACAGTGCTATGTAGATGAAAGTTGGTGTGGTTCTTAAATATGAGGATTATGGTTATTTTTTAACATTCACTTCATTTTAATTAATCTTGTTCCACAAAGTACCTGGAGGGATTTCTGTGAAAGGCAGGACTCGCTGGTATTCTGGCACTACTCCTGATTGTATCTGCCATTAAAGCTGATTTTAACAGCACAAAAAGAATGCAGAAGAAGCACACTGAAAAAGACTGGCAATGTAAGACAGCTGCACCTTATGAATATAAATTCTCACGCTTTGCTGGAGTTATTTTTTTTGTACGCATTGTAAAAAAAAAATAATAATTTGGTCACCCAATCCACGACTGCTTGTGGGACACTGCTGTGCGCAACTGACTGCCGTGTTTCGCCCACAAAATATACAGCCACTAGGCTTTACGGTATATTCTGGGAAGCGCTTTGAGACGTCTCAAAGATGTGAGAAGGCGCTATATATCAAATGCAAGGATTATTATTAAGCTGTCTCCAATGGTGCTGGGAGTGTTCTCTGGCTCCCGGCTTTCAGCTTCTCTTCCCCCACACTCTGGAACTCCATCCCACGGTCCCTTCGCCTCGTTTCCTCTCTTGGCTCCTTCAAAGCCTGTCTCAAGACCCATCTCTTTGATGATGGTTTTCGTCGCTCTCTCACCTCTCTGCCTTCCCTTACCCTTCCCCCACCCCTCCCCCATGCTCGGGTCCCGACACCTGACTGTTCAGCATCCTGGGACATCCTCCCGACATGAAGGGCGCTCTATAAATGTAATTTTGTTGTTGTTGTTGCTGTTTCAGGAAGTCCACCTGGCCTGTAAATTCCCCCCAGCACATTGTGATGCTGATTAAAGTTTATACTATCACAAAGGTCAGAACTGGGCAAAATAAAACACCTTCAAATTCCGCAACAACTTCCATCGAAACTACCCGATAACAGTAGCGGGCATTGCTATGTCTTAAGACCGTTTGTTAATGCCAACTTGACTCCACTGCTCGCACTCTCACCTCTGAGACAGAGGTTTGTAGCTTCAAGCCCCAGGTCGGGACTTTAGACTCACATAGTCTAGGCCAGCGTAGTCCAACTGGCAGCCCGCGGGCTAGATCAGTGTCATCCACCCCACCCCACCCTCCTCCCACCATTTCATCTGGCCCACTCGCTCCCTCCATAACACACAAATTTTATGTTATGTTTCTGAATGGGAAACACAAAAATATTGCTTATGGGGCCCTGGATCTTTCTCAAATAGGGTACTTTGAGACATATCAATTACACGATAAGGAACTATATCAAATCAAGCTTTATTATTATTATGAAATTCCTGATGTGCAAAGGTTATTTCACGAATGGGTGCAAAGGTTTATTTATGGTTAGCAATGTGATTTTAATAAGGGCTCAAACCTATGCTTGTCAAATGTCAAATGACCCAGTAGTCACTATCAGGAACCTTGGTGTTCTCTTCGACCCTGAGCTGTCCTTTCTCCCTCATATCCGCGCCACAACTGGCACCGTCTTCCACCACCTCCGGAACATCGCCAGACTACGGCACTACCTCACCCCTCACGCTGCTGAAACCCTGGTTCACGCCTTTGTCACCTCAAGGCTGGACTATGGGAACTCTCTCCTCGCCGGCCTTCCCGGCCCTCCCTCCACACTACAGGTCATTCAGAACTCTGCAGCTCGTGTACTGTCCCGCACCAGACATCGTGACCACACACTCCCACCCTCGCTCACCTCCACTGGCTCCCCATCCCCAGAGGATCGATTTGAAGATCCTCATCCTCACCTACAAGGCCATTCACAGCCTTGCTCCCTCCTACCTCTCCAACCTATTATCCCCTACCTACCTGCCCGTACCCTCCGTTCCTCTGGCTCCGGTCTGCTCCACATCCCCCGCCCCAACCGCCCTACCATCGGTGGTCGGGCCTTCAGCCTCTCAGCCCTGAGGCTCTAGAACTCCATCCCCCAGTGCCTTCGCCGCCTCCTCCCTTTCCTCCTTCAAGGCCGGTCTCAAGACCTTTCTCTTTGACCGTGCCTTCAGCTCCCCTCTCGGCTCTCTACCCCCTCCTCACTCCCTCCCTTCCCTCCCCTCACCCTGATCATTTCCCCCTTGCTCGGGTCCTGACCCAATTGTACAGCGCCTTGGGACGTCCTCCCGACGTGAAAGGCGCTCTATAAATGGAATCTTGTTGTTGTTGTTGTTGTTATCTTGGTGGGGCGTGTGGGGAGTGACATAACATAACATGTAGGAGCAGGAGTAGGCCATTCGGCTCTTCGTGCCTGCCCCGCCATTCAATCATGGCTGATCTAATCTGACTCCAGCTAATAACCTAACCGTGCCTTATCCTCATATCCCTTAATCCCTTTTGCAATAAGAAATCTATCTATCTCAGTCTTGAATACGTTCAAGGACTGAGCGTCAACAGCCCTTTGGGGTAGTGAGTTCCATACATTCACCACCCTTTGAGTGAAGAAGTTCTTCCTCAACTCAGTGCGAAAGGGCTGACCTCTGATTTAAGGTTGTGACCCCTGGTTTTAGTTTCTCCAACCAGGGGAAACAATCTCCCACTGTCTACTCTATCATGCCCTTTGATGATCTTATAGGTTTCTATATTCTAGAGAATATAGACCCAAATTGGTCAGCCTGTCCTCGTAACTCATCCCCTTCATCCCTGGTACTAACCTAGTAAATCTACGCTGCACCCCCTCCAAGGCAAGTACATCCTTCCTTAAATAAGGAGACCAAAACTGCACACAGTATTCCAAGTGTGGTCTCACCAGGGCCCTATACAGTTGCAGCAAGACTTCCCTACTCTTATACTCTAATCCTTTCATAATGAACCCTAACATACCGTTCGCCTTCCTAATTGCTTTGCTGCACCTGTAGACTAACTTTCTGTGATTGGTGTACAAAGAAACCCAAGTCCCTCCGGACGCTAACACATTCCAATCTCTCGCCTTCTAAAAAATAACCCGCTCTACTGTTTTTGCTACCTAGATGGATGACTTTGCACTTCCCTACATTATACTTCATCTGCCACCTACCTGCCCAATCACCTAACCTATCTATGTCTCGCTGCATTTTTTTAATGTCAAGAGGGTCTCCTTGGAGCTGAACAGCCTCCAAAGTTACATACTTGCAAATGGAACGTCAGAATTGAGTCATCTCTCTGTGGTGGTCTTGGCAGTCTGGTTCCTTCCAGGTCACTGCTGATGGCAAGCAATATGGTTTTAGCTGGCTAAACACTGTTATAATGAGTTGTGGGTAGTGGGTAGTGTTATTAATGGTTTGTGGATAGTGTTAATGGTTACGGTTTCTACAGTTATGTAATGATTCTTAGTAAGTTGACAACACTGAAGATGGCAGTAGAGGCTGAGTGTATTCACTGCAATGACACTGACTTGATTGAGATGTATTTCGAAGCTGGAAATATTTTAATAAGGAACTTATTGAAATAAATTCCACTGCAGAGATAAAGAGATTGTTAACATCATGAAAATCTGTGTATTCCCCTGTCATTGGCACAGTACACTCCGCAAACATTCAACCAGGAATGTTACTGAACGATATCCGTCCTTACAAATAAAAATTGTTTCATAGTGACTGCTTTGATCTCTCTGCAGAGTTAACAATGACAGTACAAATAGGTGATATAATAGTGATGCTGAAAAAAGGGGACATCACTAAAGAAAATGTGGATGTCATAGTGAACTCTACCAACAACACCTTGGACTTGAATTCCGGTAAGTTTTCAGAAATGCTGACTGCAATCTGAATGTTAAATTCTATTCACAATTAAATTCAATTTCCCTGTGTCTCCCTTCCGGACTCCGAATGATTTTCACAAGTGTGTGGAGGTGTTGGTTGGGTTTTCAATTCTCTCAAGTACGGTGACAGGTATCTGCACATGGCAGAGATCTGGCTTACCGCAAAGTAAACTCATAGAAAAATAAAAATTGACTCTTCAAAGCCTTAAAGTACTTGTATTTGATATAATGCCTTGTCACATCGTTAAATCATTTAAAAGCGCCTCACCAGGTTTACTGTAAAGTCTAGACTGATACTCTGGTGCAGTGCTGAGGGAGTGCTGCAATGTTTGAGGACCCATATATCTGTTCCAGTGGATCTTAAAAAATTCATAGCAATATTCAAAGACCGCCCCCACCCCAACCCACCCCCCCACTCCAATCCATTAAAAAATGATCTATCATGCCTCGGCCTTTGTGGGACATTGCTCTGTGCGAATTGTATGTTGTGTTTGCCTAAAAATATGCCCAGCCTCTACACATAGCGGTCTTCTGAAGCTCTTTGAGGCATTTCAACACTGATTATTATATTATTATAAATTCTTACATAATGCCTTTCAAGCAGGTCAATATCTAGAGGTGGTTAACGTCACCCACTAACTGGTTCTGTCACACTGACCCATGGGAAATATACCTTCTAACCTGTGGTTTTTCCCCTTCCTTTTGTAGGTGTGTCTGGGGCGATACTAGGAGCTGCAGGAAGTTTTGTTAAGGATGAATGCAAGAAGATAGGTGTGGCACTTCACTACCAAGGGTATATATACATACGTGCGGTAAAAGTAGGTTTGATTCCAGTGGCGGAGCAGGCAAAACAGAGACAGCAACACCACAATGGTGGGAAAGACAAGGGAATGGGTTTAGAGGAACTAGCATCCGGTGGGGGGGGGGGGGGGGGGGGGGGCGGTAAAGAGGTGGGAGGTAGGTCCAGCAGGAATATAGGGGAAATAGGGTTATAGTGGATAACTTTGGTGAGGTAAAAGCTTGCACTAGCATGGACATGATAGAGAAAGAACAGGAAGATGGGATTACACTAGATAGTGATGCGGGAGTTGGCACAAATATAATTGGGAAAGAGCAGAGATATGGGGTGATGGTAGATATCTCCAGGAGGTGTGAAGGAGAACAGATACCAACATGGACACTGTGTGTAATAATTAGCATGTCACACACCACATTCCCCCCCCCCCACCCAACCATAGCCCCAGAAGTATTATTTTAGGATGGTTTGTTGGATTGTTTATCACAGGCATGTTTCAAAGCAATGTGACCCAAGCTCCGTCAAACTAACTTTACATCCATTTCTTTCCCAGGTGCCAGGTCAGTCAATGGTGTTGTGGTCACCGGAGCTGGGAAACTGCACTGCTTAAAAATAGTGCACATCTTTGGATATAAGTCTGACACTTTGATTGCAGCATCAGTAGAAGAGGTCCTTGCGTTATGTGATGAGTTGAACATTGCTACTGTTGCATTCCCTGCCATAGGAACAGGTAAAACCTCCTTTGTTATAACCAGATCACTGGACGGTTGAGTTGGCATCTAGAGGGCATAGATTTGAGGGAATCACCATGAGGATGTGGGATGCCCTATAAATAATGACAACAATCCTTGCATCAGATACAGCGCCTTTCACGTCAGGAGGACATCTCAAAGAGCTTCAAAGATATAGTATAAAGCAGTGGGGGCTAAACCACGTCCCGCAAGCCAGAAGTGGGGCCGTTAAGAGAGGGCCCGCCAGACATTGGCACTAGTCTGGGTGAGTCTGTTTTAAACCAAATGTTTTTTTTCCAGTTTTCTTCTTGATTGAATATTTCTTGGTTTATGGCATAAATCAAGATATATTCAACGAAGAAAATTTATTTTGTTGGGAGTCCAAAAAGGTTGGCCACCACTGCTGTAATGTGTAGGGATTGTGTATTTTGTAGGCAAACTCAGCGCACAATTTACCCCTAACTGGAACGTGGATGAGGCAGAATCTATATTAGCTTTAAGAGGGATTTAAAAAGACATCCAAAAGGAGAATTATCGAAGGGTATGAAGGGTAAAGGGCGAATAAAATACTAGGTCTTTCAGAGAGCCAGCACAGGCACGATGGGATGAGCAGCCTTTCTCTGTGCTGTAAATGTCTATTGTTCTACAGTTCATTACGTTTCATTAATCGATCAGCTGCTCACTTTCATTAATTTTATTTCAGGCCAAGGTGGGATTGATCCCCGAGACGCCATCAACGCAATCTTCTTTGGAATTGACAATTACTTCCTGCCGAACACGGCTTCGAGCCTGAAAACCATTACAGTTGTTGCATTTGATACAACTGTTCATGATTGTTTTGCTACGTTTTTTAATGAAAGGCAGCAAATGTCTGAAGGAGGCACCAAGGTAATTTTCATAATAATAATTCTTGCATTTAATTTAGTGCCTATAATGTGAAAAGGTCTCAAAATAATTGCAGTCACGTGCAGTGACTGTTTATTTGAAGGTAAATGCAGTAGGTAATTTGTGCACACAGGGTTCCACAAGCAGCCAGCCCAGTCATGAAGTGAATGAACAATTTATCTGCAAGATATTTGGTCACTGGCACCCTGGGGAAACTTCCTCTCACTTTTAATTGTATCAGGAAATCTTTATTATCCCACCTGAACAAGCAAATAGAATCTAGGTTTAGCATTTCCTCTGAAGCCAGGCACCTCTGATAATTCTCTCCCTTGTACTATACTTGAGTGACAGCCTAGACGGTGAGCTCAGATTCCTCCTGTGGGTCTTGAACCCTGAACATTTTGCCCAAGAGATGAGAGACCTACCGATTGAATCATGTTGGTACCTAGAATCCTCGCAAACACCTGGGAGCAGTAACCCCAATAGCCTTATTTTGAAGTGTTTTTTCTAAGCTGATTGAATGTTCAATAACTGAATTATAATTATAATAATTTGATGTGGAATTGAATGACAACTTGGTCTAGGAGCCAGTACAGACTCGATGGACCAAATGGTCTCCTTCTCTGCTGTACATTTCTATGTTTCTATGATTCCATGCCTTCCACGTCAAAGTGCTTCATGGGATTGTGTAGTAAATGTGTATTTATAAGCAAACAAATTATAATCTTCCCCTTTATATTGTTCATTTTCAGGTAACTGAATCGATTGCCCCCTCAGGTAAATTCTCCTCCTTCCTGTCGTCGTTTCAGTGTAAGCATCGTTCTTGTGAGGAAGGGGGGATTGCAAGGGAGCGAAGTGAATGACCAATGTTATCTGGAACGATTTAGACTGGCTGTCGGGATTTTGGGCATACTGACTAGGATGTTGCTCTGATGCAATGCTGCGGGAGCGCTGCATTGTTTGAGGTGACCTTAAACAAAGGTGCCATCTGTCTGTTCGGGTGGATGTTAAAAATCCCACAACATTATTCAATAACAACAATAATAACAATAATCCAAGTGCGTTTTCATGTCAGGACAACTTTTCAAACTGCTTCATAGGAATTACCGTGAAGCTCTGCCAATCTTAAGCATTCTGAATGTCCTGTTTGAAAGGTCCTGCTTGACACAGATCCAAATTGTTGTCATTGTTTTGGTAAACATGACAGCTAATTCATGCACTGCAATGTTCCACAATCAGCTATGAGGTAACTGACGAATTGTTGGACAGGACAGTGGGAGAAATTCCCTTCTCCTTTTCAAACAGTGCCACAGGATATCCAACGTCACCTGACTAGCTGGTACCCTGGTTTAGCATTTCATCAAAGGACGGCACCTCCGACAATGCAGCACAATCCGAACGCTGCAAAGTAGTGTGAGCCTAGACTATATGAGTGCAAAGTCCCGATATGGGGCTTGAACCCACATCCTTTTGACTCAGAAGCAAGAATGCTACAAACTGAGCTAGGCTGACACCTTAAAAGTTTCACCTGAACATATGTATCTTTTATTTTCCAGTTCTACTGAAGCTCCCAGAAATTTGGACTCCCATGAGCAATGAGGAGTATCTGAAAGTTATCCTAGAGGTCGGCTCAGAGGAATACAACAAAGTTGTTAATGATTTCACGACATCGTGCAAGGACATCGCAGTTAAAGTTATTCAGGTAGGCATTTAGCTGGACCTCAGAAAAACAACCAGAAGAACTTCTAATAATAATACTACTTCTAATAATAATAATCCTTGCATTTGAAATAGTGCCTTATCAGGTCATTGAGTTGTCTCAAAGTTTCACAGAATATATTGTAAAGTGGACTGACTGAATTTTGTGGGCGAAACGCGGTAGCCATTGCGCACAGCAGTGTCCCACAAACAGTCATGAATTGAGTGACCAAATTTTTGAGGGATTATTATGCCAGGAAAGTGTAATATGTTATGTTAGTTACTCTATTTTGGGTTTAAGTGAACTAATTATTACCAATAAATGTTAGTATTTATTTGTTAATTTTTAATATTTATTTTAAAAGTCATTATTATATTTAGTGTAAAAACAAAAGTTGATGCTACAAAAAAAATTGCCCCCTTTTTTCTAGATCGACAGGATCCAGAATTGTAAACTTTGGCAAAGTTACTCTATCAGGAAGCAGACAGTGGATAGAAAATATCCTAATGTGGTAAATGAACAGATCCTGTATCACGGGACCAAACACGAAATTACCCTGAGAGTAAACAGGACAGGCTTCAACAGAAGCTTTTCCGGTAGGAATGGTAAGTCACTGCACTTTACAGTGTACCCTGCGAATGGGACATGGGACATCTTCCCAATGCAAAAGATGCTATACCAAACCCAAGGATTAAGTTAGAGCACTCACCTCGCAAGAGAGAGACCTGAATTCGATTCCCAGCAGGGCGAAACGTTGGGCAAGTTTCCTTACTCCATACGCTTCTGTTTACCTAGTAGGAACCCAGCTACTAGTCGATTAGCGGATCACTTTTCTGGGGGTAATAGTTCCTTCAAAATCACTTAATCCATGACTGTTTATGCGACAATTGTGGCTGCTGCATTTCGCCCTCAAAATATACAGTCAATTAACTTTACAGTATATTCTGTGAAGTACTTTGAGACATCTTGAAGATGTGGTAAGGCGCTAAATCAAATGCAAGGATTATGATTATTATTATTATCAAGTTTAGAGTCTATTCTTTTCAAAGTGATTGCAGATGAGTTTTGTGGAGTTTTGTTTGGGTGGAGTGGGGGGGTATTGTTATCACCTCAGATGACACGCCAAAGTAAGGACATTAACAAGCTATGTTGTTTTTCTTGTATTCCTTAGCCATATCTTATGGAAGAGGCACTTACTTTGCCAAAAATGCCCAATACTCATGTGACAACACGTACTCCAACCCCAGCGACCAGGGATACAAATACATGTTTCAGGCACGAGTGATAACTGGGAAGATGTGCCTGGGGGACCAGTCGCTAATAGAACCAACTCCAGTCGATCCAAACAAGGATCCGAATGATCTCTGTGACTGCGCGGTGGACAACATATCAAACCCGTCCGTTTTTGTTATCTTTTGTGATGACGGGGCTTATCCCGAATACTTAATAACCTTTAAAATGTAAGGAACAGCACAATTAGATGGAACCAAGTCCATTTGAAGGAATACTGGGGACGAAATTCTACCTGGGGCTGGATTTATTTTTATTTTCTTAACATTTAAGAATTTGGCAAATTGCTGAATTCACTCTCAATTTGGAAGGCAGTTTTCGTAGTTCTTAGAAAAAAAGGCAAAAAAATTAAGACTGTATTTCGGAACTTGTCAAGTTCTCTGTGCTCTGGAATGCTAAGAAAATAGAGTAATTTTTCACCCATGGGGGAATCTTAACCCCACTGTTGATGTGCACCCTACCTAATATTCAATCAAACCTGCGGACAGTTCTATAGTTCTTCCTTGAAGAATGGCAAAGTCGATTCAGATGAAGAAGCACCTTTGACCCAGTTGATCTCATCCTTCCAGAAAACCCACCTGACATTTCTCCTATCACTGCTGTATTTAAATGAGCCCACCTTCAGAATCTCAACCACCTTTTCTGGTAACCTGTCCCATTAATTACCTTCTTTGTAAAGAAATACTTCTTGGTGTCCGTCTTAAAATTGCCCTGTGCCTTGATACCCTAAGTATTGTTTTGGGTTTACTTTATCTCATTTGGCATCTTTACCTGGCGTCCCAGATTAACTGGGGTCTGGCTGAAGCGGCTTCCACTATATTTCGAATGGCATTTAAATTGCTTTCAGATCTCCTTACTTGCATAGTTTTCAATTAAGTGCAATATAAGCTGCTACAACTCATGCACCTTACTCTTGCTAATGAGGAAATAGAAATCGTAATATATACATGTTCAGTCACTCTCAACATTCCTCCTGTCACCCTGTTTAGTGAATCTAGGTTTAACTCCACTACTTTGCTTGTAGGCTAAAATAAATACCGACACTTTCAGACAATTGACTTGAATTATTCTGACTATATCAGTTGAACCAAATTAAAAAGCTAGCACTCTGAAGTAATTATATGAAACAGCATGCACTTTGAAAAAAAATAGAATTGGTGCAATAATCTTTAACAGTTCGTGTTTCACCTCTTGTTCCTGACAAGAGTAAAATGCTTCAAAAACGGGGACCAATTTGCACCTTTTCTTAATGGAGTTCCTTCATAAGGAATCAGAGTCGCAGAAATGAGGGCTCTTTCCAGTAACCGGAGTGCGTCACACTGACCCACAGGAACCCTAATTCCCAATCGGAATCAATGGGAATTCAAACAGGCTTCCTGATTAAGGAATCGTGTTAAGAAATACTGCAAATTAGACCAACTGGTCATTCAACACGGATGCACTTTCTATATAGCGGCTTCCTGTGGTAATTTGCCATTGTTTTCAATACAAAGGAACCGTCTCCAGCTACTGTACTGTTTGTAACACATTTATAACTTTAATGCAATTTTGATAACCTGAAATAATTTTTGGTTGCTCATTTATTAACCCTGAATTCTTGATACATCAGATCTGAAAAGCTTGTTGGAATTGTATATTGTAAATTCCAAAGGCTTCAATGTTTTGTGTTGTCTTTATTGCCAATAAACAGTTGCTGAATCTTGGATCTATTCTCCCATCTACTGTATTCAGTTTAGATTCAGTGTCTTGGGACGTCCTTCTGACGTGAAAGGTGCAATACAAATATAACTTTGCTGTTCTTAACAACTCTTTGGATGCAGTAATATCACAGGAAGTTGCGGATTTTGAAGGTAAGAGAGAGAGAGAGAAGTTGCCAGGTGAAATGGGTTTGGAAAATATTTGGGTATTGGGTTTAACTCATAAAATATACAGTGAATTTACTTTACAGTACATTATGTAAAGCGCTTTGAGACGTCTCGAAGACGCGATAAGGATTGCAAGGATTATTATTATTATTAACTCTCACTAGATACACTCAACCTTTGGAGGCTAATAACAATCTTTGTCTGGAACAATATCCTCAGAGTCACTTGATTGCTCAGCAAAAGTGGCTATTAACCCATGGCATTTGGCCACCAGTCTGGGCATAAAGATGTTCACTAAGACTCAAAGGTCAAAGAGAATAAAGCTCCACTCGCACGCAACTCACTTAAGAAAGATTTTAAGCAGAAACCCTGACCTTGCATCACCCTCCAGTGTTCATTCCAAAGCAATACTCTGTACACCCAATACATCTACTACTTTAATACAATTGAAGTAAGTAACAAATCCATGTGTAAAAATGTTAACACTGCTGTTTTGATCACTTTATTTATTAATTTCATTTTAATTTAGTTTGGAGTTTGATTTTGGTCAACCTGTTCTCTGACACATAATGAAAACCACATAGGTAACAACCTGTCTCAGTTGGTAGCACTTTCGCCTCTAGGTCAGAAAATTGTCGGTTTAAGGACTTTTTTTTTAACATCGGGACTTTTAATTCATATTCGTATCCTGGCCAGCAATCCTCCAGGTTTGGTTTTTTGTCCAAAAAGGTAAATAATGTCATTTATTTCCTTGCTGTTATTTCCAAAACGTATGTGGGAATTTCATCACACCACATCTCTGCAAATTGCAGAAATGGGTTATGGTATGGTTTAAGTTGAAGCAGTATTGTATTACCCACCACAAGCATGCTTCTGCGCCTGGCTGGGTTTCAGCAAACATTTCTTGGTCCGATAGCCAAAAGTATGTTTCTTGTTATACACTGGTATTCTCGAGCAGTGCGGAGACTACTTCTGAATAATATCTTGCTCCACTTCTGGCCAGTTTCAGTAACCTATAACATCAACAATTGGCCTTTTTATATAGTGTTGCGTCCTGGAACATATTGTTGCAGTTCAACTTCGGTCCCACCTCTCCTTCCACTCCCTCCGTGAGCCCCTGCAGTCTGGTTTTCGCTCTGACTTCCCACAGCACAGAGACAGCACGAAGTGGAGCAGAAAGCGATTTGGCCAAGGCAAGAGAGCAATGGTAGTTTTTGATTTGGTAAAATTAGTCTTATATTTATAAATCAATTTGTTCAATAGCATTTAAACAGCAACTATCTGTTTGTATGCCTCCTCGTCCTCCTGGATCTCTCTGCCGCGTTCGACACAGTCGACCATGCCATCCTCCTCCATTGACTCTCCTCCCTCATCTACCTTAGTGGGGCTGAACTCGCATGGTTCGAGTCCAACTTAACCAACTGCCTCCATTTCATCTCCTGCCCCCACCCCTGCCTGGTCACCTGTGGGGTACCGAGGGCTCCATCCTTGGTCCTCTTCTTTTCCTTATCTATATGCTCTCTCTGGGTGATATCATCCGCAGTCCAGAGGTAAACTTCCACAGGTGTGTAGATGAAACACAAATCTACTTTGCCTCTTCCAGTACCAACTCCAGTTCCACCGATGTTCTATCAGCTTGTCTGACAGACATGAATACCTGAATGAGTGTAAAACTTCCTGCAGTTGAATATGGACAAGACTCCTTAGCTCCCGTCAGTCTTCACTTCTGCGGATCTAAACTCCCCAACCTCCTTGGGCTCTCCCTCAGACTCACCAAACTAGTGCGCAACCTAAGAGTCCAGTTCGACCTCCAACTGTCCTTCCTCCCCCACATCCGCCTTCTTCCACCTCCGCCACAATACCCGCCTTCGACCCAAATGAAGTCGAAATGCTTGTGCATGAATTTGTCAAATCCCGCTTGGCTTACTCCAACGCACTCATCACTGGTCTCCCCAGCTCCACCATTCACAAGATCCAGCTCATTCAAAACTCGGCCGCCCTCATACTGACCCGGACCAAACTCTGTACCCAAATCGCACCAGTTCTGACCAGGCTCCACTGGCTCCCCATCACCAAACAGATCGACTTCAAGCACCTCACACTCGTGTTCAAACCCATTCATTCCCTGGCACCTCCCTACCTCTCCAAACTCCTTACTCCCCAATCCACCCATGGCGCTTCTGCTCGACTGGCACCGGCCTCCTGCTGGTCCCTCGCATCCTCCACCCCACCATCAGAGGTCGCGCTTTCAGCCACTACACCCCAAAACTCTGGAACACTCTCCCTCAATCCCTCCGCCTTGCCCCTCCCTCCCCTCTTTCAAGACCTGCATGAAGGCTCTCCTGTTTGACCGTGCTTACGGTCCCCTTCCCCCTCCTCCTGGCTCGGAGTCAGGCTCCGCCACTGTTAAGTGCTCTGAGATGCTACCTTGCATGGAAGGCGCTATATAAGTGCAAGTTGTTGTTGTTGTTATATAGATGACGCAAAGTACTTCCTACAACTGACTGGGAGCCTGAACTGGGGGGCGGGGGGTGGTGGGGGCAGCAGAAGGCAGTTGAGGAGGGATGGGGAAAAGTGACCAGAAAGAATGGTCGAAGAGATAGCAAATGGCTTGTTGGCTTGTGAGTCCAAGTTGACTTAAAATTTAAGAAGGTACGGAATTGTGGAAAATTCTTCAATCTCATCTGAACTGGGAAGCCCACTCCTCTGCGATTGCTAAACAAGGGTCCAGCTGTAATGGGTCAGAAACGGATTCCTCATACGTTTGGGGAGGGAGGGGGGAACTTTTAAATGACAATCTGAACCTGACAGACTAACTGTATAATAATAATATCAGGATAACTGCAACAAAGTTAGAGTTGAGAAAGGATGGAAGGAGTGAACCAAATGTGCTGGAGGACTTGCTACACATCACTGAAGACAATAATAAGTCAGGAATCTAATATAACTCACATCTGATCTGTGCAAACTCCCACCACTGTGAGATAGCTCCAAGCTTTCACTTAACTCAAGCCTGAAAAAGCTGTTTGTGAATTTTCGTGACCTTAAATCTTAAGACAAATTGGACTTCAGTGACACGTTCATTCAAACACAGCTTTGTAAGTAGTCTGAAGTCCTGTTGTGCCTAAAGAACAATTTCTGTTGAAAACAAGAGAACTGAACACTTTACTCGCATGCCACAACTTTCTGACTCAACTGTGAGATTGCTACCAACTGAACCAAGGCAACTGCGTCCATTGTATTTTCAAACAAAACCAACTTCTGTAAAATATTCCTTGAAATGCATTACACAAATCACAATCCAGTTTAGAGCAACGGCTTGTTTGAAGGTTCTGGGTTTACAATATAACTCGTTGATAATGCTTGAATTTAAAGCTTTCTGAAAAATATAAAAGTTACGTAATAATCCTTACAAAACAATCCTTTGTCCTGAACACATGTGTTTGCAGATCTAGTAAATAATCTACTTTCCTAAGGGAATACCAAGCAAGGAAATTAAACTGAGATTTTTTCCTTCTATCTCTAATCTTGATTTTATTAAATACAGTACTTGAAGAACCAAAAAAAGAGAAACTGTTACAAAATGCTGATATCGTAACCAGGTGAGGTCAACCCGCCGGAGGTGTAGTGTGCAATGAGCCTTGAGATTACCAGTCGTAATCGAGGCAAAAGAAGCTGTTTATGGAGAGACAAAAAATATTTGGCAATGAGCTAAAAGACGTCCTTCTAAGCTTCATATTCCCTGGTAGACTGGATTAAGGCAAACAACTGGCCCTAATTTGTATTGATGATACTGTTTTAGATTATCCCTTCCAAACCTCCCTTTTGATCTTCTGATTTACTTTATCTAGTCAACAAGCGCTTCACGGTTGGCCTGATATCAACACAAAGCCAGCTTCTTTAGTCTCTTCCTCCTTCGCCCTCTCCTTTCCCCCCTTCCTCTCAGAGGAAAAGCCAGGCACAATTGCACAAACTAAATGAGATCATGAGATAGAGTGAGTTGTCTCTCAGGACTACTTGGTAAAATCAGCAGTTTTTTCCTTCCTCTTCATAACCAGAAATGCCATTTTAAAAGACGTAGCGTAAGCGTTGCTGTATCGGTGGGCAAGCTTCCCTCCCCTCTTTCAAAACTTGTCTTACGACCTTTCTTTTTAACTGGCCTTTGGGTCACCTTCCACCCCCCCATCCTAATAAAAAACATATCAATTTATTTATTTAATAGATGCATACAAGATGGAGAAGGGAATAGAGGGGTACAGGAGAGAAGATTTGGAGAGTTGGAGGCTTGGGTGGAGTATAAACATCAGCACGGACTAGTTAGTATGAATTATTTCTGTGCTGTAATGTTTTATATTGTAACCAGTTCTAATATAATGACTGTCTTCATTTCGGGGGGGGGGGGAGTCTGTGCGCACCAAGGAGAGAAGAAGCAAAAGAGCAAAATAGGAAAATAAGAATATGGAGTCCTATAGCTTAATGGTTAGAGCACTCGCCTTGCAAGCGAGAGGACCTGGGTTCGATTTCCAGGCAGGGCAAAATGTTGGGCAAGTTTCCTGACTCCATATGCCTCTGTTAACCAGCAGTAAGTAGGAACCCGGTTATTAGTCGATTGGCAGATCACTTTTCCGAGAGTATTAATCCCTGAAATAAAATAATAATTTCGTCACTCGATCAACAACTGTTCGTGGGACACTGCTGTGCGTAATTAGCTGCCGAGTTTCGTGCACATAATATACAGTCAATTCACTTTACAGTATATTCTGTGAAGCGCTTTGAGACATCTTGAAGACATGATAAGGCACTATATAAATCTGAGTATTATTATTATTATAATATTGAAGTCATCGGTGAGGGTACCACAAGCTATAATGTGAAGTGAGGAGGAGGCAATCAAAGCCTGGTTGTGTTTAAAGAATTTTAATTGGCGGTGCCTTTCTGATCTCTGAATCCCCATCTTGTTAACATAACGTGGTGATTTTTTTAATTCAACATTTCATTCTGATTCTAAAATCGTTTCTGATGGCAGAAACTATTTAAGAAAAGATAGAGTACTTCAAAGAAATATTACAAGTAGCTTCGAAATATGTTCTATGTTCTAAGGAAAGATAGATTGCGTAGAGGCATTTTTAGAGGCTTAGTCTGGGCTGGTGGTTCAATTTAGTGCTGGGAGCGGTTAGCGGGGAGGTGGTGCTGCATTGTCGGAGGTGTTACCCTTTGGATGAGACACTAAACCAAGGTCGGGTCTGCCTATTCTTCAAGTGAACAATAACGATCCCGTGGGTGATATTCGACAGAAAAGGTACTGTACATTCGGCGCCAAGCTCTGCCACTGTTAAGCAGTTCGAGATGCTACTCTGCATGAAGACTGCTATATAAAAGCAAGTTGATATTGTTGTTGATACAATACAATTTTCATTTATATAACGATTTCATGTCTAAAGGAGATCTGGCTGGGTATCCGAGCCGAGGTGGGGTAGGAGGAGATGAAGCTAACTGAAAATGGTGCGTGGGAGTTTCTCCGGCAAGCCAATAATCCTCTGGATAAAAATGTTCACCTACCTTACGACTGTTTGTGGGTAATTGCAAAATAATTGCCATCAAAACCAGTCACTACACTTGGCCCTACCTACTGTAATGTCCTTTGAGACGGTTGAAGTTGTTGCCTTAGCTGGACAAGCAGCGGAAAAGCTTGCCAGATAGTGCTATTCAAGGGCAAGCTGTGCGGTTAAACTCCAGCAGTTAGGCCAAACACACAGTGTGGGGTCCCCAAGCCTTGGCTCCTGCCAACCTGCACCTAATACGTTCCGGAATTAGGACAGCAGGATGCCTCCCTCCAGGGAGAGAGAGAGAGAGAGAGAGAGAGCGCATTCCATTCCATTAATCTATCTCTGGGATTTCCGTGTGTAGGTGGAATGCATGGAATTCTCAGTTTGGTTTGGAGACTCTTAAGCAACGGTGATGGGTGTCTGCGTGTGTCAGACCCCCGGCTGGGCAAAAGAAAGAGATGTTTCAATGTAACAAGAGGCTATAAAGATGTAACTTTTTTTTCTATTCCCTTATAACAGAATGACGACCGTACAGGTTAGCGAATACTAGACACAGGTTTGGGGTAGGCGTGAACAGGCATGCGGTTCAATGGAAAGCAACAACAACAAACAATAATTTACATTCGTGTAGCACCTTTCACGTCAGGAGGTTTCAATGCCTGTCCTTGCCCAGTTCATTCAGCGTTGACTGTTTGGTAGGAGCAGTTAGAGGGAACACACATTATTCTAAATGCCCCTTTTATTACTCTGCTTTTTTAAGTTTGCAGTACCCCCCTAGCGCCCCCTCCCACCTCCCCTGCCAGCTAGGATTTGATGACTGGACCTTTTTTCCTGGCAGCATTTTATAGTTTCCTATTAAATGTTAATCGGTTTGTTTATATACATGATATCAAGATCAGGGCCAAATCTGCAGCCCTAACTGAGGCCTCTCTTTGGAAGATTATAATTACATTTGGCACTTTTTCTTCCACACACAATCTTTGTGCTCAACTTTTTTTTGGGGGGGAGAGGAGAAGAAGGATCAAAATGGATTTATAGGAACATAAGAATTGCTAGATGAAAGAAGACCAAGATCCATCAAGTTCACCTTCCACCATCCTGGCAGTTGCTTGCTCATGTCATGTCCCAAACTATATACTGTATCCAGAGATATTATTTCCTATCAGAAATCTATCTCATTTGTTCTTGAAAGAGTCGACACTTTCTGCTTCCACAGAAAGTGGATTTATATGGCCTCAGGATAACGAAGATGATAACAATTTGTTCACTCAATCTACGAAGGTTTGTGGGACACTGATGCGTACAATTGCTTGCACATGTGTGTTGCCATATTTCGCCCACAAAATATACAGTCAATTCACTTTACAGTATATTCTGTGAAGCGCTTTGAGACGACTTGAAGACGTGATAAAGACGCTCTATCAAATGCAAATTGTTATTATTATGATCTGGGGAGCCGGACGTTCGGGATTGAGTGGTACGAGGATTGCTCTATTAATTTTCATTCATAGTTTGATCCTGTGGTTTAAACTAGGCTTTTGAAGCTAAATGTGTTTCAGGAAGGAGGCCTTGCAGTCATTAGGCTGTGACATCATTACAACTTGGCCAATGCAGTGACCTCACGGCTATTAAGTCTTAGAAAGCTGAGCAAAGCCTTAAGAACGTCTGCCGACCAGATGCTGAAGTACAGCACAGTTGCTGGTAGCTGCGAGCACACACACAGCAGTCCTGGCAGCACCACTTGTGAGGACACCACTCAGACGATAAAGCCACTGCAGCACAGCTATGTTTCTGCCTCTCTTTGTCTTCATTTTGCTGTGGGACGAGACAAGCTCTTGGGGAATAAAAAACGGAATACTACACAACTCCATTTGGTTAGGTAAGATGAAGTTGTTTAATGCATTTCTCTTTCCCCCTCCCCCACCACCACCCCTCCCTCCTTTCCTTAGGAGAAAGAGGAATATTTTTTTCCAAATGCTGAGACTGTGCTGCTAATTCTTTGCGATTGATGGTTTTCGCTTGCGATTGATGGTTTCCATTAGCGAATGCTTGAGCCATCAGAGCCACTGAGACCCTGGCACCTTCAAGCATGGATTTCAGACTTTCAAAGCCTTTAAGCTCTCTTTTAATGTCAGTGCAGATATCAGCAGCTTTTGAAGTTTCTGATGAATTCTTGTTCATTCAAACAGGGGTAAAGTTTGCGATAGTCTGTTAAGCTTTCCACATGTTAACACAACAATGACTTGCATTTATGTAGCGCCCATCGCGTGTCCTGGCTTCGAGACGTCTCAAAGAGCTTCACAGAATATACGGTAACGTGAATTGACTGTATATTTTGTTAGTGAAACCCGGCAGCCAATTGCGCAAGGCAGCGTCCCACAAAGAGTCGTGGATTCAGTGACCAATTTATTATTTTTTTAAAAAATAAGATCAAGTTATTATTAAGCAGATCGGATAGGTAGGGAGGTGCCAGGGCATGAATTAGAACCTAATTTTTGTGCGGTAACTGGCAGAATTTGCAGTAGGTTCAAATTCTGCCAGTTACTGCACAAGAATTTCTTACAGAAAAAAGGTCAATAATTTCAGTTTTTAAATAGCTGGAAATTTACTTTGATCATTCAAAAACCCTAAATCTATTTTCTTGTAAATAAAGCAAATGCACAAAATTAATGTTCTTTTTTGGCACAATCCTAATCTGTTTTAGATCTGATTAGATGGGTACCTCAACAAAATTGTACTGATAATAACAGGAATAACTTGCCTTTATAATAAACCATCTTACCATCGTAATTGGCTGCCGCGTTTTGCCCACAAAATGTACAGTCAATTCACTTTAAAGTATATTCTGTGAAGTGCTTTGAGATGTCTCGAAGACGTGATAAGGCACTATATCAAATGCAAAGATGATTATTATTATTACAGCACCTTTCATGTCAGGAGAATGTCTCAAAGAGGTTGACAAAGCTTGATGGGACCCAAGCTGGGAATGAGAACCGAATGGGGGTGGGAACGGAAAGATGAATGAAAGTGTGGCTATAGATGTTACATTTTCAAACATGCTTTGAATGAGGTGAGGATGGAGGTGAGGCAGGGAGTGAGTCAGAGGGACTCCGGGATTGAGTTCCAGATGACAGGGGTAGAATGGCTGAGAGCCCTGCTGCCAATGGGCCCTTAGGGCGGGGAACATGAAGCAGGCTGGTGCTCGCTGAGGGAAGAATACAGCCAGGTTGACCTTTCATGTAAAACTAAATGTTGCTTTACAATATCCGATTGATTAGAAATGAAATGAATGCAGGTATATAAAAAACCAAGGCAGCTGAAGCTGATCTGCCAGAAACATCCAATAAACAACAATGAGATGAGCAGCCAATTCATTTGAATTTGGAGGTAAAATTGGATTAGGAAACCATCCCCTTTATAACAAGGTCATCTGGGTCCAATGCCTCAGGCCCCATGCTATAGAGACGCATGATATAATGACAGACTTCCAGATCAACAGATCACTGACATCACTTCCTCAATTCCTGAAGCACTGCTAACTTTGGGCCTTTGAGCTGACAGTCTAGACTGGCACTTCAGTACAGTGCTTCCAGAGCACTGTGTTGTTGGAGGTGCCGTCGATCAGTAAATTGAGGTCCTGTTTACCTGTTCAGGAGGACCTAAAGATCTCATGATACTGTTCAAAAACAGAAGTAAGTTTCTCCTGGTGCATTCTGGTCAATAATTTCCCAAGGTAAAATTGCTGGGATGTTTGTGAGACTAATCTGTGCAAATTGGCTGCTGTGTTGGCCTATAAATATTTTATGGTAAATCCTGTGAAGCACTGTGAAGATGTCTCAATCATGTGATAAAGTGTTATATCAAATGCAAGTATTATTATATTGGTAGGCACTCCTTTTCTTGATTGTTTGAAGTGAGCATTCATTGCATTCTTGATTTTAATGGACTTCCTACCTATCCTCTGTGTACACAGACGTTAAAGATTTCACCCCGCAAGTATCATAATGAGCAAGATGGATTGTGCGAATGGATTGCGCAAATGGATTGCATTGATCACTGATCAATTACCTTTCATTTACTTACAGAACAAGCGGCAGGAGTTTATCACAGAGAGTCACGGAAAGGACGATACCAGCTCACCTTCAAGGATGCCAAACAGCTCTGCAAGTATGAGGGAGGCAACCTCGCAACATACGAACAGCTAATGTACGCCCAGAGGATAGGTAGGAACTCCATTAAAAACCAAAGATGGAACGGTTGCTCAGTTGAGTCATTACACACTCAGCAGAGAGCTGAGATGTCAATGTTATTCATACAAGCACAATTGTGTACTTTAGCGCAAAATTAGTATTTTCAATTGATTTGCGCTGTGACATTAACTGGTGCAATTGGGACATTTAAAGTGTTTCATTATTAATATTTCTATGTGTAGAAAGCAGAACTAAAGCAGCTTGACAGTGTGTGGTAGTTAGGGTGGGTGGGGTGGAGAGAGCAAATTTGTAATGTAGATAAAGCTTCATTACCAATAATGTTGCTTTGGGTATACTTTTGAATCTGGTCCTTGCTGCCAATTTTTGGCTGTTAGAGCAGCAGAAACTGGCTGTAATGAACAAATGTTACCAATAAGTAATACTAGAATCAATAAATCCACTCTCAGCACAATTTCTTCATATTTCGTCTCTTCTGTAAATTTATTTCTTAATACTAGAGTACTCGAACATCTCGCTCATACAATTGAGTTCAGTTGCGGGTGCAAAAGACTGGCAATGTGGCTCAGTTGGTAGCCTTCTCGCCCCTATATTGGAAGGTTATGAGTACAAGCCACATGTTGGGCCAGTGAGCTCAGAATCTAGGTGGAGTAATAATAATAATAATAATAATAATCCTTGCATTTGATATAGCGCTTGTCACGTCGGGAGGACGTCCCAAAGCGCTTCACAGAACACACTGTAAAGTGAATTGACTGTATATTTGTGGGCGAACGCGGCAGCCAATTGCGCACAGCAATGTCCCACAAACAGTCGTAGATGAAAATGACCAATTTATTATTGTTTTTGGTTTTGGAGGGATTATTATTAGGCTCTGTGTGGAGTAAGGAAACTTGCCCAAGGTTTCGCCCTGCCTGGAATTGAACTCAGGTCTCTCACTTGCAAAGCGAGTGCTCTAACCACTGAGCTACAGGAGTACAGCATTACTGGCAGTGCTGTTCTTTGTATAATAAATTAAACCATGGTTGCGTCCATCTGTTCAAGTGTCAGATTCCATGGATTATTTATAAAGAGTCACCTCAAACCTCATCTTCTCCTCACCCCCCCACCCTCCCCCCATACTCGGGTGCCCAATCAGCTGCGTGAAGTGCTTTGAGATATCTTCCCAACATGAAAGGCACTATATAAAGATATATTATTGTCATTATGGTTTCTCCTAGTGTTCTGGCCTACAATCATCCAGATTTGCTGTGTGTAAATTGACTGCCACATTTGCCTCCAAATGGACAGTCACTTCACGTTTCAGCAATTATCTGTGACTCTGTAGGCCCCTCATCAAAAGCAAGGATTATAATTCTCATTGCAAATTACAAACCAGGAAACCTCCTGAATTCTAAGTATTTCACTTCTGAAACGATTACTATAACTGGCCAGCAACAGTGAAATATCCATCCTTGCTTCTGTGTGAGTGTGATATATCAAACTATTATAACTGCACAACAGTGATTAACATAAAAAAAAAAAATTTTATGGCACACGATATACAACTCCTACGATATTTGCCCGTGTATCCTTTAGTGAACGATTTCCTGATATAACTGCTGCTAAATTGCTAGCTGGCTTTGTGGCACTCTGCTTACTCCAGGTTACCCAGGCAGGTTCCCAGTGTGCACTGAGCGAGCTAATCTCAGCTCGGCCACAATAATTGGCCTCAGCGTCCCTGGCTTGAGCAGAAGGAAGGAACAGCCAGGCTTTGTGTTCCTGATTGTTATTCAGTGTTCTTGTGTGGATATCGGTTGAGGGCGGATTTGGTTTCATCTGGAAATATACCACAATATTTACTATGCAGGCTCACAAATTACAGGAACCCACTTGGATGAGTTAGCCAGATCCCAGTATGATTCAACAGCTGAGTTAGAAGTTTGTGGGTTCAACTCCTGCATTGGGAATTTGAGTTCATTGTCTAGACTAATGCTTCAATGTGCTGTAGAGAGTTGCTTCCCTTTAGATGAGTCATTAAACCGAGAAACCATCTGACTATTCACATTGACCATAAAGATCCTGTGGTACCATTCAAAAGAGAAGGGAGTTTCTCCTAGTGTTCTGATCAACAGTCCCACCAAGTATAAAATTGGTCATTTGCTTTCTGGCTGTTAGTAGCACATTGCTGTATGTAAAATTGGCTGCCATTTCGCCTACAAAATGCACTTCGAACAAAAACTCTGCAAAGCACTAACACAAATTCGCCAGTATGATAAAATGTTACATCAAATGCCATAATTTATATTATTTTTTAATGTTCTGAGGAGAGGACTGTAAATTGGATAACAATTTATTAGTTTGCTGATCTGCTGTTGGTTACTCTTTTTGCTTCCCTCTTTTAAGATGCTCCAGTCTCTCTGGGATAACCCTAGCTTTGATCTGGTCCAAACCTTCAGCATCTCTTCCAGCTAGAATTTTGGTTAAGCCTACTGTTCCCATATGTAGTTCCCCTCACACACTTTATTTTTCTCATTAGCTTAATACAATGTGTCAAGGTTCTGACAGAAGCCAACTTTATTTCAAGTAGCGAAAGGCCAGCACAGTTTGTTGGTGCTTTTTGTGCCCGCATGATTCTGGATTGCACAGATGAAGTCAGAGGTAAAGTGCCACATTTATACAGAATGTATTAATACTAAAGATATAGGCACACAAAAACATTTTGTGTTGTTTCTTCTGGGGTACCAACAGTATCTAGACCTCTCCCAAGTGGTGTTTGTTTATGTATGAGCAGAGAGAGAGAGAGAATGTGATTTCTACTTGTCTGCCAGGGAGGGGGGCACTGCAAGCTGAGCCCAATCTTGTTCTCACTCCCAAGGCTTTGTTTCAAAAAAAAGGATCTCTGAATAGCGATCAGTACGGTAGTAAGAATCCTGGCTGAGGTTCACTCCCAGATCTCAAGTTGCTGAGTTCAGTGGTTAAGCCTAAACTGAATTTTTGAAGGCCAGCTGCTTTGGGGGTTAAGTCGTGGTCTACAATCTTTGATCACAAAAAGCAACAGATAAGTTGATCTAAAAACAGGATGCCATCTTAACTCAGCTGAGTTACAATAAAAAAAAGTTTCTTCTGTTCTTCTATAAACTATTTCCATGGCAGGAAATAATTGATAAAAACATCCGCACATCAAACCAATATTTCAGAGCTTCTGGTGATCAGAGCTCAGAGCTATTGACTGAATGTCTGCCTTTTTTTTCGCCTTGTGGAGTCCTGTAGCTCAGTCGTTAAGAGTACACACCTCCCAAGCGAGAGACCGGGGTTTGACTGCCAGCAGGGCGAAGCGTTGGGTAAACTTTCTTACTCCACACAATTCTGTTTACCTAGCAGTTAGTAGGAACCTGGTTGTTAGTCATTTTGCGGATCGCTTTTCCAGGGATAATAATTCCTTCAATTTTTTAAAAATAATAAATCGGTCACTCAATCCACGACTGTTTGTGGGACACTGCTGTGCGCAATTGGCTGCTGCGTTTCGCCCACAAAATATATAGTCAATTCACTTTACAGTATATTCTGTGAAGAGCTTTGAGACGTTTCGAAGATGTGATGAGGCGCAATATCAAATGCAAGGAGTATTTTGATATTATTATTATTTCACATTCAGTGTGACCGAATCTACTATTTCTTTCACGCATTGGGATAAATTGCTTCTTCTCTTCCTCTCCATTTTCAAAACCCATCTAAAAGATCTCTCTCTGAATATGCTTTCAGCCACTATCCAATTACCTCCTGCCATCTACACCCAGCTCAGGCTTCCACTTTGTTTCTGTAAATCTCTTTGAGATGTTCTCTTATGTTTAAATAAAAAGTTATATAATTGGAAATTTTTATTTCTGTGGATGTTATTTGCCACCTTTCATCATGCATTCCCTGCAATAGGTATCACCAGGGACACCTTATGAACAATGGCAAATATCATCCCAATGTATTTTAGAGAGTGTTGTACGTCTGTTGAGATAAATCAGGCTCACAAGACTATTTTTCTAACGAGTGCATTGAAGTCGTTTTGAAAGAAGATTAATTCAATAGTTTTTAAGTTGGATTCCATTCGAATATTTACTGTGTCCATTGTTCCTCAATTTAATTTCCTCTATTCAATCCAGCTAACCAGCTCTGACTGTGACTAAAAAAGAGAAAGCCCCAAGCCATTGCTGAGGCATAGAGTTCTTTGTAAATACTTTGTTCCATTTCTCTTAGAGAAATCAGATTGCAAGCATTGAGTTTAAAAAAATAATACTCAAAGGATTAATTAAACTATGGTTCCCGACAAAGCCTGAATCACAGTTTTGCGACACTAACTCACTGTGCTGCGAATTGGAAAAATGTTCTAGAATTCCTCAGAGAATATGTTGGATGAACTTCACTTGTTGAAGTGTTAGGTTAGACTACGTCTGTCCAATTGGCCCCCTCACATCATGTCATCATTGACATCTGGTAATAAAATCCTGCCAGGGAATAAAATAAGAGTATGACAAAGTACAGAATAATAAAATATCCAATTTACTCACCAAAGACTCTTTGTTCCATTGACCACAAGCAATCCATTCTATTTAAATTATTCCACCCCATATAGTTTCTCGAGGATACTTTGTAACTTCAAAAAAATTGGCACGATATCTCAAAGGTCACTGACTCGCATTCGATTTCAAATCTCTTCATGCATTGGCGCTTGTAGGGGTTACATAAATGAAGTAAGGATTGACACAAATTATTCAATCAATTGATATTTATTAATACAAATTAGTAAGGTTATAAAAATTAGAATCAGTCAATCAATCAAAAATAATGCTTACGCATATTCAGTACAATTCACAAGTTAGCCGGACCAATGTTGTGGAGAAGAGGTGGAGGAAGATTTACTGACTGGGACCAGGACGATTTTTTTAAGTGTTGATCAGTATGTTGATGGTTGTCTTGATCTTTTTCTTCTTGTCAATCCTCTTAAATCCGTTTAAGATATTGATTACGGATCGCTAGTCCATTTTCCATCTCTCTGCTCTTCTACTTTCATTGTGAATTACCCATACATTTATATCTTGTAAAATCATACACATCAACGTTGTAAACACATCTGGAATCATTCACCTCCACAAAAAAATATATTTTGAGACAGATAGTCTCCACCTGTCACCAATATCCATAGTTGTCAACATCCCCCCGACTTTATCAAAAGTCCAGCAGTTTGTTCCAAACAAATCTGAGTACCACAGATTTAACATCTATTGTGCAGCTAACAACTTCTTGTCAATGATGATGTTGAAATTTTGTTTTGTAAACTTGCTTTCCAATGTACTTGGCCTTCATGCATTTGCAGCTTTTCTGAACTAAATAAATCCATGACTCTCTGCAATTTTAATTTGGTCAACTCAAGAAAACTCAGAGTTCTGAGAATGTTTACAGCACCGTCCTACCTCTCCGACCCGCTTACACCCCAACCCACAACCGGCTGCCTCCAATCGACTAGCTCCGTCCTTCTGCATGTCGCTCGTGTCCTCTGTTGCACCATTGGCGGCTGCACTTTCATCCACTAACCCCGAAACTCTGCAAAGCTCTTCTTCTATCTCTCCACCTTGCCGCTTCCTTCCCCATCTTCAGGTCGAGCCTGAAAACTTTCTTCTTCAACCCTGCCAATGGTCAGCTCCTCCTGGTCCGGTGTCGTGCTCTGCCACCGTCAAGCGCTCTGGGATGTTACCCTGCGTGAGGGGTGCTATACAAATGTAAGTTGTCGTTGTTGACATGTATTGTGTAGGCTAATGTGCCAGCTATTTTGTGCGAAGCAATGCAACACCAACTTGCACTTATATAGCGTCCTCCATGCAGGGTATCATTTCAACAGTGGCAGGGCCTGACTCTGAGCCGGGGGGTGGGAGGTGGCCGTAAGCACAGTCGAAAAGGAAGGTTTTCAGGCAGGACTTGAAAAAGGGGAGAGAGGGAGCAAGGCGGAGGAATTGAGGGAGAATATTCCAGAGTTGTCCCATGAGATGAATGATAATTTTTGTATTTGGCCAGGACACCAGGAGACAATCTCTTTTCAAATAGCATCATTGATTCTTTATTGTACATCTGAACAGACTGATAGGACCTTGGTTTAACGTACGACCTCCCTGCGCCTTGGGATGTCCTTCCGACCTGAAAGAAATGTAATTTGTTGTTGTTGTATCATCTGTAGAATGACATCTCCAACAACAAAGCACAGCCTCAACATGGAGTGGAGTTAAAGTCTAGATTATATGAATTCAAAGTATCGACATGTAGCTTGAGCCCACGACCTTCTGATTGTCTTATTGCTCTTCCTCCTAAATCAAGCAAAATTTCAGTGGCTTTATTTATAAAGAAAGATAGTATTGGGGGTTACGGTAATAAGGTGGGTTGAGGCCAAACAAATAAAATGGAGCAGTTATTGGATCAAATGTCATCTTCCAGCTTTCAAAATCTCCTATGTTCCTAAGCCTTCCTTCACACCACACTCCCTTGGTCCAATAGCTCAAGAACTAGATGCAAGTTCCTGAACCTTAACTCAGTAACAGGGTTATCAATCACAAACCCTGCAAGATGGGGGCACGGTTCGAGCTGAGGAGAGGGAAATTAGGCAATTTAGCCCAGAAACTAGTTACATTCTACATCACATGGCTGCCCTTAACTCAACTGTTGAATGTAAATCGTATTTCACAGCTGGTCATGACAGATATTCTATATATAAATCTGTTGGATTGTTTTTGATTTATAATGTGCACAATTGTACTTTATATGCATTTCATTCCCTGTCTACTCTGCTGTTTGTTATGTATACAGGGTTTCATGTGTGCGCGGCTGGATGGTTTGATAAAGGCAAGGTTGGATATCCAATAGTAAAAGCAGGGCCCAACTGTGGTTTTGGAAGAACTGGCATTATCGACTATGGATATCGAAGCAATAAAAGTGAACGATGGGATGCCTACTGCTACAATCCTGACGGTTTGTTTGACACTGTTTGTCTGTGTTATGTTTTACCTCCCTCTGTATCTCACCAGTTACTTTTCGAGTATTCCAAAACTTCCCACTCAGTTTCTGCAAGCCAAAGCTCAATAGGTAGGGTGGTCTGAGCTAGACAAGCAGTCGGGAAACTTGCCAGACAGAGCTCTCATTGGCAACCTATGCAGTTTTAGCTGATTATTTATACTCCAGCAGAAGCTTGACACATACTCTGGGGTCCCAGCACCATGGCAATTTATGCCCAATACTCTCCAGAATTAGATACGCAGGGTGAGGCCACTTTAGTGACAGTGTGTGCATTCCATTTCAGACACAGAAATTTCCATGTGTATGTAGCATACATATATGGAACTTTCAGTCCAGTTTGGATACCCTTAAGCAAGGTAATGAGTTTCTGCATGTGTCAGATATCCAACTGACCGAATCCAAGTCCCATTGCTTGCCCTTTCCCCATACATTTCTATATTTTCTTTTTTGAATGTTTGCCTAATTTTCTTTCAAAAGCCATTATGGATTTTGCTTCAGCCTTGCCCTAAAACCTGGAGTGTGTAAAAAAAAAAAAAAAAAACTCCTTAAATAGTTTAAAAAAATACATTTCACCCACAATATATAGTCGATTCACTTTACAATATATTCTGTGAAGCGCTTTGAGACGTCTCGAAGATGTGATAAGGCGGTATATCAAATGCTAGGATTATTATTAAAAAAACTACTTAAATTATGGAATATGTAAGAGGCAGAGAATGAGGTATAAGGAATTGCTTTAGAGGCATCACTCTGTGTATTTTCAGTATAGGTTTTTTTATTTTTTTAAAAAAGTTTCAACAAAGTATCTCCTTCAATACTTTTCTGTCTCAGGCAAAGAATGTGGGGGTATTCTCACTGATCCGGAACGAGCAATCAAGTCCCCAGGCTATCCAGACGAATATGAAGACCAACAGATCTGTTATTGGCACATCCGCCTTAAGTACGGCCAGCGCATCAAACTATCCTTTTTGGAGTTTGATGTGGAAGAAGATATGTCTTGTTTGAGCGACTACCTTGAAATTTACGACAGTTACGATGACATGCTAGGTTTTGTTGGCAGGTGAGTCTTTTGCCACGGGCCAGAACTATAATGTCAAAATGTTATTGTAGGTAGTGTAAGCGTGCAGTTGCGCACTGGATATCCCAAATTTACACTTTTACAGCAAGTGGAGTCCTGTAGTTCAGTGGTTAGAGCACTTGCCTCGCAAGCGAGTGACCTGGGTTCTATTCCCGGCAGGGCGAAATGTTCGGCAAGTTTCCTTACTCCACCCATCTCTGTTTTCCTAGCAGAAAGTAGAAACCCGGTTATTAGTTGATTGGCAGATCGCTTTTCTGGGGATAATACCAAAAAAAAATAATAATTTGAGCCCTCTGTTCCAACTCCACAGCTTTTGTTGGCATAGCTTTAGCATCAATGGAAAATGGGTTACTGTATACGAGGGAAAACAGAATAGAGGAGAATGGGAGCGGTGTTGAGGAGGGGTGAAGGCTTGTGTGGATTGTAGGGCTAAATGGCCCGTTTCTGTGCTGTATAGTCTGTGTCATTCTATATAAAGGATAGTTCAATTAACTGAGATTGTTTGAATACATGACAGAAATCAAGTTTAAAGTTTCATCGCAAACCACTGAATTTTGTTTTTGCGTTTCCAGATATTGTGGAAATGAATTACCACCAAAGATCATCAGCACAGGTAACCATTTGTACAGTATCTATATAATTATATCACTATCTTCCATGCATAATTGCCTGAGAATTCAGGTTCACCCAGGAAATATTTGGTCTCAAGGATACAATGTTTTTTTCAAGTTCCACTACAAAGGGGATTTCAAATCTATCTGGAATGCGTGAATGAGCTTCATGCTCAGTTCAAAGCGCAACAAATTCCACTCCCTGTAACATGCGTAGTGTGTTGCAGAAATAATAGTGGATTCCCGCCCCTCTTCTCTTGAAAGTGCTGACTCTAAGTAAGGTGCATAAGTGGAGATCATCTTCTGGTATCTTATGCAAGTGGTATCTTTCGCTTAGCAGGCTATGGCCTGCTCCACGTCCCCCGCCTGGCCCATCCCACCATCAGCGGTCAGGCCTTCAGCCTCTCTCCTTTGGAACTCCACGCCTTCCTTTCGCCTCGCTCCCTCCTTATATAATTAATAACAATAATAATCCTTCCATTTGATATAGCACTTTTCATGTCTTTGAGACATCTCAAAGTACTTCATAGAATACACTAAAGTGAATTGACTGTATATTTGTGGGCGAAATGCGGTAGCCAAATTGCGCACAGCAGCGTCCTACAAACAGTTGTGGAAGTGAACAATTTTTTTTCTTGAGGGATTATTATTAGGTGTGTGGAGTAAGGAAACTTGCCCAAGGTTTCGCCCTGCCGGGAATCGAACCCAGGTCTCTCGTTTGAGAGGCAAGTGCTCTAACCACTGAGCTACAGGACTTGTCTCCTTCAATATCTGAAGACCGTCCTCTTCGACTGCGCTTTGGTGACTCACTTACCCCTACCCTCCCTACCAACCACCCTCCCTGGTCCCAAACCCACTGCTTGGGTCCAGATCCCTGACTGTCCAGCACCTTGGGGCTTTCTCCCTACGTGAAAGGCACTGTATTTTTGTGTTGTAAGTGGCCATTGTTTACGTGTGAGTCTAGACAGTGAGTGTAATACTACACAGACGATCCACACACAAATAACAACTTGGTCATGACACTGAAGGGATCTGGTGCCCCCTGAACAGGTCCCTGTCCTGAGTCAGTATCTTCAGGACAGGAGAGAAAACATTTTGGAGAGGAAAACTTGAAACAAGAGGCAGGAATCAGCTTTACTTCTAACAAGTTCAAATTTGTGAACATTAATATTAACAACCGCAAGATTGCACAAAGAAATCAAGATCGTCAATGCTCTTCCCTTTTGTTACAGGCAACGTTATGACTCTGAAGTTCTTGTCGGATTCTTCAATTACAGCAGGAGGTTTCCTACTTACGTACGTGGCTGTCAACCCACCAGCCAATGGAACAAGTACAACTGACATCGCAACGGAAAGGCCCTGAGCTCTTTGTTTTCAAAGAATTTTGTTCATTTCCAGATAAATGCTACAAGATACTTTGGTTTCTCGAGCCAAACACTTAAATCTGCTGTTCAGGGTTTTAGATGTTAGGCTAGACACACTGTATGCAACCTAGTTTTGTTACACATTATCTACTCTGATAGAAATTCTAAGTATGATTTCTATGCCCTTAGCTTATTGCCATAAAATCTGCAGTGCTTGCTGCTACCAAACACAGTGATTAATATTAGCCTATGGCACCTCCGTCACTCAATTTGATGAGAGCAGTAGACTGCAACATAAAATGTGATATGTTTAGACTGAGTAAATGGAAACATTTTATTATTTGGTGGGGAAAAGAGCAACTTGCATAAATCAATGATATTAAGCAAATATTGTCATTTCCAAAACACCATTGTGTGCTCCCTATAAATCTGTGTTACTTGCTTCAAGTCTGTAATATTGCCCCAAGTATGTTGTTGAGTACAACAGGAGGATTGAGTGCGCTCCGGGATGCTACCCAGCACTCTGCCCCACGTGAAGCCCTATATAAATGCAAGTTGTTGTTCTTGTTGAGTACTGCATTTCTCTCTCAATTAACATACTGTGAGCTCTTCGTTTTTAAAGTTGCAATTTAATACAATCTACATTTGTTGCATTTTGCCTCTGACAATATCTCACTCCAAAAGCCGCTGAAACCCTGGTTGTCACCTCTCGGCTGGACTATTCAAAGCCCTCCTCGCCGTCTACCATCCATAAAATCCAGGTCATCCAAAACTCTGCTGCCCGCATTCTTACCATCACCAAACTCCACTCCCCGATTACCCCAGTCCTTGCCTGGCTGCCTGTCCCAGAGAGGATCGACTTAACCGCCCACCTCTCTGACCTCCTCTCTCCTAACAACAGTGCCAGTTGCCTTCGTTCCACCGGGTCTGGCTTCCTCCTTGTCCCCCGAGTCCTCTGCTCCACCCTCGGCAGCAGTGCTTTCTGCCACTATGCCCCGAGGCTCTGGAACTCCCTTCCTCACTCCTTTCGCCTCGACCCTTCTTCCTATTTTCAGGTCTTGGCTGAAGACCTTTCTTTTTGGCCTTTTCGCGCCTTTGGTCACCTTCCTCCCCCTCCCCCCGGCTCGGTCCCGGGATCCGTTACTGTGAAGCGCTCTGAGACGCAGTCCGGAGTGGAGGGCGCTATTTAAATCCAAGTTGTTGTTGTTGACAGTTACATATTAATAGTCATGTGGGTTACAAGATGTAGAAGCATGATATATTTACTATGGCATTGAACAACTGCACAATGTACACCATTTTAATGTTCACTAATCTTAACAATTTTCACTCTTCAGACAGCCGAATGTCCTTAACCATGAAAGCAAATTATGTAAGCATTTGATAATAATAACCCTTGCATTTGATACAGTGCATCATCACCTCATTGAAATGTCTCAAAGCGCTTTACAGGATTTAACTATGAGTCAAATTAAACTGCAGGCTCTATTTCTGGTGGTGTGCGTCTGTCAGTTCCTTTAAGTTTCAGCTTTGCAACCATACTCCTCCTGGCACCCAGACACAATGGTTTCCCAGAAGCTGCTCAGCAGGTCAAGAGAATAACGCTGCTGGATTGCCTCCGATTTTCATTCTTAATGAATGAAAGCATTCTTGGCAAATGTGAAGCATATTGCCTGTGTATTTGTAGGCAAACATGGCAGCCAATTTGCATGCAACAATTTTCCACTAACAGAAATGAAGTGGATAACCAATTTTATCGGGTGTGTGGGGGGAACGTTGTTGGCCAGCACACCGGAAAACTCAAGTAGTGCACGGGTTCTTCAAAGTCCACCTGAGCAGCCAGATGGGACCTTGGTTTGACTTTTCATCCAAAAGACATCATCTCTAACAATGCAATGCTTCCCCAACACTGCATTAGAGTGTAGCCTGATTTTGAGTTCAGAGTCAAAGAATAATGGACAAGACGTTCTTTGTTTCCAAAGGAGAATTAAAACCACAGCGACCAAGTAAACAGGAAGGAAATCCATTGTATATAATCATAGAATTTTATAACATGGAAGAAGGCGATTCAGCCCATTGTGGCTCTCTGGGAGAGCGATGCAAGTGTGTTAAAATCTGAAGCAATGCAGTGTTATCCGGGGGGAACACAAACCAGCCTTTCTTTATATAAATTTACAGGCTGAGATTCCAATTGAATGAATTGGATAACCTTATCACTATGCCTCACTTTCCATGGTAAGATAAGAACAGAATAAGAGAAGGGTGGGATGCTTAGCTTGGATGAAAATAAACACTGAGCCAAAACTCCTTAAGAATTCCTTATGTTCACCCACACTTTGAACTAATTACATGTCCAGAGAATACAAACAGTTGTGGATTGAATTACTTATTTTTTGTCATTTTTTTTTGAAGGAGTTATTGCCCTGGAAAAGCGATCCTCCAATCAACTAACAACCAGGTTCCTGCTTACTGCTAGGTAAACAGAGGTGTGGGTAAGGAAACTTGCCCAACGTTTCTCCCTGCCTGGAATCGAACCCATATCCCTCGCTTGCGAAGCGAGTCCTCTAACCACTGAGCTACAGATCTCCACAATAATTTTAATATACGACTGTTTTCGCCCACAAACATATAGTTAATTCACTTTACAGTATATTCTGTGAAGTGCTTTGAGACATCTAGAGGACGTGAAAAGAGCTATATCTCAGAAAAGGAGTCCTGTAGCTCAGTGGTTAGAGCACTCGCTTTGCAAGTGAGAGACCTGAGTTCAATTCCAGGCAGAGGGCGAAACCTTGGGCAAGTTTCCTTACTCCACACAGAGCCTAATAATACCTCCAAAACCAAAAACAATAATAAATTGGTCATTTTCAATCTACGACTGTTTGTGGGACATTGCTGTGCGCAATTGGCTGCCGCGTTCGCCCACAAATATACAGTCAATTCACTTTACAGTGTGTTCTGTGAAGCGCTTTGGGACGTCCTCCCGACGTGAAAAGCGCTATATCAAATGCAAGGATTATTATTATATCTTTAGCGACTTTAAACCAAGACACTGGACTAGTTTTACAAATTGCTCAATGTGGATGGGCCCTCAACACACGCATTACAGTAAATCCTGTGAAGCATTTTGAGACGTGCTCCCAATTTGAAAGGTGCATCAAACTCAACGGTTATTGTTATTTATTCATTGGGGCCGGGGAGAAAAGTGAGAGGGAAAGCCTTTACTGCCAAATGCAATCCTGTTCATGCACCCACCAACAACAACTTGCACTTATATAGCGCCCTCCATGCAGGGTAACATCTCAGAGAGCTTAACAGTGGTGGAGTCAATCTGACTCCTGAGCCGGGGGGTGGGTGTGGAGGTGGCCGTAAGCACGGTCGAAGAGGAAGGTTTTCAGGCGTGACTTGAGAAAGTTGAGAGGCGGGAAAGACAGAGGGATTGAGGGAGAGTGTTCCAGAATTTCGGGGTGTAGTGACTGAAACCGCGACCACTGATGGTGGGGTGGAGGGTTCGAGGGATGAGCAGGAGGCCAGTGCCAGTCGAGTGTAGGTATTGGGTAGTGGATTAGGGAGTGAGGAGGTCAGAGAAGTAGGGAGGTGCCAGAGAGTGAAGGGATTTGAACATGAGCGTGAGGATCTTGATAACCAATCCTTTGATGGGGAGCCAGTGAAGCCTGGTCAGAGCTGGTAAGATGTGGGTACGGAGTTTGTTCTGGTTAAATATGTGGGCGGCAGAGTTCCGCATGAGCTGGATTTTTTGAATGAGCTGGATCTTTTGAATCCACAAACAAATCACATAGAATAATGATAACCTGGACCTTTGCCTCATGTTTCATTTCCTCTTTCCTGCTTCAAATGGATTGAGAACAATTGACATTGCTCCATCTCAAAGTGCTGTCAATTTCTTAGGCGAACACATACAAATCTAGATATAGAATTATCTCCCCCCAACAAATAATAATTGTTTATGCCTTTTAATTGAATAAGAGGCATCATTGTATTTGTTCAAGAAAAAAAAACTTGATTGTGTGTATGAGCAACAAACAATTGTGAGATGAAGCAGCTGTATTTTTCTCTTCCCGAAATGCATTGATAGCTTTTCTAAAATGTTCTCACTCCTGAATCTTTCGCAGAATCTTTGCAATGGTCGTTTCCAGTCCTGTATGCACCTAAATAAATGAATGAACATTGACCAGAAATCACTCTTCATAATCAATCTCATCTCCAACCAAACTCCTTTCAACAAAGACTCCCCAAACGCTCGCTGTGACGTGTGTGTGGGGGGAGGGGCGTGTGCGCGTGTGGGAGCTGTTTGCCGTTGCTGGGGTGAGAGGTCAGTTACCCAGGATGCCCCGGGCGCGCGCCCTTTGGCGCGAGGCTGTTCCCGCGCGGGTTCCATTTCCAGGCGCCGGCTGTCGGGGCGGCTGAGGATTTTTTTTTTTTAAATCTATCGGTCTATCTCTCGTCGTCGTCGTCGTCGTCTTCTTCGAACGGGACTGGATTGTGCCGCGCGCGCGAGCCGGAGCGTGAGTGAGTGAGTGAGTGACCGAGAGAGAGAGAGAGAGCGCGCGAGGAGCCGCCGCCAACCGTCAGTCAGTCCCCGTCCCCCCCTCTCCCCCAAGTCAAGTCAGTCAGTGTGTGACAGACAGAGAGCGCGCGAGAGACGTGAGAGGGAGAGAGAGAGAGAGAGATCGTGACAGTGTGACGGTTAGAGAGAGAGAGAGTCGGTGAGGGGAGTGTGAGGTGAGGTGTTGTGGGGGTTTGGGGGGGGAAGGAGAGGGGTAGAGAGAGCGACGCGAGAGAGGGTCTCCCGTTTCGGGCCACCGCGAATGTTGCGGCTAAATAAAGAGGAGGGGGTGGGGGGGGAGGCAGGTGAACGGTAGGCCTCTCTCTCTCTCTCTCTCTGCGGGTTTTTGGGGTTGGCGGGTGATGCTGGTGGTCGCCGCCGCCGCTTGGGTCTGTCGGGAGGCCAGACAGGGAGACCCCGCGGGGCGGGAGGGGAGGAGTGGGTGTACCCCGTAACTGTCCGCGTGTTTGTGTCTGAGGTGCGTTCACCTCGTCGAGAGCTCCTCACACTAAGGCCCTCTCGGTGAATTGCGACTGAACCCAAGTGGGGTGGGGGGCGGGAGAGAGAGAGAGAGAGAGAGAGGGGGAGAGGTGGCGGGAGGTGGAGGTAAATAAATAAATAAATGGCGCCGTTATGGGTCCCCCCGGTTGTCGTCGCCTTTTGCGGAGCCGCAGCCGAGAAGGTCGTGAAGCCGAGAAGACAGTGAACAAACACATCCACTTCCCAATTTTTTTTTGTACAAATCGTTTCCTTTGCTCCTCACACACACACACATACACACACACACACACGCGCGGCCTCTGGTTACCTTCACAGTGAGTAGGACCCCCCCCCCCCCTGTTTGTTAGTCGATTGGAGGAGGATCACTTTTTTTCTTTTCCCGGGGGTGGGGTTGGGGGCTAATATTCCCTTTTTTTTAAATAAAAAAACACACTAAAGTGGTCGCTCAATCCGCCAACAGACCGGTTTGTGGGGAAACGCCGCTGCGCGCAGTTGGCCGCCGCGCTGCGCCCACGAAATACGCCGGCGTTTCGCTTTACGGCGTATTCCGCGCGGCGCTTTGAGACGTCCCGTCTCGGCGATAATTATTATTATTCTCTCCCTCCCTCTCTCTCTTCCCTTCTCATCTCTCTGCGCAGAGCTTCCAAGAGCTGGACCCCAACCCACCGCCCCTCTCACTAAACGAGGAGGTGGAGAGAAAATAGTTGAGAGGAGTTAAGGCCCTCAGTCACTGATTGCTCTTTATGTTCCTATGTTATGTGTAGAAACAGCAGAGGAATAATGCCTCAGAGCAGCTACATCACACCAGAATAAAAAATACAATATATTATCATTATATATTCAGTCCTTTAAGTCCCTTTGGTAGATGTTTGTACTTGTTTTGCGTATGACCATCGCTGGTATTAATCTACAGCAACAACTTGCATTTATATGGCACTCGTCACACAAGGCAGCGTCCCAAAGGGATTGGGTCCCAACCTAGTCTCTGGCTTTATGTAACTTTCCATCCTGACTTGGTTGTCATTCTTTCTGACCTTTTAATTGGATCAATGCCCGTATAATTCACGTAAGGGTAGTCATTATCTTGGCTTTGTAATGTAATTGCAGAGTTTGGGTAACATCCTAAACAGCAAGGCGATGAGACTAGGAAATGAAATTCTACATCTGCATGTGGTTTGCACTTTGTTTTGTTACCTTTATATATTCCATTTAAAAAAGGAAAATGATTTATTCTATTTAGTAGAATAAAACTTTCTATTAGTAGAACAACCAGGAGAGAAGGAGAAAATTCCACTTCAATCGATTAAGTCACTCTTGAGACGCTACCCTGTGTGTAGGGCGCTATATGAGTGAAAGTTGTTGTTGTATGGAGCCAAATTAGATATTTTTTGAGTGTTATGTCCCATATTACATTGTTTTGTGCCAATTCTTGGAGAATACTGACCCAAAATCTGACCTGACAGCCCATGCAAGTTTGAACACTATGAATTTATGAATGCGTGTTTTTCTTTTTTCCTTACTGTCCCTGAAACAAAATCAGGTTGTTTTGATTTCTTTGTAATTTTGCCCACTGCTGTTCAGTCTGATTTTCTCTCGATTGTCAGATCGCTTGTCCGGGGATAATAATAATAATCCTTGCATTCGATATAGCGCTCAAAGAAAAAAACTTTTTTTTAAAAAAAATCATTAATTGAAAAAAAATTGGTTACTTCAATCCATGACTGTTGGTGGAGCACTGCTGTACGCAATTGGCTCCGTGTTTCGCCCACAAAATATACAATCAAATTCACTTTAAAGTAAACAAAAATGTAATTTGCTGTTGTTATTCTGTGAAGCGCTTTGAGACATCCCGAAGATGTGATAAGGCACTCTATCAAATGCAAGGATTATTCTGATTATTATTCTTAAACGCTAAACCCCCTTATCAAACATGATCTTGTAGATATTAATTTTGATGTGGACAGGGCAGTTTCCTTCGTTTTCTCAACAGTTTCCTGAACTGTTTGAATAAATAGGAGTGAGATTTCTAGAAGTGAAACAATTTGAGGCAAAACTTGTTTCTAGATCTTATGTACTGCCTCATTGGGTAGTCCATGAAAATGTATCAACTATTATTGTTATCTACTTGGAAGCAATGTGTACTTAATCAGAGAGTGGTGAAATAAATGATCTTTCTTTCCACACATTGAAGCGGTGTTAGTAAAGTTTTGTCTGTTTACAGATTTCCTTGCTCAATAATGGCTACTGCTAAACCAGCAGTTTCAAGCTTCGCACCACTATTAGAAACCTTGGAAGATTTGTCTATTTCAACTACAGAGCAGGTGGATGCCTACCTTACCATTTCTAAGTAGGTGTACATATTATAACTTTGTCATGGCAAGATGAATGATGTTGTTTGGATCGCTCTCGCCTTTTGTTACTAAGCTAATTGTTGCGTTCTGTGTTCTTAGTCGCCTGAGTGGAGGGGATGGGAAAGAATTTGCTGGTGCAGTCGGGTCTCAGTTCAGTCGTCTCTGCAAAGCATTTAAAGTGAGTTTTTTTTTCAAAATTTTAATTTTTCAAGGAATTGTGTTTTAATAGTGGTAATTAGCTCTTGTACGAACGTATCATTAGTTGCTGAGAAGCACTGCTGCTATCTTGTCAAGAGTTGCCATTTTCAATATCGGATAATTATATTTTTGAAACACGACAGTGCAGTAAAGTTTTGGTCGGCTGAGTTGCTGATTTATTAGCCATGTTGTTGTGGGAATTTGACAAAGGAGAAGAAAAATTTGGGAACAATTTTCAACGAATAAGCAGGATGCATCCCTCCAGGAAGAAACTGCGCATTCCATTCCAAAAGATATCTCTGGAATTTCCTTGTAAAGTTGGGATACATGGGACTCTGTTTGGTTTGTATACTCTTGAACATGGTGATGATGGGTTTCCGATGTGTCAGTCACCCACTGACCCCAAAAATTCAATCATCTCGAAGTGCGTGATTGAACAATAATTGAGCTTCCCTTCCCCTCTCCCTCTCCTGCACCCATTGTAGTTGAAGGTTTGTTGGTTTCAGATTACAGTTTCACACTTTTACTTCAATCTCTATTTTGTTTGTATAGGGTCACATTTCAAGTTCAAATTCTGAAGTTGGTAATGCAGCACTGCAAGCATTGGGTTTCTGCGTCTTTCACAGTAATATTGTTGCTGGATTGCCAGGTACAGTGTAACTTTTGTCAAAGTAAACACTAAGTCTTGAGTTTAGTTTCAGCTGTCAATAAACGTGTTCTTAAGCTAATATGTTTTCGGAAGCGAGTAGCTTAGTGGTTAGAGCACTTGTCTCGCAGCGACAAGACCTGGGTTCAATTTCCGGGCAGAGCGAAACGTTGGGCAAGTTTTCTTACTGCCTATTTTTCTGTTTACCTCGCAGTAAGAAGGAACCCAGTTGTTAGCCAATTGACGGGTTGCTTTTCCAGGGATAAAAATCCCTTTAAAAAGTAATAATTTTGTTACTCAATCCACGACTGTTTGTGGGACACTGCTGTGCGCAATTGGCTGCTGAATTTTTCCCACAAAATGTACAGTCAATTTACTTACAGTATATTCTGTGAAGCGCTTTGAGACATCTCGAAGATGCGATGAGGCGCTATCTCAAATGCAAGGATTATTAGTTTATAGAAATGTTCCACAATTCACACAATTGGTTACTGCTTTTGGAGAACAGCAGTCTAAATTAACAATTTATTTTGTGGTGAATATTCCAGCAAAAGTTTCTATTTCCAGAGATAACTGGAGTGCCTTCGCTTTTGGCACCAGCTTAACGTTACTTCAGATTGATGAAGGAAAAGCTTCTGCTCAACCCTGAGATATGACAGCTGTAAGGAAGCTGCCTAAAAATGATTGGGATAACACAAAAGTTGAAACAAAAAAAATAGTTGAGCAGCTATCAGTAATGAGGAAAAGTATTTATTTGATAATATTCAGGCTGGACTATAACGGAATTCTATCTTGTATTTCCCCAAAGCCAACTTTTCAACTGGTGACTTACTGTTCTATTGTTTGAGAACAAATCTCAACTGTTGACTGCAGACAATATACGTTTAATAGACTACATTAGCACTGTAATTAGCTTCTTCTTTTGCATTTGACCCCACAGGACCAGATGCAAGTGAACTGCTCCTTGCTCTGTGTGATATTGCTGTCAAATCCACTGACAAGAACAGGTGCACAAGAGCGCTCTGGGTAATCGCTAAGCAGAACTTTTCCCCAGAGGTGGTTGGGAAAGAGGTAAGTTTTCTCCTTATACGTCATGGTCATGAAATTTTATGTAATTCTGAATATTGGTAACTGGAATTTCTTTTTCTTGTTTGTTCTTGATGCTTATAATAATAATTCTTGTATTTGATATAGCGCCTTATCACGTCTTCGAGATATCTTAAAGCACTTCACAGAATATTCTGTTAAGTGAATTGACTTTATATTTTGTGGGCGAAACGCGTCAGCCAATTGCACACAGCAGTATCCCACAAACGGTCATGGAATATAGTATTATCAAATTGTGATTTCCTTTTATGATTCTACATTGGTATATCCTTTGGATGTGTGTCTTCGGATAGTTTCTAAAGTCTCAGAAGTGCTGGTTTTTTTTCAACCGTTCCCTAAAGCTCCACTCTCACACATCCTTTTTTTTATTCTTCTGTTGCTTTGTAGTTGGAAAGTTATTAAACTATTTATAGTTTAGAATTCATTATCCTCATCTCTGCATAATTAACATGTACCACAAAGTTTTGTTCAAATTAAAATTTCTACCTCTGGTATGTTAAGGTGGATAAATGTGGGAAAAATTTTATATTGCCGACCTTTTAAAATGGTCTTTCATTACTTTTTGTCATGTTTATTTTCTCCATATCTTATTGTCTTGTGTTTCCTAAATGTCTATTCCTAATGTTGAATGTTCATTTTGATAAAAAAAGTTTCCTTTACTGCATACATGTAACCCAGTTTAGTCTGCTACCGATGTTGAATTTAAATAACAGGACTGTTCAGCATTTTATCTATTCTAGCATTTGGTAGTGAAATTGCACAATACACATAACTTTGGAGCCTAAAATTTGCGAGAAAAGTTATGTTTTTAGTTTTTTAAAAAAACTCAATGAATTGTTCCCCCCCCCCCCCCCCCACTTTACTAAATTATGGGCATATATCAAATCAAGGTATCTTTTCAATCTACCATAAATGTGGCTACTGCAACTTCCTTTTTCATAAACTGCAAGGATTATCTAAAATATTTGTATACTATTATTGCATCAGAATAAAACACTCATGAGATTTACTTTAATATGCTAGGTACCAAATATACTTGCAGCATTGGAGATGGTCCTCAGTAGAGATGCACAATCAATAGTCATTGAACATGAAGCACTAAATCTAATTATACGGTAAGTATGGAACTGTTAACATCAAAAGTATGATTGTGCAGCATTGCAGGGTGTGGATTCTGTAGAGTGGGTTCATGGGAATAGACATTACATTATAATAAATATTCCCTACATTCGTAATGTGAAATTGAACTAGTGGTGATAGATCCATGTATAATTTAAAGAAATGGTTAGAAATTTGTCCAATTGGAATATTCGATTGTTGAGTTATCCATCGCAAGTATTTTTATAATGTTACAGCACAGAAACATGCCATTTATCCCATCAAATCGGTGCTAGTGTTTTTCTCAACATATGATTAAATCTAATCCCACTCTCTTTGCTCCTCATATCATTTAATCTACTTCTTGGTATGTACCAAATTAACGTGACCAACATGAATGGAAATTAAGACAACTTGTATCTGAAATATTCTTTCTCTTTCTTTAAGGCTAATTGAGGTAACACCTGCTAAAATGGGCGAAGATGCGGTTCGGTGGGCCAAGCTGTTGGTTCCTCTTGTAGTTCATTCAGACGAAAAAGTGCGTTTACGGGCAGCGACGGCCCTAGAAATGGGAATTCCTTTAATGCTGCAAAAACAACTGGAGGTTGCAGCTGTGATCGACCCTTTGATGATGCCGGTATGATTTGGACAAAGTCCAATGAAAGATTGTTCTTATTTGATAATTTTATTACTCATCTTTAATATTAGTAAGACTCAGCTATTGTGTATTGTGGTGCATTTTAAAACCAACTCATCTATGAGATATAATAATCCCTACATTAGTCATGAAATTGTTAAAACTACTCCATTGTGATCTATGGTTCAGCATTATATATGCTTTAAACATCATTTCTAAAGCTTTTTATTAGTAAATAACTATAACTCGTATCAACAATAAACCTCTCCCTCCTCTGGCTCCAGTGCATTGGGGAGGGGTGGAGTGGATTCAACCTGTCCTCCTGTATACTATACTGTTTGTCTGTTTGATACATATGCACAAGTCTCTGGTTCTACTGAGGTCTGTAACTCGGCTGTACAAATGTGTATACTCTGTGCTGCAACATTTTTGCACACCACATCTATCTTTTATTAAATCATTCTATTTTAACCGAAGAAATAACATGATCTGAATTTGTATTTTTCAGAAAATTATTCCAGAGCTACAGAAATTCTTCTCGGCAAAAAATGAAACATATGTGCTGAAATTATGGCCTCTTTTTGTGAAGCTATTAGGAAAGGTAAGATTGATCAGGACATTACTCCCTTTTGTATTGTTTAGACTTTAAAGAAGAGTGAATATCAAAGAGTGTGGCGATCCATCCAAGTCCTTTGTGAGAGTCAGAGTCAGTGTGGCTAAATGTGTTGATTTTTAAGTTCACCAAAAAGTCAATGATGTTTAATCTCAAAGGTCATTATTGCTGTTGCATAAAATAGTATGAAGTAATGCTGAAAGGTAGGGAGGAGTACTTTTTATTCAAAATGTTTCCACTGTAAATGTCATATCACAGAGAGTAGCTGAAGAGCTTAAATGATGTTTAGTGGGTGGGAGCTTTAAATCAACATATTGTGTTGTCACTGGCAATGGAGGTTTCCAAAGTTAAACGGTGCTCAGACATACCAGTATAAAATGGCGAGCAAACTCAGTAGAACTGCTGCATGTTATGTCCTCTGTAACATTAATCACCAAAGTGTCCTAATATGTGTTCTTTTGCTCCCACTAGGCATTACACCGTGGTCGAACTTTCATTAATTCCCTACTGCATTTAGAAGAACTAGGCTTCCGCAGTAGCTCACCAGTTGTGAAGAAAATCGCTTTCATTGCCTGGAAAAGCCTGATTGACAACTTTGCCTTGAATCCTGGTAAGCAAAGGGAATGTGGGTTCCATGTTAAATTGTTTGAGAAATGGTTTAGGTTGTATTGGCCAAAGATGAATCCATTGCATTTACTCCCTCTCTATGGTGGGGGAATTGCTGAAACCACTTGAACACCATTTGAGATTGGAATGGTGCTTTCTTTCATCTTCTACCAAAACTTCATTGCACCTAAATTTGGGCATCGGGATACCACATTGCATGGCACAGGGAAGTCGTGTGCATTAGTACTCTTGGGAGGGAATATAATTATGGATGGGGGTGGGTGACGATGGATTTAGAGGGCTGAGGTTTATTGTTGGAAAAATAATTGCGGAAATACAGTATTTGAACTTTTCTAATCTTGAATTACGTAAGTGACTTAATTACTTAATGTTTGTTCATGTGTAGATATACTTTGCAGTGCAAAAAGGCTGAAGCTTCTCATGCAGCCACTACTTTCTATTCATGTAAGAACTGAAGTTTTGGGACTTGCCAAACTAGAAGTCTGGTGGTATTTGGCTTTTCGGCTCGGTCCACAGCTTTCTGCTAACTTCGAACAGGTAAGGAGATGACTCCCAAGTAGTCCTGGCCCCAATCTTCTTAATGAGATTGACACTTGGCGGCTGTTTTATGTGGGAATCACCTACAAAAACACGGTGAAAGTTGTTAGTCGATTGGCGCATAGCCTTCCGGGGATAATAATCCCTTCAAAAAAATAATATTAATTTGGTCAGTCACTCCACAATTGTTTGTGGGACACTGCTGTACGCAATTGGCTGCCGCATTTCACCCACAAAATGTACAGTCACTGCACTTTACAGTATGTTCTGCAAAGTGCTTTGAGACGTCTCATAGAATGATAAGGCACTATATCAAATGCAAGGGGTATTGTTTGTTTTAAGCTAGAATTGTGCCTAATTCAGTCCGGGACGCTAATAATAATTCAACTTCTGCTGGTGATATTGGACATGGCAGATAATTAGCATTGCTGTTGAGATTCTAACCTGTTTATGCTCGTTCAGTTTTGTGATGAGTTTATTTTATTTTGTGGTGAGCTAATTCAGACTTAAACAAATAATGTTTAAAGAGTTCAATGCAAGTTATTTTATTTAAAGATTAATTCTTACCCTGTTTAGACTACCTTGACCAGGCACAGACTTTACTGTATCTTGTTTTCCTCCCTTTGAAAAGAATTGTAGTTTCCATTACTGAAATTGCAAGGAGATTTTTGGTGCATTTAGACCGGATTGTTGAAAGTGGTTCAGGCTGTGTTGCTTGATAGCTTTGAGATGACTGAAACAGCTGAGTGGGCGCTCAAGTGTTGATGAATCAAAAAATACATAGTCCGCATAATGATTTTAAATAGTTTTTCATTTGTGAGCTACACTTTCTTAAGAATACAATGTTTTAAGGACTGTGGGCCATAGTTGGACATGTCTTTTGAAAACGTGCATTGACAAATGGTATCTGAACTGTTTTTAATGAACTTTGTTTTAATATTGTTTTAGAAAGACCTTTTTTTCTGAATTCGTTTGATAACAGTAGACAGAAAATATTGTGGTATTTTAGGATTGTTAGTTGACAATCTGTTGATTGGTACATTATGCTTTCTCAGAGTGAAATATTAATCTACCATTTTTGTCTCTATCCAACATTATTGCACCAGGTGGGTGTGCCACTGCTTCAAAACGCATTTGGCTCTGAAGGAATTCTCATACCTCCTGGGACACCATCTAGAGCTGCCATACCCATTCTTAATATAACTCCAATCTCTGCACAAAAAGGAAGTAAAGGAGGTAAATGCCAGCCACGAGAGTGAATAACATTTCCTATAACTGCTACGGAATATGCGGTATAGGAGTGTAGAGGAAAAACAAGTGTTGGACTGAAAAATACAGCCTTTCACTTCTATTCTCTTGTATTTTTTGAGGCTATTGACAAAAGCTTAGCATTTCTTAGCATTAATCTCAAGGTTTCTTCCATTTTTTCCCTACAATTTACAGTTTAGGGAACACAATGCCGCCAAATCTTTGACGTATTCCTGGATTGAGAGATTTTTGCCCTTCTTACTAGATATTGCTTTAAGTTGCATTAGGGAAGAATTTTCCTCCCTTCATTTTGCAAGTACATTTCCATAGAATGCCTCCCAAAAATTGGAGGCTGTTTGCAGGGAGCTGTGCATCTTAACACACAGTATGTTAATGCAGCTATTTGGAGTTCTTTTTAAAAAAAATTAACTGCATAAAATAGTGATTGAGAGGTGTGCTTGATTTTTTTATCCCGCACCACGTTTTATGTTGTGTAAATTAATCTCCTGTAGGAGTTCTTGCTTCTCCAAGTCCTACAGTAATGAGGTCACAGTTGAATTCCAGCATGGCTACATGTCCAGTGATCCAAGCTGTACAACTTGTCGGAGTTGAAGTCTTACTTCATTTCCTGGTGGGTCCAGAGATTATAGATCATGTGAAACCGAACAAACTTCAGCTTAGTCTAGGTAAGTATAGTGGTTGGAGATAGATTGGACTATGTTCATTGTAGTCTTGAATAGTCCACGTGTACTAATTTACCCATTAGATTTTTAAGGTTCTATTCGCTGTAAATGCAGGGGGTTTCCTTTTCATAGAATGTCTGTTTGGACGGTGTACAGTAATCTACTTTGGTTAAGATTTGTGGGTACTGAGATCAAAATGTAGAATATTGCCACCAGCTATATCCACTAACGATACAATTGAAGGTCTATAGTACATTCAGTAAAATTATTAGAAATGTGACTCTCACTGTGATCTAGTGGGTAAAGGTACTAATTTTATATGACACTAAGTAAGCTTTGACCGTATTGCAAAATAAATCCCAGTATGTGCTGAATTTATCAGCAGCAAGGCACTCCAGTGGCCCTGGTTTAGACGGAGTAAAAATCAGCTAAGTTTCTACTCATGGCTGCTATCCAAACTTTGTGTAAATGAACATTGGGTGAGGACTGTGCTATGATGCCCTAATCAGTTGTAGTCAAATAGCTTACCAGTGCTATTCAGTGACAAATTTGAACAGGAATATATTGTATGTATCCTTCCCATAATTTTAACTTATGACGTTTTATGGATCATGCCACGTTACCAGTTTTACTATGTACATGGTCTCCCAGTGACGTATCATCATTGTTTCCTACAGACCCTCTCCAGCACCCATTAATTAACAGCCCTTCGTTCTTTTGCAAGCATGCTGGAACTTTGATAAATGCAGTCAGGGATGCTTTCATTTCTGTTGGCAAAGTGGTTGAAGGTAAATGATTTTATTATGATTTTGTACTAGTATTTTATGCTTAGTTTGTTCAAAAGTAGCAAAAAATAACTTATATACTTAAATTAATGGGACATTCAAAGTTTAATATTTACTTTGAATATGCACACAAAATATTAGTTAATAATGGTAGCCTTTTCCATTTGGTTAGCTTCCTGAAAACTTTCCATTAATTGACCAAATTGAGAATAATACATGGTTACTGCATTATGGCACTTATCTATTCATTTGCAGCGGATTAGTAGATGTAACGTTGCCCATCTTGGACTAATACTTTCATTAAAGAGGTAGATTTTCACTTAGAACCATAGAAGAGGGCCATTCAGCCCATGGTATCCCTCAAGAGTACTTGAGAAACCTTATGGTGATAAGGGGAAAAGGTACAGTATATTTTCTTAATATTGAAAAACTAAAGAATCTTTAAATTTTGTTTGCCTTCTGTAGATGTCATGCTTAATCTTATTTGGAAGCACCTGATTAGCTATGTGAAGACCGCCATTGAATCAGGTTAGTAAAACATGTATTTACCCAAACTCTTAGCCTCCGTGGTAGTGGTTAGCTCTATTAGACAGACTATTTATTGGCAGTGCATTAAACAATTAGGAACGACTTTTTCTAATTTTAATAAGATGCTTTTAAATATTTAAGGCGCAAAGAAGGAGCGGCAAGGATCCGAGGTATTGACCTTGTTATTGCAAGCATTGCAACAGATCACAAAGTCAGAATCTCTCTCTTCACTCAAAATCTTGGTAAGTGAAATAGCTGTTTGCTTTATTGATGTCATTCTCATCCTGCATTTCTCTTACTTTCCTTCTAGGAAATAACTGAAGATTATTTTTAAATTAAAATATTAGTGTGACAAAATATCTGTCCTAAAATCTGAACTTAAATTTTGATAATTTCTGTTTCCTTTTCAGACCCTTATAGAAATCGCTGTTAAAGGGCTCCCTCCAAAGGTCTTGGGATCACCAGCATACCAGGTCGCCAACATGGACATTATGAATGTATGCATGCAGTTTGAGTTATATCGTTCTGGTGTGACAGACTATCTGTAGAATGCTTAATAAACTCCTCGTATTCTTGGTAAAAGGGCACTTCAAATATTTTTGTTTCTTTTAAATCACTTTTATATATTATGTTGTTTGTGTTCTGATCTTTAAGTTATGTCATACTGTGTCTGAGCGAGCAAGCAAAGTTCTAAAGCTGAAATGTGCTGGAGAACAGCACACATTGTGTTGGGGTGATTTTATAATTACAGTCTATTCACTTTCCTGTGCTATTCCTATTCTGGCCAAGCGCAAAAATTTGATCTTTTGGGAATCGCATGCATCCAACCATTGTGTAGTGCAACCCAGTAGCTTTTCTGCAAAAAAGGCATGCGTTTTATACCATCTATCTTTAACCTCCAGATGCTCAGAATTTAAACCCATTCCACAACCTCAACTATTTTATTACTTTGCAAATGTTTTAAATGTTACACTAAATATTAGCTGTTTAAAGATTTAGATTGGTTGTGTTCACCAACTGTACCACTTTGATTCTTAGATAATTAGCCAGTGCTCAACTGCTTGTAAGATGGCCAAATTGTCAAAAGTATAGCTAAATTGCCCAACTATATTCAACAGCATTTTGCTAGAAATTATCCAATTGTTCTTCTAACAATGACAGTGAATATTCTTTGGGGGATGTTTTATATATTGTGTGTGCATATTTCTTATGTTTTTTCTCATATTGTAAAGAAAAACTAGTGCTATAATATTGCATGTTAAAATGCATGTTTGAAAACTACATTCATAAGGCAAGGATGAAAATGACAGAGTATGAAAACCTTTTTAGTATCTCAGTTTGTAACAGAACTGCTGTGTTGCATTTTTTTAATACTAATTTGAATCTGCAGTATGTTGATATATATTACATATATATTATATATATTCAAATAATTGGCTTTGTGTTATGTTTACAGGGCACTCCTGCACTCTTCCTGATTCTTCTGCTCTTTCACAATAATGTATTGCAATCCTCTGTGACCGAAGAAAGGTGTGCAGTTTTCTGTCAATTGATAACATTAAAAAGTGATAGTAATCTCAATATAAATGTGGTGGGGTTCAGAGTATAATATGCCCTTACTTTTTTGTTTTTTAATTTGCATAACTGGGAATTGTGTAGTTGGTTCGCAGTTACGTTTTAGTTAAGAACTCGTGGAAAGTGATGCTTATCAAAATGATCTGGTGAATGGAACATTTTCTTGGCAAATTCAATGTCCAGCACTCCCATGGCAGATATAGTATATGAGCAAAAACAGAAGTCGCTGGGAACATGCAACAGGTTAAGCAATAAATTTAATATAATATAGGTTGGAGCTCATATGCTGAGTCATAATAATGCTCCTCATGCCCAGTTTTTGAATGATTCCAAATTAACTGACATCATTGCCAACTTATGAGACTTTTCATTAGCTGCTTCCCCACCTTTTTTGTATTGTGTGATGTTCATGGTAATTACAATTACGCTATTTACAATTATGACATGGATACAAGTCAACTCAAAATTGCTCAGTGATTACGGGCATTATTATAATACTATAGTTATCCATATGAGACCTCTCCAGTAAGAGACCAGCTTTCCTGATTGTTCTTTTTCTGATGTGCATTTCAGGTTTTTTGTTACCCTCGAGACACTTGTTGACTATGGATTGTCTGGTCCCACGTCCTCCCTGGCATTCAGTGAATCAGTTCTAAATGTTATCAACCAGTCCGCAAGAATGGTGGAAAACAACGAACACCTTTGGCGTATGTGGAGCATTGTCATTAACCCATTGACAGAGCAGATTATCCAGGTAAGACGTTTTATAACTATTTCTTCAAATGCTTTTGATCCAGAAAGTTTCAGGCAAACTCTTTGCAAGTATGATTTTTGAAATTGCTTCCAAAGTTGGGTTTCTCTATAATCAGTCAGGTGTATTTGTGACGGACTCAGTTTAATTCATTTGAATTCCAAGCGTTTACAAGAGGTTGCAATATTATAAGGTGTAAGATTGCCACCAACTCCCTTCCTCTCTTTTCCTAAGATCCATTGCATTCTCTTTCTGAGCAAGTTGAAGTGATCTTACTTCTGCACTCTTTCTTCCGGGTTTCTTTTGCTTCCTAACTTTGACTGGAGAGTTCATTTGTCAAAGGCTTTTGGTTAAATTTTACAGACTTCTGTGCAAAGAGCTAGAGGAATTTTCCAATATAACAAGACGTTCAGACATTGAATGGTACGCTTCTTGCACTTAACACTTCAGAGTCACAGTGACCTGGGAGCTAGACCTGCCGATGCCAAGCTAGACCTGCTGTGTTTAAAAACTCCCAGAAAAAAGTTGTAAAGGAAAGTGCTCAGAAAATCTAAGAGCAAAACATAAGCTAAAAGAGCTAATGGGAGGGAAAGGGCAAATTAAAAAGGAATAATAGTAGTTAGGAATTGATGGAAAGAGGCTGTGTTTTGGGGCCACTAAACTTAACTGATGTAAAGATAACAAGCACGTGTGTTGTAGCTTGACTATCAAATACAATCTCAGAACAAAAGAGCTGTCAGGTTACTCAAAATAGATTTAATGGCTTAAAGAGAGTAGTGAACCAAAATTATATTTAGCTTCTGAGATGTAGGACTATAGAGCACAAACGTGAAAACTAGTAACTGAGAAAGCCTTTTCACTGCTTTATTCAGGATACTGCATTTCCCTTTTAAATGTTCCTGTTGTGCTTACAGCAACAAATTCCATTTTCTTTAATTTTTCTGGGACAAAAAGTTTCTTCTAATCTCCCAGTTAACTCTTTTCATTAGCAATTCTTAGTTAATGCCCCCTTGTTGTCTGTTCACCAGCCAGTGCGAATCGTCTTTGATTTATGGAACCTTTGAAAATTGCTTATTAAATCCCATTTGAATCTTCTCTGTTCAGTGAAAACGCACTCAGGTTTTAGAATGAATCTATCCTTAAAACTAATTTTGTGCTGATAACGTTTTTCGGGGAAATAATTTCTATCTTAACCCTTTTTTCTCTTTAGACCAATGAAGTAAATCAAGGAGATGCATTAGAGCACAATTTCGGTGCGATGCACGTTGCTTTGGCATTTCCCATCAACCACCTACTTCCAAGTCAGAATCTTCTGCAGGTATGGATGAGTTGCTCTCTTTGCACACGTAGAAAGGTTATTTTTTGTATCACCCAAACTATGCAGGTTACAAAGAATATAATTTGCAGTAAGATGCCAAACTAGGGGTTGGTGGAACATCTTTAATAAAACCCACGCCTCTGTTTACGAAGCAGTAAGTAGGAAACTGGTTATTAGTCAATTGGTGGATTGCTTTCGAGGGGTAATAATCCCTCCCCCAAAAATAAATAATTTTTAAAAAAATTGATAACTCCATGATTGTGGGACACTGCTGTGTTAAAAAGACGTTACATTGTATGTAAGGATAAAGGGAGTATACGTATTATAAGTATAGTGATGTCTGAGCAATTCAGTGTTTGTATTTGTGCCTCTTAAATGAAAGCATTACGTTTTCTCTTTAGCCTACAGTGAAGACACTGCTGAAGACTTGGGCAGAGCTGTACAGAGCATTTGCACGTTGTGCAGCTCTAGTAACAACAACAGAAGCTAATGTATGCTGTGAGGAGCTGTGTTCCAAAATCTTGCCAACACTGGATGATGCCGTCTTATCTGTAAGTTAATATGTTCAAAACAAGGTTATTATCGGTTCAACAGTGCATAACTTAAAGATTCAATCGGTGTTAAATATTCCTCAACTATGTATTCTATGGAAGTTGAGCTAAAACAGGAGTTCTTTCTTCAAATTCAATCTCTTATTGGTAACAATTGAAAACTGACGGAAGTTGTCACAGTACTGCTAGAGCAAACTGAATATATACCAAGTGTATTCGATAACCTCACATTTTTCAGCATAAATTGACTGCTGCATTCAAATATAGTCACTACAAATATAGTTACTATACAGTAATATCCTGTAAAGTGTTTTGAGATTTTTGAAGACATAAGGTGCTATATCAAATGAAAGGATAATTATACAGTACGTAGTCAACTCTTAGAGTCAACTATCTACTTGCTTTCTACAAGGAAAAATAGGTTATAGATCATGTGACAGTAATTGCCATCTCCTTGCAGAATCCCCTAGAGAATAAAAGACACTTTGAACAGATGGTGTATGTTTTTTGTACTTTCTAACTATGTATTTTCTTTTAAATGCCTTTTTATTACCTTTATATTGGAAGTTATTCCTTCCATGCTTGGCTCTATGGATTAAAATTGCTTGAAGTAATGTCTTGCGCATAAAATTCAGTCAAACAGTTTAAGGTATTAACTGACTGGTTTCCTGCTCTTTTCCAGAATTTGTCCACATTGATTGCTGTTGTTCATATCCTGACAGTGATGGTCGAATGCATTGATTTTTCTCAGTTCTCCAAAACGTTTCAGCAAAATAGAGGTAAGTAATTCTCTTCAGTGTGTTTTCTGGGATAGCATTTCAGCCGTTTAGGAGGGAATTCATAGGTTAGGTTAATCCCCCCCCCGCTCCACCCCTAGCTCATTGCACACCAGCAGTGTCAAAAGCTTTGAGATCTTCCCGATGTGAAAGATGGTATCTAAATATAAATTTTTATCATTTTGCATTGTAGGTTATGTCTAGTTGCGAATTCTTGGTTAAAATCCAACTATTATTATTTTCACCCACAAAATATACAGTCAATTCACTTTACAGTATACTTGAGACGGCTCAAAGACCTGTTAAGGCACTATGTCCTCCTCGCTCCCTCCCCTCACCCTGACCATTTCCCCCCTGCTCGGGTCATGACCCAACTGTGCAGCGCCTTGGGACGTCCTCCTGACGTGAAAGGCGCTTTATAAATGGAATCTTGTTGTTGTTGTTGTTGTATGTCAAATGAAAGTATTATTACTTTTTTATTAGACAGAGTCGTGTGAATGACTAAGCATTTTCGTTTTGTTTTCCTCCTAGCATCACCAACCTGTAACCGCTGGATAAAGAAAAACCATGAACCTTTAGGAAATCTAACGCCATTATTTAAACTTCTGGTGAAAGTCATTAATTCTTTTCATGTGCTAAGTTCCAAGGAATCTCAATTGGAAACCCCAATGGCTGGAATGGTATCCAGTGGAGTTAGCATTATTAGTATTCTATCCAATATTTTTTCCCATTTATCGTCGGCTTCAGCAATTCAAGAAGTGTTTACTCGTCTAGCGGGACCCATTTCTACCTTCTACAAAAGGAACTCAAAGTACGTTTTTTTATTTTACATTTTTGTCTGCAAGCCGAAACTAAAGATTGAAAATAGTTTTTCTTACTGTATTTGTAGCAATGGTTTATTACCGGTTGGAATGAGGAATTCACACATATTGTTCCAGTTGATTCCTATAGTGTCTCGTTGTCAACCTAATCAAACTGAATTTCCCGTTGTACATTCTTATATTCTTCTGAACTTTTTCTTCAAAATCGAGAGGTTTTGAACAATTGAAATCTTTTTGTTTATACTTGACAATTTTGAAATAGTTTCCCATAATTTTGCAGAGGTGTTTTATAACTTCACTGTACCCAAAGACTGGGACGTCTGCAGTTTTATTTCAGATGGTTGCAGGCAGTGCATCTTTCTTTAATGAAACATGTAGACAGTGAACAGTATGTTGTGCAAGTAGCTGTTGTCCACTTTGGGCATTTTATATCTTTAAAAAAATCCAACAATTCTTTGGAAGCATCATCTTGATAATATGCCCCTCTTCAGGTGTACATTATGGTATGCTATGATGAAAGGTTTTTATCATTGGCTAAATGGTGCAATGTATTTACTATTCTATGTTTTCTTTCTCTTAGATCTGCTAATGGCACTTCAAAGGTGTACACCACTCATCTATGCAATAAGGTAAGTAGGCAATGACAAATTACAAAATACCAAAGTAACGTCTTTATATTTTCATTTGCAAAAACAATTTCTGGTCCTGGTGTCGTACTGTTCTGTGGCATTGCCTTCTTTTAAAAACAAACTTACTGTAAATGAACTATCTTAATGATTTTAGGAAATTTTTAAATTGTATTTTTCAGCATTAGAAGTATGTGTATCTTAGTGAATATACCAGCCACTCTGATTGCGATTAAATGTATTATTTAGTTTTCTTGACGGTAATTTGATAACAACAATTTGCATTTATATGCATGGTTTAGAGTCCTGGAGTGCTTACTCCAGATGAATTGACTCAAATTTATTTTTCTTACAGCTGGAGAAACTCTATGCAGAAATTCTACTTTGTGTACAGTCACGTTATTTGTTACCTTATGACAGTTGGTTGCTCGAAAAGCTGTCCTCACTGCTGAGTATCACCTTCATACACAAGAACCGTCAGATCAGGAACCAGACAGCGCAGTTCTGGAATGCGACATTTGCCAAAACCGTGAAACTAAACTATCCACAGGAAATGAAGTATGTCTAGCTCTGGCGGTTTTCTGGTTTTGAACACACTGGAGGCATTTGAAAGGTTTCGATTGAGATGAAATCACTTCTGCTCAAAACTTCAGTTAAATTCACAAAATTGATTTCGCTATTTCATTTTTTTATTTTCATTTTTTTTATGTTTTATGTTTTTTTATTTTTTTTTATGTTGCCCATTTTTCTTCCCTAGATGACCATTTGAGTTATTGATTTATCTGTTTTCCTTTTATATTTTGTTTGATCAAATGGAATATTATTTTTCATTAAAAAAAGAATGTACACTCTTCGCCTTCTTAATGCTATTTAATTATATTATTTTAACATTTTGTAGAAGGTTGAATGTGCGTCTGACATTCTAGGAAGTATTTTTTAATGTGTGCTTACAAATTAAAGATTTGCTTCCCTAAAACACTTAATGCTTCAACGCAGGCCAGCACTACATCAGGCTAAGAAGAAAACACCCTTGATCTTGCCGGGATTTGGGTTATTTGAGTTTGCGGAAGATTTAAGTGGACCTTCCTCGGATTCGGTAAGTTTACAACATAGACTTGATTTTCTACTGTCACACATTACGAATGTACAGTAAATTGCTTAAGATACAAAGTATTGTTAGAAAATTCTTCAGATTTTTATGGAAAAAATATTTCTGTGTTTAGATTTTTGTCAGTACCTTTATGAAGTGGTGCAATGAGATCTTTAACATACATTTGAAGAATACCTCCAACAGTGCAACATTGACCTCTTATTACTTTGAACTGTCCTCCTAGATTCTGAGCAATGACATCTTATTCTTTGACTATAGTGTATAAGTTATGTCAGAATTTTATTCATTCAGTGTCTACCTTACCAAGAATTAATTGGCAAGAATTTCCTACATTTGTGTTATTAAATGTAAATATATGTGTGGCCACATGCAGTTCCTTTTCATTTCAAAATATTTAAAGTTTCTCTTTTTAAAAAAAAAAACTTGTAAATGTTGATTGTCTTGGAGGTCACAACTTGACAAAGTTTTTGCTAAATAGGATGATGTGCAAATGCATCACTTTTAAGTGTAAACGAAAGTATAAAAAATTAAGAAGTTAAACTGACGCTAAGCCCACCTGGAAACTTCCTACAGTGTCCACGATATCCGTCTCTTGTTCTAAATAGTATATATTCAGGCTATTGAATGTTCTTGTAAAAAAAAGTCAACTATATTGAAATAACCTGGGGGGGGTGCGGGGAACTTTGTTTCTTCAGTCAGAACATTCCCAGATTGACACCAAGATTAGTGGGGTGGAAGCCAAGGCTCCTGTAAAGCGTGAGTCACTCTCCACCAGAGTTGAAGAACATCTGGAGAAGAGTCCATCACCTGCTCCAACAAAAGTAAGTTCAGTTTTTGCAGGAATGTAATTTGTATCTGGTGATAGCACTTAATTTACAGGATAATTGAGGTTTAGCTTAAAGTAAGTTTTTTTAAAAAAAAATTAGCCTTGACTTTAATGGAGACACTCCAGAGAAAACTGATTTAACATTTTCCACTTCTCTCTTCTCCCTCCCCCAGCTAAAAATGGATTATTCTTCTCCAAAGCCATCCTCTCGAGAGCTACCTCTTGAGGAAGAAAAATCTGTGGATTTTGTTTTCATACCACCTGAACCCAAACAAAGAATACTAACTGAACACCAGAAAGAAGTGATGCGAACAAAGCGGTGAGTTTTTTTTTAAGTCTGGATAAGCTTCATAGGTTATATAAAAAAATAACTGATATAAATACAACAAATGACATTTGTATTGCACTTTTCAAATCGGGAGCACATCCCAAAGTGCTGGACAGTCAAGAATGCACCTACTAATGAAATACACCTGCAAATACGAATGAAACCAAGTTCCATGTTAGGATCAGTTTAGTGATTCTAAATACCTAGATTTAAAGTTGGTGTCTCCAGTGGAGGAACAAGCACCAGCATAGATTAGATAGAGCAGGTAACCATCTGTGCTGTCATTTCTAGGATTTCAAAAGTATCAATGTGAATAGACTCATTAACATACAAAATAGATAACTGGTCTGCAGTAAATCATTGTTGATTTTTTGTGTATGTACAGCAATTTGTATTAGTGTAGTAGTAATTTGTTATTAAATTTCAGGTGGATGGATTCCCATTTAGGGATGTATGTCGAGTTTTTATTTTAAATAATTTGCATATGTTGTGATGGGAGGGAATATTTAACCAATCCAAAACCATGATATTTTCATTTGGGGATCTTCAAGTTTAATTTTTTTTTCTTTTAGTCACAGTATAGTTATTCTTCAGCATAAAGGTAGGTACTAGAAAATGCAAAACATAAGAAGCTCCTTTATTATGATCCAAAGACTTGACAGTGTGACTTGTGTACCAGTGTGAGGAATAGTTTGCGATTGTGTAGTTTGAAAGTTTGTTTATGACATAGGTGGGGCAACCTATACAACGGATATTAGATTGAGCACTTAACTGAAGCTCAAATCCATTTTGTATTTTTTTTCCTGAAATAGGCCTGACATTCCTATGATGTACAATAACCTGGATGTATCTCAAGATTCTCACTTGTTTTCCCAATATACACAATCTCAAGATAGTTCGTAAGTAGATCTTCATTTTAATTTAAAGCTTGGATCCCTTTGTATGATTTTGAGTGCAGTGGTATATAAATTCTGAATTTCAGTGTATAATTTCTAAAGCACTAGCCAGGTCTATTGGAATAGCGAAGGTTGCTGCAAAGTTTAGTGACTTCATTGTAGTTCTTGTTAATTATTCAGGGCAATTTCTTTTTAAAGAAAGGGTTGTTTATTGCAGCTTGGAGAATTTGTATTACATTGTGGCTGGGACACTGTTTGTGTTCTTAGTTAGATCCAGGAGATGGACTAGGCATTTAACAACCACCTAGCTGGTGCACATTTTTTTAAATTGTCAAATTCTCCATCAGGCAATTTAGTTGTATATGTCTCTTGTTTCTATGAAACATTTATTGTTTTGGTAAGGTCTTCTAGAAAATATTCAAGTTCTCAAAAATCTCAGTACCAAATTGTTGATTAAACCGACAATTTAAAAAGATCTTTATAACTCCCCTCCCAAACAATATCGTTGCTGTTTTTTTGGTCAGGCTGTAGAGCCAGACCAGACCATTTACTAAAAGGAACTTCATAGTCAGCTGCAGTTTTGTTTGCAGAATCGAGATAGAAATAATGACTTAAAAGCTTGAATAAAGTACGCTCATTTTTCAATTGCTTTAGATTTGGTTTTCCAATTCTGTTACACAGTTTTTAGCACCTCACCCCAAAATCTTCCACCCGTGTTAGGCCTCACTCTATCTCTGAGGCTCTCTGAGACAGTCTCTGATTTAGGAAACGATATAAGTGCAAGTTGTTGAGAAATCTGCTGTCAGACTTTTATTTTTTGTTTTGTGTTTTCAGAGAAAAACCGGCTTCAGAGAAAAAAGCAGAGGAAGCCAACAAAAATACTCCACAGGTATTGACTGAGTTATCAGGACGTTTTAACTGAACTTGTGTGTAGGAGAGATGTAATAAAACAAGTTCTCCATCAGGCAATTTAGTTGCATGTGTCTCTTATTGCTATGACGCATTTATTTAAAAATGTAGTTCTGAAGCTAGACTTTTGATAGATTCGTCAATATTAGATTTATGCGATGCTCCTCTTTGGTACAGAGGGTTGTTTGCCAGTATAACCATCGCATTAATTCAAGATTTATTGGACATTGGGTTGGCGTATGTTGCCATTTGTTGCCATAAATATTTTTATTTTAAACCTTGCAGCGAGATGAACATATGGAAACTGAAAATGTGTGTGACATCCAGGATACAATGGAGCCGAGTCTCGGAGATAATGCAGGAAATGACCAGGAATGTAATGATGAGAAGAAATTAACAGAACAAGTTATCGAAGACTCTAAAGAACATGACAGTAATAACAGCCAAGAGAAAACAAGACATCTTGTAGTTGAAACTACATCGAACCGCATGAATGGTTATGCTACCGAACGGGAGACTTCCAATACAGATATCAGTGGGAGTTCTACATCATCAGACATTGTTTCTGGAACACCCCCACAAAAGAGCTTTAGTAGGCGGCAATCTTTTATTACTCTCGAGAAGTTTGACAGCTCTGAATTGTGCTCCTTCAGGGGCCTGACTATAGGCAATTTTGCACAAGCAAATGCTAAAATTTTAGTTTCTCCTCCAAAGGAGAAATTGGAAGATACCCCTCAGCTTGCTGTGGATAAAATTCCACAAGAAGTTGTCAGAAGTATTACCAAAGTTGAGTCGGTTAACATTGTAACTACTGTGGGAAAGAGAGGTGCACGGAAACAAAATAAAACTGAACTGGGGAAATTAGAGAAGCCAGCTAAATGTACCAGGTTATCCAAAAGGGGAAAGTCTTCAGAGGAAGAATCTACTGTTAATTCAGAAGGGAGTGCTTCATCCGAAGGGGACTTAATCACTCCTCAAGATGAGCAAAATGAACAAACTCCCAATACTCCGTCCAATATGACACTAAGACGTTCTTCAAGGAAGCTCTCAGAACTGGCAGCAACTGGTCAGGCAGGTAGCCAGAGGAAGAAGAAAGGCAATAAGCTAAAAGAAGGAACAAAAAATGAGGGAAAAACTCAGAAGCAGTCACCTCTGAAAAAAGGGAAATGCTTGAAGGAAATTGAGAATAATTCTAAAACTTCATCTAGCAAGGCTACACCGGGTAAAAGGGGTGACTTTAAAGCAGATTCTTTAGGCTGTGAATCCATCAAAGTTACCCCCCCTGCTGTCCGTTTTCGTTACCAGACTCGTAGATCATCCCAAGGTATATCTCAGGTTGAAAGTAATTGTGATACAAATGAGTCGGACAGTTCTGAAAGTAGCTCTCGGCTTCAGGATAGTCAAAACAGAAAGATGACACTTCGAGGAAAGATCAAAGCTCGAGAGGCTACTTCCCCAGTGGACAATAAGACTGAGAACATAACTAAATCTAAACCAGCTCCAGGCAATCAATTGTGCTCAGAAATTCAATCTGTAGAGATGGAGTCTTCAAAGGAAGAAAAAGGCATTGAGCCGGAGACTGGAACTGAACCGAAATGCACAGAAATGGCACACGTGGTTAATATGGAAAATCTAAGTCAGTCTTGCACTTCCGAAAGTGATACAGCACAGACACCAAGTGAAATGTCACTTGAGGAACAGATTATGGAACAAGAAGTTGTCCCCAAAATGTGTAGCATAGCACAGGATACAGGAAATCTAAGTCAACCTGTTGAAACTTTAGAAACAAGATTGGGTGCAACAGTTGAAAACTGTGCTGTTTCATCTGATGAATCAGTTTCTCCTGCAGCGGAAGATGCAATGAACGAATCCGGAACCAGCGATTGCTCATCTCTTTCAGATGTGTTCCTTACAGATGAAAAGAGCCAACAGACAAAGGACAGTCACAAGGTGAAGCCCAAAGGGAGAAGTAAAAGGACCAGGAAAATGAAACATTTTGTCTGCTGTAAAGGCTCCACAAAGCAGAAGAGGAAATCTCAGACAGAAGCTACAGAAGAAGTTGCTAAACCAGGAGAGGAAGATCAGAAGTACACTCCATCTTATGCTGCCTCCAAGAGGTTATCAGTGATTCCTCATTCTGATGACTCTGTAATTGATGGACCCTGTGCATTCAGCACACCGCTGACCAATCATAATAACATGCCCTTTTTTAGTTCTGTTAACACTCCTCCATCTGAGGCTGAATCACTCAAAATAAAGGATGCTGTTTCCATAGCTGATGGCGCAGCCCAGCAGAAAGCAGAAACTCCAGTTTGTACACAAAATGAAGCAGTTGAGCAAATCCCTGAAGAAGAGAAACTAATGGAAGGAGGCAATAGCACTATGGAGTTGACCGAGACTAAAGGTATATCAGTGTTTGATGAGGTTGGAGAATCTGCTGCTACAGAGGAAGATGAACCATTAGAAAATAATGAAGCACAAGAGATGGAGTGTGAGAGGCACCACGATGAAATGGGAAAGGTGGCCACCTCTGCCCCATGTGATAAAACTACTATAGAGCATGGGTTGGAGGAACCCTGGAGGGCTGAGAATGCCGTGAAAGCCGAGGAGGAGGATCCCGGAAATGCTGAAGATTCTGTAAACGAGGAGGAACCCTGGAGGGCTGAGGATTCCATAAAGGAGGAGTATCCCTTGAAGGAAGAGGAACCCTGGAGGGCTGAGGATCCCTTGAAGGAGGAGGATGCCTGGAGGGAGAGGGATGCCTGGAGAGCTGAGGATCTCGGAGAGCTGAGGATCTCGGGAGAGCTGAGGATCTCGGGAGAGCTGTGGATCTCGGGAGAGCTGAGGATCCCGGGAGAGCTGAGGAAGATGGGAGAGCTGAGGATCCCGGGAGAGCTGAGGATCCCGGGAGAGCTGAGGAAGATGGGAGAGCTAAGCATCCCGGGAGAGCTGAGGAAGATGGGAGAGCTAAGGATTCCGGGAGAGCTGAGGAAGAGGGGAGAGCTGAGGATCCCGGGAGAGCTGAGGAAGATGGGAGAGCTCAGGAAGATGGGAGAGCTCAGGAAGATGGGAGAGCTCAGGAAGATGGGAGAGCTCAGGAGGAGGATCTTTGGAGTGCTGAGGATGGTGTGAGAGTTGAGGAGGACGGGAAGGAAGAGGATTCCAGGAGAGCTGAGGAAGATGGGAGAGCTGAGGATTCAAGGGAGGCTGAGATGGAGGATCCCAAAAAAACTGAGGATTCCAAGATGGTTGAGGATCCCAGGAGGACTGAGGGTGCCGGGGCGGAGGAGGGTGCCAGGGCGGAGGAGGGTGCCAGGGCGGAGGAGGGTGCCGGGGCGGTGGAGGGTGCCGGGGCAGTGGAGAGTCCAGAATCTGCTAAAAGTAAAAGACCTGCTGTTGAACTGGTGTTGAGGAAGGAAGCTATAGTAGAACTGGAGCTTCTCAAATGTATGGTGTCAGAGAGGAATGCAACTGAACCGGTCTCCAAGCACCTCCACATGGAGTCACCGCAAAAGATGAAGGACGGTGATGCCATCTTTCTGATTGGCTCAATGCATAGTCCTTCTGAAATGCAACCACGGTGTGTGTGGTCACCAACAGCATCGCCTTCCACAAGCATCCTCAAAAAAGGGATCAAAAGACCATCCGAGAATGAGTCACCTTCTCCTGTAAACAAGGTACTTTCACAAAAGTCCAAATATTTTTGTTTTACAAAAATGTTCCCACTCATGGTTTTTATAGCCCTTAATGTGCCTGGGAAATAAATTGCTTAAAGCAGACTTTTGATTTGTTAGAAATATTTCTTTCCACTGTTAAACCTTTTGAAATCTGCACTGTACAGTCTGTGGAGTCTCCTAGCATAGTGGTTAGTCCATTCAAAGAAAAACAAATAATAATTTTGTCACTCAATCCACAGCTGTTTGTGGGTCACTGCTGCGCGTATTTTACCCACAAAAAAATGCAGTCAATTCACTTTACAGTATGTTCTGTGAAGCATTTTGGTGAGATGTTAAACATGGGTAATGTCTGCCTGTTCAGATGGAGGTTAAAGATCCCTTGGCACTACTCGAAAGAGAAGAGAGTTTCTCCTGGAAACGGACAGATAATTGGTCACTCAATTTTTGGCTGTTTGTGGGACATTGCTGTGTGCAAATTGGCTGCCATGGACCCCTACAAATACGCATTCACTACACTTTACAATAAATCTGTGAAGCACTTTGAGGCATCCTCCCAATGTGAAAGTGCTCTGTCAAATCCAAGGAATATTTATTCTAAACAACCATATATCTTAATCTATTTGCTTATCCCTTGAAGACTGCTAACTTTATGATTTGTTTGTTTTTAAAGTTGACTAAAAGATCAAGGAATTGAATTGCCCTACTCCAGAATGTGCGATTTACATGGAATAGATCGATTCCCACTTTAACCTTTTTAAAACGCATCAATCTTGAATTCCAGAATTTTTTTGAAAAGCGCTTGAAAAAAAGAATATAAAGGGTATTCCTTGCTGCCTCTTAACAGCTAAACTAGTATGAAGCTGGTACTATTCTTGTTAATAGTTTTACCTTTCTATTCACTCCATAATAGATACTGAGAGAATGTTGCTTATTATTGCATGTGATAAGTCTTCCTCACTGATATAGTTCTGTCAGAATTCACATGTAAGGAAAGAGCAAGGGAATCAATTTATAGTAGACTAGCTGTACCCGTTGCTACGCTTATAGCTACTTTTGCAACCAAAGGATCCAATATGGAATGTAGATTGATATACAGAGAGATACTTCATCTTAATCTATACTCATCTGGGAGGACTCCTGTGGGAGGACTCCGTGGGCGGACTTGGCGCTTTAAATATGTAATTTTGTTGTTGTGATTCGTCTGTGTTCTTTATTTTGTTCCCACTGCTTGGCTACAAGCGTGCACTGTGGCATAGGATGCCACAGCGCCACGGTCAGCAGCCACGGTGTAACTGGAGTGTGTGCATATATACGTAGGTGCTCTGTGACGCACAATGCAGCAGTATCACTTTGACTCGGCAGCTACCAGGTGTAACTGCAGCGAAAAATGCAAAACTGAAAATAACTCATGAATGATAGGAGATACCCAAAAGTAAATATGCCCATGTCACTCTCAGTTGCAAGACCTTTGCAATGAGGTGTAAATCATGTCTCTACGTCAATCAGTTATTCAGATCCTTCTTGAAGCGCAAACAGACATTGTCGTTTTATTAGTGTCGATAGATAGAAGATAGGTTTAAGGAGGAAGTCAGTGCCAGTACAAACACTAATGGTCTCTTCCTTGCTGTTCCTATAAAAGATTGCTCTCTTTCATGTCATTGATAAGATGATTGAATAATGGTAGCACCTGAAACAAAATAATTTTCTGCATCAGTATGTAAACACAGATTATTTTCATAGATGCGGCGAGTCTCATTTGCTGACCCAATTCGTCAGGAAGGATTGGCAGATGATATTGATCGTCGCAGCCCTGTAGTCCGATCTCATTCCTCTTCAGGAGGTTCTCCAGGGATGAATCTTGCTGCTTCCAATGGTCTTAACCGTTCCAGCAGTCAATCCAAGGTAAGCTTCATATCCTTTAAAGATGTTTATTTACTAATAATTTAGGAATTCTTGACTTTGATGGTGGATCATTGATCTAGCAATAGAATTCTTTGTCAGAGATGAGCTTTCTTTGCTAATGTGACCTAATTCTGAAAATAGATAGCTATACAATCTCTTATGCCATTGTAACATTGTAAAAAAAGAGTATTGAATTTTCCTCAGAACAAATTCAGACTGAAATGGCTGAAGATTCAAGCTTCTAATCTATGTTTACTATTTATTGTAGCAAATCGTCAATACACTTGCTTATTCTGGATAACATTACTTAGTGATAATCACAATTTATGGGTGTAATGTCCAGCACACACCAGTAACTTGATTAATAAAAAAATTATATTCAGTTGTATTACTTGTTATATCTCTTGGTGCATTATTTGACGTGCTGTATTTACTTTGCTCTTAATTATCCATTGAATATTCCTTTTATTCGTTCAGCACAACACTACTCCAACCAGAGGCTTTCTGTCTCCAAGTTCACGTAGTTTGGGCTATAAAAGCTCAAAGAAATGTTTGGTAAGTAGACAATAAACTATAATCAGACAGATACCTGAAAATTACCTTGAGTCTGTTTTATGTGATATTGCTTATCCCATTGAATAATTTGTTCTAGATCAATGGAAAATAATAATGTAATGCTGTCTTTCAGTTCGGTTAAATATTTATGTAGTTCAGATTGTCTTATATCAATGCTCATTATCAAGGAATCAAATCTATCCTGTTCTATTAACCTCATAGATCGTGGGGTTGGTGGAAGATTGATTTTCACAGGAATATTGTATTTCTAAAAATACGAAGGGGAAAGGCAGAGAAAATATCTGAATATAGTAGCCTCTAACCTAAAGAAGGATTTATGGAATTTCTTTATTGCTATGATTAATAATATATGATAATCTTGCATTTGATATAGGGCCTTATTACATCTTCGAGACATCTTTAAGCACTTAATGGAATATACTGTAAAGTGAATTGACTATGTTTTGTGGGCAAAATGCAGCAGCAAATTGCGCACAGCAATCATGGATTGAGTGACCCAAATTATTATATTGTTTTTGTTGAAGGAATTAGAAATTAGAGTGTTAAGTTATGTGAATATAAGATTAATCTGGCATTAATAAAAATACATTTTTTTAAATAAAGATCTCTGAGATGATCAAAGAGCCTGTGCCGTTATCCAGGGAGTGTGTGTATCCTGCTCTAATCAGCTGCTCGTCACCAGTGGAGACTATTCTGCCTCAGCTAGCCTCTAACATGTGGTGAGTAAGGTTCTGGAGAACATTGAGTTGCTCTATATTTCAAAATTTTGTGTTAAGTAGCTGTTTTTTCAAGATTTTCTCTTAAATTCTGGTTACAATTATATTAGTATTTACTTTGCCTTGTTAATTGTATCACTGAGGCTAAGGTGGGGGTATTGATTTGGTGTTTTTTTTCTTCCCATAGGGCCCGAGGTCTGGGTCAGCTTGTTCGAGCCAAAAACATCAAGACTGTTGGTGATTTGAGTGCCCTCACGGCAGCTGAAATTAAATTACTTCCGATTCGTTCACCCAAAGTCCTTGTCGTGAAGAAGGCTCTCAAAGCCTTTTATGAGCAGCAGGTGAGATACAAATGAGTTCCTCATTTCCTATTACTTGAAGGTACTTCAGTTTTAGCGTAACATTGTGTTACAGCTAATTTTTGGAGTTTGCCAGTATTGGTCTGATGCAGATTTAAAGGTATTTTCCATTGTGGTTTCTGTGAGATGCATTGAGATAAACATTAATCCTTGTTAAAGCTCAACACTTCTACAGGTTCACTTGGCAACTGTTTATATAATAATTGTCCTTGCATTTGACATAGCGCCTTATCACGTCTTCGAGACATCTAAAAATGCTTCACAGAATGTAACAACAACTACTTGCTCTTATATAGGGCCCTCCATGCAGGGTAGCGTCTCAGAAAGCTTAACAGTGGCAGTGCCTGACTCCAAGCCGGGAGGAATGGGAAGGTGGCTGTAAGAACGGTCGAAGAGGAAAGTTTTCAGGTGGGACTTGAAAGAGGGGAGAGAAGGGCAAGGCGGAGGGAATGGTGGGGCGGAGGGTGCGAGGGATGAGCAGGAGGCCGGTGCCATTGAGCAGAGGTACAGGGTGATGGAGTGAGGAGGACGGAGAGGTAGGGAAGTGCCAGAGAGTAAAGGGACTTGAACACGAGTGTGAGGATCTTGCAGTCGATCTGTTTGGTGATGGGGAGCCAGTGGAGCCTGACCAGAACTGGTGAGATTTGGGAACAGAGTTTGGTCCGAGTCAGTATGTGGGCGGCAGAGTTCTGAATGAGCTGGATCTTATTAATGGTGAAGCTGTGGAGACCGGTGAAGAGTGTGTTGGAGTAATCCAAGCGGGATTTGACAAACATGTTCAAGGGTTTCGGCTGCATTTGGGGTAAGGTACGGTTAGAGGCGGGCAATGTGGCGGAGGTGCAAGAAGGCGGTCCTGGTCAGGGACCGGATGTGGTAGAGGAAGGACAGTTGGGGATCAAACCGAACGCCTAGGTACTGCGTAGTGTGGGGTAGTTTGAACATTTTTTATTCAATCAAAAGTTCCACAGATTGAAATGTATAGTTGTTTTAAGAATTATTCTTAAACTCTTACAAATGACTTAACTGGCTATTGCAGCCTCTGTTCAATATGTGCAGGTGTATTCATTCTCCACAACAACAATTTGCATTTATATGATGTCCTCGTGCAAGGTTGATGGCTTGATTCTCTATGAATTTAGACATACAATATTGGTTGCTTTGTCACTGGATTTAACTAAATCTACAGGGACGTACTTTTATCTATCACGCGTTTCTTTTTCCTGTAGAAAACTAATTAGAGCTAATTTTGAGATGATTTAAAGGTTCATTGATGCATACTTAGTGACAATACTTTTCTGTTTCAGAGGAAATCTCTTGGGTTAAACGAAGAGCTGGTTGTAGATGAAAATCAGAAGCTGATGAATGGAGCAGAGGACACAAGTTGTTCTAATGGTGATGATGAGAAACTTGCAACAGGTAATATTTGGATTTGCCTAAATTAGCCAATGGGCATGAAATAAAACTTCAGCTTGTGCACATTGAAAATTAAGGTTACGAAATGCATTCAATGCAGTTTGAACATTTGAATTCATTGGGGATTGAGTTGTTTTAGTGGCTACTTTTTTTGTTTCTGTGACCTGTGCCTCAGTTATTAATGAAAGGGGAAGGAAAGTTTTTAGAAAGAGCTGTATGGTCCATGAAGTTTAAAAAGTTTGTGTTAAGTAATTTTATAAATATGTAGCATAATTGCTGCAAAATGAATGGGGAAACTAAATAGTCGATGTTCAGTATCTTGTTTGCAAATGTCAGGCCTGATGTACCACCTTTAATGAAATGAGTATATGAATAAAGCACATGCTGTGTCAAGTTTGTAAAATATATTTTTAAAAAACCTTATAATTGAAGATTAATTGAGATCTAATATGCATGGATTTGTCACTGGACTCCTGCTTAACTGGAAATGTTTTGTGTTCAGTGCAAATTTACAAGCTTCAGGTTACAGGGTAGTCAATGAAACAAACTTCCAGTTCCTGGCAAGACTTTGATTATGAGTGCCTGCCAATGTCTATAAACAGTTTGCGTGAAAAATGCTTGTCCATTTCTCCGTTTTACTGATCAGAGACCTTATAATAAATTAAGAGTCTTATGTGTAAGATCACGTTGTCTTAAAATGTAAGAGTGGAAAATGTTCTAAATTCAGTATTACTTTTGAAGCAAATATTCCACAGTTCTTAAAATAAACTGGCTTCAAATCAAGATTCAATTTAAGAGTTTTCTGTAATGTTGCAGTCTCACATTTTAAGACAAAATTGTCTTACACACTTAGAATTTCAAGCCTAAATGTCAAAGTTTGCCCGTGTGCCCTTAGTAATTGTTGGGCATCATTTGTCCTTTGATTCAATGTCTCCTGAGAGAAGAAAATGTCTTGGCGATCTTCAAGATATGGGGATAGGGAATGAGCTAAGATCCTCAATATCTTTTTTTTAAGTAGTCTGGCCAAGAACCGATGAAATCCATATGATTAGCCTTCACATTTTACTCAGTCATTATCCCTCCTTGGTCATTTAATTTTCTATTGTGCAAGTTACGAGCCATAACTGAACCTTCAGTCAAATCAATAAAGATTTCTTTAGCTTCTTTTGTAGTTCTGTTTCAGGTAATTAGTATGCTATGTTGAGTTTTGTGCTTATTTACTTTTCTTCCAGATTTAGTTGAGACTGTGTCATCTGCTGCAGGGCATTCAGCAGCCCTTGTTTCTGAGGTTAATGGTCTTTCTACACGTTTCGTCTCTGGGGATTTGAATGAATATTCGGGGAGCCAGCTCTTTACAATGCATCAACAGCTAAGTGGCATGATGAACTGCATCATGGAGAACTTACAGTCTCGTTGGAGGTCACCTCCCCGTGAATCATCCGATTGACCCTTTAGACTTCAGGAAGTTGTGTATTAAGAAAAATCGTTAAATAATGGCGAGTATTGACCTACTTTCTCTATGCCACCCCCCCCATACAAGTTGGACTAAGTGTTTTTCAACTACATTCCTGCATCCTTTACACCTGTTGCAGTCGGTGCCCGAATATGGATTTCTACTGAAAAAAACTCTTTCTGCCTGTGGGAGGTTCCATGACAGTTCTTGCAGTAGATTCTATGTCTCCGGCTCAAAAGAAGCACACTGTCTGATCAGAATGGCATCAGTCAGCTGTTTCATCACCGTCCTCTCTTCTGAGATTATGTGGTTAATGAGGGGTGCCAGGGGCAAAAGGTAATGCATTTTAGTGGATATGTTCAAAAGCTAATGATGAATTGGGCTTCCTGAGTACTGTTCAGAATTTCATAGCCTTATTCTGATGAACTGCTTTACGGAAGGCAAGTCAAATGTAAGTGTTAACTTGAGAGTATCTTGGTCTGCAAAGCAAATGGAATGGTTGTGCTGTGTAAAAGCAGTGAGTCAGAACGATATGCAGAAAGAGAATCACAGGTGCAACTCCCAGTTTGAGAAATATTTAGTACGGAGGATGTAAATTGGAAATAGCCTTTTTTTAATGGAAGTTTCTATAAGGAAAATACTTTTGTGATGTTAAATTATATTGCTTTACCTCATGGAAGTGCATTGGGATAGTTTACTTACTGGCAATTTTGTACCTCTGGCTATTATCTGAACATTGTAGTAATGAAGGGGTTAGGTGCCAGAGAGAATCAGTGCACAAAAGTGGAATCTGAGCTGCACCTTCAAGGTAGAAGCTGTGCTTGAGCTCACCATATTAATCTTGTACAAATAAAACTAAACCATTTACATTTTTGGTGTTTACTTTTAAATAGTGAATCGAGGGCTTACCTATGTGATGATGATAATAATCCTTGCATTTGATACAGTGCCTCATCACATCTTCGAGACATCTCAAAACGCTTCACAGAATAACTGTAAGGTGAATTCACTGTATATTTTGCATTGTCTCATTTACACATGTTGATGCTGGTTATTTCCAGAGCAAAGACATACTGGTCACTCTGGCTCAGTGGTAGCTTCTTTGCCTTGGAGTTAGAAGGTTGTGGGTTCCAGTTCAATGTTCAGCCTTTGGATGAGACGTTAAACCAAGGTCTCATCTGCCTATTCAAGCAGTTGTTAAAGATCTCTTTCCATTTTTCGAAAAGAGAAGGCAGTTTTTCCAAGTTTCCTAGCCAGCATATTAGAGGAGCACTACACAGAGCCTTGTATCCCTGTTACATTCTCTATTTCAGTTTTATCGTTGTTTTTAATGACTGAGGTTTGGGGCTTGAATTCAGTGAGCCTGACATTGAGCAATTTAAACTGATAAACGCTCACCCGTCTGTTTGGCTATTTTGTTCCCTTGTACAGTTAGAAAAGGAAGTGGCGATTTCAAGAAATCTATTCAGTAATAATGAGGTAATGATAGCTGAAAATCACTGGGGCTTCACAGCATTATCAGATTCTTGGATAAACCATTCCATTGAGTTTTGAGTTTTTCAAAACATTCTGTGCAGCTTGAGAGAGACTGAAGTCCCTGTGATAAAAGCACTTTGTGTAATTATCTGTATGTTTGTTATTGCATGTAATATCTGAGACCCGAGTCCCTCGTGGAATTATTCAGTGCCACACAGACCTGCGGAAACTTTGAGCTTTATTTGACCCCCACAGCTGGTTGCAGAAAATGAGAAAACAGACAGTACAAGTCAGCGTACAAGTTCCATGACCACCTCTTTAAAACTGCTCTCAATTTTGTGGACATTTCAATGCTGGTGTCCCAGAGTATTATTTTTAAAAGCTCTTGTAAGAATTTCACAAACTAACTACACATATCCTAAAGAACCGAGAAACCCATGTTAGTGTTACAACTGATTAAATAAGTTGACCATATGACAGAAATACAAGTTTTTGCTACTCAACACATTGTCTACTTGATTAGACCATTCAGTCCCTCATGTGAATTGTACAATTCTCTGAACACACTGCTTACAGAAGTTTCAATTGCTAAATGGTTTAATTGCTGAAAATCTCAGTAGACTAATGGGACAACATAGGCAGAAATTGTGTCTGCCTAGGATTTATTATTCTTGCAGATGTTCTGTAAAGTTATTGGATTGCAAGTGACTGGAAGATACTGTGCTTATAGTTTGTTTTTATTTGACCCTAAACGTTCCAGTCAGGAAAACTAAATGATAATTAAATTACCGGTTGAATTTTTTTTTTAATTTTGCTTTTAGTGCAGTGGGGAAGACTTCTCAGAAGGGTTGATCTGGCTTTAAATGGCATCCATGTAGTTGGCAGGCAGCATACCTGTCTGCCCAGTCCTCTGGACCGTTCCATACATCCATCCTTCATCAATAGATTGAACGTTCATAACGACATCACCGTCTTTGAAAGAGATCTCATCGGCGTCAGCTGCAGCATAATCGTACATGGCACGGTAGGTTCTCTGTGAAAAAGGGGTTTAAGTCATTTACATGATTGATAACTGTAGAATACCAAATGCACAAGTGTGTATTACCAAACTACACAGCACATGTAGTTGTGCACTAACTACAACTTACTTGCATATATCCAAAAAAATGCCTTCAGTTACCCTATTGATTGCAAATTGGTTTACTGCTTTGTAGGTACTTCCAGGTTGTAGAAAAATAAAAATGTTATTGTATTTTGAGATACTTACTCCGGTAGTTGAGGGATGAGATGGAATAGATGATACATTTGTCTGTTGAGTGGCAACAGAAGAAGATCTCTGTTGCACTTCAGTAGTTTTGGCATGTTGGTAGGCTGAAATAAACAGAAAATCTTAGATTTGGGAGCACAGGGAGAATATTTACAAATCCTGTCTCAGAGAAATCAATAGAAGCTGTGTCTAATTGTGTTGCTTGAGATCAGAAACGTATGAGTCCCTGGGTCTATATTGCTGCGATAATATAATAATCCTTTCATTTACTATAGCACTTTGAGACGTCTCAAAGCGCTTCACAGAATACACAGTAAATTAAATGTACATTTTGTGGGTGAAACATAGCAGACAATTGTGCACAGCAATCCGCGATCGTCAGAGCTTTTATTTGATATTAAATATACAAAAAGAAAAAGGAGGTTAGCGCACTGGTCTTTTGTAGCATTATGTAGTGAATTACTAAATTAAACAAGGGAGGGTAAATAGACTGAGTAGCAGGGAAGGATTTGGACTGTTCAGATGCTTCTTAAATCACTTTTGTGACAACGCAAGCAAAGGTGTAGTACTGGACCAGATGATGAGGAACGTGTCAGGGCAAGTGAGTTATTTGAAGGATGGGAAGCATATAGGAAACTGATTTGTGATCAGAATTATTTGTGAGTTTGAACAAGGAAGATCAATGAGGAGGATGGAATGTACTCAACATTGGAGCAGGTTTGACAATAATAATAATTTTACATCGCACCTTATCACGTCTTTAAGTCGTCTCAAAGAGTTTCACGGAATATACTGTAAAGTTAATTTACTGTATATTTTGTGGGTGGAAGCCAATTAAGCACAGGAGTGTCTCACAAATAGTCGTGAGTTGAGTGACCAAATTAATATATTATGCAATATAGAGCAGAATGGGATTGAAGTGTATATAAATTAGAAACCTTAAAGCACCCTTCCTGCCTGGTGTCCTCTTCACAAATATATAATTCTTTTGGAGGGGAGAAGCTGAGCTAGTTCCAAGGTGACGTGCTTGATAACAGAAATGTCAGAATCAAGTCAGCCCTCTGTGGAACTCTGGTGTGGATACTCTTAAGCATTGTGGTGAATTTCTGCATGCAACAGACATCCGGCTGACCACAATAGATTTACAACCCTAAGCCCCATCCTTGGAGTGTCTGGAATTCAAATTACAGTCCATCACTCACTTGTTGTGGTATGAAAAAAGGTGGTTCCATTGCCATAGGAAATGACGTGTTCGGGTTCAGAACCTTCAGACTTCTCATCACCTCCGCTCAGGCTCAGTGCACTGGCAGAGCGGGAGTGCTCTCTACTGCGACGCTGAGCCTGCACTGTGAACGGGAACATCACAAGAAAGAAATTACAGTGACTTCAAAAACAGCCCGACAGTGAAAAACGTTTAAAGACCTACACACGTCAGAAAGCAATTGAAAAATATTAATTTCTGTAAACTGAGGGACTGCTAAAGCAGCAACAGTGACAAATTCTGATCATATAAATTTGAACCCATTCGCTCCATATTGAAGTACAGTAAACTACTTGTTTTATGCTTCTAAGTCTTGTCTTAATTCCACCAAATTCAGAAAAATGTAATGGGTGCAGACTTACTGCTTAACAGGTGTAAACTCCTGGACTGAATGTTGTCTTCAGCTGGATCATAGTCAAAGACTGAGCCAGGATTTGTACGCCACACACGCAAATCTGTTAGAAGACAGCATTTATAAATTCATAATAAAACAATAATAATGGCTCAAAGCGCTTAACATTTGCAACATTTGTCTACTCAATGTCATCTACTCAATCCATTGGCAGGCAGGCTTTCATCCTTTGTGACTGCTCTCTGGAACTCTATTCCCAATTTCCTCCAACTTGCTTCCTTCCTCCCCTCTTTCAAGGTACGCGACAAAATGTCCATGCTTTCTTTCCCTCCTCACCTCATTTGATTGACTTCAGACTCAAGCTTATACTGTAGTACAATAGAACAACTATAATAATAATACTTGGATTTGGTATAGCATCTTATCACATCGTTGAGATGTCTCAAAGAGCTTCACAGGACATACTGTAAAGTGGAGTGACTGTTTTGTGGACAAAATACGGCAGCCAGTTGCGCACATGAGTGTCCCACAAATGGCCATGGAGCGAGTGATCAGAAGAGAAACTCTCTTCGAATAGTGCCATGGGATCTCTAAAGTCCACCTGAATAGACAGCTAGCAAACTTCTGAACACAGTGGATGGTGTAAAGCAGCCTTCTGTAAATATTTTTGTATTAAAAAAAGTATAAAGAGCTGTATTAACAGGCGGGGTGGGGGGGAATCCATCCCCATTCAAATATATTTAAGACAGACCAGTAGAGAATCATTATGCTTCCCCCACACACAGACAGCACAGACCTGTGAGAGTCTCTCCTTCTTGTGGCTCTACGCGTCTCTTTTCCATCTCGACCACCCGTCTCTGGATTCCACGGTAGTTCAGGTCACTGAAGTCCTGCATGTTTTTCTTTACACGCTCAGTGATCGGATCAGTGACTACAGGTGTGAAGCTTCCCTTGGTCTTTTCAAAGTCCTCGTGGTATTTCACCTTGATATCGGAAAGATTTTTTTTAAGTTTAAAAAAATTGTACAAATGAGTATTTTATATGTAATTTTTCATTACACGTTGTTGTCAGGTAACTACTGTGCAGATGAAATGGATTTTGCTTCTCTGGAATTCACAGAAATGTGATTTGGGGTATAATATTGGAGGATTTTAATATCTAATTTGCAATCAGAGCACATTTTAAGTTTTAGAAATTCAATACTTGCATATTTCTTATTAAGTAATCCCTTAAGAAATGCTGCAAAACATTACTTTAACTTGCTGGATACTAGATGCTATTCCTGTGACACATTTTACATGAGACTTTGGACAGTGTTCACAATAATGTTATTATTGAACTCACAGCTATGATAATTCGGTAAAAAGGTGGGGATCGGATGGACCTGGACAGAGCTTTTTAGGATTCTCCAATTGACTGGTGGATAAAAATGTCTGCCCAGTGCACTGAACCATATAGACCAGAACACTGCAGGTTTGATTCCTAATGAATTCTGAGTTAGCTGATCGTAGCCAGGACTACAGCTGGAACACTATAATTCTGATATTTAACGTCACTGAAAATGAGTCTGTGGAAGTTGGGTGACAAGAAGTTTGGGAATCTCCTGTGCTGACTGACTCCCTCTGTCTCAGCTCACACAGGAAGAATGGTACCTCAAAGGCCGGTTACACCCACGAATTGCACTTCCGACTCAAATCAACACCTTCAGCGGAGGAGGAGAGCATAATGGTTCAAAAACAAAAAGGCTTCTCGCGTGGGCCATTGTGCTCAGCAATGGATAACGATTGATTTCTCAGACACTTAAGTTCCCAATCTCAGCCAGCGGGGAACGGAGGCAAAGCGTTCCAACTGAGAATGGGAATAGGAATGAAAAGGAACGTCGCATTCAACAATGGCTGGGATTCTGCTAGGGTGGCCCATTGTGAAAACAGCACGTGTTGAAGTCCCTACCGTTGAAATGATTCGCTGCGAATCTCTCACGCGCCTCATCTCTGGTGTATCCAGCACATACGCAGCCCTTCCTTGCACTTGTTTACGGAAACTGTCAGAATACAGGACCTGCGAGAGGAGAAATAAATGATGAGCGAATGGAATTTCATTGTATACAAAAGGGGCATTCTTTGCTAACTCCGTCCACATTTGCTCTGGACAGACTCCCGTGAGGGTAATAGGGTTAGAAATAAGGCAGATGCAAGTTAATGAGCTTGTTTTTCAACTTTTGCTTCAAGGCTGCGAGATGGAAGAGAAACATTAGGTTGCGAGAGGGACCAGTGTTTAGTTTTAGCACAATACAATGCCTTGGTGTGTTGGCCATTCAATACAACTGAACTAACTGATTGGTGAGCCACAGCTTCACACCTATAAGTACAAACATGGCAAGGCTCCTATTTACAGTGCCAGTAAAGTGGAACTGAGTGTTCCCTGATGGGAAGATAGAACGTTCAAGGGGCTGAGTCCCTTCACACTTATCCTGTTCATTCTCTCAGACAAGAGCTAATAATAATAATAATTATCACGTCTTTGAGATGTCTCTAAGCGCTTCACAGAATATACTTAGAGTTGGTTGACTGTAATTTGTGGGTGCAACGCAGCAGCCAATTGCACGTAGTCTCCCGCAAACAGTCATGGATTGAGTGACCAAACTTTTTTTTTTGGAGGCATTATTACCCCTAGAAAGCGATCCGCCAATTATTATTGACAGATGGCTTTCACCTGAATTCCACTGACACCTAAAATAAAAAATGACCAAAAATTTAAATAAACACAACTTTCCGCATTTAATAATACTTGGATTTGATACGGCATCTTATGTCATCGAAATATAGCAGTGCTTCACAGGGATTCACTGTAAAGTGTAGTGACTCTAAATATATCATCCAATATTACTGTATTGATCTATTTCTGTTTGTTGTAATCTGACTCTGAAATAAAACTATCTGTGTAATATAAATAGATGAGGAACAGCCAACGTAAACGGACAAGAAATTCAAAGGTCATCAATTCAGCCCAATATGGAAGATTGTAATTAATATCAGTGAATCATTTGAGTGCCAACAGTTAAAAAGGTTCGGGTTGTTTTTGCCAAGAGTGAGAGGCAGCAGGAAAGAAGCATTAGAAAAATGGAAAAAGATTGTGCGATTAAAAAAGTTAGAGGGTATCAGAAAACACAAAAAGATTTTTCTTTAGTGTCAAAAAATACCGAGCTAATGTTTTCTTGATTGCGTTTGACCCGTTGCATCTCTGGTGTGTATATCACTGCGGTTCCTTTGCCTAGGTTCTCTTTGTATAAGACCTGCAGAAGCAAAGTACCCAAAATGACTCGACTGACATGAAACTTCACAGTACAATACTTCCCGATTCTAGGTTTAATTTATCAAGAGATGGAACTCAAAAGAAGAAAAAATGAGCATCAAAAAGCCAACGTAAAAGGTGACAAAAATGAAATGGATTTTGTAAAGTAAATGCAGGGTGAATGAAAGCAGATCAGACAGAACGATGCCATACGTATTCTTTTCATTTGAATCTGCAATTATGCAAAGAAGGATAATGTTAATCAAGAGCATAAGCATTGCCCAGGAAAAGACTACATGAGTGTTTCTCCCAACCAGTGGTTTAACAAGTTTCAACGAGGAGGTGACTTATTTTGCACCCTTTTCTCTTTATGGCAGGTTTGCAGATTAGGAGATAAATATTGAATCTAAACTGATCTAGGACAACTTAGATCTCCATACATGTTCACCCAAGTTCACAAGATTGGTTTCAGATTATGAAGGCTCTTTGGTCCATCTGATCTCGTCCTTCCCCATAAAAAAAAAATCACACTGCTGTCATTCTATCACATCATCAAGCTGTGTTTTTAAATGCGTCCCAAATGCCTGGCCTCAACTACCTGTTCCGGTGATTAATTACCCTCTAGGTTAAGAAAATCTTCCTGGTAATTGGCACAGCCGTTTGGTAAAAATCGCCCAAAGAAATGGCTCATGTTCCAAAAGTTCGCGAAAGCTAAAATGAGGTTTTAAAAAAAAATAAGGCCGCAACAAATGCAAAAGGAATTGCGCATTAGTGTGATAGAGAGAGAGCTGGATAGTAGAGTGTGATGGTGGGTTAAACAGCAAGAATCAAAAAACAACAGCTACCGAGCTGATGTTCTTCTGTGTCTCCTTAACACGTTTCACCTCTGGCAGGTCAGAGATTGCGGTTCCTTGCCCAATGGAATCCTTGTATTTGATCTACAAAGTGTGCAGATCAGGGAGGAAAGGACAAGTTGTAAGCACATGACAAACAGTGAAACAGAAGACTTCCACACAAACCAGACACCGCAGCAAGCCACACACATGAGAACGAGATCCACTGTGCCATCATTCGAGATCTTTGTGTTAAGTGGACACTACTATTTCAAACAGCTAGTCTCACACCACTCAAAACTCTCTTAATGTACCTCACAAGTTTTGTACGTGTACCTTAACAAATACAAGTGGTTCCAGAAGCATGAAACAGTAAGGGTTAAGTACGCAAAGGGATCTGCTTGGTCAGGACCCACGGAGTTCTGAACCTGAGGTCTGATTTCAGGTTCTATCAACACGCTCAAGCCAATTACATTAACATTTAGTTATTCCTCAGGTATTTATTTTGTGTAAGATATTATGTCACAGGTTCTCTCACTAAGAAAGCTGCTTCGCTCTGCCACCACATGCTTAACTTTCCCTTCGTAGCAAAGCAGCTCAGCGCTGTGCACACACTGCCCCCCCCCCCCGCCCCACCCCACACCATCCTCCAAATTACCATCGTTACTATTCTCCTCTCGACTGCACATTTGACATATTCTCAAGCAAAGTACACAGAAATCATTGACGTTTCGCAAGAAAAAAAATCAGTAAAAAAAAGTTAAGATGAGATTGAAGCGTGAACATATATTAAGGATTAGAACAAACTCGTTGAAATGGATTTTCTTTTTTTTTAAAAAAAAGAAAATGTCGGAAAGATTAGAAAAAAAAGTTTAAAACGGGTTATAAAAAAAAAAGAAATGTCTCGGAGCTCGGAAAACGTCAAAATAGATTTGAAAAGTGAAGCATGAAAGAGAAAAGCCATCAAATGGGTTTAGTGATGGGACGGAAAGAGTTGTGGAGTAAGATAGTATCACGGGTTAACACAACAAGAATCAAAAATAGCAGCTACCGAGCTAATGTGGTTCTGTGTCTCCTTTACACGTTTCACCTCTGGCAGGTCACTGATTGCAATTCCTTGCCCAACATTTTCCCTGTATTTAATCTGCAAGAGTACGCAGATCGAGGAAGGAAAGGACAACACGTGAACACATGACACACAGTAAACACGTACAATAGGGTGAAAGCCCATTTGGGGGTTTAGATTTACTGCATTAACATGACATTTTAAAAAGTCCAGAATTTGGCAAATTGATGAACTCGGTCTTAACTTTGAAGTCGGGTTTTCTAAATGAAGCTGAAGGCAAAGAGTTTTGAATTTAAGGCTGTATTCAAGAATTTGCCCCAAATTTGGGAAGCTCCAAAACTCTCTGTTAAGAAAATAAACCCAGACCTTGGTGAAATTTACATCCCACAGTCGTCGCACGCACTGCATCAAACTAGACGCTGGGTGGTAAAAAAAACTACACCACTACCATAATTTTCATTTTACAACGCCCCTCACGCACGAGGCGAGAAGTGGGGGAAGGGAGAGGTGACTGCAGACACGGTCAGAGAGGAAGGTCTTCAAGCACAACCTGAAGATGGGGAAGGAGGCGGCAAGGCAGAGGGATAGAGGAAGAGTGTTCTGCAGTTTCGGGGCGTAGTGGCTGAAAGTGAAGCCACCGATGGCGGAACAGAGGGCACGAGGGAAAGTCGGAGGATCTTGTTGCACGGATCTTGATAGGGAGGAGTGGAGTTTGGCTGGAACTGGTGTGATGGGGGTACAGAGCTTAGCGCAGGAACTAGAGATCACAGTCATTTTTTTTCTATCAATGAAGCCCATTAACTATTTAACGGACCGAGGATTAGATATATAATTGCATTTTTTCCATTTGATTAATTATTTGATTGACTGAACTGAAATCACTTCCAGAATACAATACAAAATTACACTTGTAAAGCGCCTTTCACGTCGGGAGGAGTCATTTTAGGCGAGATGATTTCAAATTGCTTAATTATTTATGACTTTAATTTAAAAAGTTGCTTTGCGTGTTCCTTATAATACGACAGAAGCATTAAAAATGAAATGATTTCGTTGTGTGCACCGGTTTGGAGTTTTGCTTAAATCTTAGAAAATATTAAATTTCCCAGCACCAACGTGTTCCTCAGCTGAACTGAGGACTGAAACTGACCCGCGGCTGGTTAAATCACAAAAAGTTATATTAAAAAACACAGGACGTGAAAATCTATAGGTTCGAAAGCTATTAGAAGTTAAAAAGAAAAGAAAATTCGAAAGTATGACCTGAAAAGAGGAAAAATTGTCGAAATGTGTTTAGTGCTGTGAGAGAGATGGGGGTAGACTAGGACGGTAGGTTAACGTGGATCAACGGTTACAAAAAGGGGAATGAATAAAACTGGCAGCTACCAAGCTAATGTTCTTCTGGTTCTCCTTTACACGCTTCATCTCTGGCAAGTCAGGCATTGCAGTTCCTTGCCCAACAGTTTCCTTGTATTTAATCTACGAAAGTGTTTAGATCGGGGAGGAAAGGACAAAGCAATAAGCACATGACAAACAGGAACACGCAGACATGCCACAAACCGCACATTGCCAATAACCTACAATGCCTACACGATGTCAATTATTTTATTTTGTCTGTCCTTCTTGTGAAAGGCTATTCATTGTTTGATTAATTGTTCTTAAACAAGCCTACCAACTTTTAACTTAAGTCGTTAAATTGAAAAGTCTTTAGCGTCAGGTAATATATTTCAAACTAATTTGAATACTTTGCATCTTAATGAAATTCATGTATTAATTTTATGAATACCGAAGCATTAAAAATGGTGTTATTTATATAGCCAGACTGGTAATATGGAGTTTAGTTTTAATCTCAATAAAGAAAAAGGAGGGAATAAATTAATAGGGGTAAAGTTTGCGGTGACATTTCAAGGTGTTAACTAGCACAAGGAGTTACAAAACGACGGTCAAAGTTTAGAGCAATTCTTATTTCTTGTCTTCTCAAAGACAGAGATATCAAAATTTCACAAAAGGTTATTGGGGTTTCCCAAAAAAAAAATCAGATAAAAGCTCAAGTGAAAAGTTTTCAAAAAAAGAAGAGAATTTGCACTAAAAAGTGTTTAGTGCTGTGATTAAAAAAAGAGGATAGATTTAGGAGTTAAGACAAGAAGAATCTAAGACAGCAGCTACCGAGCTGATGTTCTTCTGGGACTCCTTTACACGTTTCACCTCTGGCAGGTCGGAGATTGCGGTTCCTTGCCCAACACTTTCCTTATATTTAATCTAAGTGTGTGGATCAGGGAAGAAAGGACAAGCAGTAAGCAGCTGACAAGCGGTGACACTCACAGACGTGACATAAATGGCACATTGCATCGGACTACAGTCCACACGCAGCATTACTCTACACACTGCATTAACCCCCACACTGTGATAATCTACACACTGCATTAATCTAAACTACACAATAGTAATCTATAGATTCCGTTAATCTACTCACTCCAGTAATCTACTCATTGAATTTATCCAGTCACTGCATTAATCTGCACACTGCGATAATCTACACACTGCATTAATCTAATCGACACCCGTGACGATCTACACTGCATTAATCTACTCACTTGTAATTACTAACTACAGTAATCTATACACCGCTAATGAGAAAGAAAACCAGTGCACTTCATTAGACTGATCGAGTAGCTCTACTGTAAGTAATAAAAGCAAATCATTTTAAGATGTGCCTTTGAAAATTAAATATTTTACTGGTAGCTATCCAACAGTAAATTTGTTATTTATACAGCCAGACTGGTAACATGGAATTAAGTTTTAATCTCAATGAAGAAAAGGAGGGAATAAATTAATGGGGGTAAAGTTTGCGAAATTTCAAAGTGTTAACTAGCACAAGGAGTTACAAAACGATGGTCAAAGTTTAGAGCAATTCTTATTCTTGTCTTCTCAAAGACAGATATCAAAATTTCACAAAAGGTTATTGGGGTTTCCAAAAAAAAAAAAATCAGAAAAAAGCTCAAGTGAAAAGTTTTCAAAAAAGAAGAGAATTTGCATTAAAAAGTGTTTAGTGCTGTGATTAAAAAAAAGAGGATAGATTTAGGAGTTAAGACAAGAAGAATCTAAGACAGCAGCTACCGAGCTGATGTTCTTCTGGGACTCCTTTACACGCTTCACCTCTGGCAGGTCGGAGATTGCGGTTCCTTGCCCAACACTTTCCTTATATTTAATCTAAGTGTGTGGATCAGGGAAGAAAGGACAAGCAGTAAGCAGCTGACAAGCGGTGACACTCGCAGACGTGACATAAATGGCCCATTGCATCAGACTACAGTCCACACGCAGCATTACTCTACACACTGCATTAACCCCCACACTGTGATAATCTACACACTGCATTAACCCCCACACTGTGATAATCTACACACTACATTAATCTAACCTCCACGATAGTAATCTATACACTCTGTTAATCTACTGAATTTATCTAGTCACTGCATTAATCTACACACTGCAATAATCTACACACTTCATTCATCTAATCGACACCCGTGGCAATCTTCACTGCATTAATCTACTCACTGGTAATTACTAACTACGGTAATCTACACACCGCTGATGAGAAAGAAAACCAATGCACTTCATTAGACTGATCGAGCAGCTCTACTGTAGGTAATAAAAGTAAATCATTTTAAGATGAGCCCTAGAAAATTAAATATTTTACTGGTAGTTATTCTAGCTGAGGGTCATGTGTATAGCCATAAAGTACACCAATATGCTTTAAATTGAGCCGTTTCGGTCAATACGCCCATTTGTATGGTATTGATCTCAGGCGAAATATTGGTAGCATGTTGAGTCAAGTGGAATGCAGAATCCAATTTGATTTCCGCCACCCTTTGCGTGAAAAAAATACTACATACTGTGGGTGATTTAATCAACACTGTGCTATAATCTATACACTGTGGCAATTAAACACCGGTAATCTACACACTACTCTAATCTGTACACGGCACTATTATACACACCGATAATCTGATCTACACACCTGAGAAAATGTACACTCTGCCAGTCACAAAGAAAGCTGTTTCGATACACACTATTAAACATGCTTAGGTAAGTGATTCATCTTAAGGGATATGATTTTCAATTTTGCCTTTTGCTTATAATTGTTTGAGATGAAGTTTCTAATGTGGCAAACACTGTCACACGTAAAACCGTCCGATTTCACGTTGGTAAATGTGTTAATTTCGATCCTAGAAGAAATGTCATATAAATGTAGCACATTTAGTAAGTGTAAGGCAGAAGGTTATGGAAATCTGATCTAATAAAATGAAGTGAGTTAATTGTAACAAAGGTTGACCCAACTGGAACAAGCCCTGATTGATTGATTGATCGATTGATCGATCGATCGAGGATGAGCCACCCAACACTGCAAGTCTCGTGTGTAACCTGCGACATCAGTGGCGTGTTCCACCTGGATCTGAATAGCCAGCTTCCCATGTTAAAAAAACACTGACTTCCGGGTTGTCAGGTCGCTGCCGACATCACTTCCTACTAACGGCACGCTTTACGCAGGACACGCCGCTGATGTCATATCCTGCGTGCTGCACCTGAGCACCTGCCAGCGTTGCTGGTCTCACTTTGCGAAGGGTTGCGTACGCTCCTGGGCAATAGCCTGAAAGTGATGTTGGTGGCGTTTTGATGACCTGGAAGTCGCCCATTTTAATCAGTGTTTCGTTAGAACTCAGTCCCTGCGATACAGGGCTCACGTGATCACATTATAACAGGGCTTCGCTGCAGTTTAATTTATCTTAAAGAACGAAGCGGCTCAAGTTGTTATACTTCGATTGAACGGAGCACAAACAAAGCTGTTCCAAAATCTGTCTTGGTTTTTCCGTTCAACTTTTCTCGAATGGGGCGTAAAGCGTGCGGAAAATCTAAACGGCTCTTTTAAAAACAAAAAAACAAGTCCCACAAAAAAAAAGTCATCATTCATGCTTCCAAGAAAAAGAAAAACTTGAAAAAAAAACAAGAAAGAAAACCACATAGAACCAAAAAATTGTTGTTTAGTGTTTTGGTAGAAGGGTTAAAATAGGGGAATGAAAACCAGCAGCTACCGAGCTGATGTTCCTTTGTGTCTCCTTTACTCGCTTCACCTCTGGCAGGTCAGCAATTGAAGTTCCTTGCCCAACACTTTCCTTGTATTTAATCTACAGAGCGCATAGATCCGGGAGAAAAGGGACAAACTGTGAACACATGACAAACGGTAACTCACGGAGACACTGCACAAACCTCACACTGCATCACTGGCCAAACAAGAGACAGTCACGTCAGAAGAGTCATTCAATCATATCTTTACGTCAGTAACTATTTCATTAGTTTGACGCAAGTCGTCCAAAGCACCAAAGCATGTAAGTAAGAACTTTGATTTAATTTAAAATTAATTGCAGGCGAACTCCACTGATGGCTTGGTGGGTAAAGCCATCTTGGGTAGCACTGACCCACACTAGGCAGGGCCTAGGTTTGAATCCTAAACTCTGTGCAAAGTTGCCTGATCTCAAATTGGGCAGCAGTTGGACTAGAATTGGCCTCAGTTCGTCCTGGGTTTAGGGAGTGCAAAAAATAGACAGGGTCCATTGCAAGGGGGTTGGTGGGTCAGAACCTGATTTTAATTTTAAGGTTCAATGCATATCTTGGTCAAATAGTCCCTCCAATACTCACACAAGAATAGCAGACACTGGAGGGAGATGGACATTAAGAGTAATAATCATATTCCTTGGATTTGATATAGCGCATTATCACATCTTCGAGACGTCTCAAAGCGCTTCACAGAATATACTGTAAAGTGTAGCGACTGTGCATTCTGTGGCCAATCGCGCACGGCAGCGAACCCACAAACAGTCGTGGATTGAAGTGACCACTTTTTTAAAAAAGTTAAAAACGTTAATTTAATATTAGAGTGAGGTGGACACAAGAGTGAGAGAGATGGACACGGCTGAGTGGGATACTAGACTGAGATAGACACAAAAGAGAGATGGGCGGTAAAGAGAGATGAACATTACAGCAAGATGGACGCTGGAGTGAGATGGATACTGAAGCAAAATACCAGGCACAGTGTCCCATGAAATCATCACCCTCTAGAAGGGGAAAATGACTCAAACGCCTTCAGGAATGAGGGGATAAAATTGGAGGGGACAAAAGAAAAACAATCAGAGTTGTCCTTTTCTAGTATTTCACGCCCACCAGCTGCATAAAATACCGACCACATTTAAAATCAATGTATGTGACGTTGTTTACAGTTTCAAAAGGTTAATGGTTTCAGCTAAAATGAACTGCACAAAGGTAGAGAAATTCAGTTTGGTGTTATCATCAAATCCATAGTATTAGGTTCACCGAAAGGTTGAGTGGTAAAGTATTACAATTAAGGGTATTAGAACGCGTTAAGAGGTTGTGGGGAAAAGTTCTTGTCAGGAATTGTACCGAGCTAATGGCCTCCTGTGTTCTTTTGACTCTCTCCATCTCTGGTGTTTCTTTAATAGATGTCCCTGAACCAATCTGTTCTTTATATGCAATCTTTATATACAGAAGCAAGACATTAAAATTAACAGAGGAACACAGACAGTCTTCCTGTTTTGCCAAACGTGGCTCAATCGTGCCCAAGAACGTATGAACACACAGGATCCGGAAAGGACCTTCAGGGTCACCTCAAGCAAATCCCAAAGTAAATTAAGTCATACACTGCTCTGTCTCTCCCTTAATCGATCTCTTTGTCAAATGCGGTAGAACCCTGTTATAACACAAGAGTTATAAAATGGTGCTATAGCAGGAGAGCAATCGCCAGTCAGGGCACTTGGATTCACCGCACGTGCAAAGCGCGGAGGAAGTGACGACGGAGGTGACCCAATGACCTGGAAGTCAGTCATTTTGACTTCCCGGGTGGCCCTTTGGATGACTCCCATCCCATGTGTTCATCGCTCTTGGCACAGAGTGAATTAAATCGGAAACAACATCCGTTCACCTTCTGAGCTGGAGTCCGTGCCAAAACAGACCAGACTAACACAGTGACGCACATCACAAGTAATCGATAAGTGACACAAAAAAAAACCAGACCGCCCACCCTCCAATAGGTTGTCGCGCGGGCTTGACACAAAGTGATGAATGCCAATGGTGAACAGATAAATACCCACGAAGAAACAAAGAGCGACGAAAGACTGTAAAGAGGTGAAGCACATCACACGTAACAGGACAAGTCAATTATAAAATGCCTGGATCATTGTAGAAGATTAAGTTACAAATGATATGTGTTAGAATACTATATATCAAGGGTTATGTTATATATATATATATATATAATATAAAATGATAAGGTAATGGAAAAGTTAAAACTCTGCATGAGTCAGTAGGTTAGCGCTGTGAAATACTTAGGTAAAAGGTACCAAGCTGAAATTCTTTTGGTTTTCCTTAGCTCGCAGGATTTCAGGTGTGTCTTTTACTGCAGTAACCTTTCCTTTAATGTTTTTAAGGTCTGTGGTGTACTGAAGCTATAAAACAGAGCGGAAATCAAACAGTAAGAGAACTGCAACAGTAAACGAAAACAAAGCAAGGAGGAATCGAATTCTGGAGCTGTAACAAGACCTCTCCGTGGACAGTGATGTTTTAGCTTAATGTGATTTCTGATGCTCTCACGTGGGCTGAAAGAGTTATAATAATAATAATCCTTGTATTTGATATAGCACCTTAACACGTCTTCGAGACGTCTCAAAGCGCTTCGCAGAATATACTGTAACATTAATTGATTATATTTTGTGGTCGAAAATCTACACGTTTCGCTTACAAGTTGCATTCATGGATTTATTCCATAACAACAGCTTGGATTTGTACAGTGCCTTCACAGAGGGCAACGTGTCCAAATTCTGTCCAAAGTTGAGGTCAACCATTGACCAGGGAGATGGGGGTGGGGTGGGGAGAAGGAAGAGGTGGCCATAGACCCAGTCAAAGGGTAGGTTTTGAGGGAGGACTTATAGACTGATAAAGGGGTGGGGGTGGGGAGAGAGATGGAAAGGGCAGAGGGAGGGAATTCTAAGAGACAGTTCAGAATTTGAAAGGCTCAGTGACTGGTATCTTGGGCCAGGGAGGTGGGGGAGAACAGAAGAGTTGGGTAGGAATAGATCCGAGAGCTCAGGAGATGCTAAGATGTGAAGGCATTTATAAGTGTGACGAAGGTGAGGACTTGCAATTGATCTCCTGGGAGCTAGTGAAGCTTAGCAGAGACTGGTGTGTATAGTTTGGTGTGGATGAGGATGTGGGCAGTGGGGTTTTGGATAAGTTGGATCTTATGGATGGTGGAATTAGGGAAGAATACGTTCAAAAAAATCTAACTGGGAGATAACAAAGGCTCACAGCGTCTCTGCCTCATTCCTTCCACTTACTGTAGCCACAACTTCCAGGAGTATTGCTCTGGCCAGAGAGTGCTGGACACACAGAGCGTCACCAATAAATACTCAGAGGGCAACGCCACTGCCTCTGTCACTCCATCTAGAGGACACTTCAGATGGAGCTTGAGGGACGACATAAAAAGTCCCCTTGATACCCCTCCTTAGTTCGCAACACCACTTGACTGAGCTCAAGGCAATAGGAGCTGCTCACTGCTCACCCTCTCTTGATCGTAGAAGATTGGGGGGGAGAAGTTGAGCAAGGGTACCTTAAAAAGGGTGGGGGTGGGAGACGGAAATGTTTATTACAGCTCTACCAAATTCCATTCAGAACACAGAAAAAAACAGCGAATTTACACAAACATGTTTTTTTTTTTGCTGCTGATGTTTACCGTTCCCAGTAAACATGTTGGACATTGGCCAGTCCAGACAATTGACAGCGAGACAAGACTTTCCAACCCTGTCCTCAAAGCCGTAGTGACACTTCTGCACCACGGTCCCAAGAAGAAGGTTGAGATCTTTACCTATTTTTACACTTAGCGAAAAGCCAACTGGATAAGCCCTTTTTTTGTGGGTTCTGCGGCATTAATGAACATGTTTTCGCTGGTTGAAACGACGTGCTCAAGGGCCAAGCTGGTGTGGCACACAACCTGCTTTGCGTCTTTGCAACCTGGAGCTGAAACGTTCTCAGATGTTGAAACGTTGACGGCAAGGAAGGAGATCGGGGTTTGGGGTTGGGGGGCAGGGAACCTGGATGTCGCTGTTGGGGAAAGATGGTTATTTTGTACTTACTGCACTGAAGTTTTTCTGGTTCTCTCGGACTCTCTGCATCTCAGGTGTGTCTATCACTGGTACATAGTGAGACATGGACCTCTCGGCTTCCTCCTTGTACTTTTTCTATGGAACCAATTTAGACGGGCAGGAGTGAGTGGCAGGAATAAAGGCTTATCAGCAACAACAAAACGAACAACAACTTACATTTATAGAGCGCCCTTCGCCTAACGCTGAATGCAACAACAACAACAACAAAATTACTTTCACATCGGGAGGACGTCCCAAAGCGCTGGAAGTTGGAGAAAAGGAGTGTCCAACAATTTTCAACACACAGAAATTTAGCTGCGTTCTACTTCCATGCAGAAAGAGAGAGACAACATGGTCCAAAATCCGATGAATCCTAACAGGATTCCTTAGAAAGTGTCATATCGAAGGGAACAGCGAGGAGCAGGAATTCTGCTCTGACACCACCTAAATCCAGAGAGAAAATCCTGCGAATACTTGTTACTGAGAGGTTACTGCTCTCTCCTCCCATCAAACCCAGATTGCTTACTAATGGATATCGTTAGAATTCACTACATATCATAACTGATGTCTTTCTAACCCTTCACATTGTGTTTGGGGAGGAGGCAGGGGGCAGAAGAGGGGATTATTTGTTGGTTTCCCTCAGCTAGTCAGTTTTGAGCAGGAGAGCTCTTTCTTCCTGTCCACTGCCTCCACTCATCGGGCTCTGGTCTACTCCATAATTCCCACCATCAGCAATCGCGCCTTTAGTCTCTCCACCCTCACCCATTGAAACTTCCATCCTAAGGTCCCTTCACCTCCCTACTTCCCGCTCTCCCTCCCTCCCTCCCAAGTCTGCCTCAAGACTCTCCTCTTTGACTGCACCTTCGGTCATCCTCCTACCCCCACCCTCCCTGCCCTCCAACCTTCCTGATCTCAAACCCCAGCTCGGGTCCAAATCCCTGACTGTCCAGCGCATCCCAACGTTAAAGGCGCTGTACAAATTTGTTGTTGCTCTGATTTTCTTGCTGAGATTCGCTGCAGAAATTGTCCAAGCAGATGTTTAAGAGAGGAGCACAGTTACCTGGCTGACCATAGTCTTCATGTGCTGAGCGTGAATTATCTCAGGTGTGTCAATGACAGTCGTGTAGTTAGATTTCTCCTTCTCGGCTGAAGACTTATATTTTACCTAAAATAAAGAATTATTATGTTGTGTTATAATAATAATAGTTTGTATTTGATGCAGTGGCTATAGTGCCAAAAAGCAGCCAATTGCTCACAGCAATGTCCCACAAACAGTAGTGGATTGAGTGACCAATTTTATTTTCTGGAGGGATTATTATCCCCGGAAAGCGATCCGCCAATCGACTAACAACTGGGTGGGTTTCTACTTATTTGCTCTTTAAGCAGAAGTGTGTGGAGTAAAGAAACTTGTCTAAGGTTTCGCCCCAACCGGGAAACTAACCCGAGTCCTCTCGTTTGTGAGTTGATCGCGCTAACCGCTACTCTACGGGATTCCGCTACGGGAAAAAAGTTAGGTGCAGTATTGCTGCTGTGACACTAACCTGACTTAAAATATCGGTGGCGTTCTTTGCTCTGAAAAATTCCGGTGTTTCTGCTGCAAGTGCTACAAGCCCTTTGCCCTTGATCTCCTCCTCTAGTGACCTCTTATACCGTCTCTGTTGGGTATATAAAAAAAAAGAAGGTGCTTTAGCAGCAATGAGCACAGTGAATATTAACAGGCGAAATGAACATGAAGCAGTTAACATACTGCATAACTTTAGGTGCTTGAAAGGTAGGGTCGCCACAACAGACCTGTGGAGACAGTGCAGAGGAAAGCAACGAGGATGATCTTGAGACGAAAGAGCTACGAGCAATAAATACACATTACAAAATAATATATAACAATCCTTGCATTTGATTTAGTGCCTTATCACGTCGTTTAAACGTCTCAAAGTGCTTCACAGAATATACTGTAAAGTGAATTGGCTGTATATTTTGCAGGTGAAATTCAGGATGAATCAGGTTAGGATTATTCAGCCTTGAGAGCATTCTCAGACAGACCCCTATAGAGGCGTATACATTTTTAAATGGAATTGGAAAACTCAACACGGATCAATACTTCAGGATGCACTAAGACAGTAGAGCAAGAGAGCGAAGATTTAGAGTTGCAAAGAGCAATTTCGGGGCAGACACCAGGAAGTATCTCTTAACCCAAATGGTAACTGATGACGGGAACAGGGTGCTGGGAAACACGGCAGAGGCTCGGACACCGGGATTCATTTAACAAACAGCTTGACACTGTGATGGCAACAATGGGAGGGTGAGTGTTCTGGAAAGATGAGATCAGATGGGCCAAAGGGCTTCCAGATCAATCATAATAATAATAATCCTTGCATTTGATATAGCACCTTATCACTTCTTTGATACCTCTCAAAGCGCTTCATAGAATATACCGTAAAATGTAGTGACTGTTTATTTGTGGGCGAAACGCGGCAGCCAATTGCGCACAGCAGAGTCCCACAAACGGTCATGGATTGCGTGACCAATTTATTAGTTTTTTTTAAAGGAATTATTACCCCCAGAAAAACAATTCACCAATCGACAAACAAAAGGGTTCCTACTTACTGCTAGATAAACAGAGGCGTGTGGAATTAAAAAAAAGTTGCCCAACATTTTGCTCTGCCCAGGAATCGAACCCAGGGCTCTCGCTTGTGAGGCGAGTGCTCTAACCACTGAACTACAGGACTCCAACATCTTGTATTTTTGCACCTGCAATGGTGGGGGGGGGGGGGGGGGGAGAAGCGCGAGGGGGGGAAGAGGGAAGGGAGCATGAATTCTCATTAAATAGACCCAATATAATACTAAATTTCCTCAAGTGTAAAATACACATTAGGAGAGTTTACAGATTTTACTGCCTACCTCATTCAGAATGGAAGTTGCATTCTTTGCTCGCAGTAGGTCTGGAGTGTCCTCAACCATGGTTAGGCCGTGGCCCTTGACACCTTCCTCTAGATCCCTCCTGTACTCTTTCTGAGGAGGGAAAAGTAACAGATCTTCAGAACTGCTCAAGGAACCAAGTTATCACTGCCCTCCTTTACTGCCCCTCTACACAAAATTTCAAAGGTTATTCCAAAAAATCCCAAATGCAAAAAAAAAACTAAGAAATGGAGAACTTGAAAAATGGATGGATTTTTTTCGTAATGTATAACAATAATAATCCTTGTATTTGATAGCCTTATCACAGCTGAGACCTCTCAAAGCTCTCCACGGAATATACTGTAAAGTGAATTTCACTGCATATTTTATGGGAGAAACGCGGCAGCCAATTGCACACACAATTGTCGCACAAACATTCGTGGATTGAGTGACCAATTTTTTTTAAAAAAAACACTGAAGGGATTATTTAGCCCCAGAAAGCGATCCGCCAATCGACTAACAACCAGGTTCCTACTGACTGCTAGGTAAACAGAGGCGTGTGGAGTAACAAAACTTGTCTAAGGTTTTGCCCCGCCCGGGCGAGTGTGCTAACCAATACGCTACCAGAACTCATTCAAAACTCAGCGCAAATAGAGTTAAAACAATAAGAAATTAAAAGATTTTTTTTTTGACAGGTAAATTACAAAAAGTCCTTCGATGGCTCCCAACCGTGTTGGGATGAGAAGGTGAAATCACAAAATGTCAAGAGTAGCTTTGCTAAACACACAAAGTTGCGGTGGTTGTGCTGCGTTTCTTTTTAATTGAACCACAAAAAAAGAAAAAGAAATAATTTGTGTTAAGAAAAAGAAAAGTTCAAGACTCATGCTTAAGAAGAAGATCTTGCAAGAAGAAAGCTTTGAGGGGCGGGGGGGGGGGGGGGTTAGTCAAGAATAAGAATGGCTTATTTGCAAAGGGGAAGCTTTCAATCCCTCAGGGCTCCAACGGGATAATAGCACTCACGTATTAGTGCGATTACTGTGCGTTTGTTAAAAGGGGGGAAAAAAAGAAGGTACAAGTCCTGGATGTGGCTACCTCACAGGCTATTTTGGTTGCGTATCTGGCATGCAACATTGCTGGGGTAATCTCCAAGCCAGTAAGGTTCCTGCCTTTAATGGACTCTTCAAAATCCTTCCTATATTCTTTCTATCGGCAGACAACAAAGGAAGAACAAAAGGGTAAGAGTGGAGAAAAACATCGAGAGTATATCAAAAAAAAACAAAGCAAGAGTCAAAAGTTAAAATGTGTACAAAGAGAAAGAGCGTGAAAGAGCATGTGAACCTGCCTGTAAGATCCCCTTACACATCAAGAAGTAGAGCCAAAATCAGCCACTCTTCATTGAACACCTCTAGAGTTTGCTAATTACTGATAGAGTACATAGCATATTAGAACATTAAATAATGCGAGGCAAATAAAAGGCCAAAGTCCATCTAGTTAGCCTTCCAACTTTCTGGTGCTCGCAGGCACATATGTTATCCCATAATGTTATTTGCTAAAAGAAAACTATCTAAATGGTGTTTGAAGGAATCAACATTTCCTGCTTCAACCGTCTCCTTCGGGAGCCTGTTCCACAGGTTCACTATTTGCTCAATGAAATAGTGTTTGCGTAGATTTGCTCTGAATTTATCCCTCTTCAACGGCAGGCTGTGTGCTCTGGTTTTACTATTCTGGACAAGTTTAACTAACCTGTCATGACTACACTGTCTAGCCCCTTTAGAATCTTAAAGACAGCAATCATATCACCTCTGAATCAGTAAACTCCTGATAACTCGGCCCTGGCTTAACTTGACACTATCTCTCTTAAACCATCATGCTGTCCCGGCCACATTTATTGACGTATATATACATATGCCTAACTCGCCACTCCTGGTAAGCCGTCACTGAGCCCTTTTCCCTTAGAGCAGCCTCTTTAGTTGGTCAACAACAAATCAATGTTTCTTGATTGAATATTTCTTGATTTACGGCATAAATCTGGGCTATCTTGTTATTGCTATGTTGATTATTTTGTTAGCCAAACCAAAAGATTGCCTTAGAGCAATGAATTATCAGGAGTTTACTGTATATGTGCAGTAATTTTGAATATGAAAGAATGGAACCATCAACCGCATTATCGGTACCAGTGACAACAGTCATCTATTGAACTTAATACAAGTACAAAGCAGTCTAGATATAAGTAAACTCTTTCTGTGACCGACAAGCAAAAAAGCATTCGTTCAAGGTGACAGTGAGTGAAATAACTTGAAAATAATAATAATAATCCTTGCATTTGATATAGCGCCTTATCACATCTTCGAGGAGTCTCAAAGCGCTTCACAGAATATACTGTGAAGTGAATTGACTGTATATTTTTGGGCGAAATAATCAAGAGTACACATATTTCTCTTAAGGACAAACGGTATCAGTAGCAGTCCTGCGAGCAGTAGGGCTAAGACACTGGGCAACTTCTATAGAATTAACACTTACCCCACTCTGCATTTGCTGGGACTCCTTGGCAGTCAGATAGACTGGAGTTTCAAAGTCCAACATTGGCTTTCCTCTTTCCTTCTCGTACTTTTCCTTGTACTTGACCTGAAATTTCACAACATTCGCAATATTTACTTCAAGTCTGTCAATTTCAGGAAGGGTCACTTCTTAATCCTGATGTCTGTGCTTTCCACAGTACTCTGTCCCAGAAGTGAATTCACTTCAAAATTAATATCAAATAGTTTTGGGGGTGTAGTGTTTTGGGGGCGTGTTCAATTCAAACTGAATTGGAACTATTGCTTGCGTTTGAGAGAACGTTGAGGACATCGCCCACTACCGTTGCCTCCGCTCGACTGGCTCTGGCCTCCTGCTTGTCCCTCGTGCCCTCCGTTCCACCATCAGTGGCCGCGCTTTTAGCCACGAACCCCCCCAAAACTCTGGAACACTCAATCCCTCCGCCGTGCCCTCTCTTTCCCCATCCCAGTACCATTACTCCTGAGTGGGTTGAGACCTAAAGCGGATCCCTTGGCCCTAATGTTGGTCAGAGAATGGTTCAGAAATTAGGAGCAAGAGATCCCATTAAATTAACACCTCAAGAGGCAATAATTGCAATAGATGTTATTCCCACTGATAGGAACACAACTTTGTTAGGACCGAAAACAACAACAACTTGAATTCATTTTGTGCCCTTTCAAGTAGAATGGCATCTCAGAGCTCTTTACTTGTATGCATTTATGGCAAAACAATTTTCGTTTATACAATTAACATAAATAAAAACAAATCCAAATCCATTACTGTAATTTGGATGCCTCATTATAGCAATCCTTATACTTGATTTAGAGCTTTTCACTCTCAAGACGCTTCACAAAATATATACCGCAACGTATGGTGACTGTACTGAGAATAGTATGCAACCTCGGAAAGAGAATGACAGGCCGGGCGGGTGGGGTAGAAAATCCAATTCAAATGTCATCAACATGGAAAAAAACATTTTTAAGCACGGGACGAAAGAATGAAAGAAGGTTATTCTTCTTTGATGTAATATTTCCTATTATTGTATGTGATATGTATCCAGTTCTAGTGATTCCTTCCATATTTGCATCACTTGTTAATGTAATGACCTCCTTCTGGGCTGTAGGATTCTATGATTGTAATACTTGGAGACAGATGGCAATGAACCTCTATTGAAGAGGCGATAACACATGTGCAGAGATGTTCTGGACTGACTTACTTGACTCTGTAACTCGGTTGCCTCCTTTAGATGAATTTGTTCAGGTGTATCGGGCACCAGCTGGTAGTGACCCTTACTCGACTCAAACTCCTTCTTGTATCGATACTATAGGGATGTTCAATAAACCACCACAATAATACAGTGACTATAAGTCTCAATAATCTCACCCTGCTATAGAAATGTACTAGCAGGAGGGGGGGGGAGGAAAAAAAGACACGCTCCGTTAAACAGTCAACGTGAAGAAAAGATAAGTAAAATTTAAAAATCCACTTAATAAAAAAAAGTATTGGTGGGTCAGGATTCCACTCAACGATCATGTTCAATTTCAAATTGGAAGCAGATGATGGAAGTCATTTAGATCATGACAGTCTGTGATGGCAACCAATAACAAGCTGGGTTTGGTTCAAGAAGTTATCTCGAGTTTTAGTTCATAGCAATGAGACGGGAAGGGGGAACGGTATTTTTTTTTAATGGCACCTTTTAAAATAAAGTTATTTGTATGCAAAAGTGTTCCATTACCTTTTCAGGAATATTATTAATAATAATAATCCTTGCATTTGCTATGGTGCCTTATCAAGCCTCAAAGCGCTTCACAGAATATGCTGTAAAGTCAATTGACTATGTATTTTGTGGGCGAAACACAGCAGCCAATTGCACACAGTAGTGTCTCACAAGCAGTCAAGGATTGAGTGGCCAAATTATTTTTTTTAAAAGGGATTATTATCCCAAGAAAGAGATCTGCCATCAACTAACAACCAGGTTCCTACGTACTGCTAGGTAAACTGAGTTGTGTGGAGTAAGGAAACTTGCCTAGGTTTCACCCTGCCGAGGAATTGAACCCAGATCCTTTCACTTGCGAGGCGAGTGCTCTAACCAATAAGCTACAGGACTCCACAGGTATTTTAGTGTCATCGAAGGGATGAACTAATGGACTTCCCAATACACATTTATATTCATACAGCGCCATTCATGCTTGACAGTCCTGGGGATGGGGGAGGGAAAAGATAAGCGAAAGCGCGTTCAAAGAGGAAGGTCTTGAGATGGACTTTGAAAGAGAGGGAGGAGGCGAGTCGGAAGGACTCGGGGAAGGAATTCCAAAGTGTTGGGGCAGAGGCCTGAAAGCCTGAACACCCGAAGAACTTTGAAGCAAATGATATGAGCGCTTTCTAGCAGAGGCTGAAATTGGCTTGTGATTTACCCTGGGACATATAAGTCAAGTCCTTGTCAGAGATCCTCATTGGGCTTGCATCTCAACAGATCAGTAAGATGATCATAGAATTATGCATTTTTGTTATTCATTTATAAAGCCATTTACATTGGGCTTTTTGCCATGAGTTTGCGCATTTTTAACGACAAATCAATCAATCCCACCGAAAAAGTGTGGTTTATATTCCGGGCACAAAAGGTGATACCTCTTGGAACTCAGAAAGAATGAGAGAGAGACGTGATCTAGTCTTCACAGACACCACTAAGTCAAAGCCTGTCGTTGTCCCTTATCCTCCGATTCATGGCAAAAGCTGCTTGTTAATGGTTGCTCACCAAGAGTTTGCAGTGCTTTTCAACCTAGCATTGCTTTGCTTCCCAATTGTAAAGGACAGAAGGGGACAAATTCCCATCTGGGTCTAGACTTTATACTGCATTTCATTCAAAGAGCACAGAACTTGACAAATTGCTGAATTCAGTCTTCCCTTTGAAAGTGGGCTTTTCTTAAAAGAAAGCTCACGGAAAACCGACTTCCAAACTCAAGGCCCAACTGAAGAACATTTTAGGCATTTGCCAAATTCCGGACGTTCTGAAATGCTAAGAAAATGGAGCCAAATTCGGGCCCTGAAGTGGGATTTTTGTTCCCCGTATATTGTCCAGCAAACTGAAAAATAATTACACGGGCAAACAGAAAGCAAAAATAATTGCCCATCACTTTGGGTGAGAAAAGTTTTATCGCAATTTTTTTTTAAAAAATTAGAAAAAAGTAATTAGTTGGTTATTGTCAAGAAAAAAAGTTAGCGTTTTTCCAAGTCGACAATTAGTAACTTTATTAAAAAGTGATTTTGCGAGAGAAGGGGGGAAAAAAAAGACTATGAGACTCACTGTACAAAATATGAATCGGTTATTGATGGCTGATGACAGCAACTATCCAGAACACGCAAGGAAGGGTAAGCGATAAGTAGGTCACTACCACAGCTATCCCTAAAACCCAGCCAGGCTTGTGAGGAGAGGAACTATGTTAAGGCGTTCATACATTCAGGTGTAAAGTGGGTTGAGAGAAGGAAGAGTAAGGAGTGAGGGATAATGAAGGTGATGTGGCTTTGTTAGTTGGATGTGCTTACTTGACTCGCCAACTTGCTGGTGGCGAGGTTGTGCTGCATCTGCAGGGATTCGGACATGTCCGTCACCGGCTTGTGCAACTTCTTCAGGTCCTGCTTGTATATCACCTGCAAAGGGAAACGAGCAAAAGCCTCTTCACAATGATCCTTGTGCTTGATGCAACGTTCTTTCCCGTCAGAAGCTTGTCTGGAAGCGTTTTAGGAGATTTACTGTAAAGTGGTCACTGACGCCTTATTGGGGGATTGTTGGCCAGGACACTGGGGAGAAACTCCCTTTCTCTTTTCGAGTTGCGCCACATAATCTTTAACGTCCTCCTGAATGGAACCTCGTCTTAACATCTCATCCGAAAGACGGCACCTCCAACAATATGGACATTGGATAGTTTGGGAATAACAGTAGCTGCTATTTGGCTTCTATTGGAGGGCACGTTTGGCCAAGACTGCCAAGGTGCCCACACTGCAGAATGATCGCACGTTCGCACCTGTTGAGAGAGGCTGAGATGCTCCACCGAGAATGAGATCGAGACCTCAATGGTTGTTTGTGCTTGAGACACTCATAATATTAACACAGGGCCCCTCATGGGCTTGACAGTGGCGGAGCACGACAGGGGGAGGTGACAGTAGGCATGGTTGAAGAGGAAGTCTTCAGGCGCGACCCGAAAATGGGAAAGGATGAGGCAAGGTATAAGGAAAGAGGAAGAGTGTTCTAGAGTTTCGGGGCGCAGTGGAAGCCCGTTAATAAAGCAACACTGACAATGTACACTGTTGTTGGTGAAATAACATACCCTTAAGATACGTACATAACAAATGTTTTATCTGCAATCTCAGGCAGTGTTCATTCTCCTTTCGTGCCAATTTTGAACACTTACTTCACTGGCGAGAATGTTCGCATCCTTCATTGTCTTGTATACTGTGCTCTCCTTCAGGTCAAACTTTGGTCTCTGCTCCTTCATCTCCTTATCAAACTTCTCCTTGTATTTAATCTAGACGTGAATCAGAACCAGCCAACGTTATTTGCGACTACTTGACTCTACCGCATGCGGTGCAGAAATAAAAAAAAAAGAGAGCGTTCTTCTTAGTTCAGCAACAACGACGACAACAAAAAGTACATTTATTATAAAAGATCCAGGGAATAAATCAGCTGAAATTTTGTAACTGTTGATTGGAAAATAAGTAAGCCAAATGGTGCCAATGACATGAGGATTACAAACACATCACAACACCAAGCTAACAACATGCAACAAGTAAAGGATAAGTAAATGGAGGGTGGGGGGGGTTAATTGGTGGGAGGAACGTGATAATGCATGAACAGGAAGGGAAATGGATGACGTTTTAGAAACTGGTAGTCAAAAGTTATGACAACACAAGAAAATCCGGCATCCCCAGATTAATTCTAGTTAGCCCAATGTCTGTACGCATCCTGACCTGGTGGAATTATTGACCAAATTGGGTGGAATGCTGCAATAATCCTTGTTTTTGACACAGCACGAAACATGTTGAAATATCTCAAAGTGCTTCACAGTGAATTGTTGTCAAGCGCAGTGACTGTTTACGCACAGCAATGTGCCGCAATCGGGCACAAAGTGACTGGACAATTTCATGTGGAGGATTCGTGGCTAGGACAGCGGAGGAAACTCCCTTCCCTGGTTGAGTGATGTTGTGAGATCCTTAACGTCAACCTATTGACTCCAGCAGTGAAGCCCCCCACACCCCCTCCAGCATTGCCACTGGAATGTAATGAGTGCAAAAGTTTGTCAAACTTTAGATCGCACCAATTTGTCTCTCCTGCCACCTGACTTTTCTCATCAGGTGGTCAAGCGCACGCAGACTGAATAACATGAAATGATGTGAGGCTGTCGGATTTTCATCTCTTGACCCCCCCCCCAAGGACATACATAGCGCCTTATCACATCGTTGATAAGGACAGTACAGAAACGGAGCCCGGAGACATCAGAATTTTGCCATTCAGAAATGTTGGGTTCCTGCAGGAATGAATGCAATCTCCTGGGGTGGGGGTGGAGGGGGGGGGAGAGAACACTTGAGAATAGCCTATTTCACTCTGGTGAGAGAGAGAGAGAGAAAAAAAAAAGACTGGAGTCCTGCGCAGAAAATGTTCTCTCCTCTGTATGTGTCAAGCACACACTTGTGCTATTGGGTGTGGGCGCAGCTTAAGAAACAACAAAAGGCCAAAAGACGAGAAAATGTAAAAAATTGTCCAAAAAAAACAAAACAAAAGGCTCTGTAAATTTATGGATATGGAGCCTGGTAGTTCGGACACATTGATAGGGTAGAAAGAACCTTTGGTATGGAAAGCACAGCACTCCACTGTTAATTAAAAGAAAAAAAAACACACGTTTTGATATGCAAGATGAGAATGTTAAAGGGAGGAAAGACCTAGGAAATGGTAAGCTGTTGATTAGCTGATCAGCGCATATACTCAATAGGAGATTTCATGCTCGGTTTGAACAAAAAAATAAAATAATTCCTGTCAGACAGGGCGGGGAACTCAACATTGGCAAAGGTAAAGGTGATGATTTCTGCGTAGCTCAAGACAAGAGAAAGAATATTAAAGTTGGGCTGTATGCTGTCTAATTTGTGAACAACGAAGAAGCAAATGGCATTTCACAAGATCACAAGAGAAGTTCTAGTCATTAAATACCATCTGGGTAAAGAAATACTTCCTGATGTCCGCGCTGAATTTGCCCTTTCGAACTCTAAATCTATATTTACTTGGTGCATCTTAAAGTATTGTTCCGTGAATCTTAAAGTTAGCGCCTTATTTATTTACAGTAGACAATGAAAGGATGCGCAGAAGCCCAAGTTAGTAGATACCTAGAATTGGTGGAATTTCTCCCTACACACACCCATATCCCTCTCCAAACTACATCAGTAGCCCATGACTGTGATCATTGCTGGGGAAACTGTAACACTGGCCCATTAGGTTTATTCCTGCAACTATTCTGGGTAACAAAAAAAAACAGATCGTGCCTCTTATCCTGAGGAAACCAAGAGAACCTGAAAAAAAAAACAAGACAAAGGCAAAAAATAATGAAGTGAGGCGGAGAAAAATAAATACGCTTTTTCAAGAATTGTGCTTCTTTTCACTCCCAAAACCCCCAATGCTTTCCATTAGGTGGAGGCTTGATGGCTTGATGGCTCAATTGGAAACAGAGCTGCAGTATTGTAAGGACAACCCATTTGTATGAATGGCAAGTCTACATCGACAAACGTAGACAGAATGGACAGGACAGGGACTCGAAGGTTTCTTACATCACTTGTCAGGACATTTGCTTTCTTTGCTTGTCTCATCGTGGGGGTGTCATATGACGCAGCTCCATGGCCCCTGAGTTTGTGTTTCTTGTATTCCACCTGTGAAGTGCGCCAAGGTGGCACGATCAGAGCAGCAGTCAATGGATGGGGAGGTGTGGACAGCCATGATTACGGAGCCAGAGAGAGAATTGTTAGTTAGACAGCAGCGACCATGGGCTTTGCCCCTTCCGACCTCTTTGGGGAGGTGGGAACTGAACTTTAACCAGCTAAAATCACGCAGCTCGTCTTTGCAAACACTGGTATGTTTCCCGTCACTTGTCCAGCTAGCATCTACTCCTTAGGACTTTGCCTTCCTCGATTTACAAAATAATGGTAACACGCTGGAGCTGTCAGCTAGGAATAATAATAATTCTTGCATCTGATACAGCGCCTTCTCATGTCGATAAGGCATCTCAAAGGGCTTCAAAGAATGTACTGTAAAGTAAATTGACTGTTTATTTTGTGGGAGAAAGGCGGCAGCCAATTGTGCACAGCAGCGTCCCCACAAACAGTCATGGATTGAGTGACCAAATTCTTAACATTATTATTTTTAAATTATTTTTTGGAGGGATTATTACCCCCAGAAAGCGATTCGTTAATCGACTAACAACCGGGTTTCTATTTACTGCCAGGTAAATGGAGGCGTGTGGAGTAAGGAAACTTGCCTAAGGTGAATGAATGGCTTCTCGTGTCTCCACATTTTGTACTTAACTACAATTATGATGAGCTGAAAGTTTCGCAATGGCAAAAGACTCTTTGGGTTGCTGGGGTCATAAAGTAGTAGTATTTTGACTAGAAGTAACAAGGTGCCATCTAGTGCTTTCATTGCCATTTTCTCAATGCAATGTGACTTGAATGAAATCCTGCTGCTAATTTGGTGTGGGAGAAAACCTCTGTCAGTATAATTAATGATGTATATATTGATTACTTCAGGGTTAATTATGCAATCGATTTGGAAGAAAGAAGTGCTAATACTGAGCAGATGTGTCTGCATTTCATGTGATTTCCCTGTTCAGTCTTTTTAAAAAAGTATTTCAAGTACTCTCACAGTACAATTTCAGTTTGTGAAGGAGCGTTACCTAATCGCTTTATGCTGTCTGACCACAATTTGATTCTCACACTGCCTATAATAACAATAATAATCATTGTCATCACCTTACATTTGATACAGCGCCTTTCAATGCGAGCTCGTCTCCAAGCGCTTCACAGGATTTATTGTGTAATTTGTAGGCTTATTGTATTCATGCATTGCTTGTATTTGATAAAGAAGTGCCTCATCATCTCAAAATCCTCAAAGCGTTTCACTGGATCAGTTACTTTCGAGTGTAGTGACCTTATTTTAATGCAGGTACGAGTATCAGTTGATGCATTCAGCTTTTCTTTTTCTACTGTATTTTTTTTGGTTCATTTTTTTTTACCTGGCTTGTGAGTTTAGACACTTCTTTTGCGAGTTCTATGTCGGGGCGACCGAGGCTGATTATCCCACGGCTTGCTTCCTCACGAGCTTTGGTTCGATACCCGATCTGGGGAGATTCACAGCGACACTCTTACTTGACGGCCAGAGCAGGCACCAGACTCACAATTTATTAATAATAATAATCCTTGCATGATACAGCACCTAATCACGTCTTAGTGACTTCTCAGTGCTCTTCACAGAATATACAGTAAAGTGAATTGACTGCATACTTTGTGGGCGAAACGCGGCAGCCAATTGCGCACAGCAGCGTCCCCACAGACAGTCGTGGATTCAGTGACCAAATTATTATTTTTTTTTAAGGGATTATTACCACCCACCCTCACCGCTGCCGCCAATCGACTAACAACCAGATTCCTACTTACTGTTAGGTAAACAGAGGCGTGTGGAGTAAGGAAACTTGCCGAAGGTTTCACCTAGCCTGGGAATCGAACCCAGGTCCTCTCGCTTGAGGACCCAGGCAAGCGCTCCAACCACTGAGCTACAGGACTTTAATTACCTATTACCCTTGACTGCGAGGAATACTCACATCGCTAATTAACTTGGTAGCTTCAGTGGCCTTCTTGATGTCTGGCCGATCTGCCACGGATGAGTAAGAAAGGTTGGATTTTGCATCTTTCTTGTATTGAATCTATGGGACAATAATAACATTGATTAGAGATTAGTTGCAGCACACCAACTCGCTATCGGTGTTATTTGTTCTCAGAGATTCAGTTCCAGGCTGAGTGATTGAAACCTAGAATCATAAAATCCTACAGCACGCAACAAACCTATTCGGCCCATCGAGCCTGTGCCAGCTCTTTGAACAAGCTATCCACCTAGGCCCACTCCCACGCTCTTTCCCCATAGCCTTGCGATATTTTTCATTTCAAGTATACATCCAATTCTCTTTTGAAAATGATTATTGAATCTGCTTCCACCCCCCTGAGGATAATTGCAAGGCAGCAGTTCAGCAGTTCAACCTCAAGAACCCAGATCTCACCAAAGATCATATCAGGGGCTAAACATATGCATTATTTCTTGCTTCCACACTCACATTGCTCTGGTTCTTGGCTACGTTCATGGCGTGTATGATCTCCGGAGGTTTCACCATGTTGGAATAGGTGGATTTGCCTCGTTCCTTCTCAAACTTCTCCTTGTACACTTTCTGCGATCAAACAAGTGGATGTTAACGAGTAGAACACACCCCTGAACACACACACACACACATAGTGCAGGGTTACAGAGAGAGATGCAGCATGGAAGCTGGCCAAATGGGGCCCCATCCCTCCTATTTCCCTCTCCTATGTTACAAACACTCACCCCACTAAGAAGCTTGGAGACCTGTTTAACATGGGCAGTATCGCGAGTCTCAGGCAATTTGGTGTAAGTGCCATGCGGAAGATCCCTCTTAACAGCTTCTTTGTATTTTTTCTGTAAGGCAGAGAAAGAGGAAACAGGGACCTTATTTAGTAATGGCTAGGATGAGACAACAACAGCACTATCCAAGTGTGTTGAACCAACTATAGTCATTGCAACATCTTTAGGCCGGCAACTGTCAACACTGCATTTTACTTTATTGGACAAAATCTACTGGATAAGGAGATATTCTCAGACTTCGTAGGAACACAGTAGACGAAGAATGACCAAGGTCCATCTAATAATAATTATAATTATAATCCTTACATTTGATATAGTGCCTTATCACATCGTTAAGCTGTCTCAAACCACTTCCCAAGATATACTGTGAAGTGAATTGAATTTAGTTCGCCTTCTACCATCCTAGTTGTTGCATGCTACAATAATGGAGATGTTGATAACAGTAAATTCTGTATAATAATAATAATAATCCTTGCATTTGATATAGCGCTTTTCACGTCGGGAGGACGTCCCAAAGCGCTTCACAGAACACACTGTAAAGTGAATTGACTGTATATTTGTGGGTGAACGCGGCAGCCAATTGCACACAGCAATGTCTCACAAACAGTCGTAGATTGAAAATGACCAATTTATTATTATTTTGGGTTTTGGAGGGATTATTATTAGGCTCTGTGTGGAGTAAGGAAACTTGCCCAAGGTTTCGCCCTCTGCCTGGATTGAACTCAGGTCTCTCACTTGCAAAGCGAGTGCTCTAACCACTGAGCTACAGGAGCTACAGGATTAGTCTCCGTGTTATAAAGTAAACCTGATAAATTCAGCAACAATAATTTGTACATTTGTGGTAAGAATAATAATCCTTACATTTGCTACAGCGACTTTCACTTCAAGAAGACGTCTCAAAGTGCTTCACAGAATTTTACTGTAAAGTGTAGTGACTGTGTATTTTGCAGGTGTACGTAGCAGCCGATATGCACCTAGAAATATCTTGCAAACCTCCTTGAAGTGAATGATTTATTTTATCTGGGAAATTGTTGGTCAGGACCCTGGGACAAACTCCCTTCTCTTTATTCAGGTAGTACCACGGGACACTTAACATCCATCTGACAGGTGAAATGTCTTATCCTAATGAAGTGTCCCAGTCAATGTGTTATTTCGAACTGGAGCAGTCAGGATAGTGGAGAAACTCATGCATGATTCATGAGAACTCTGCTCCAGGGTGGTCTGGGATGGGATGGAAGCAAGACACAACATGCTGCAGGGTAAAATACTCACCTCGGACATCATGGTAGCGACTGATTTGGCGTGAAGCATCTGTGGTGTGTCTGGGACCACTTTGTAAGTGCCCCTTTCTTTCTCATGTTTCAACTTGTATTTAACCTATAAGAAAGACGCAAAGTTAAGTGAGCGAGGATTCTACACTGGGAGAGAGCCCCGAGGCTAAAGTCAGTGATGATAAAAATAATAATCATAATAATCCTTGCATTTGATACAGCACCTTATCATGTCTTCGAGACGTCTCGAAGCACTCCACAGAATGTACCATAAAGTGAATTGACTGCGCATTTTGTGGGCGAAACGCGACAGCCAATTGATGCGGAGCCAGTGGGAGGGGGGAGGTGAAAGTAAGCATGGTCGAAGAGGAAGGTCTTTAAGTGAGACCTAATGGAAGGGATTACCTTTATGAAGCGTATTGGAGGGCTTAACAATGGCGTAGTTTGATGTTAAGATGGGGAACGAGGAGAGGTGACTGTAGGCACGATCCACAGCATGGCGTGTCACATTAACAGCAAATATCCATACTTACATCACTGGCCAAATCTGAGTTGTTCACTGCTAGGGTCATGTTTTTGTCTCCATAAACAGGCACTGACAGCTTGCAGCCTTTCAGGAATTCCCTGTCCATCTTATACTCCACCTGCAAAATGCAGCAAGCAGATTTTATTAGCAAAGTGCCCGAGGCAAATTAAACCTCACAGACAATGCGAGTCTGCAATCTAATGCCGTGAAAGGATTCTTTATTAACAATTCAAAATTGCTCCAACAAATTGTTTTCTATCGAATTATACAAAATTACATAGAATAATATAAAATCGGCAAAAGAGCCAGAGGGCAGACAAGGAGAATGTTTTTTAAAAAACGCAGTGAGTTGTTACGATCTGGAACACATTGCCTGAAGTGGTGGTGGAAGCAGATTCAATAATAACTTTCAAAAGGGAATTGGACATATACTTGAAAAGCAAAACAAATTGCAAGGCTATGGGGAAAGTGCGGGGCTGTGAGACTAACTCGATAGCTTTTTCAAAGAGCCGGCATAAGCAAGATGGGACGAATGGCCTCCTTCTGTGCTGTAGGATTCTATGGATATGGCACAAACATACAACAGTTAACCCAACTAATCCATGCCGGTTGCTTATGCTCCACACAAGACCTCTCTGACAACCCGCCCTTGCTCCTCTATTCCCTTTTTCTCCTAAATAAACAGAACAAAGTTTTAGAGGGATCAATGACAAGTTTGCATAATTATAATGTTGGCATTCCATATAGCGTCTTATCACGTCGATGAGACGTCTCAAAGCGCTGCACAGGATATACTGTAAAGTGACTGTAGTGACTATTTTGTAGGCGAACACACTGGCCAATTTACGCATGGCAATGTTTCACAAATAGCCATGGAGTGAGTGACTCATTATATTTGGAGGATTGTTGACCAGGACACCAGGGATAACTCCCTTCTCTTTTCAAATAATATCATGAAATCTTATCAGGCAGACGGGACCTTGTCTGAAGGACAGCACCTCCGACAATTCATCACTCTACACGATGGGTTCAGAGTTGTATGACGAAAATCCTATACAGGGTTTGTTACAAAGAGGTTTTTTGGGGTATGGATAAGCACTATGGCCATGGGTCTCACGGTGCTGTTATTCTTACATCACTCTGCTGCAACGAAGCCTTGGAAGCCTGTATGAAGTCTGGCCTGTCCACTGTCCACACCCATTTTGCCTTGGTCGCCTCGTATTTCTTCTTGTAGTCGAGCTGCGGGCGGTGTAACAAAAGACACATTGACACACACAAGGTTCAACATGCAGTTCATTGCCTTTATTGAACGAAATTTGATTGAACTAAATGCATTCCGGTTTGTAACAAGACTAAATCATCCTTGCATGGATGACACAGCAGTTTTCAGGTTAGGAGGATGTCTAAAAAGGCTTCACAGGATTTACTGTGAAGTGTAGTGACTGTATTTTGTAGGGGGAACGTGGGTTGCCAACTTGCGCACAGCAATGTCTAACAGACAGCCGTGAAGTGAGTGACCAATTTTATCTGGTGAGGGGGGAATTGTTGGCCAGGACATTGGGAGAAGCTTCCTTCTCTGTTCCAATAGCATGCCATGGGATCTTTAATGGTCACCTAAACAGGCAGGCGGGACTTTGGTTGAACAAGTCATCCAAAAAATGCCATCTTCAACAATGTAGCACTCACCTAGGAACTGGGGAAGGGAGTGGGTTTGACTCACTTTGATAAACTGCCTACCGCCTACTAATTTGCAATCAAGTTACAAGCCTCTTGCTACCCCATTAAAGTGACTATTATATCCGTTGATTTTGTCGATGAGATATGCACTGATTTGTATGTGGAAGCCAGAGGGATAGAAATCGCTGCCGACACTTACATTAGTCGTGTTTTTGTAGGCACTCTTCGCGGCTCTGATGTCAAAGGCGTCAGGTGTGATGTTGCAGTGAGCTTTGTTCTTTTCGTACAGTTCCCTGTATTTCAACTGACCACAACAAGGAGGCAATGTTAAGGGCATATTGAACGCTTCAAGTACTTCCTCCATCTCGTCATAGCAAATTTACGACAGCCGCCTTGAGTTTAACGTCTCATTAAAAGCATCACAGACAAGGAAGCACATCCCTAGGATTGCACTGGGGTGTCAGCCTGGACTATATGACATCAAAGTGCCAACATGAGGCTTGAACCCACATCTTTCTGACTTCCTAGGGAAAAGTGCTTTAAACTGAGCCAGGCTAATACCAGAGATCTATACGACCTACAGGATGGTATAATAAAGGAATAATATGCCATTACTCAAGCAGACTTATAAGGAATTGAAGTCCTTAATATCATTATATCATTGACAACGTACATTCGTGATAATATTATTATTAATAGTAATAATAATTGGACATTGATGTACATGTACTGTATTGATGTACATAGGAACATAGGAACAGGAGGAGGCCATTCAGCCCTTCGGGCCTCTTCCGCCATTTAATTAGATCATGGCTGGTCTGTACCTCAACTAATCCTTTCAATTCCAATTCCCCGCTTTCTCCGCATATCCCTTAACACCCCGACCTACCAAAAATCTATCAACCTCACTCTTGAAGGTGTGGATGGATCCAGCATCCACGGCCTTTTGGGGGAGAGAATTCCAGATTTCTACCACCCTTTGAGTGAAAAAATGCTTCCTGCAACACGCATTCAATGTGTAGTCAATACTTACGGCACTTGATCTGTCTTTGATCTTATGCATATGCAGCAGCAAAGGTGTGTCATGTATAGCAGTGTATCCCTTGGATATGTTTTTGTTGTAATCCGATTTATACGATATCTGTGAACACAGCAGAAAATAGCAGTTTAGAAACAGCATACAACCTCACAGGTCTCATATAACTGACTTTCTATAAGAGGCGCATGTAATTTTAACTCCCTCCCTCGTACAATACAAATTGCTATACCAATTTACATACACATAGTCAACCTTTCATGTTGGGAAGATATCCCAAGGCTCTGGTCAGAAAAAAGTGCACTTACGTCACTGATCATCTTAGTGACTTTCTGAGTTCGCAAGTTTTCAGGAGTCTCCAAAATAGACGTGAACTTGTCCTTTTTCTTCTCATAATCTTTCTTGTAGTTCCACTATACACAGGGAAAGCATTAAATTAACAACAAGGTTAATTTCGTGGAGCGCCTTTCACATCAGGAGGACGTCAAAGGAGACCGGGGGCACCAACTCGGGGGAACGGGGTGGCTGAGAAGTGGGTGAGTGGATGGGCGGAAGGGAGAAGGTGACCAAAATCATCATCAGAAAGGTAGTTCTTAAGTTGGGCTTCAACAATGGCGAGGGAGGGACTCAGAGATGGAGTAGATAATCATCATCATTATGTTGCCTTATGTTGTTGAGACATTGCAAAGCGTTTCAAAGAACGTATTATAAAATGAATTGACTGTGTATTTTGTAAAAAAAATTGGTGGTCACTAAATCCACGGCAGCCAATTATGCATAACAAGCTGGTTTGGGCAACGTAAATACAATGATAAGCTTTACGTTTTGTGTGGCGCCTTGCACATCAGGAGCACGCATCAAAGCACTTCACAGGATTTTACTGTAAAGTGGAGTGACTATGTATTTTGTCCCACAAACAGGCCGACACTGAGGAATCGCAAGTAATTAAACCTCTTTCGAATCATTTTTTTTATATACCTGATGTGTCAACGGATTTAGTACCAAACCACATTTCCTAGAACAAAACACTGGTGTTAAACAAGCCAAACATTATCAAAAAAACGGTTTAAGCATTACATAAAACTGATGGTTTTTTTTTTACCTGACTCCCCGAGATTGAGTTGTACATTGCAGTCAGCATATCAGGGCGTAGAATTTCATTGCATCCTTGCTTCTGTATCATTTTGGCCTCAGACTTGTAGGATTTCTGTCCACAAAGACAACAGACGTGCAATGCAGAGGGTGACAGGTTAAAGTACACTCACGGTTCTATATTCTCAATACAATACAGTACAGCGATAAGAATTAAGTGCCATTCACTGACACCTATTGCGCTGTCTGCACATACCTCATCCAGGATTGCACCTGCTTCTTTGACATGTCGGAAGTGTGGAGTGTCTGACGTGTATTTAAACTTGTTTCTGTTCTTTTCAAAGGACTCTTTGTACTTATTCTGTAAGCAGAAAACCAAACCGTTAGAGGCGGATTTTGCCCAGCTTGTAAAGCTTTACTGCAAATCTATACAAATAATTCCACTTTAGCTCCTTATTAATCCCGCACCGTGACAATCTTTACATTTGATACATTGCCTCTCCAGTCGGGCAGACCCCTCAAAGCGCTTCGCAGGATTTACTGTAAAGTGCAGTGACTGTATAAATTATCGGTGAATGTGGCAGCCAATTTGCACACAGGGATGTCCCACAAACAGCCACGTATAAGTGACCGTCCATCTGAACATGCAGACAGGACAGGACCTTGGTTGAACATCTTATCTGAAGGACGACTGCACCTCCGACAATGAGGCTCTCGCCCAGCAATGCACTCGAGGATCAGCCCAGACTGTGAGCTCAATCCTGGCAATGCTATGAATCGATAAGTAACCATTGTCTGGAGTAGTGGTAGAGTGTGCGCTCCTGTTTTCCCCCCACCCCGGAATCGGAAGAAGCTATGGTTCTTCCCACTCAGCTCCTGTTAACCCTGCAAACCAGAGCTGCGACTGGTACGATGGTCCCAGCTGGACAAGCATTGCGCTCTCAATGGCAAGCTATGCAGGTTATTTAACCTGGTTAAACTCCAGCTTGTACCCCCAATGCCCCACACTGAGGTCTCCAAGCCTTGTCTCTTGCCAACCTGTTCCTGATACTCTAAATAATTGGGTAAGACAGGAGAGAGTGCGAGAGAGGGCGAGAGAGTGCGCACTCCATTCCAGACCCAGAAAAATTTCCGGGTGACATACATATGTGGAACGCTCAGTCTGGTTTGGATATTCTTAAGCATCACTGTGATATAGTATATGTCGGACACCCAGTTCTCCAAAGATACAAACCCCCTCTGGCCTTCCTCACGCAAACCTGTTGTTGTGTGTAATGATGGTTGCTGTCCTTACCTGACTGTACATCTTCGAGTTCTTCTCGGCCAGGACCAGGTCAGGGGTATCCCACACAAAGCAGCCAATTCCCTTCAACCATGTCAGGTCTTCTTTGTATTTGACCTAGATATTAAAAAGAAAAAAAGTTATTGACAGTGTGTTGCGCTCGGTCTCCTTTCATTCTAAAGTAGAAGCTGCTTAATAATAATAATAATAAAAATAATCCTTGGGTTTGATATAGCACCTTATCACATTGTTGAGATGTTTCAAAGTGCTTCACAGAGCATATTGGGCAAAATGGGCGAAATCTTGCGGTGAAATTTAAAGCTTAAAGCACAGAAACAATTTGCATTTATACAGCACTCTAGGGTAACATGTGGAAGTGCTTTCCAGGGACGGGGGTTAGACCCTGAGGAAGAGAGAGGGGGGAGAGCGGGGGGAAGAGGATGAGGAGCTTGTGGATGAGTTTGAGGAGGCAGGATTTGAGGCAGGAAATAAACACACAGCTAACCAACGACAAGACTTTCATCTCCTGATCACTTAAGGTGACACCTCACAACTCTTGTCGCTTCGGAACAACGTCAAGGATCAGAAGCAGAACTAGTTTTTGACCGGTAGCTCCAGGTCGCTGCTCTGACTGCCACGGCAAAAAAAATCACAGAGAAGGTGAGGACGACTGGGAGAAACTCACATCACTGATGGAGTCGGTGACCATGCGGTGGTGGAAATGCTCAGGCAGATCAGCGATGGACCTCCACAGCCCCAGCTGTCTGATGTACTTCTCCCTGTATTTCACCTGGAGGGTAGAGAAAGCTTCATTAATAACAGTAACCCTCGGGTTTGTTATTGCAGCGCCTTTCAGCACCGGGAGGATGCCCCGCAAAGCGCTTCGCAGGATTCACTGTAAATAATAATAATAATCCTTGCATTTGATATAGCGCCTCGTCACGTCTTCGAGAAAGACAACAACTTGCATTTATACAGCGCCCTTCACGAGGGGTAGTGTTCCAGAACGCTTGATCTATATGTATATCTATACAGCGCATTATCAGGTCTTCGAGATGTCTCAAAGTGCTTCACAGGATACGCTGTAAAGTGAATTGACCGTGGATTCTGTGGGCAAAGTGTAGCGACAGGTTCATTTCACCCAACGTACTTCACTGATGTCGTCTGTGACTTTGCGATGATAGGTGATGTTCAGGGCGTCTTTCACGGTGTGGTAGTGACCCTTGGCGTGCTCAAAGGCTTCCTTGTACCGCAGCTATCGAAGGAAAAAGAAATCAGGTTTATTCAGGCTGCGAAAGAACGCCGGCTCGACTGAGGAAGCTTTTATCATAGAGCCTAAGTTCAGTACGTACATCGCTGGCGTTCGCATATGCTTTCTTAGACCTCAGTAGGATCGGAGTGTCCGGGATGGAAGTGTATTTGCATTTCATTTTCTCGTACTGTTCCTTGTAGTTTCTCTGATGGAGGAACAAAACAAATGAATCAGGTTTCAGACAAGTTTCCAGTACAAATCAATAAGCTACCACAAGACTCTACTTCTGCATTAAGAATTACAGCAGTCGTGGATTGAGTGACCAAATTATTATTTTTTTAAGAGATTATCAACCCCGGAAAAGCCCCGGGTTCCTACTTACTGCTGGGTAAAAAGAGGCGTGTGGAGTAAGGAAACTTGCCCGAGGTTTGGCCCTGCCCGGAAATCAAACCTGGGTCCTCTCGCTGGCGAGGTAGGTGGTCTAAATGAATTTCAGTCAACAATACAAACTGGAACGCCAACAGATCCATTACCGTTTCCTTCTATTCTGCCGCGAGAACTATTACGGACGATTTGAAATCGTCCTAAAATCTTGGAATGCTTACCTCGCTGGTGATTTTCTTGACATGTCTGGTGTGCTCCAAAGCTGGAGTGTGTGCCTGAAGAGTGTAATGGGGCCTTTCCTTTGAGGCCAGCGCCACGTACAGATACTAAAACAACAGAAATAAATCGATCAGCAACACTTTCAACAACAACAACAACAAATGACTATATTTTGTATAGCGCCTTTCACGTCGGGAGGATGTCACAAATCGCCACTTCAAGGCAGTTGAGCAAGAGCACATAGGCTTAAGAGTTGCAAAGGACAATTTCAGGGCAAACACCAGGAAGTATGTCTTTACCCACAGTTTGTCAGAAATGGCGGTCGAGACGAAGAGGTTGGGATTGTTTTACAGAACCGCTTAACGCTGTGATGGGAGGATGTAGTGTTGGATTGAATAAGGCGAATGGCTTTCTTCATCCAAATTAATTTTCTTGCTGGTCTTTACCTGGCTTTGTATCTTCTGACCGTGTTTGGCTCTGTTGAGATCCACACTGTCGCCGATGGGAGTGTACTTCGTCTTCTGGTCATTTCCTGCCGCACGGTAAACGAGCTGGAATCATAAAAGCCGCGAGCCAAAGTGAGAGCCGATTTCCCGATCAGAAAATAATTGATCACTGCTATCGGAATTCACCGATTCCTGCTCGCGTGCACTCGCTGACCCTAACAGTGCCCAACCCGGGACTTGAACCCACAACCTTCTGACCCAGAGGTTAGAGCGCTACTTGTCTGAGCCAAGCTAATGGAGGGGGGAGGAGGGTGGGATGTCAGTTAGCAGTGGAACAGAGACTGGAGTGTTGCAATGGAATACAATCCCTACTTTACAACAAAGTCTGCAACTGTGTCTCTTCAACCGAGTACTATTTCAGAGCGCAGTTGAGGCTCTGTACTCACATTACTCAAATGGGTCTTCAATTCCGTCACGTGACGATACTCGGGGGTGTCCAGAACCCCAGTGAATTTGTCCTCCATTTTCTTGGCCGCCTTCTTGTAGCCAGTCTGGCAGCAAAACACATGAAGAGAAAATAAGAGCCAAACTTCCCACAATCTGGGATCTTATAATCTTCTGTATCTATTATTATTGATACTATAACTAGATCCAGGATAACTTAATGGCTTTATTTGCTTTGCCAGCCTTGTGTCTCACACCAGAAGCCCATCACTGTGCTTAAGAGTGTCCAAACAATGATACTAACAATCCTTCCATTTGATGTGGCACCTTTACGCATCAGGAGGGCTCTCAAAGCACCTCACAGATTGACCATGGAAGTGCAGTGACTGTGTCTTGTGGGCGAACACGGCAGCTCTTGGCAAAGATTTTGAGTGGATTCTATTCGGTGAAATCGACACTAGGAAATGAGAGAAAAGGAGACGTACCACAAATTTGTGGAAATCACGAACACGGACCATCTCTGGAGTTTCGTACAAGAAACAACCGATGCCCTTCAGCCAATTCAGATCTTCCTTGTATTTGTTCTGGAAGGGGCAATAGTCATAGAATCAGTTTGCACAGGAGACATCAAGACAAGAGCTTCCCCAAAAACAAAAATCTCTAGTAAACTAGCAAAAAAGATAATTAACACTCACATCACTGGTTATTTCCCCCACGTAGCGATGATGCAAAAGCTCGGGCGTGAATGGAAGAGATATCATCTGGCCTCGCTGATCGAAGTACTTTGATTTGTACACCAGCTGAACAAAAAGAATTCACTGTGAGTTATTTGATTCTTGAAAGCCCCTGAAAGTTCAGCGCATCTCCTCACAACACAATTCTGGGTCCAATATCATGAGCGAGTGCATTAAATGGCCGACTTGAGGATCGCCAGGTCGCTGCTAATGTCACTTCCTGCGTACTGCGTATGGGCCAGAAGATTGCTGACATGTGAAGGACCCAGGAAGTGATATTGAAAGGCAATCTGGTGAGCTGGAAATTAGGTATTTATTTAAGAACAGGAAGTCAGAAGTGTACCACACCACGCAGGTGAACCTGAACCTGCGTTCTAGCAAGGCGAGGAATGTCACTGGGGATTGTTCTGTATATCCCACGATTGTTTTACACGGCGAGATCCCCTGTGTTGAAGGGCCAGACGTACGTCACTGATTGCTTCCTGTGTAGCTTTGACTTGGCGGATTTCTGGTGTGTCGGGGGCAGGATGAATCTTATCCTTTCCTTTCTCGTATTTTTCTCGATACAGGCGCTGTGAAAGGGAAAGAACACAGTTGGAAACAATATTGTACAAAGATGGAATCGTGACCTTGGCCTACCCCATCGGCCTTGCCAAGATACCAGGATCTTGTGAAGGACACACACATTCATTACCTGGTTCAGAATTTTGTCTGCTTTCTTGGCTGTGACGAAGCTGATGGTATCCGGGGCCAGCAGGTAACCTTTAGCCTTCATGTGTTCATAAGCTTCTTTGTACTTCAACTGGACGAGAAAACAAAACATTTCAATGTGTTTATTAGAAATTCCCACCAGCGATGAATGGCTTTTAGCAATAGATTTAATATTAGGCTGGGTTTTTGGGCAATAGCTAGTCTTGACTTTGGCCATGATACACAGGCATACGTGCAGCAGAAATCGAGACTGGATCAAAGCAAACTTCACTGAAGCCCAGCTCGTAGGGGGGATCAATTCAGAGCACTGTGACTCCTGCCAGCTCCGGTATAAATGCAATGTACCCCTTTGTCGATTTCAGAGCTAGTTACCTACGCCATCATGTTCGAAAAGTACGCAGCTTTCCAAGGGTGAGGGAGGGCAAAACAAGCCAGGGTTCCTGCTCCTGGTTTCTTTGCAGCACCCTCTGCTGGTAAGGACATGCATGACCAGATGGGTGGGGAGAGAGGGTCAGGTTGGGTTGTGGTGCCCTCTACTGTTGAGTGGCCCCCCGACACTCACTGCCCAAGCCTCTCACTTGAACAACGGCCACTTGGCCAAGGTTGGAGTGGGAAAGCCAACCCCAGCCAAGAGGAGGCCAGACCGGAACCAGAGAGACGTACACCAGTGGGGAAGAGAAAAATAGAAAGAAAATAATCGGTCACACTAAATCAAATTTAAAAAAAAAAAGATACGTCCAAATTATAGTGCTGGCTGGCTTAGAAATCAAACACACTTGAAACAAACATTAGTGTCAAGTATATAGCTTGGAGTATGACGTATGCATGGTGGAAGGATGGTGGAAGGTGAACTAGATGGACCTTGGTCTTCTTTCGGCTAGGAATTCTTATGTTCTTATGACGAGCACTAAAAGGCAGGGTTAGTGAAAGGTAGCTGGCAGGGGAGATACCGAGGGTCTGTGTTGCTTACATCGCTACGTATCGCATTGCAGTTTTTGATGTGTTTGAAGATGGGCATGTCTGTTGCCAGCTTATATCCGCTGGGGAGCAAGCTCCGGCCCACTTCCCGGTACAGGTTCTGGAAAAGAAAGACCAAAGAGCCATGATTGGCATAGAGAATAATAATAATAATACTTGAATTGGACATAGCTCATTATCAATAACAGTTTGCATTTATATAATAAGAGTTTATATTTGATACAGCGCCTTATCACATCTTCGAGGCATCACAAAGCACTTCACAGAAAATACTGTAAAGTGAATTGAGTGTGTATTTAATGGGTGAAATGTTGCAGCCAATATAGTGCCCTTCATCCAGGATAGCATCTCGAAGTATTGTCATCTCATGTCATCCAGTTGACTCAAAGCACTTCATAGGATTTTACTGTCAAGTAAACTATTACTGTCATAATAATAATCCTTGAATTGGATATAGCGCATTATCAGTACTGTATATTTTGTAGGAAAATGAGTGGCCTATTTGCTGTGGAACATACAGCGATGTCCCACAAACAGCTATGAAGTAAATGACTCATTTTATTCGGTGGGTTATTGACTAGGACCCTGGGAGAAACTCCCTTCTCTTTTTAAATAGTTCCAGAGGATGTTTAACACTCACCCGAAAAGGTAGATGGGACCTTGATTTAAAATCTCCTCCGAATGGCGGCACATGCAATTCCCCCCCCCACCCACCCCAGCACTGCATTGAATTGTCAGCCTAGAGTATGTGGCGTCAAGAAACTGATGCAGGCCTTTTACCAACAACCTTCTGACTCAGAGGCAAATGTGCTACCAACCGAGCCAGGGTCTCACCTGTTCTCCCAAGAATCTTTTACTTTAAGCACTTACTTCACTCTGGAGCTTGCCAGCTTCTCTGGCTCTCGTCAGATCTATGGTTTCTGTGGTTGGAGCCACTTTGCCTTTGATGGTGGTGATATAGTTATTACGATAGACAATCTGCAAAACAGTGAGAGGAAGGAGGGTGGATGACAGTGTTTTCTCTTAAAAGGAACTTACATATGTTCTCAAGATCAAAACATTGCACTGAATTTTGCACAGCACATCTATGCACATCTGAATGGGATTATATCCAGATGTGTCTCAACGAGCTGTGTAGCGGTCTATATAGGAGTTGGATCCCATTTGTTTATCTCAATGGGTCTAAATTGGTACATAGACTCAAACATTTATGCCACTCGTTCAATGCGCACGTGATGCCTATTTATAACCATAGAAATATACCACACACAATGGGGCTGTTGTGTGAATCGTTAACCCCGACTGGATGAGAGAAATTAAAGCTTCAACAGAGTTCCATTCACACCATGACATCTGTAATAATAATAGTAATAATCTTGCATTTGGTATAACTCCTTCTCACATTGTTGGGACATCTCAAAATACTTCACAGGATATACTGTAAAGTGGATTGACTTGTATTTTTTGTGGGCGAAACACCAACAAATATTTTGTGTCCATCTATACTGGAGTTAAGGCCTACAATGGCTTTATAACGGGAAACCGAAGGAAAACAAGAACATTTTACTGATCAGTATAAGAAAGGCCATCTCCCCCCACGACATCCACCTCACCACTGCTGTGTATTTTACTCTTCGTGCACTGTTTCACAACATTTTTGCTGCAAGTTTTATCACGCGCAACTTTTCCTTGCATCATGATTTACGGGGGAAATTTCCGTTACGCCAGTTATTGGTAGGATTCCTCATTATAACAGTGCTTCCCAAGAACTCCTCCTTCACACCACCACCATCATTACACAAACCCACACCCCACTGTGCCTGTATTTTCAGAAAGATACGCAGGCATACTTACATCACTGTGCGGCTTGGTTTTGACGACAGTATCAACGTAGGTCGGGGTGTCCATGACCGACGTGAATTGGTTCCACATGCCCGTAGCCTTGGACCTGTATTTAATCTGCAGGGAAGTATCCCAAAGAGAAAAATTTAATCAAACAGACTTGCAATCATTTTTTTTTATCTGTTTAAAAAAAGTTGCGCTTGCAAGAATAAGTGCTCTGAACATACGTCACTGTGCTGGTCGTAGGATTTCTTGCATCGGAGGATCTCTGGTGTGTCCCAGACATTGCACCCGATTCCCTTAAGCCAGTTCAGGTCATCTTTATAGATAATCTGGGAGGGGAAATGGACCACAAATAGGAATTACTTTACAACGCACTAATCAATCACTTACCAATCAACCACAATTGCTAAATATTAATAACAATCCTTGTACTTATCACGTCGTTGAAACATCTCAAAGCGCTTCACAAAATAGTGTAATTGACTGTATATTTTGTGAGCGAAACGCAGCAGCCAATTGCGCACAGCAGTGACCCACAAACAGTCGTGAAATGAGTGACCAATATTTTTTTTGGAATTGGTTATTATCACCGGAAATGCGATCTACTGATCGACTAACAACTGAGTTTCTACTTACTGCTAGGTAAACAGAGGCATGTGGAGTAAGGAAACTTGCCCAATGGCCAGGAATCGAACCCGGGTCCTCACGCTTGTGAGGCGAGTGCTCTAACCACTAAGCTACAGGACGAGGTGGAATTCCATTCTCTCGGCTCCTGCACAGGCACTTACATCGCTGAGCTGCTCGTTGACTTTCCTGGCGTGAATGTTGATCTTCATGTCGGGAAGGCAGGTCCATTGATGAAGATACGTGCGGTAGTCGACCTCGCTGACTTTGTTCTGTGTGTCTCTGGCAGCGACCACCTCCAGCATGTCCGGCACAATGTGTACTTTCGCTTTGTTCAATTCATAATTCTTTCTGTACAGGCGCTGGACAAATTGAAGGCAATGCATCAAGATTACTGTGGGCTCATCTCTTTATAACACGACAACAACTTGCATTTATATAATAATATTAATAATAATTCTTACTTTTGATTATGGCATTGTTAAGACGTCTCCAAGCGCTTCACAGAGGGGTGTGGAATAAGGAAACTTGCCTAAGGTTTTGCCCTGCCTGGGAATCAAAGCGCGAAGCGAGCGCTCTAACCAACACGCTATAGGACTCTGTGTCCTGTACATAGCGTCCTTCACGTAGCATCTCAGAGCGCCAGAGAGACCGGGAGATTGGGCATTTGGGGTGGCTGCTCTTACTGTGGGAGCATGAGGGAGCCTGTGGAATGATCCAGGAGGGAGAGAAGGCAGGGAGAAGGTTCATAGAGGAACAGTGAGCAGAGTGGGGGTACAAAGTACAAGTGGGGCATTTTTACGAGCAGGGGATACAGCTTCTTTCAGAAGCTTGTTAACAGCCAGTTGGCCATCTTGAGGCAAAGGATTCTCACTCAACTACTCAGCTCCTGTTAACCTTGTGAGCCAAAGCCCTAATGGGCAGAGTGGTTCTAGCTGGATAAGCAGTGGGGTGCTTGCTCTCAGTGGCAAGCTATGTGTGTTTAATCCAACGCACCTTCTGGGGTCCCCCTAGCATTGGCTCTTGCCAAGCTCCACTTAACACACTCTGGAATTAAGTGCGCAGGGTGCATCGTTTCAGGGGGGGAAATATCACACCCACAGGCCATTCCAGACACAGGGAAACGTTGATGAGTAAGTCGTACACGAATGTGGGATTATCAGGTTGGTTTGGACACTCTTAAACTTGTTGATGGGTTTCTGCACGTGTCAGACACACAGCAGACAGCCCAAAAAAAAACACTTGGCTGCCGGAAAGAGATGGGCGTGAAGAAACTGTGCTGGTTTGAAGTGAGACAAATGATGAGTGCCTTTTCTCGCTCGTTCTCTCTGTATAACAGTGTAGGCTGAATGACAACTTACATCCAAGGTAAGCTTCCCAACTTTCAGGCAGTGCAGTGTAAGTGGATCATCCTCTACCGAACTGGGTATGGTGTACAGAGCCTTAAACTTCTCATAATCTTCGCGGTATTTTAGCTGCAAAAGAAGATGTGGATAGTTTGATTGCTAATTAAAAACAACCATTTTTTTACATATTATTTTGCCATTCCGCCTTTATCCAAGCAACAAGAAGGGGCCTGAGTTCGTTAGGATTCTCTGGAACAACAACTTGTATTTATATAGCGCACCCTCATACAGCATAGTGTCCCAGAGTGCTTCACACTGATGGAGCACGACACCAAGCTGGGGCGGAGGTGACTGTAGACCATGACCTGAAGATGGGGGAAGGAAGGGGCAAGACGGCGGGATTGAGGGAGAGTGTTCCAGAGTTTCGAGGCACAGTGGCTGAAAGTGTGGCCACGGGTGGTAGAACGCAGGGCAAGAGGAACAAGCAGGAGGCTGTAGCCAGCAGAGCAGAATACTTACTGGGCTGGCCGCGATTTGCTGCTTCTTATTAAGAGCTATTGAGAAGGCATCCGATGGCATACTGTAGCTTGTTGCTTTCACCTTGTCCCAGAGCATTTTGTAAGCATTCTGGAAAACAAAATAATATTAAATTCGATTAAATAATCGCACGCAGAACACTCATTTATTTTGAGTTTATGGCACGAATGCCGCTGAACCAGCAAACTCTGTCTTACATCTTTAGAATTGGAGATCCTCATTACAAAGACGAAACAAAAAGATGAGTGTTTAGTGCTTGCCCATGTGATGGACCCCATTTATCAAAACCATGGGATGACAATGATAATAATATGATAATAATAATTCTTGCGTTTGATATAGTGTCTTGTCACGTCGTTGAGACGTCTCAAAGCACTTCACGGAATATACTGTAAAGTGTTTATTTTGTGGGCCAAATGTGGCAGCTTATTTTGCACAGCAGTGTCCAACAAACAGTCGTGGATTGACGATTAAATACGACTATTTGCCTATATATTTTTTATTTTGGGGGTGGAGGAGGATTATTATTCCCTGGAAATGCGATCCACCAAATGACTAACAACCAATTGCTGCCCACTGAGCCAAGGTGAAGCGCGTTGAAGGTTTCTATTATGGAGCTGCTTGAAACCCAATGATGGTGTTTGTGTGGAATTACTTACACTACTGAACAAGCTCTTCAGGTTGTTGGTCCTGTCATAATCCACAGTCTCCAAAACAGTTGTGTATTTATCCTTCGTCTTCTCATAATTTGCTTTGTATTTAGCCTGTAAGGATGTCAATTTTCAGCCACTTGGTTAGTTAAAAATGGCTAACATATATGAACAACAACAACTTGCATTTATATAGTACTCCTCACCCAGAGCGCTTGACAAGTGGCAGAGCACGAAGCCAAGCCAGGGGGAGGGGGGAGGTGACCATAGGCACGGTCGAAGAGGAAGGTCTTGAAGGTGAGGAATCAGGGGGTGCGGCAGAGGGATAGAGGGCGAGTGTTCCAGAGATTTGGAGCATAGAGCCTGAAAGTGTGAGAATCGATGGTGGAATAGAGGATACAAGGGACGTGCAGGAGCACAATTCTTTCAGTCGCACTAGGACACTAGAACGTGTTTGTTTCCAATAGCAAATTACGGTGTACTTACATCACTTAACACATTCGCTCCATGGACAGCTGTCACATACCCTGGGGTATCCATAATCACAGTGTAGTTTTCAAAGTTCTTCTTACCAGAAACTCTGTACTTGATCTGCAGGAAAATAGCCAGCGAGCATGTGTTAATGCATTTGTAGTGGACCAAAGTATAGTATATTTGCAAATTATTTCCCGCCTGGCAACAAATGTTAAAATAGGAAATCGATTTGCACATTATCCACTATTTAATAATAATCCTAATAATCCTTGCATTTGATATAGCGCCTTATCACATCTTCGAGGCTTCTCAAATAGCTTTACAGAATATACTATATTGACTGTGTATTTTTGGGGGCGAAATGCAGCAGCCAATGGCGCACAGCAGCATCCCACAAACAGTCGTGGATTGAGTGACCAAATTATCATTATTTTTGAGGGGGGAAGGTATTATCACCCCCGGAAAAGCGATCCGCTACTTACTGTTGCATAAACAGAGGCGTGTGTGTGTGTGTGTGTGGAGAAGGAAACTTCCTTAAGCTTTCACCTTGCCCGGAATCTTAATATTTAATTACATTTAAATATTTAATCCCAATATGTCTCAATTTCTCTCTCTCTCGCTTATTCTTCTTGTCCAACCCATTTTTAACATACTAACTCAAATACTGCTAATCTTTTTCTTACTCCATCATTCAAATTCAATTTCTTCTGTGTGTCCGCACAGTCCTTGAAATAGCTTGTAGCAGTGAGCTTCAAGTAGCCATCATAGTTCTGAATATACCTTACCTCGCTCTGCTGTTCATACGCTTGTTTGGCTCTCAATATTTCTGGTGTGTCCCAAGCATAACAACCTATTCCTTTCAGCCAGGTCAAATCATCCTTGTACAGAACCTACAGGAAGGTAAGGTAGGATTAAAGTTAAGGTGCAATATGAGATTAAGTCACAAGTTTACTTTCCAACATTTTTTTCTTCAAGACAGAAGCAATGCAATGCAAACATTTTACAGTAATAAAAAAATAATAATCGGATTTGATGCAACGATGCTCACATTTGGAGGATGTCTCAAAGCACTTCACAGGATTCACTGTAAAGTGTAGTGACTGCGTATTTATCCAGGCGAATGTGACGGGCAATCTGCAGTCAGCAGTATCCCACAAACAGCCATAAAGTGAACGACCAATATTATCTGGGGGAGCTGTTGGTCAGGATATTGGGAGAAATTCCTTTCTCTTTTCCAGTAGTGCTATGGGATCTTTAACAGCCATCAATGGCAAGCTATACGGTTTTAGCTGGTTAGACTCCAACAGTTACCCCAACGCACACTCTAGGATCTCTCCAAGCCTTGGCTCTTGCCAACTGCACCTAATACTTTCTGGAATTAGGTAAGCATGATGTGTCCTTCCAGGTAGAGAGAGAGAGCGCAATCCATTCCAACAATCAATCTGTGGAATTTCCAAGTGTAGGTGGGATGCATGGAATTCCCAGCTTGGTTTGGATGCTCTTAATCATGGTGATTGATTTCCACAGCACCCGGGTGACCAAAAAAAAAAAATCGGGTGTAATATCTCATCCGAAAGATATTAGTTGATAGAGGGAGCATAGTGAGGGCTTCCACGTTAAACCTCTGAATCTAGGGACAGAGCTATGAGAAACGACAGGACACCCTGGGTCTGTGTTGAAAAGGCAAGGTTGAGGGGGGAAACTTGACATGGGGTGAGTTTTAACACGTTGCCTCTCTCGATCACTACCCCAACTTCGTTGAAACTTACATCACTTAGGATCTCTTGGGCTTTCCTAGCGTGGATGACATCTTGCTCATCAAGGGGGCAGGTCCATTGGTGCAGGTAAGTGCGGTATTCAAGATCACTGAGGATCTGTTGACATTTCTTTGCCAAAACATGGCTGACCATATCATTGGGTATGTGCACCTTGAACTTGGATTTTTCGTAGCTCTTCTTGTAATCGAGCTGAAAAAATGAATGTAAAGAACCGGTCACAAGTTATGTGTGTAATCCTCACACTTGATATAGCGCCTTATCATGTCATTGAGATGTCTCAAAGCGCTTCACAGAATATATTGTAAAATGAACATTTTGTGGGTGAAATGCAGCAGCATTGTTCCACAAACAGTCATGGATTCAGTGACCAAATTAATATTATTATTTTATTCATTTTTTGGGGGGAGGGATTATTACGCTTGGAAAGCGAACTGCCAATCAACTAACAACGGGAATCCTACTTACTGCTAAGTAAACTGCTATGTAGAATAAGGAAACTCACCTGAGGTTTCGCCCTGCCCGGGAATTGAACCCAGATCCTCTCGCTCTTCTAACCAATACTCTACAGGACTCCATGGTAAAGAAGCTATGTCAGAATATTTTTTCAGTGTAAACCCCATTTATGAGAATATATTTCCCACTTTACAGCACCCACCCCCACGTTTCGTCCTTTGCAGTACAATGGTAAGCTCCGAGTTTTATCTGGTTAAACTCCAGAAGTTACCGCTAAAGCACACGCTGGGATCCACAAGTTTTGGCTCTCACCAACCTAGCACAGACTACTCTCTGGAATTAGGTGAGCAGGGTGTGTCCCTCCAGGGAGAGAGTGTATGTTCCATTCCAGGCACAAGGAAATTTTCATGTGTAAGTGGCATAGATATGTGGAACTCTCAGTCCAATTTGGTTACTCTTAAGCACGGTGATGGATGTGGCGGACACCCGGCTGACCAAAACAACAAAAAAAAGCGCTAAAGAGACGATGGGATCCAAAGTAAAACTAAATCTGCTAAGTCTGGTGGTACATACCATGTTTCTCATTTTGTCCACAGCCAAGCAATGGACCACAGAGGGGAAGTCTTTGATACTTCCCCCAGCCATGTAGTGGCCCTTGTGCTTTTCATACAGTTCTTTATACTTCAGCTGGAAAAATAACATTAATAAGGTCAAGTTAGCCAAACATACATTGAACACTGGCAGCTGAAATAATGCAATGCTCAATGAAGGAAGATCAGCTGAAAGAGCTTGTTTGTACTCACATCACTGGCTATGTTCTTAGAGTTTTTGGCATAAACCAGAGGCAGGTAGTCTTGATCCAGGCTGTATCCTATGGCTTTACTCCTGTCCCATAGATCTTTATATGATTTCTGCAATGGTCCAACAAATAAGATAATGTGTTAGAATGCAACAATATGAAAATCTCACAACTGAAATAATCCATCCATCACAACAACTGAATTAACATTGTCTGGTGAAATACTTTGATACTACTGGCATATAATTGATCACACTACCAATACAGTACGATATACATTTATAATAATATCATAATATCAATTATCGTTGGCTGGACACTGGCAGAAACTCCCTTCTCTTTTCAAATTTCTATAGCTCCTTGAGATGGGCCTTGAAAGGAGGGAGGGAGGGAGGGAGGGAGTCGGGGCATTTCCAGGATGGAGTTTTAAAATGTCATTACAAAACCAGCAATTATTTAAGATGGTGGGCGGGGGGAAGGGGAAAATCTGCAGAGACTTACCTCACTGATGACCTTTGCCATTTCTCTTGAATGAGCCAATTGGGGTGTGTCAGCGGAACCAATGTACGTGCCCTTCTCCAGGTTAAATGTCTCTTTGTATCTCAACTAATGAAAATCAAATTTGTTATCAACATCAACATTTGTTATTAGTACCAAAGCATAAAAATGCATCAACCACAAAAAAAATCTAATTACTTTGGAAACAAACTTTGTGAGAAATAGAAGGTAACACAATCAAAATATAATAATAATTAATATAACAATAATAATGAAATGTGGTTTAAAGTGCAACTGGCTACAACAAAACATACCCTTGGGGATTCATTTTCTATCCAATTCCAATATCAAAGCTCACACATTTCCAGTGATCGCTGTTTTCTCTGGGTATCTACATACGGACCTTGATGGGTAAATGCATCTACGTATTCTCAGCTAGTCCACAAATTTATGGATGATCAATCCGGCTTTATAAATGGGAAATTCTTCAGCATATTCCCAGCAATTCCTGCTTATTAGAATCGGAGAATATTACAGCCCAGAAGGAGGCCATTCGGCCCATCATGCCTGTGCCAGCTCTTTGGAAGAGCTATCCAATCAGTCCCACTCCCCCGCTCTTTCCCCATAGCCTTCCACATTTTTCCTTTCCAAGTACCTATCCCTTTTGAAAGTTGTTATTGAATCTGTTTCCACCACCTTATTGTTCAAATGTCTACCACTCGCACATTTTCTTTCGATCCAAACCCTTCACTGCCACCTTTACTTCGATCGCTGGATCCCATTGTGATTCAATTGATTTTGATATCTCATTTTGATAGAGAGTCACTGTTATTATTATTATTAACAGGATCAACTATCGCAATGTACAACTAGAATTAAATTCAGCATTTTTTAAACGCCACCATTGTTCTCATGATAACAGGTGAATCATAGGAGGACAGGAACAGGCCATTCAGCCCATCGAGACTGTTCCACCATTTTTGCTAGACAGATTGTTTAATCTCAATGTTCCCACCCTTTTACAATACCCCTACCACTGGATCAATTCAAATCTTCAAGACTGAGGTGGAGAGTTGTTATTAGGCAACGGTATCAAGGGGTATGGGGCACAGGCAGGTAATTGGACTTGAGGCACAGATCAACCACAATATAATAGAATGGCAGGACAGGCTTGAGGGTCTGAATGGCCTACTCCTGTTCCTATGTTGTAACAGCTCCCTCTACAAAGGGGAAGAGTCGCCCACTATCTTACCTGTCAATCCCTGTTGTTATTTTAAATTACTCAATCAAATGACCGTTACGGATTTTCAATTGTCAACGCATCAGGTATTATTTATGGTCGGGTACTTACATCGCTCAAGTTATACGTGTTTATCCTGGACAGAACCACGTCTGGCGCATCGGTAATCGAGGTCAACTTGGCAAAGTTGGCAATAGCGTCTTGCTTGTAGAGTTTCTGAAAAAGGGGGAAGGAGAGAGAACGTATTAAGTTGAACGAAGAGAAGAGGAAATTCAAGCGAGATGAAAAAAACTTGGAATGAAAGATCTGTAAAAGACTGTACTTACTTGGTTCAGTATCTCCTGTGCCTTTTTCACCTTCTGGTGCTCAACCGAGTCCAGAGGAATCCAGCCACATCCACGGACCCATTCCAGATCCGACTTGTACAAGTTCTAGAGTGTAAAGAGTGCCATGTTAGCAATCACGGTGAAGTTCAGATCATATCGCTGTGCTCAGGCTGTGCTAGCTTGAACCATGGACTCACAGCCCGACACAGTGCTTGTATACCCACAACCTTCTCATCCCACATTCCCTTCTACCTATAACGTTGGAACTCTATTCTACCTTCCCTTTGCCTTGCTCCCTCCCTTGCATCCTCCAAGGCACATCTCAAGATTCCCCCTCTTCGACCGTGCCTTTGGCCACCCTCCAACCCTCATCCTCCTGACATGTAATTTTGTATTGTATTGTCCCAGAGGCAAGAGGCCTGTCGGCTGAGCCATTTTATCAGATGAAATATCCCTACATGTGTTGCAAATGGGATTACGTTAAGGCAACCAGTCAGATAAGAGGAGTCACTGGTCATGAGGCGAGCATCAAACCAGACGTGAGTCTGTCTCAGAGTTAGCTCACTTGTGGAGGCCTTTCTACTGATCATCAACACATAGCCTCCGACTTATTCTTCAATCCAAATCACAGTATGAGAATAAAGAAGGCAGCCTGATTACGCTATCAATGAAGCGACTGGGGAAGGGATAAAATAACTCACGTCGCTCTGCAAGTCGTAGGCCTTCCGTGCCTGGATCACGTCGTTCTGGTCGGGCAGACAGGTCCACTGGTGCAGGTAGTGTCTGTAGTCAACTTCGCTGACCTGGGACTGGCATTTCTTGGCTAACAGGATTTCCAGCATGTCCGCTGGTATGTTGTACTTGGTCTTGCTCTTCTCAAAGTTCTTCTTGTACTCCCTGTCGCTCTGAATCTTGGCCACGTGCATCGACCAGACCATCTTGGGGTCGTCCTGAATGTCACGGCATCCCACGTGGTGACCTCTTTGCTTGATAAAAGCAGCTTTATATTTCAGCTGGTGAAAGGCAAATGGGATGGGATAGTCAGTGGGATTTCATGAGATGTGCCCTCGCGAGAATATCGAAACAGCGAATGAGCTATTTGTAGCAGTAATAATTAATGTTAACCAAAAACGAGGAAACTTGCCTAACGTTTCACCCTGCCCGGGAATCGAACCCACGTCCTGTTGCTTGTGAGCCAAACTCTCTAATCAATATGTGGAAGGACTCCAAAAATCAATATAAGGAGTAATGTACAAAGATATGGGGAATAGGCAGATAAAACAGGATCGAACGGACTGTTCTTTCAAAGATCAATTTGTTGATAGCAAATGTCCCACAAACAGCCTTGAAGTGAATGACCAATTTCCTCTCTGGAGAGGATTATCAGTCTTTTCATGTCGCGCCACGGGATCCTTAAAGTCATCCCAAACAGACAGACGGGATCTCGGGTTTTAATGTTTCATCCCAAGGTTCTGACAACACTGCCTAGACTGCGAGGACACAAGTCCCAAGCTTATGGAGGTTAAAACTCACAGCCTCAGCAGCAACTGAGCCAGACTGACATTGGGGTTAGTTTGGCCTCTTACTGACTCCAGACCTGTGTAGCAGTAGTTATGATGATGACAATGTTCTGAACAAGCCTCACCTCACTCTGTATGCCTTGACTTAACTTGGCGTGACGGATGGCCACTGCATCACTCTGTACGTTGATGTTGGTCTTGTTTTTCTCCCAAGCTTCTTTGTACAGTTTCTACAAGGAGGGAAGACAAACAGTTCAACCTAATAAAAACAATAATGATCGTTTTGCATTTAATATAGCGCCTTATCACATCATTGAAGCGCTTCACGGAATAAATTGTAAAGTGAATCAACTGTATATTTTGTGGCAACAATGTATTCAAGACAAAATCTTGATGCATACATCAGGATGAAGGAGTAAAGGGATAGAGGAGAAGGGAATAGAGTTAGAGGCTCGTTTGGAGTTTAAACATCAGCCTCAATGGCCTGTTTCCACTCCGTATCACTCTATGTAACTCTACGCTTGCCAATCAGCTTCTGAAGAGAACATTGTGGGAGAAATTCCATCTCGTCAAGATTGACACCAGTATCTCAGAGACTAAATCCGATACTTTAACTGTCCCAAGTATCAAGCAAATGGGTCCAACAGCGCGGGAAACAACAACAACCACTACCATTTATATAGCGCCCTTCACCCCGGATGCCTCAGAGTGCTTAACGTGCGGACAAGAGGAAAGTGCAACTGATATTTTTGTCACCTCTGATCGTCTACTCACGTTATTCATGTTCTTAGCAGCTTCCCGTGCCATAGCCAGATTGGGTGAATCAATCAGTGTGAAATTTCCCTTTTCGTTGTGCCACGCTTCCCGGTACTTGACCTGAAAGCGAAAAGGAGCGAGTCGGTGAGGAATCATCTGCTTCATCAAAAAGAAACAGAGGTCCGCACGGAAGCCAGAGATCCGTACTCACGTCATTCAGGATGTCACCGCTCAGTTTTGCCGTGACAAAGTCAACCCGGTCTGTCACCGACGTAAACGGGTGCACGTCCGCTCTCGTGCGGTAGCTCCTCTGCAGACAAAAGAGAGGGTGCGACACTGAGTGAACACAAGGTACACTGCATCATTCGTCTTATAGCTATCTGTATGGAGGCGTTGATCGAAGACTCACTGTACGGGAAGTGCTCGAGCCAGGAGTTTTTGAGGTGTAGTCAACCGGGTGTCCGACACACGCGGAAATCCACCACTTGCTTAAGACTATCCAAACCAAGCTGAGAATTCCATGCATCCGACATACACATGGAAATCCCAGAGATAGATTGTTGGAATGGAATGCGCACTCTCTCCCTGGAGGGACACATCCTGCTTACCTAATTCCGGAAAGTATTAGGCGCAGGTTACCAAGAGCCAAGGCTTAGGGACCCCAGAGTGTGAGTTGGGGGTAACTGTTGGAGACCAGCTAAAACCACATCATTTGCCATTAATATTGCTGTCGGGCAAGCTTTCTCACTGCTTGTCCAGGTCGGACCACCCTATCCATTAGGGCTTTGGCTTGCAGGGTAATAGGAGCTGAGTGGGATGATCCCCTGGCCACAGTGATGTATTCCAGGACTCTTGATTAAATGGAGAAGAGAGAGAGGATCCTATACCTACCTCGCTCAGAATGTCCTGAGCATGCTTGACTTTCTTGACGTCTATTGAGTCAGTTGGACTCCATCCAATTCCACGCAGCCACTCCAGATCCGCTTTATAAAGATTCTGCAAGAACAAATCAGATATAACTCCCTCTTTCCACTTTCAGATGCATTACAATTTATATGACATTTATAAAAGCGCCTTTCATCGGGAAGACGTTTTAAAGTGTTTAACAGTGAGCTTTGAAACCTCAAACCTGTGTCTTTCTTGTTCTGTAGCCTCGGCATATCTGAAAATATTCTTCTAGGTTTAATTCTTCAATTACATTTGAAATTGCATACATCTCAACGGGGTTCCCTCTCTTTGAGACTGAAGAGCTCAAGCTTATCTCATCATTACATGACACTCAACAAGAAATGTAAGTTTGGAAATCTGTCCCACAGTCTCTTCAGCTCTCCCCCTCCCTTGGCTCCTTCAAGGCCTATTTCTTTGGTCCTCTTCAACCGTTCCTTTAGTCACTCTACCTTTCCTCCACCTCTCCTGATCCCACTCCCCAAATCTTTGACTGTCCAACGCCTTGGTACGTCCTCGCAACGTGAAAGGCACTTTACAAATGCAACTTCTTGTTGCTCTTGTAAATTGTTGAGTCATGAGCAACAAACATGATATTTAAAAGATATTGTCTTACAAAAGATATGTATTTTAATCATGCTGACGACCTCTGCCCAATCCAAAACATTCTTGTTTGAGGTAAAACTGAAGAAGATGGAAGTTCGGAAATAAAGCACCATTGCATTTCCTTGATGTTACCTAAATCTGCAAATCTAACCTCTCGCCCGTTACATACCGTAACCGTTACAATATACCCTAAACCAAATTATTAAGAAAATAATAATAATCCTTGCATTTGATAATTGTGTCTTATTACGTCTTCGAGACGTCTCAAGGCGCTTCACAGAATATACTGCAAAGTCAATTGACTGTATATTTTGTGGGCGAAATGACAAAATAAGTGAGGCATCTTTCAATAAAATCAAAAAAGAAACTCAAATGTATTTCTGTAAACAAAACGATAATTGACCAGAGTTCATTGTTTTAGGACAACAACCATTTGCATTTATATAGCGTTCCTCACGCAGATGGCCTCTCGTAGAGCGAGACTACAANTTTTTTCTCTGGCAACGAAACAGTAACATAAAATAACTTACATCGCTCTGCAAGTCATAGGCCTTCCGTGCTTGGATCACGTCATTCTGGTCGGGCAGACAGGTCCACTGGTGCAGGTAGTGTCTGTAGTCAATTTCGCTGACCTGGGACTGGCATTTCTTGGCCAAAAGGATGTCCAGCATGTCCGCTGGTATGTGGTACTTGGTCTTGCTCTTCTCAAAGTCCTTCTTGTACTCCCTGTCGCTCTGAATCTTGGCCACGTGCATCGACCAGACCATCTTGGGGTCGTCCTGAATGTCACGGCATCCCACGTGGTGACCTAACTGCTTGCGGTAAGCCGTCTTGTACTTATACTGTGGGTTGTATCAATACACAAACGCATCAATGGCATTTCTTTCTTGAACCCACAGTAGACATTTATACATTCTCTTTCGTAACCGTCATAAACACAAGCCAGTCGCTCATTTTCATTGAAGAGCTTGATATTTTAAACCAGCCTATTTGCTTATGTGTAAATTGTTTACAAATATTTTGACTTTGTTCCCTTCACTGACTATTATAATCTCTAGAGGAAGTTCAGACCTTGAGGTGGTTAAGGATCGGAATAGGAGTAGGCCATTCAGCCCCTCGAGCTTGTTCCGTCATTCTATTGGATCATGGCTGATCTGAACCTCAACTCCAATTACCCGCCTTGGTTCCGTATTCCTTGAAAACCTGACCTAACAAATATCTACCCACATCAGTATATTTTTTAATAGATCCAGCATGCACAGCTTTTTGGGGGAGAGAGTTCCAGATTTCCACTACCCTTTGCATGAAAAACATTTTTCCTAATTTCACTCATAAATGGCCTGGCTCTAATTTTAAGATGAAACTGCGCTGCACCCCCTCCAGAGCCAATATATCTTTCCTGAGGTAAATTTAATGATTGAGGGCTAAATTATTAGACTTAACCCTATCCCATGACTCTTTTTTTAAAAAAAATCCCAACAAGCATGTAAAATGATGGGATTGAATTGATCTCCTTCCTCTAATAGCCGGTGAGGACTCGATAGCCTGAATGGCCTCTTTCTATAGTGTAATTTTCCATGTTTCGGTGCTTCTAACTCTATTATAAACATTGTACAGGGTCTAGAATAGCTCGCAGCACTTCACCAGTAATTACTGTAAAGGGTAGCCACTTTGGACTTGTTGGCAAACGCTGAAGCCAATTTAACCTTCACCTTTTGAGAATTTAAACTCTTTTTGTCCATTAGGAAAGAATAACATAACATGTAGGAGCAGGAGTAGACCATTCAGCCCTGCGAGCCTGCCCCGTCATTCAATCTTCTAATCTAACTCCGGCTAATAACCTGACGCTGCCTTATCCCCATATCCCTTAATCCCTTTTGCAATAAGAAATCTATCTATCTCAGTCTTGAATACGTTCAAGGACTGAGCGTCAACAGCCCTTTGGGGTAGCGAGTTCCATACATTCACTACCTTTTGAGTGAAGAAGTTCTTCCTCAACTCAGTGCGAAAGGGCTGACCTCTGATTTTAAGGTTGTGATCCCTGGTTTTAGTTTCTCCAACCAGGGGAAACAATCTCCCACTATCTACTCTATCATGCCCTTTGATGATCTTATACGTTTCTATAAGATCCCCTCTAATTCTTCTATATTCTAGAGAATATAGGCCCAAATTGGTCAGCCTATCCTCGTAACTCATCCCCTTCATCCCTGGTATTAACCTACTAAATCTACGCTGCACTCCCTCCAAGTACGTCCTTCTTTAAATAACTGCACACGGTATTCCAGGTGTGGTCTCACCAGGGCCCTATATAGTTGCAGCAAGACTTCCCTACTCTTATACTCTAATCCTTTCATAATGAACCCTAACATACCGTTCGCCTTCCTAATTGCTTTGCTGCACCTGTAGACTAACTTTCTGTGATTGGTGTACAAGGACACCCAAGTCCCTCTGGACGCTAACACATTCCAATCTCTCCCCTTCTAAAAAATAACCCGCTCTACTGTTTTTGCTACCTAGCTGCAGTTTTAAACATAGGACGAGCCTCCCGCCAATCGTGCTGTGGGATCTTATATTGAGACAGCCGCCCTATTTAACCCGAGGTTTTGTACTTACGTCACTTGCAATGTCTCTGGAAGCTTTCGCGCCTCGAATCAGGATAGAATCAGCACGCATGTCAATGCCGTGCTTCACATTCTCCCAGCCCTGCTTGTAAAGTTTCTGTAAGAGAACAAGTTGTACAACGAATGTTATTGTCGCATGTCGTGTCAGATGTTATGTACCAAGCTCTGCGGTAATTTATCTTACAAAGAGTGGACAGAATATGGGTTCTTTAAGCTTATCGATGTCCATTTCTCCTAATAATAATACTAATCCCTGCATTTGATATAGCGCCTTATCACGTCATTGAGCAGTGTCCCACACAAGTTGTGAATTAAGTGACCCATGTTTTTTTTGGAAGAGTTGTTACCCCTGTGGAAAGCGGTTCACCAATCGACTAACAACCCGGTTCCCACTTATTGCTTGGTAAAGAGTGGTGTGTGCAATAAGGAAACTTGCTTAAGGTTTTGCCCTGCCCAGGAATGGAACCCGGGCCCTCTCACTTGCGAGGCGAGTGCGTTAACCACTGCGCTACAGTACCCCTGATAACAAGTTCTTTAGACGGCTTATCAGGAATGGGGTGAATGATACATGAGAGAAATGCATGTGAAATGCATTGGAATGCATCCTCCTATCTAATTCCAGAAAGTATTAGGTGCAGGTTGGCAAGGACTAAGTCTTGGGGACCCCAGTGTATGCGTTGGGGTAACGGCTGGAGTCGACTGAGCTAAAACCACACAACTTGCCAGAATTTATATTGCATTTCAGTGGAATGAGACTCAATTCATCAGAAAGCCGCACATGTCAGACCACTTTGTGCAGGCGATTATTTTACACCCACCTCACTGATGTTGGCACTATTGGCTTTCGCCAACAGGATTTCAGGAGTATCAGGAAGGATGTGAATCTGAGTCTTGTCTTTCTCCCATGCTTCCTTGTATTTCATCTGCAGTATTTCACAAAGACAAAAGAATACAAGTGCTTATGGTTCTTTACCAGAATAAAACAATTCCACAGCAACAGCAACTTTCATTTAGATAGTGCCTCTCATGCAGGGAGTGTCCCAGAGCGCTTAACAGTTAACAGCACGATGTCAAGCCAGGGGGAGGGGGAGGCAAGACAGAAGGATTGAAGGAGAGTTTTCCAGAGTTTTGCAGTGTTTTGGCTGAAAACATGGCCAATAATGGAACGGAGGACACGAGGGACAAGCAGGAGGCTGGAGCCAGTCGAGCGGAGGCAACGGTTAGTGGGTTGTGGAGTAAGCATGTCGGAGAGGTAGGGAGGTACCAGGGCGTGAGGGATTTGAAGACAAGTGTGAGGATCTTGAAGTCGATCCGTTCGGTGATAGGGTAGCAAGGACTGGTGCAATGGGGGTATGGAGTTTAGAGGGAAGGAAGTGCACAAAAGGAGCAGAGGGGTTTGTAAATGCCTTACGTTGCTCTGTTGTTCTGCGTTGGTTTTAGCCAGGACGATGCTGGGGGGATCAATGATGCTGGTGAATTTCAACTGATCGACAGGCTGACGGTAATGATGCTCACTGATGATCTCCTGGGCTTTCTTGACTTTTTTGACGTCAATGGATTCGTGAGGCAGCCATCCACAACCGCGGATCCATTCCAGGTCAGACTTGTACAACCACTGACAAACAAGACAGGTAAACGTCACACACTGGACCGTAATTACCCTCGCCTTAAATTAATCCCGTGGAAACACGATATTAGTATCTTTTAGGATCCATTTGGGGACAAAAATTCAACTGTATTTATGTATCGGAACAATAATAATAATGCTTGCATTTGATATAGTGCCTTAGGTTGTTCAGACATCTCAAAGCACTTCATGGAATATATTGTAAAGTAGATTAACTGTGTATTTTGTGGGCGAAAACACGGAGCCAACTACGCACAGCAGGGTCCCACAAACAGTCATGGAATAAGTGACCAAATTAATATTATTTTTGGTGGGGGAGATAGGGATTATTACTCCCAGAAAGCATTCTGCCAATCGATAATCAATTAATAATTAACCAGAGTTCATTGTTTTAAACAACATGATTACATTTGTAAAGCGCCTTTCATGTCGGGAGGATGTCTCAAGGCACTGGACAGTAAAGGATCTGGACCCAACTTGGGAATGGAATCGGGGGGGGTGAAGGGTAGAGAGTGGGGGAAAGAGGGTGACTGAAGGCATGGTTGAAAAGAAGGTCTTGAGACAGGCCTTGAAGGAGGTAAGGGAGATGGCGAGGTGAAGGGACTGTGGGATGGAGTTCCAGAGGGTGGGGGCAGAGAGGCTGAATGCTCAACTGACAATGATGGGGTCACCTAAAACTACAAATGATAAATGAATGAAATAGTTCCCAATGAGATACAAATAACTCACGTCGCTCTGCAAGTTGTAGGCCTTCCGCGCCTGGATCACGTCGTTCTGGTCGGGCAGACAGGTCCACTGGTGCAGATAGTGTCTGTAGTCAATGTCGCTGACCAGAGTCTGGCATTTCTTGGCCAAAAGGATGTCCAGCATGTCCACTGGTATGTTGTACTTGGTCTTGCTCTTCTCAAAGTTCTTCTTGTACTCCCTGTCGCTCTGAATCTTGGCCACGTGCATCGACCAGACCATCTTGGGGTCGTCCTGAATGTCACGACATCCCACGTGGTGACCTAACTGCTTGCGGTAACCCGTCTTGTACTTGTACTGGTTGGAAGAAAAAAAAAAGTGGTTTTTGTTTTTAGGTGCAACATAAATTGTACCAAACTTCTCTGGTTAACAAGAGGAAATGTTGAAGCTATTACAATGAATGTTAACATTGTTTTGGTTTACCGGGTTCCTGACACATTAGAAAACCCATCATCACCAATATTTGAAGGTATTGGAACCAAACTAGTGAGAGGTCCACATGTGTACGGAAATTCCCCTTTAATTGGAAAGGAATAAATAGTAATAATAATCTTTGCATTTGATATAGTACTTTTCACATCTTCTAGATGTCTCAAAGTGCTTCACATAATATCCTGTAAAGTGTATTGACTACAGTTGTGGGCAAAACACAGCAGCCAATTGTACACATCAGTATCCCCACAAACAGTCTTGGATTGAAGTGACCAATTTATTATTGTTTTTGTATTTTTTCTTGATGGATTATTATCAGCCGGGTGGAGTAGGGAAACTTGTCCAGGGTTTCGCCCTGCCGGGAATCGAACCCAGGTCTCTGGCTTGTGAGGCAAGTGCTCTAACCACTGAGCTACAGGACTCCACGTAATGTGCGCTTTCTCCACAAAAGGATGTGCCTTGCTTACTTAATCCCAGAAAGGATTAGGCACGTTAGTGTTGATGGGTTTTAGCTTTATCCTCCGTCGCATTGGTTAATAACAAATTACATTCACACAGGGCCTTTCACGTCGGGCGGATGTCCCAAAATGCTAAACAGTTAAGGATTTGGACCCGCGCTGGTAGTTGGAATCAGGAGAGGCGGAGGGCAGGAAGGGCAAGCACAAGACTTACATCACTAGCAATATCTCTTGAAGCTCTGGCGGCTTTGATAGATATGGCATCAGGTGTTAAGTTGTACCCTTTCTTCAATGCTTCTTCCCAACCGAGCCTGTATAATTTCTGCACCAAAGAAGGAACACAGAATGTCACATGGAACAGTAAAACACCTAGATTCGCAACGGCTTAAAAGTCTGTAAACAACCTTGAGGGAAATGACAAGTTTCCTTCTTCGTGTTGGAATATTGCAATTTTTCTGCAAAGAAGGACATCTGACTATTAAGGATATTCTGATATTACAGGATCTTCTTTCTCAACCACAATGGATGGATATCCATGCCTTACCTACCTCCTCCTCACACTCGTTTCCAAATCCCTTTATGCCTTGGCACCTCCCTACCTCTCCGGCCTGCTTACTCACTAACAATTGCCTCAGCTCGACTGTCTCCTGTCTCCTGCTTGTCCCTTGTGCCCTCCGTACTACCATTGGTGGTCATGCTTTCAGCCACTACACCCTGAAACTCTGGAATTCTCTCCTTCTGTCTCTCCACCTTGTCCCCTCCTTCCTCATCTTCAGGTCATGCCTGAAGAGCTTCCTCTTCAACCGTTCTTACGGTCACCTCCCCCTCCCACCGGCTCACTCAGCATTGGGCTCCGCCACTGTCAAGCCGCTCTGTGTTGCTCCCCTGCATGAGGGGCACTACATAAATGCAAGTTGTTGCGGTTGGTGCCTGGACTTTTCAAATACACTCCTCGCTGTTCTCCCAAGCTTCACCATCCATAAAGTCCCACTTCTCCAAAACTCTGCCACCTGCACCCTCACCAAACACTCCACATTCATCCCCTGCCTTTGCTAAGCTCCAATGGCTCCAAGAAGATGATTTCAAGGTCTTCCCTCTCACTTATAAATCCCTTCACTTCCTCAATCTCGCTGACCTCTTACCCCTGTCTGCTGCTCAACCAGTCCTCTCGGTTAATTCTGCACCCCTTATCCATGTTACCGTTGGTGGCCAAGCTTGTGGATTCTCTGCTTCTAACCTCTGGATCTCCCTAGCACTATATAAATGGAAGTCGTCACTGTTGTTGTATGTTTCTTACCAAGCTGATGTTGGCCGAATTCTGCTTGGACAGCAACATCGCCGGGGTATCCTTTGGAAGGTGAATATTGGTCTTGTCCTTCTCCCAAGCACTGTGGTACAAACGCTGCAGCCATGGAAAAAATAATGGGTACAGTTAATAATAATAATAATCGTTGCATTAGATATAGTGCCTTAGGGTGGTCGAAGAGGAAGTTCCTTAGCCGGGACTTGATGGAGGCAAGAGGATGGAATTGCGGGATTGAGTTCCAGAGTGTGGGGGCCAGACTACTAATGGTGGGGTCGGAAGGGCAGGGAATCTAAAGCAGGCCAGTGTTCATCAAGCAGAGGGAGAGGAAAGGTTGCTATGGGGTTAGCAGGTCAGAGAGGTTGGGGGGGAAGCAAGACCATGGAGGACCATGGAGAGCTTTGAAGTTGAGAACGAAGGTTTTGTACTCGATTTTCTGAGGGATGGGGAGCCAGTGAAGACGGGCAAGAATGCGGGTGATTATATTCATGGAATGGGCACCAGAGAAGATATTGGTTTTAGTAAATACTATTGTATTTGGGGGTCGAACGCAGGGGTTGTTGTATTTTTTGAAGAAAAGATTCGAGAGGAACTATTTCTTCTGGTCAGGGATTCCAGAACGAGGGGCATAATCTTAAAATTAGAGCTAGACCATTTAGGAGTGAAACTAGGAGGCAGTTTTTCACCCAGAGGGTGGTGGAAATCTGAAACTCTCTCCTCCAAAAGGCAGAGCATGCTGGATTCATTCACATTTTCAAGACAGGGATAGACAAATATTTGTTAGGTCAGGGTACTATCGGATATGGGCCAACAGCGGGTAACTAGACCTGAGGTACAGATCAACCATGATTCCATAAAATGGCGGAACAGGCTCGAGGGGCTGAATAGCCTACTCCTGTTTCTATGAGAGTGAAAGGCAATGCATGGAAATGGCTTACTTCGCTCTGTTGTTCTGCGTTGGTTTTAGCCAGGACGATGCTGGGAGGATCAATGATGCTGGTGAATTTCAACTGATCGACAGGCTGACGGTAATGATGCTCACTGATGATCTCCTGGGCTTTCTTCACTTTTTTGACGTCAATGGATTCGTGAGGCAGCCATCCACAACCGCGGATCCATTCCAGGTCAGACTTGTACAACCACTGACAAACAAGACAGGTAAATGTCACACACTGGACCGTAATTACCCGCGCGTTAAATTAATCCCGTGGAAACACGAAGCAGACGGTGGAAGCAGAAAATGTTATTTTTTCAAAAGCAAATTAGATAGATTTCTGTTAGGAAATAATATCTCGGATTACAGTTATATAGTTTTACATGCGGATGTGACTGCCCGGATGGTGGATGGTGAACTGAAAGAAGCTCGGCCTTTTTGGGGCAAAAATTTAAATGTATTTATGTAGACAAAACAATCATTGACCAGAGTTCATTGTTCTAAGACAAAATTTTTGCGGAATAATAATAATCCTTACATTTGATATAGCGCCTTATCACATCTTCGAGACGTCTCAAAGCGCTTCACAGAATATACTGTTCGGTGAATCGACTGCGTATTTTGTGGGCAAAACACGGCAGCCAATTACGCACAGCAGCGTCTCCACAAACAGTCGTGGATTGAGTGATCAAATTATTGAATAAAACGGTTCTCAATGAGATAAAAGATACTCACGTCGCTCTGCAAGTTGTAGGCCTTCCGCGCCTGGATCACGTCGTTCTGGTCGGGCAGACAGGTCCACTGGTGCAGGTAGTGTCTGTAGTCAATGTCGCTGACCAGAGTCTGGCATTTCTTGGCCAACTGGATGTCCAGCATGTCCACTGGTATGTTGTACTTGGTCTTGCTCTTCTCAAAGTCCTTCTTGTACTCCCTGTCGCTCTGAATCTTGGCCACGTGCATCGACCAGACCATCTTGGGGTCGTCCTGAATGTCGCGGCATCCCACGTGGTGCCCCCTCGTTTTTTCGTATTCAGCTTTGTATTTATACTGTGGATTGACGACACAAACACTGAGTCTCTCTCCAATTTGGTTGAATGAACAATAGGGCGGGATTCTGCGAACAGGTTTATGAACTAATCCTTACCATGCTGGCGATATCTCTGGAAGCTCGTGCAGCCCTGATTGGAATAGCATCCACTCGCAAGTCATATCCCTTGCGTTTGTATTCCTCCCAGGCCTTGCGGTAAAGATTCTAAAGAGGGAAACGGAGGAGTGACGTTAGGGAGAATCGGTGCAATTTCCGATTAAAATCTCAACCTTTTGTTTTGTGTTGCAAGGATTGTTACCTGGCTGATGATGGCTGAGTTGGCTTTGGCCAGTAGGATTTCTGGAGTGTCTGGCATTACATGAATGCTGGTTTTGTCATTATTCCAGGCCTCTGTGTACAAGTACTGAAAGTAAAACAAGGGCAAATTCGATTAGCTATCGTTGAAAATCATGACACAAGTAGCTTTCATAGAACCTTAAAGCACAGAAGGAGGCCATTCGGCCCATTGTGCCTGTGCCAGCTCTTTGAAATAGCTATTCAATAAGCCCCATTTCCCCTCTCCTGCCCCATAGCTCAGTGAATATGAAAGCTCTGTTCATCTGAATCAGCTGGAAAACTACTCACTTTGCTGAGCTGCTGGGCATTATTCTTGGCTAACACAAGCTCAGGAGAGTCAGTGATGCTTGTGAACTTAAGCTTGTCAGGAGGTTGACGATAACACTTCTCACTGATGATCTCTCCAGCCTTCTTAGCCTTCAGAACATCCAGGGATTCAACAGGACTCCATCCAACTCCTCGAATCCAATCCAAATCCGCTTTGTACAAAATCTTAAAGTTTGACAGTCGTTATTTAGTGTGTTACAGAACAACAGATCTCCCCACCCACCAGCTCCATTCCTCTAGTAGTACCCCCCACCCCCATCACCCCCCACAACTGTAATCAAAGATAAAAGCGTCTCATTTGAAAGGATTTTACTTGTACTTGACTGAGTCCTCAGACTGAAGAACAACAGTTACAGTGACAGCTGGTGCCCGATTTAATACATCATGCAATGAAGCAATTTTAAGCATAACTTTTACGAGTTGATTCCCACCTATTCTACATCAATGAATGTTTGAGTCAACCAACGAAACAACGGTCAACTAAATGAATATCCCCTGTAACCTAACTCTCCCATTACAAGAAGCTTTTCATCACAATTTGCCGATAGAACGCTAAGAACTTATGGATGGTCTTAAGACTTTCAGGCTATACTCACGTCGCTCTGCAAGTTGTAGGCCTTTCGTGCCTGGATCACGTCGTTCTGGTCGGGCAGACAGGTCCACTGGTGCAGGTAGTGTCTGTAGTCAATATCGCTGACCAGAGTCTGGCATTTCTTGGCCAACAGTATGTCCAGCATGTCCACTGGTATGTTGTACTTGGTCTTGCTCTTCTCAAAGTTCTTCTTGTACTCCCTGTCGCTCTGAATCTTGGCCACGTGCATCGACCAGACCATCTTGGGGTCGTCCTGAATGTCACGGCATCCCACGTGGTGACCTAACTGCTTGCGGTAAGCCGTCTTGTACTTGTACTGTTTAGAGGCAAATGTGGGATCGTTTTTCACATTGATCACAGACCATAATTTTGTGGTGAAGAACAATTCTAGTTAATAAGCTGCACTGGTAAGACCAGGTTACTAGTGAGCGTTGAAAAAAGAATTGATTTGTAAAAGCATCCCTTACTCCGGTGGGCGAATTCAGAAAAAACTGTGCATCATCTTAAAATTAGAGCTAGGCCATTTAGGAGTGAAATCAGGCAGCATTTTTTTCACACAAAGGGTAATGGAAATCTGAATTCTCTCCCCTAAGAAGCTGTAGATCCATCCACATTTTTAAGACTGAGGTGAAGAGATTTTTGTTAGGTCAGAGTATCGAGGGATACGAGGCAACGGCGGGTAATTGGAGTTGAGGTACAGATCAGTCATGATCTAATAGAATGGCCTACTCCTGTTCCTATGGGAAATATCATTCAGCTTCAAAAGCATATCAAGCAATTCTCGATCAATTGGCGTTGCTGTATGAGAATGAGGGAGAGTGGAAGAGAGGGCTCAAGTGAAGGCCTCACTTAGTACAGGTTTCACGACTGGAAAACACAAACCAGGAGAACTTACGTCACTGGCGATATCTCTGGAAGCTTTTGCAGCCTTGATCGCTATGGCGTCACTTCGTAAGTGGTAGCCCTTCTTCTTTGATTCCTCCAAGCCAAGCCTATACTGTTTCTGAAACAACAAAGTAAAGGTTCTCAGCAACAACAATAACTTGCATTTATATAGCGCCCTTCACGCAGGTTAGTGTCCTGGAGCGCTTGACAGTGGTGGAGTCTGACGCTAAGCCGGGGGGGGAAGGAGGAGGAGGGAGGTGAACGTAAGGACGATCAAAAAGGAAGGTGTTTAGGTGGGATTTGAACCTGGGGAGTGAAAAGGGGCAACACTGCCAAGTTCAACACCACAACACGCCCTAAATTTTTTTTATTAGGCTGGAGAGCCTTTTTTAAAAAAAAGTCTTCCCTTTATTTTTAGTCTCTGACTTTCATTCACATTTTTCAGACGTTCCCCTCCTCACCGGTTGATTTGTGACATCCTTCTGCTCGACCTTTCATTCTCATTGATTAATAATCATAAACCCTGCATTTGATATAGCGCCTTATTCAGGTCGTTGAGACGTCTCAAAACTCATCACCGAATATACTGTAAATGAATTAACTGCGTATTTTGTGGGCGAAATTTAATCTTATTTAGTCTGTCATCTGCTGTTTCAGTACCCTCTCTGATCTCATGGATTCATATCTTCAGATTCACAGCAAGAAATCAAACCGTCACACCTGTTTTGGTGTATTTATTGAACATAAGCCACCTAGTCTAATTGCCCTATCCCTTTAATATTCTCTTTTTTATTTCCATTTAATACTCTCTTTTTATTAAGCAACTAACCAATTTTCTCTGAAGGACATAGGAACAGAAGGAAAAAAAAATGCAAAATACTGCAGATGCTGGAAATCTGAAACAAAAGCAGAAGTTGCTGGGAGGTTAGGCAGCATCTATGGAGAAAGGAAAATGAGTCAACTTTTCAGATCCTCCGTTCTGACGAAGGGTCGTGAACCCGAAACGTTGACTCGCTTTCCTTTCTCCATAGATGCTGCCTGACCTGCTGAGTGTTCCCAGCGACTTCTGTTTTTGTATAAGAGCATAAGAATCTGCTCGGCAAAAGTAGACCAATGTCCATCCAGTTCGCCTTCCGCCATCCTGGCAGTCACACTCATCCACATGCCATTTCCCAAAGTATATACTGTATCCCCAGATATGATTCTCCTAAAAAAAATCTATCTAATTTTCTTTTGACAGAATCAACAGTTTCCGCTTCCATCGTCTCCCTTGGGAGCCTGTTCGGATACAGAAGATGATTTCTACCGAGACAGCATCTCTTCCGCAGTGAACCAGAATCATCTTGAGGACAGCTATCCGATTCTTACCTCGCTGCACGTAATTTGGTTCTGTTTCGCTAACAATATTTCCGGGGTGTCTGGCATGACGTGAATCTGAGTCTTCTCAGCTTCCCAGGCTTCTATGTACGCACGCTGGGCAAAGAGAAAAGATTGGCGTTGGTATCAAAGGCCAAACAAACTCACACAAGGTTACGTTCAATGTACGGTTATGTACCCTCATTAAACAGAAGAGCAGTTCTACCTTGTTCATAATCTGTGCGTTAGCCTTAGCCAGGACCAGTTCGATAGAATCGGGATCGCTGGTGAATTTCCAGCTATCAGCGGGCTGACGATATTTTTTCTCACTCAGGATCTCTCCAGCTTTCCTGGCTTTTTCCACATCCAGCGATCCTGCAATACTCCAGCCGACACCCTTCATCCACTGCATATCTAGTTTGTACAAGTTCTGTAAGGCAATGGCATTTCTTTTTGATATCGTAACTCAGTTCCAATAAAATTGTATTTATTTTAGGGACGTATACGTTTTATTTCATTTCACAGCTTCACCAGCCGGTTACGGGTAAAATAAAGTTGTTTCCAAAGAACTCACATCGCTCTGCAAGTCGTAGGCCTTCCGCGCCTGGATTACGTCGTTCTGGTCGGGCAGACAGGTCCACTGGTGCAGGTGGTGTCTGTAGTCAATGTCGCTGACCAGAGTCTGGCATTTCTTGGCCAACTGGATGTCCAGCATGTCCACTGGTATGTTGTACTTGGTCTTGCTCTTCTCAAAGTCCTTCTTGTACTCCCTGTCGCTCTGAATCTTGGCCACGTGCATCGACCAGACCATCTTGGGGTCATCCTGAATGTCACGGCATCCCACGTGGTGACCTACCTGCTTGCGGTAACCCGTCTTGTACTTGTACTGTAAGAACATGCAATATTTGTTAGCGCTGACTTGCAGGTAAACGGTTGCTGAGTGAGTGCCAAGTCAGTGTGTAAAGGGCGACTTACGTCACTGGCGATGTCATTGGATTTTTTGGCAGCCTTGATGGAGATAGCGTCCGCTCTCAGATCATATCCCTTCTTCTTTGACTCTTCCATCGCAAGTCGGTATTGTTTCTGTGTAGGACAAAGCAGGCTTCAGAGTGCTGAGCTTGAAACGTGCGAGATGTGGTTGCTTTTACTGAGGAGAGTAGATGTTTGAATGGGGTCCCGAATAGAGATGTTTTAAATTATGATTATTCAATGAGGTAGGTTGTTTCCACTGAGTCCAAACAAAGGGGGCATGGATATAAGCTAGCCAGTAGCAAATCTAAATAATAATAATCCTTGCATTTGATACAGCTCTTTATCACATCATTGAGACATCTCAAAGGGCTTCACAGAATATATTGTGAAGTGGCTTGACTGTGTATTATAATAATAAGAATAATCCTTGCATTTGATATCGTGCTTTTCACGTCTTCTAGATGTCTCAAAGTGCTTCACAGAATATGCTGTAAAGTGAATTGACCGTATATTTGTGGGCGAAACGCAGCAGCCAATTGCGCACAGCAGCGTCCCACAAACAGTCGTGGATTGAAAATGACCAATTTATTATTGTTTTATTTTTTGGAGGGATTATTATTAGGCGTGTGGAGTAAGGAAACTTGCCCAAGGTTTCACCCAGTCTGGAATTGAACCCAGGTGTCTCACAGTAGTGTCCCACAAACAGTCATGGATTGAGTGTCCAAATTATTATTATTTTATTATGGGAGCAAAACGGATGTGGGCGAAATGGAGGTTAGAAGGAATGTCTTTACACAGAGGCTGACGAGAATGTAGAACTTACTACCTACCGTAAACTGTTTGAAGCAAAAAGCATCAACGTATTAATTTGTGAGACTCACTGGCATAAACGAGGGAGAATGGAATAGAGGGGTGGAAGCTCATGTGGGGTATAAACACAGGCAATGGCTGGTTGGGCCGAATGGCCCGTGTCCGTGCTATAACACCTTTGAAATCAAACTGTGGCATACAAACCTCGCTGAAATTGATTTTGTTTTGGTTTGCGAGTAGGATTGCTGGCGTGTCTGGCATGATGTGAATATTAAGCTTGTCCTTTTCCCATGCTTCAGTGTAGAGTTGCTGGAAAAAATAATCGTACACAGCTCTTTATTGAAGTCGTCCGAAGACTATCTTTGCGTATTAGATAGCGATCAAAATATTCAGTTGGCTCACTTTCTAATGATTATTACCTATAAAATTAATAATAATAGTCCTTGTGTTTGATATTGTCCATGCATTTGATGATAATATTAATAATATTTGCATTTGATTTGATCTAGCGCCTTATCACATCTTCTAGAAATCTCAAAGCGCGTCACAGAATATACTGTGTAGTGAATTGACTGTATTTTGTGGGCGAAATGCGGCAGCCAATTGCGCACAGCAATGTCCCACAAACAGTCATGGATTCAGTGTCCAAATTATTATCATCTTACTATTATTATTTTTTTTTGAAGGGATTATTAGCCTGGAAACGCGATCCGCCAATCTATTAACAACCGGGTTCGTACTTACTGCTAAGTAAACAGAGGCGTTTCGAGTAAGAAAACTTGCCTAACGTTTCACCCTACCCTGGAATCGAACTCGGGTCCTCTCGCTTGCGGAGCGAGTGCTCTAGCCAATACGCTACAGGACTCTACATCCCGTATAGATGGAAAGAATTGCAAGCATTAACGGTCAACTTACCTGGTTGAGTATATGTGAGTTAGCCTTTGCCAATGTCATGGGTATTGAATCCATCAAGCTGGAGAACTTGAAGTTGGCAGGGTGCTGGCGGTATTTATTCTCACTGAGGATCTCTCCAGCCTTTTTGACCTTCTCAACCTCCAGAGATCCATGCGGGACCCAGCCGATGCCTTTCAGCCACTGGAGGTCGCACTTGTACTGGAGCTGTCGGGGCACAAGGAAACATTTTCTGAGAGCTGCTCGATTTGCGACTGTTTATAATAATAATAATAATCTTTAGAACCCTTGTATTTGACATAGCGCCTGATCACATGGTTGAGGCTGAGTCAAGCACGCTAATCATTGCGCTACGCGACTCCCTGATGTACGTTTGACACCCATGTTACAGAATAATATTTCTGTCCCTATACCCAGCCCACACAACCGAACCACGGAATAATAACAGGTGTGACGTATAATAATAATCCTTGCATTTGATTTACCACCTTATCAGGTCTTCGAGGCGTCTCAGAGCGCTTCACAGAATATACTGTGAAATGAATTGACTGTATATTTTGTGGGCGAAACATACCTACATTAATTCTGACCTACAAACATAAATTCCCCTCGAGTGAGCCAACAAGACCATACTTTTCCTTAAGAGCTACGAGTGCACAGAAATAGGAAAAATTCTTGAATTGGTTTTGAATTGGGAAGCCAGCTTTCCGCAGACCTTACAATCAGCGGCCAAACCTTTTTCACAATTCTGCGTGATCCTAAATTGTGGGGTCTCTAAACTAAATTGTCTTTGTGAAGATGATGTACTCACGTCGCTCTGCAAGTTGTAGGCCTTCCGCGCCTGGATCACGTCGTTCTGGTCGGGCAGACATGTCCACTGGTGCAGGTAGTGTCTGTAGTCAATGTCGCTGACCAGAGTCTGGCATTTCTTGGCCAAAAGGATGTCCAGCATGTCCACTGGTATGTTGTACTTGGTCTTGCTCTTCTCAAAGTCCTTCTTGTACTCCCTGTCGCTCTGAATCTTCGCCACGTGCATCGACCAGACCATCTTGGGGTCGTCCTGAATGTCACGGCATCCCACATGGTGACCTACCTGTTTCCGGTAACCCGTCTTGTACTTGTACTGTTTAGAGACAAATGTGGGATCGTTTTTACATTGATTGCAGACCATAAGTTTGTGGTGAAGAACAATTCTAGTGAATAAGCTGTACTGGTAACCCCAAGTTGACAGTGAATGTTGAGGAAAGAATTGACTTGTAAAAAAAAAGGCTCTTTTCTGTGGGAGATCGGTTGTGTTACAAAGCATATCAAGCAATTGTTGGTCAATCGTCTTTCCTTCTACTACTAATAATAATCCTTGCATTTGATATAGCCCCATATAACTTCTTCGAGATGTCTCAAAGCGCTTCACAGAATGTACTGCAAGTGAATTGACTGTATATTTTGTGGGCGAAAACGTGTCAGCCAATTGCGCACAGCAGCGTCCCCAGAAACCGTCGTGGTTTGAGTGACCAATACATTATTCTTTATTAGATATTACCAATATATTACTGTATGAAAATGAGGGAGAGTGGCGAGTGGCACACGTAAAGGCCTCTTTTAGTATAAGAATCTCCACTGGAAAACGCAAAAAGAACTTACGTCACTGGCGATATCTCTAGAAGCTTTTGCAGCTTTGATTGCTATGGCGTCACTTCGTAAGTGATAGCCCTTTTTCTTTGATTCCTCCAATCCAAGTCTATACTGTTTCTGAAACAACAAAAGTAAACATTTTCTCAGTGTCTCCTTCAACGCATCAATTAAGTCCTTCCACGTTCCGGTCATCTCAGAGATGTTCCCATGCGGTTCCATTATTTCAGCACCTCTTAGATTTATCCTCCCCTCCTCTAAAGCTCACAAATCTTTTCCTTATTCTTCCGAAGAAGATTTCCTTTAATTTATAATAATAATATGAATCCATCCATTTGCTATAGCGCCTTATCACGTTCGGGGAATGTCTCAAAGTGCCTCATAGGATATAGTGTAAAGTGGAGTGACTACATGTATTTTGTGGGTGAATGCCGCAGCCAATTTGCACTGAGCAATGTCCTGCAAACAGCTGTGGAGTGAGTGACCAATTTTATCTGCAGGATTGTTGGCCAGGAAACCAACAAGGGAAACCTCCTTTTTCTTTTTGAATAGTGCCATGGGATCACTAATGGCCATCTGGACAGGCAAACACACCCTCGGTTTAACGTCTCATGTGAAGGAAGGCACTTCTGAGCACTGCATTGGAGCATCAGCTTAGACTATGTGGGTTTCAAGTCCCGATGTAGCAGTTGAGTCCGCAACCTTCTGCCTCACAGGTGAGGGTGCTACCAACACAGCCAGACTTATACGCAGGTTTTACTTAGAAAGCATCTATCCCACAGTGAACCAGAATTATCTTGAGGATGGCTATCCATTCTTACCTCACTGCACACAATCTGGTTCTGTTTCGCTAACAATATTTCCGGGGTATCTGGCATGATGTGAATATTAGCCTTCTCATCTTCCCAGGCTTTTACGTACGCACGCTGGGCAAAGAGAAACGATGGGTGTTGGTAACTGAAGCCAAACAACAACAAAAACAACTTGCACTTATATAGCGCCCTCCACGCAGGGTGGCATCTCGGTGGAGCCTGATTCTGAGCTGGGTGGGGTGTGGTGGTGGTGGGGGTGGGGAGTGGGGGCGTGGCAGGAGGTAACCGTAAGCACGGTCGAAAAGGGAGGTTTTCAGGCGTGACTTGAAAAAGGGGAAAGAGGGGGCGAGGCAGCGGGATTGAGAGAGAGTTTCGGGGCGTAATGGCTGAATGCGCGATCTTCATTAGTGGAGCGGAGGGCACGAGGGACGATGACAGTCGAGCGCAGGCGCCGGGTTGGGGAGTGAGTGAGGAGGTCAGAATAGGGTAAGGAGGTGCCAGGGAGTGAAGGGAGTTGAACAACAACAAATCGCATTTATATAGCCTCCCCCACTCCGCGCAGGGCAGTGTCCCTGAATTGCTCGACAAAACCAAACAAACAATTACACAAGGCTACGTTAAAAGTACGTTTGCTCATTAACCAGAAGACGAGTTCTACCTTGTTCATATTCTGTGCGTTAGCTTTAGCCAGGACCAGATCCAAAGAGTCGGTCACGCTGGTGAATTTCCAGATGTCCGGATGCTGTCGATATTTACTCTCGCTCAGGATATCTCCAGCTTTTTTGACTTTTTCCAAATCCACCGATCCGACTGGAGCCCAGCCAATGCCCTTCAGCCACTGCAGGTCCATTTTGTACAAGTTCTGTAACCAAAACAAGACGTGTTGGCATTTCATTATTTCTAGACACACTTTGACGACTAGACAATGGCACAGTTGCCCAGCGTTGCAGTCGAGCGTTCTGCCAGAAATAGTTAAACTGAACTTCCGAACGTACGGCGGACTCCCAGACGATCAGCCTAGACCAGGGCTGTCCAACATTTCGGCTGCTGAGCGCTGGATGTCCTATTTGAGAAATGGCCACGGGCCACATAAGCAATATTTTTGTGTTTCACTTCCAGACACATAACATGGCATTTATGGGTTATGGAGGGAGCAGGCCGGCCAGATGAAAATGAGAGGTCGGGGAGAGACGGGGGGCTGAAATTGGCCTGTGGGCCGAATGCGGCCCACGGGCTGCCAGCTGGGCCACTCTGGCCTAGACTATGAACTCAATGCCCAGATATGTGGCTTGAACCCATAACCTGCTGCATGTAATTTTCCCGCGTGACACGAGAGAACTGAATGACTGGACACACACTCACGTCGCTCTGCAAGTTGTAGGCCTTCCGCGCCTGGATCACGTCATTCTGGTCGGGCAGACAGGTCCACTGGTGCAGGTGGTGTCTGTAGTCAATGTCGCTGACCAGAGTCTGGCATTTCTTGGCCAACTGGATGTCCAGCATGTCCACTGGTATGTTGTACTTGGTCTTGCTCTTCTCAAAGTCCTTCTTGTACTCCCTGTCGCTCTGAATCTTGGCCACGTGCATCGACCAGACCATCTTGGGGTCGTCCTGAATGTCGCGGCATCCCACGTGGTGACCTACCTGCTTGCGGTAACCCGTCTTGTACTTGTACTGCGCAGTGAGAGAATGGGAAGGTGTGTTGTCAACATTACTTTGCTCACAGAAAGGCAACGGGGGTAAAATCGACGTGAAACCTGCTCTTACGTACATCGCTGGCGATATCCCTGGAAGCTTTTGCGAGTTTGATGGAAATGGCATCGACCGTGAGATCGTAACCTTTCTTCTTTAACTCTTCGTATCCCAGTTTGTACATTTTCTGTCAGACACATTGAATAAGGTACGTAGCGTTAGTGACATAATAACAATAATAATCCTTGCATTTGCTATAGTGCCTTATCATATCATTGAAACGTCTCAAAGCGCTTCGCAGAATATATTGTAAAGCGGATTGACTTGTGTATTTTTTGGGCAAAATCGTTATCGTTAACAACACACTGATTATAATTGTTCAGTTTGGTCTTAACTTTGAAGCTGTTTTTTCTGCAGTTCTTTGAAGGAATTTACAGAAGACAGGATTGATCGTTAAGACTTGTTTAAGAATTTGCTGAATTTTGGACATTCTGGAACGAAAACGTCTAGACCCAGGTGGACTTTCTACCCCAAAGTGAGCGCTGGAGATATAATATTCCTTGCAATTGATATGGAGCCTTTGACATCAGGAGGACATCGAAATGCTTCACAGCATTCACTGTGAAATGCAGTAACTGCAATTTTTTTTCTCTCTCCACAGACAAACGCGACACCAATGTCCCACAGCCATGAAATATTTTTTAGGGCGGTTGGGCGGGGGGGTGGAAATATTGACCGGGACCACACTAGCCAATTCAATTGTGTTCTCGAACATAATAAAAATAATAATCCTTGCATTTGACACAGTGCCTTATCACGTCTTCAAGACGTCTCAAAGTGCTTCACAGAATGAACTGCAAATTGAATTGACTATATTTTGGGCAAAACGTTAAATTAAAATTAATTTCATTAAGTAGCCACTGGTCAGAGATTGACAGGGCAAGTCCCATCAGATTGTCAGGGTACATCTTCCTTGACAGCACGTACATCACTAATGTTGATGGTGTTCGCTTTAGCCAGGATGATCTCAGGGGTGTCAGGCATGACGTGAATCTGTGTTTTGTCCTTCTCCCACGCCTCTGTGTAAAGTTTCTGTTCCAAAAGAGAAGGGGGAGGGAGGGTATGAGATATATAAATCACAATGGCATTCAATCGCAGAGAAATGTAGTAATTATCCAACATATTAAAGATATTAAAGAACCCCACGTGCGGTATGCTGAACTCGGGTATTTTTAACAGCCCGGATGCTTAGTGGAGCGTGCAGTATAAATCAGGGATGAAACGTAACGTAAATATATAGAAAACAAATTGCAGTCTGACCCCGTAATAACCTGGCGGTTTGAGGGGTTTATGAACTCATGACCTGCTTTAAAATTGGGCAATGTGAAAAGGAAATGGCCACCCGTCAGCACGTCCGGGTCATTAGATCACCACTGATGGTACTTCCTGCGCAAGGCGGACATGTATGCCACTAGCAGGGAATGAGCCAGTCAGGGCCGGAAGCATATCACACCCACCCACGTCCATTATAGGCAGATCCAGACACGTGCTGAACACACAAGACCTGGCAAGCGTTGTAGAGAGGTGTAAGCAACTCAACAATTGAATCTTGACAACACAATTCATTGACTTCATTCATTGATAAACCTGGCATTCAGATCAAACATTGACACACATTTTAACGTGGATGTGGGATTGATGTCAATCACTGCGGCCTTTCAGAAAGCTGCCAAGTTTGGGGTGTGGTGGGGGAGAGTAGGAGGGGGTTTTAGCACACGTGTAACGACAACAATGGATTTAATAGCAGGTCAACCAGCGTAAAATGCTCTTACCTTGTTCATTGCCAGAGCATTGCTCTTAGCCAGGACCAGGTCGATAGAATCGGGCACGCTGGTGAATTTCCAGATGTCCGGGCGCTGCCGATATTTACTCTCACTCAGGATCTCTCCGGCTTTCTTGGCTTTTGCCACGTCCAGCGATTCAGTCGGAATCCAGCCAATGCCCTTCAGCCACTCCAGGTCTAGTTTGTACAAGTTCTGCAAGCACACCACGACAAACCCGTTCCCTTTAATCTGTGCCTTTAATATGCCGATTTAGCATTGTCTGAAGTGACACTAACATATCTATAATAATAATAATTCTTGCATTTGATATAGCATCTTATCATGTCTTCGAGACGTCTTAAAGTGCTTTGCAGAATAGAGTGTAAAGTGAATTGACTGTATATTTCGTGGGTGAAATGCGGCAGCCAATTGCGCACAGCAACGTCCCACAAAGTCGTGGATTGAGGTGACTGATTTAATAATTTTTTTTTGAAGGAGTTATTACCCCCGGCAATGTGATCCACCAATCAACTAACAACTGGGTTCCTACTTACTGTTAGATAAACAGAGGTGTGTGGAGTACTGTTGGGTAAGCAGAAGCAGGTCTATATTGATTAGGTATACTGGCAATTACAAGGTTTATAAGCTGCTGTAACATGATGCACACAAAGACAGAGTGCTACATTATCTCCAAATAAATGTACACAGGTCATCATAAAGTTAACTTGTTATATATCCACAAGTGGTCGGTGGCTATTTGCAATGGCAGCCCATTCCCTGGTGAAAGTATTAATGGCGTGTTGTATCGTTGCACAAGATAAACTATATCCAGTGGCGGGTGGGTACAGGAAAGGTTGGCTATACAGTACTGCACTTGTAGCTTGGATTAGAATTGCAATTAATTGTCTGCATTTGGTGTTAGCATTATATGTCACCAGCTTCGTCAACCATTTGCAACCAACATGCATTTCTTCCGAGTAACTCACATCGCTCTGCAAGTTGTAGGCCTTCCGCGCCTGGATCACGTCGTTCTGGTCGGGCAGACAGGTCCACTGGTGCAGGTAGTGCCTATAGTCAATATCGCTGACCAGAGTCTGGCATTTCTTGGCCAACTGGATGTCCAGCATGTCCACTGGTATGTTGTACTTGGTCTTGCTCTTCTCAAAGTCCTTCTTGTACTCTCTGTCGCTTTGAATCTTAGCCACGTGCATCGACCAGACCATCTTGGGGTCGTCCTGAATGTCGCGGCATCCCACGTGGTGACCTACCTGCTTGCGGTAACCCGTCTTGTACTTGTACTGCGCAGTGAGAGAATGGGAAGGTGTGTTGTCAACATTACTTTGCTCACAGAATGTCAGCGGAGGTAAAATCGACATGAAACCTACTCTTACGTACATCGCTGGCGATGTCCCTGGAAGCTTTTGCGAGTTTGATGGAAATGGCATCGCCTGTGAGGTCGTAACCTTTCTTCTTTAACTCTTCGTATCCCAGTTTGTACATTTTCTGTCAGACACATTGAACAGTTGGTATTAATTGGGTTTAGCTATTGGATGCACCGAGATCCAAAATGCCACCTGGTCTTATACTGCAAGTCCAATTTTTGTTTTCTTAAAACTGTGGAAACATGTTGAATTCTGCCTGAATGTGGAAGCCATTTTTTGCAGTTACTCAAAGAGAAAACAGGTTTCATAATAATAATCCTTGCATTTGATGTAGCGCCTTATCACATCGTTGAGACGTCTCAAAGCGCTTCACAGAATATACTGTAAAGTGGATTGACTGTATATTTTGTGGGCAAAATACGGCAGCCAATTGCACACAGCAGCGTCCCCACAAACAGTCGTGGATTGAGTGACTACATTTTATTTAAAGGTTCTCCAGTTATTGAAGTTACTGAAGGCCTCGTTTGAGAATTCTCCACAAATCTGCTCATCGTCTTAAATTCTTTAGCCAAAATGTTCTCGCAGACTAAGACTAACTGAAATTTCCAGGGTGAATACGATGAACATTCACGGACATAAAACATGTATGTTTGCTCTTTTATGGGCAGGTACAGGGGATGTACCTGCCCATAAATGTAGTGTAAAGGCTCATGACAATAATCCTAATGTTCGATAAATAACATCAACAACAACTTGCATTTATGTGGGCTAGCGTCCCGGAGCGCTTCATAACAATAATAATAATCCTTGCATTTGATATAGCGCCTTATTACGTCTTCTGGACGTCTGATAGCGCTTCACAGAATGTACTGTAAAGCAAATTGACTGTTTGTGCTGGCGAAACACAAAATATAAAGTCAATTCACTTTACAGTATAAGAGAGAGACTAAGCTAATTCCTGTCTTGCCCACCTGCCCCCGCCTATTCTAATCCTAAATTCACCTGGAATTGTACACACACGTCTCACTTACTTCGCTAATGTTAAACGAGTTTACTTTTGCCAGCTGGATCTCAGGAGCATCAGCTGTGACATGAACCTTTGTCTTGTCTTTCTCCCAGGCCTCTGTGTAACGTTTCTGTCGCAAGAGCGAAGGGGAAAAAAAGAAATCATCAGGGTATTCAACACACACAGGGAAACGCCACCTCCAATCTACGCATAGCATTGACAATAACTATAGTTATAAAGCCCAGCAGGTTACCCTGATGAAGTATATAATAATAATTAGTATATAATAATAATAAATGGGACTGTTAAGAATAATACTGTTCAGAAATCATTTGGCAAAATACCTGGTGAACCAAACATCAACCTCCTGCAAAAACTAACTATTTTAGGAAGTTCAAACATCCTGAGTAACATCCAATTCATATGTAATGTGGCAGTGTTATTGGTCTGGTTGACCCACCACTGAAAATCACTTACCAGCTACCTCTACAGAGTGATTTAAACTTTAATAATAAAATAATGAGTATAATAATAATAATCGTTCTTGCATTCGATAAAGTGCCTATAATATCAAAATGCTTCACAGGTAATTCTGTAAAGTGTGGTGACTGTGTAGTTTTGGCAAACGCAACAAACGATTTGCACATTGAAATGTCCAACAAACAGCTGTAATCAAGTTATCTGGAGCTTTGCTGGCCAGGAGAACTGGGAGAAACTCCCTTCTCTTTGCGAATGGTGTCACCATGGAATCTTTAACATTCGCCTGAACAGGTAGAAGGGACCTCTGTTTAACGTGGTGTCGAAAAGCATGGCGCTTTCAACAATATATCACAAACCCCAGCATTGTCCTTGGGTGTCAGCCTCGACTGAGCTCAAGGCTGGATACTGGGATTCAACCCACAGACTTCTGACTCCGACACAAAACAACCACCAGCGTGGAGGTTATGCATAAGAGAAACGGAGAACCACAGATTGTCCAAACCTCCGTGCTTGCTTGTCAACAACAACAACAACTTGTATTTATATAGCACCCCTCACACAGGATAACGTCCCAGAGTGTCACTGCTGCCATTGCTCCCAATGCAGAGACAAAGAAACTGCTGGTCGTCAAATGAAGTGAAGTGATCAACAACTTACTTTCAATTGCAAAAAATCTTACTTAATATAGGAGTTGACGGCAAGTCAACTGACTTAAGACGTTCTTACCTTGTCCAGTATCAGTGCATTGCTCTTAGCTAGAACCAGATCCATTGATTCGGGATCGCAGGTGAATTTCAAGGTGGCTGGGTGCTGCCGATATTTATGCTCGCTCAGGATCTCTCCGGCTTTTTTGGCTTTTTCCACATCCAGCGATCCTGCAATATTCCAGCCGATTCCCTTCAGCCACTGCATGTCTAGTTTGTACAAGATCTGCAAGCACACAAGATCAAACAGTACTCTTTAACCTGTACCTTAGTCTTAATACGCCACAAAAAAAGGCAACGTTATCATAAAAAGACCCTGAACAAGTCTCCTGTCAATTTGTTTTCTCTGATGTTCTCAACTAATATTATGTCGAGCTGGTGGGAAGGGGGAGATGACCATAGGCACGGTTGAAGAGGAAGTTCTTCAGGCACGACCTGAATATGGGGAAGGATGGGGCAAGGCAGAAGGATAGAAGAGTGTTCCAGCGTTTCATTCTGGTAGTCACATGCTGCAATAATGGAGATGTTGATAGCAATTAATTCTGTATGGATTAGTCTACCATCACAGTGGAAACTTCGGGAACCTGAGATCCAAAGGTGCCTATTTCTTCCAACCATACATGTCATGTCTCAAATTACATCTGTACTATGCAATTAACAACGTAAAGTTTGTTTCGAGTAACTTACATCGCTCTGCAAGTTGTAGGCCTTCCGCGCCAGGATCACGTCGTTCTGGTCGGGCAGACAGGTCCACTGGTGCAGGTGGTGTCTGTAGTCAATGTCGCTGACCAGAGTCTGGCATTTCTTGGCCAACAGGTTGTCCAGGGTGTCCACCGGCATGTTGTACTTGGTCTTGCTCTTCTCAAAGTCCTTCTTGTACTCCCTGTCGCTCTGAATCTTGGCCACATGCATCGACCAGACCATCTTGGGGTCGTCCTGAATGTCACGGCATCCCACGTGGTGACCTACCTGCTTGCGGTAACCCGTCTTGTACTTGTACTGCAACACAATTGTAAATATTCACTGCTACTCGCTAAGTAAAGTAATAAAGCCAACTTTGCCAATCTCTCAAGCAAGCCCAGTTATTTCCCGGATAAGTCATTCATTATAGAAAACAACTGATTGAGACTAAATAATGTTCTTAGGTGTGAAACTGCTTTTCAGTGGATATCTATGCTACATCTACCCCCACCTACCTCCCCCCACTCCCTTTTCAGCTGCCAAGACACTTTTCCACATGTTCATCAAGCAGATTGAGTTCAAGACCCACTTTCTCATTTTCCAATCCCTCCACGGTCTCAACCTCTGCAACCGTCCTCAACCCTAAGGACCCTGTCGCTCCCTTCACTCAGCAAAGTCCAGCCTGTTTCTTGTCCCCCCCCACTATCTGCCCCACCATCAACAGCCCGGTTTTGAGTTCCAGAGTCTCACCAACTCGTCTCCTCCCTCCCATCATTCAAGGTCGATATCAAGACGTACCTCATATAATCTGACAAGATTATATGAATGCAAATTGTATTGTATTTTACGTTCAACAACTGTATTTCAGCTGATACTGAATTGCCTAAGGAGGATGCCTTCAGATCAGCCTCTGGGGATGAAATAGAAGTTCCCAGTGATTGAGTGGAAGCACTATCTGATTGTGTTTATGATTGATGTCAGGTCAACATTTCATAGAATTGAAGGTGATAACGAGGGTGGTCGACGAGCAACATTTAGCATGGGATTTCTTCTGAGACAAAGCTTGTTCTGACTTACGTCGCTTGCGATAGCTTGGCAGGTTTTGGCTGCCTTTACTGAGATTGCGTCAGGTGTCAAGACATATCCCTTTTTCTTGGATTCCAGCCAAGCCTGTTTGTACAAATTCTGCAAAGAAACAACAGGAAAAAGATTGCTCGTGTTTAAATGCTGCGGATTAGAATCTTAAATCTGTCATTCTTTTTAATGATAGAACCGTTTCTTGGGTTTGCCTTACGTCGCTGTAGGTGATTTTATTGGCATTGGCTTGTAAAATCTCTGGAGTGTCCATCATCATGTGAACCTTGATCTTGTCTTTCTCCCAGTCTTGTACGTACTGGTGCTGTGTTTAAACAAAAGGGATAAACAAGTGAATCCTGAACAATTTTCATTGAACCCGGAAAAGATTCAACTGCAATTCATTCCCATTCTCGATCTGAAAACTGTACCGTCATTGCTGAGATTCAAATAATATTAATTGTTCCATTTGATATAATATCTTATCAAATCATTGAGATGTCTCAAAGCGCTTCACAGAATATATTGTAAAGACTATGCATTTTGTGGGTTAAACCCGGCAGAAGTGTCCCACAAACAGTTGTGGATTGAATTTTATTTTATAGGATTAATACGCCCCAGAAAGCGATCCACCAATCGACTAACAGTCGAGCGTGGAGTAAGGAAACTTTCCTGAGGTATTGCCGCGCCCAGGAATCGAACCCTGATCCTCTCGCTCGTGAGGTGAGCGCTCTAACCACTGACCTACAGGGCTTGTCTAGAGAACGCAGAAGGAGATTTGCTTATACATGAGAGGGACTGGTAGGGAGTTGTAGTTGGAAAGCTCTACCTGGCACCTTGAGAGAGACAACAACAACTTGTATTTACACAGCGTCCCTCCAGCAGGGTAGCGTCTCAGAACGCTTGACGGGGTTGAGCACAATGCCAAATCAGAGGCAAGTGACCATAAGCACAGTCCAGCGCGCTAACCACTAGTTTATGGGGCTCCACTGTATATTGTTTTCATAATAATTGGAAGCACTCAAACAAGCTGCAGTTGGTTGCTTTCAACTTGTCAATATGACGCACTCTCCACGATGCCCCACCTTGTTCATTGCTTCTGAATTCGCTTTGGCCAGGACCATTTCCACGGAGTCACTCAAGGTGGTGTGCTTGAAACTATCTGGCCGCTGCCTGTAGTTTTTCTCGCTGATAATCTCCGTCGCCTTCTTGGCCTTTTCAACATCCAGCGAGCCGACCGGGCTCCACCCGATGCCCTTCAGCCACTCGAGGTCCGTCTTGTATTTGTTCTAGCAACACAAAGACAACAAACGGCACTCGATGGTCCGTAATCTCTACAGTTGTTAGGTAAAATGGAGCCAAGCAGGTTCACAGGAAATGCAATACCCAGTCTTTGCTTTAAGCTGCTAATGTTGAACAGCGACTAATAGTGAAGGATGTCTATCTAGATTCGGGTGGGAGGTAAGTGGGGTGTCCTTGGAGCTAACTGGCTCCAAGATGACATGCCCGGCAATGGAATGTCGGAATCGAGTCAGCTGGCGGTCTCGGCAATCCGGTTCCTGTACCAGGTCCGCAGTATTCCAAGGCACTGCTGATGACAACCCAGCCAACTTTGCTCAAAGGCAGGACCTGGAAGGGCAGACCAGTCACTGGGGATCAGGGAATCATCCCACTCAGCTCCTGTTAACCCTGCAAGCCCAAACCTTAACGGGTAGGGAAAAGCAGTGGGAAAGCTTGGCAGACAAACAGACAGAGACCACACCTGCATTCCACAGTCTTCAGCGAAACGCAATTAGGATGTATGAGGAGAACTCAACTCAGCTCAGCCCCCCCACCCGCACAGAATATTTTCCCGCTATGCTCCCGAAGCTCAATTAGGAGTCAAAACAACTGTCTAAAGACCGACACTGTTCTTACATCGCTCTGTATCGCCATCATGTGCTTGCAGAGTTCCAGGTTGACGGCATCCGGCAGGTAAGTGTACTTGCGGAACTCTTGCTTGTAGTTGATGTTGGTGTTCACTTCCTGGGACTTCTTGGCAGCGATCACACTGAGCATGTCCACCGGCGTGTGGTACCGGGTCTTACTCTTCTCGTAGTTTTTCTTATACTCACGGTCTGACTGCATCTTGGCAACGTTCATGTAATGGACCAGTTTGGGGTCGTCCTGTAGGCTGCGGAAACCAATATGCTTTCCTCTGTCCTTTTCGTAAGCGCTCTTATATTTGTACTGTAAGAAATCAATGGTCATAAAGAGCTAGATTCACAAAGGCAATTTCTCAAGCTCCATCAAGCCTCAAGGTGTTGAATTTGGGATGGGGCTAGCAATAATAATAATAATGGTGATAATAGTGATGGAAATAATAATAATAAATGAGGATGCATGTGGTATTACAAGACAAGCATAGTTCCTATAATCATTGGTGCAGATGGGACTGTTAATAAGACAATTCAGAAATGGTTTGACAAGATACTCGGTGCACAAAATATTCACCTCCTGCAGAAAGTAGTTATTTTGGGAAGTTCAAACATACTAAGAAACGTAACATCCATTCAAGTGTAATGTGGCAGTGCTATTGGTCTGGCTAACCCATCACTGAAAACCACTCAGAAACTACCTCTACGGAGTGATCAAAGCTGTAATAACATAATAATAATAATATTTCTTGCATTTCATATAGTGCCTTTCACATCATGGGAGCATCTGAAACGGCTTCACAGGATTTACTATGACTGTATTCTGCAGGTGAACACAGCTGCCAGTTCACGTCTAACAATGTTCTCCAACCAAGTCAATGTCCAATTGTATCCTGGTAGGGATTGCTGGTCAGGATACTGGGGGAAACTCAACCCTCTTTCCGAATAGTGCCGCGGGATCTTTAATGTCCACCTGGACAGGAAGACCAGACCTCAGTTTAACATCTCATCCAAAGGATGGTACCTCTTACAATGCAGCACTGCTCCTCCCAACCCATCCCTCCATCTCCGACACAGGGCCTGTGTAAATCTAGTTACATGTTTCGTGAGTGGAAGCTTGTCACTTACATCACTTGCGATATCTCTCGATTTTTTGGCAGCTTTGATAGGGATGGCATCCACACGCAGGTCATAACCCTTCTTCTTTGAGTCTTCCATACTTTGCCTGTACATTTTCTATAAGAGAGGCAATGGATCAATATACCGTGACCGGAAACAGCGCAATCTGCAACAATACATTCCCCCACCCCGCGTTGCGTGTGGCTGCCTCGTGGTCCCAAAGGGAGCAGCCATTACTGTACGATAGGGCGTTCCACGCGCCTCCAGGTGTAACACAACACATCCCTTGGCCGCACTAAAACAAAATGGACACTACGGGGTCAGCACTTCTGGGGTCACTGGTGACTCATTGATCGCAGTTCATCAGGAAGCTGGCAACTATTTCCAGCAATATCCCAGAAGGCCCTCTGCGCCACAAGCTGGCAGTGTAGTCGTGCCTTTTCCGGACTACCATAAATACACCGCCCTGTACTGAAGCACGGTATAACATTGTACTGCAATATAATGTAATATAATCATTCTGCGATTGAAAGGGGGGTAAATTCAGAACAAATCTGCGGCAACACTACTTCAGTGAGCGAGTAGTAAACGAATGGACAGGCTCCTTGGGGAGACGGTGGAAGCAGAAAGTGTTGTTTCTTTCAAGGACAAATTAGATAGATTTCTGTTAGTAAATAATATCTCAGGTTATAGTATATAGTCTGGGACACAACATGTCATGCGACTGCCAGGATGGTGGAAAGCAAACAGGATGGACCTTAGTCTTCTTTCCCTCGGCAAATTCTTGTGTTCTTATAATAGGATCTTGCGAGTACTCAAAAATAGAGCCAATATATGTTTTCAGCATCGCCTCTCTTCTTACCTGACTCATGTTGTATTGGTTCGCTTTGGCGAGAATGATTTCAGGCGTGTCGGGCATCACGTGAATCTTAGTCTTGTCTTTCTCCCAGGCAACTTTGTATGATTGCTGCAGGGGTGGGAGCCGGGGGGGAGCACAAAAGATTAAGAGTGAGGTTAAGGGGGAGGGAGGGAGGAGAAAAAACAAATATTATATATTATTATATTGTTTATATTGTTATAATTTATTATTACACATTATAAATTCTATTATTATATTAGTATTACTACTTACCGCATTCATAATCTGGCTGTTAGACTTGGCCAGCTCGAAGGGAATGGAATCAGTCATGATTGTGAACTTGAAGTTTTCCGGGTGCTGCCGGTAGTTTTTCTCGCTTATCAAACTTGACGCTTTCTTGTTCTTTTCGTGGTCCACTGAGCCATCGGGAAACCAGCCGATGCCCTTCATGAAATCATTGTACTCTGACTTGTAGAGGTTCTGAAACAGCAAAGGGAAGGGACAGGTTTAACAACAGCATTCTTGGAGTGTTATTGCCACTGAGATTTCATTCCTGATGGCGTTTTCCCTTCCCCACCACCCCCACCCCTCACCCCTCCTCCCTTCCACATTGTTTAGTAGATGATTCAGAGGGAAACATCGAAACAGGAGTAGGACATTCAGCCCCTTGAGCTTGTTCCGCCATTCTATTAGATCATGGCTGATCTATAACTCAACTCCATTAGGACCTCGTAGAGCTATATCAAATTTTGAATGGAATTGAAAAAGTAATGCAAGACAATTGGACGCACCAAGATAGTAGAATGAAAAGAATTGGGTTTAGAGTTTCAGCAGACAATTACCAGGACAGACACCAGGATGTTTTTCTTTACCGAAAGGGTAGTTAACAACTGGAACAGGTTGCTTGCGAGGAAGGGCAGTTGAGACCAGGACAAGGGGACTGATTTTGTAAAAACAAAGAGAAGCTTGATGTTGTGATGGGAGAGAGAGTGGACTGGAGGGATGAGATCAAATGTTTGATGTTTTCTATGATTTTTTTTTCCCTATGATGATGTCAATGTCATATAAATTGTACATCAGTTGCTTTCTTATTCAGGAGCAGAGCATACCTGACAAAATAATAGCAGATTTATGTAGTTTGACCCTAAATCGACAACACTATTGACATTTTGCTAACCCGACTGCATTTTTGCTTTGCATCAAAAAACACAGAAACTGGCAAAATTCCTAATTTATATTCTACACACTTTTTTTGTATTAAAATCCGTCGTCAAACCTTTTGTGCTCAGATGGAAAAATTCCTTCTCTCCCCGTAGCTCTTGGTCTAAGATTTGCCAAAGTGTCTCTTTCATAACTTGGCTGTTTTTTTGTGAATGGCTCCAAAGGCATGGAACCAGTCACAAATGCGAACTTGACTTTGTCATGGTGTTGGTGGCAAAAATTGGATTAGGTAGTATGGATATTTCCTACGCCTCTCTCTCTCTCTCACCCTGATTGTGAGAGTATTTGGTGCACCCGAGAGTATTCGGTGCACGTTGGCAATAGCCGAGACTTGGCGAGCTCAGGGGGCGTACATTGGGAATAACTGCTGGCGTTTCATATCTTAATATCTGGGGAATATTTATTATTGATCAATGGATTTACGCATGGAATGGATTTACGAAAAAACCTTAAATCTCAAGGCCAAAAAAAACAAAACTGTCTCGTAGATTCCATTGAGAATTTCTCATTCCAGTGTCGTTCAACTTCACCCCCCACCACCACCCCCCAATGCCCCACATAGTGACTTACATCGCTCTGTATGTTCATCATGTTCCTCGCCAGTTTCATGCTTATGGAATCAGGCAGGACCATGTAATTGTGGATAAGCTTCTTGTAGTGGATGTTGCTGACCAGATCCTGGGAGGTCTTTGCGGCTGTGATGCTGAACATGTCCAAGGGGGTCTTGTACTTGGTTTTAGTCTTTTCGTAAGCTTTCTTGTATTCGCGATCCGACTGCATCTTGGCCACTTGCATGAAGTGCACAAGCTTGGGATCGTCCTGCAGGCTACGGAAACCAATTTGCTTGCCCTTCTCCTTCTCATACGCCAGCTTGTACTTATACTGAAATCAAGAGCGAGGATCGGGACTGAACTCAGTGAAACAGAACTTACAACAACAACTTGCAATTGTACAGCATGTCTGACACAGGTGGAAACTCATCGCCCACGCTTACGGCTATCCAGACCAACAAGAACAACNAAAAAATTGCATTTACGTAATGCCTATGATGTCGGGAGGGGTTTGCACCTGAGCTGCGGGTTCTGATCAAAGAGGAGTGGAGGGCAAGGCGGCGTGGAAGAGGGAAGATGATTGAAAGCGTGATAAAAAGGTCTTGAGACCAGACTGAGAGTTCCACATGTTGTATGCCACCCACACGTGGAAACTTCCCTGTGCCAGGAATGGAGCGTGCTCTCTCTCTCCCCGCAGGGACCCACCCTAGTTGCCTAATTGCCGAGAGCGTTTGGCGCAGGTTGGCAAGAGCTGAGACTTGGGGAGCTCAGGGTGTGCACGTTGGGATGAATGCTGGAGTTTACTATCTAGGGCATATTTATTATTGACAATAATAACAAGAATAATAATCCTTACAGGAAGTCTTAAAGCGATTCACTGGATTTGTAATGTAGGTTGTGATTTTGAAGCAAAGTTATTGAAGGAAACTTACATTGCTGGCAATGTCCCCTGTTTTCTTTGCAGCCTTTATTGAAATGGCATCAGGCATCAGGTTGTAACCCTTCTTCTTCGATTCCTCCCAGCCCGATCTGTACATTTTCTAAAAGAGAAAAACGACACGGACAAAATGAGAGCTGTCACTTTAAATCAACAAGTTCATTACTTCACTTTTTAATGAATGAATGAATGAATTAATGAATGAATGAATCAATCAGTTTGAAGACTGGGAACTTTTGTTTTACTGTCAACCTCACATAAGTCGTATCAGTTTCGACCATTTAATATGACTTATATGCAAAGTATGAGTTATGTAAAACTCACATAAGTTACAGAAATTTAATGGGACTTGGGTAGATAATAATAATAATCCTTGCATTTGATATAGCGCCTCATCACATCTTCGAGACATCTCAAAGCGCTTCACAGAATATACTGTGAAGTGAACTGACTGTATATTTTGTGTACTACTTGTGTACGATTTATACAGATCACACTTGCGCGAGTTTTACTGTACCATTGGTAGTTCAATTGCAAATTAATCACTTTGCGAGGTGACTTATCGAAAGCAGCTGTTATCTTTATGGTGATGTGAGTAGCCACATACCTCACTCATGTTGTGCTGGTTATATCTGGACAACACAAACTCTGGTGCGTCTGGCATAATATGGACCTTGGTCTTGGCTTTTTCCCATTCTCCAGTATATAATTTCTGTCAATAAAGAAATCAGAAGAATTAGTGTCAAGGCTTAGAAACTGTGGAGGAGTACAATTTTGACAATCTTCTTTAGGACACTGAAAACTTCACCCCCTTAGCTCATCATAATGCTGATCTTCAAACCTCTTGTCTCATTAGTAATAATTCTCGCATTTGACGTACACCTTATCACGCCATTGAGACGTCTCTAAGCACTTCACAGAATACATTGTAAAGTGGATTGACTGTGTATTTTGTGGGTGAATGCTACAGCATAGAAACAGACCATTCCACCCAACCAGTCCGTGTCGGTGTTTATACCCCAGTCGAGCTTCTGACCCTCCTAAGCTCCTCTCTCATTCCCCTCTATTTCCTTCTCCCTCATGTATGCAACAAACAGACAGCTATGGATCTCAATAAACCCAGCGCTCCATTGGAATGTCAGCCGAGCCCGTACACTTTCCAACGTGAACTTGAATACCTAACTTGAATACCCACCTTGTTCATAATGTCTGCATTAGCTTTGGCCAGAACAAGTTCAAGAGAATCAGTGACGCTTGTGAATGGAAAGGTATCTGGGTGCTGGCGGTATTTCCTCTCACTTGCTATATCCGTTGATTTCCTGGCCTTCTCAACATCCAGGGAACCGGCTGGAATCCAACCAATGCCTCTCAAACAGTTATTGTAATCTGCTTTGTAATTGTTCTGCAGGGGAGTGGGGGAAGAAGACACATTGAAGAGAGAAATGCAGTAAATAATAATGATTATTATAATAATACTTGCATTTGATATAGCGCCTGACCATGTCACTGAGACATCCCAAAGCTCTTCACAGATTATATCGAAAAGTGGATTGACCCGTGTATTTCTGGGCGAAACGCAGCAGCCAATTGTTCACAGCAGTGTCCCACAAACAGTCGTGGATTGAGTGACCAAATTATTATTATTTTTTTGGAAGGAATTATTATCCCTGGGACAGTCATCCACCAATCGACTAGCTACCGGGTTCCTACTTACTGCTAGGTAAACAGAGGCGTGTGTTTAAGGTTTTGCCTAGCCCGGGAAATGAACCCGGGTCCTCTCGCTTGTGAGGCAGGGGTGCGGTAACCACTACTTTATGGTGATGAAAATGGAGAGGTAAGTTCCAACAGAGAAACTGGACTTATCCACGATTTATTTCACACGCTAAGAGAGGGGTTTCCTTACATCACTCTGGATGTTCATCATTTTCCTGGACAGCTCCAGGCTCATGGCATCGGGCAGGATGGTGTAGTGGTGGATCAGTTTTTTGTAGTTGATGTTGCTAGCGATATCCTGGGACTGTTTGGCAGCGGTGATGTTGACCATGTCCGCCGGCGTGTGGTACTTGGTCTTACTCTTCTCGTAGTCTTTCTTGTACTCACGGTCAGACTGCATCTTGGCGATATGCATGGAGTGGACCAGCTTGGGATCGTCCAGCAGGCTTCGGAAGCCCACGTGTTTGCCCCTGGCCTTTTCGTAGGCCTCCTTGTACTTGTACTGGAAGGATACATTGATACATTAATGTTGTGGAGTAAGGAAACTTGCCTAAGGTTTCGCCCTGTCTAGGAATCGAACCCAGGTCTTCTCGCTTGGGAGCAAGTGCTCTAACCAATATGCTACTGGACTTCAAACATTGAGTATGATTAAGCAAGTGCCACTGATTTACCACAAGGAAATATATTCCTTTCTGTATAAATTCATGTTTGATTTGATCCAAGAAGATTGCACAATAGATTATTTTGGGGAATTTAAGACCATTCATTAAAAAAAACCTTTCTTGGTTATTCACTGAATACCAAGTTGTTAAGTGATCAATTTGATTGAGGGGTGGGGGAGGGCGGTTTAGGAGTGGGTGAAGGAGGGGAGAGAAACCACTGTACTCACATCACTCGCAATGTTTCTTGAAGCTTTGGCCGCTTTGATCGTAATGGCATCTGATCGCAAGTCATAGCCTTTAGCCAGGGATTTCTGCCAATTGTGCTTGTAGCGGTTCTTCAAAAGAGAAAGCGAGGAAAATTATTTTACACCCAATTAGCGACGCCTCCAAGCATAACAATACTAAACTCAAATTTGCAAATGAATTACGCACCTCACTCAAGTTGAAAGCATTGACCTTTGCTTGTAGGAAAGCTGGGTAGTCGAGGTTCAGTGTGTATTTGTGCTTCACCTCTTCACCGGATTTCTTGTAGTTGAGCTGAAAGGGAAGACAAGAAGAGAATTAACCAAGGATGATACCCACAAAATAATAATAATAATCCTTGCATTTGATATAGCGCCTTATCACATCGTTGTGATGTCTCAAAGAGAGGGGAAAGGAAGGGCACTTACATCACTGAGTTGTTTGGAGTTGCTTGTGGCCAGAACCATTTCCATCGAGTCAGGCACACTGGTGAATTTGATGGTGTCTGGGTGCTGTCTGTAGTTATGCTCATTCAGAACGTCTCCAGCCTTCTTGGCTTTCTCCACGTCCACCGAGCCGATTGGTATCCAGCCCAAACCCTTCACCCAGTTATTGTAATCTTGTTTGTACAAATTCTGGCAGATGAATTGAAGAAAACTTTTAAGTGCATTTCGCTGCAACTGTTGCAGTTGAAAACAATTTTTTTTTGGTGGCTGGGTGTCTGACGTATGTGGAAACCCATCATAATGGTTAAAGGAGCATCCAAACCGAGAATTCCGTGCATCCCGCTTACACATGGAAATCCCAGAGATAGTTTGTTGGAATGGAAAGTGCACTCTCTCTCTCTCTCCCCCCCCAGAGGGACGTATCCTGCTGACCTAATTCTAGCAAGTATTAGGCGCAGTTTGGCAAGAGCCAAGGCTTGAGGGGACCCCAGAGTGTGTGTTGGGGTACACCAGCTAAAACCGCACAGCTTCCCATTGATATTGCAGTAAAATAACAAAGGAAGACACCTCCAATGTCGTGGCAAAACTATATGAAACTTGTAATGAACTCAAGGGATACAAAAAACTGGATCATAATTTGCGAGAATGAAGAAAAACTTTGTCCAATAATATTCCAAAGCTTCGCTTTATCCTTACAAATAATGCTCCAGTTTTCTGGTTTCTACTAAGAACTTAGTAGCCCCTGAATTCATTCCAAGTTTCATATAATAATAAAAATAATAATAAGACTGTGGTTAGAGCACTGGTGGGTTCACCACATGGACAAAATGGGAAGATAGATCATAGAATCTTACAGCACAGAAGGAAGCCCTTTAGGCCCATCGTGTTGGTGCCGACTCTTTGAAAGAGCTACCAACGAGTTCCACTCCCCCCACTCTTACCCCATAGCCCCGCAAATGTTTCCTTTTCAAGTACCTATTCCAATTCCTTTTTGAAAGCTACTATCGATTTGTAGTTTCAAGTTTTGTGGTTTCATGGGCACTTACGTTGCTCTGGATGTTCATCATGTTTCTGGACAGCTCCAGGTTCATGGCATCGGGCAGGTAGGTGTAGTGATGGATCAGTTTTTTGTAGTTGATGTTGCTAGCAATGTCCTGGGACTGTTTGGCAGCAGTGATGTTGACCATGTCCGCCGGTGTGTGGTACTTGGTCTTACTCTTCTCGTAGTCTTTCTTGTACTCACGGTCAGACTGCATCTTGGCTATATGCATGGAGTGGACCAACTTGGGGTCATCCTGCAGGCTTCGGAAGCCCACGTGTTTGCCCCTGGCCTTTTCATAGGCCTGTTTGTATTTGTACTGAAATAAATAATAATAATAAATAATAATAATCCTTGCATTTGATAAAGCGCCTCATCAAGTCTTCTAGACATCTCAAAGCGCTTCACAGAATATACTGTAAAGTGAAATGATTGTATATTTTGTGGGCGAAACGCAGCAGCCAATTGCAGTCAGCTGTGTCCCCAAACAGTCGTGCATTGAGTGACTTTTTTTGGAAGGGTTTATGACTCCCAGAAAAGCCATCTGCCAATTGACTAATGACTGGGTTCCTGCTTACTGTTAGGTAAACAGAGACGTGCAGAGTAAGAAAATTTGCCTAACGTTTCCCCCTGCCCGGGAACCAAATCTAGGTCCTCTCGCTTGCAAGACGAGTGCTCTAACCAATAAGCTACAGGGCTCCACGAATAGAATGAATAAAATCTTTAGATTTCACAATGAGCTTTGCTAGCATCTGAGTTTGGGATAGCTAACACCCAAAGAAAATGTCTCTTGATAATAGATATTCATTGAAGGGGGAGGGTGGGTTGGGGCGGGGTGTGGAAGATACATTTTTGTTTTCAAAATGAGAAAGATGGAAGGCTCCCACACCACTATGTGGCAGTGTCAGCCCAGACTATGAGTTCAAAGTCCCAATGCGGGGTCCGAATTCACAATCTTTTGACTCAGAGGCAAGAGTGATATCAAGTGAGCCAGGCTGACACCTTGAAGATTAAATTGTGAGTTGTATTGTAAAACGTTCTTGTTTTTTTTTCTTTTTGGGTCAGCCGGGTGTCTGACACATGCGGAAACCCATCCCCGTTGCTCAAGAGTATCCAAACAAGCTGAGATTTCCAGGCATCCCACCTACACATGGAAATTCCTGAGACAGATTGTTGGAATGGAATGCGCACTCTCTACTTGGAGGGACCCATCCTGATTACCTAATACCGGAAAGCATAAGGCGCAGGTTGGCAAGAACCAAGGCTTGGGGACCCCAGAGTGTGGGTTGGGCTGATTGCTGGAGTCTAACCAGCTGAAACTGCATAGATTGCCATTGATAGTCTGGAAGTTGCAAACTATGGAGATTCGCTACCTCATGTCTTGATACTGCTAGATACTCACATCACTAGCAATATTTCTTGATGCTTTGGCTGCAACAATAGGGATGGCATTTGCCTGCACGTGGTGACCTTTAGCCAGTGTTTTCTGCCAGGCATCTTTGTAGCATGTCTGCAAAAGAAGTGAATGGCAGCACCTTTAATTGAAATAAAATAATAATTGACAATTGTCTTCATAAACATCTGCGAAGTGTTTCCTGTGGGTAAGGATTGCAATCTTGACCGGAAAAGAGACAAGAGACCACAAAGTTCCATCTGGTCTTTGCCTGAAAGACTATTTTGTCTGTGAGCGCGAGCAGGATTGTAGAATGTAAGAATATCACTGCAAAGGAAGATGTTCCTTACATCGCTGATGTTGGTGGCGTTGTATCTGGCTTGGATGAACTGTGGTAGGTCGTGGGGAAAGGTGTACTTGTGTTTCACCTTTTCTCCTCCAGATCTGTAGAGTTTCTGTAAGATAAAAAAACAAGTGGGTTTAACAGAAACAAGTTTATTCTTCTGTTGGAAGCCACGTAACTTCTGAACAATTACCTGCAAACACTAGGCAAACATTAGGTGAGCTGGGCTATGAGAATTCTCTCTGGTTTCAGTGCCCTATCACTCTGTGTAACTCTACAAGGTACCTGCTGGCTGTTGAAAAGTGTGTTGCCTGCAACTGAGGAACAAAGCCAATGAATGCCATGAGTCACAACACACCAGGCTTCCATTGACGGAGCTGGGCCAAGTGATGGGCAAGCTGGCACTTCAGGCTAGCAATTCTTTACCCATACAACGTGGTATTCGGGGAGTGGAGGAAAAACAGAAAGAGGGTTTTCCTGACCCATCGTAATAATACTTGCAATTTGATACAGCTCCTTATCACGTTGTCGAGACATCTATAAGCGCTTCACATGATCCATTGCAAAATGGTGTGACGTGTGTAATTTCTGTGGGAGAAAGCATTCTGCATACTAGCTGAGTCATAGAGTGGCTCTGTTGATCAGAAATTGGATGGGAGCGCACAAGCCACATCTAGTGTCTCTCCCAGTTAAAGTAACAAGCCACGTGATGTGGACAGGGTAACTAAAATGTTAAGGAAGAAAGAAATCCGGCATCCCTCTCTGAGACTTTTAGCTCACGACTTCCCCTCTTTTAGATCACAAATGAACGACCTTCCTCTTCGACTGTGCTTACGCTCACCTCCCTTTCCCCCGGGCTCGGGGTCAGGCTCGGCCACTGTTAAGTGCTCCGAAACGTTGCTCCAGGTGACGGGCCCTGTATAAATGTGAATTGTAGTTAATGTTCAGACACACTTACGTCATTCAGCTGCAGTGAGTTGCCCTTGGCCAGAACCATTTCCATCGAGTCAGGCACACTGGTAAACTTGATGGTGTCTGGGTGTTGCCTGTATTTATGCTCATTCAGGACCTCTCCAGCCTTCTTGGCTGTCTCCACTTCTATTGAGCCGTGCGGGCTCCAGCCGATGCCTTTAAACCAGTTATTGTAATCGTATTTGTAATTGATCTTCAGGGCAAAAAAAACCCAGAAACTATATGAGAATAATTCAATCACTCAATTGCTGTCATCACACAGGTAGCGGACATTTCTACACGATATCCTTAACAGGTGGTCCTTTTGTGCATAGAAAAGCAATTTGATGCAGAATAAAACGTCTCGGGAACCTTAAACAGTTCTTAAAAAGGTAAATTAATTCTACCCACACGATCTACATTCTCGATTACAGTAACTCAGAGATACCCTGTATGTCTTGACTAGCTCTGGACAACCACTGTCAACCACAATTGATCCCCACTATCTACTCAACTTTCCCAAAGATTCCTTTGTGACCTCTATCTTTTTGGGAGGGGGTGGGGGTTTAGCCGGGTGTCTAACATGTGCGGAAACCCATCACCATGCTTAAAGAGTATCTAAACCAGACTAAGAATTCCCTGCATCCCACCTACACGTGGAAATCCCAGAGATAGATTGTTGGAATGCATTGCGCTCTCTCTCCCTGGAGGGAAACATCCTGTTTACCTAATCTGAAAAGTATTAGGTGCAGGTTGGCAAGAGGCAAAGCTTGGGGATCCCAGAATGTGCGTTGGGGTAACTGCTGGAATATAACTAGGTAAAACCATATAGCTTGCCATTGGTATCACTGTGTGGCAAGATATCCCGCTGCTTGTCCAGCTAGGACCACCCTGCCCGTTAGGACTTTGGCTTGCAGGGTTAACAGGACCATCACCTAATAACACTCAATTGGTCCGACTTTACATTCCTCTAACTTTGCTTCCATCTTTTCAGGAGCCAAGCTTCACAAATCGCTCGTTCCATTGGCTTACGTTGCTCTGGATGTTCATCATGTTTTTGCACAGCTCCACGTTCATGGCGTCGGGAAGGTAGGTGTAGTTGTGGATCGGCTGTTTGTAGTTGGTGTTGCTGGCCACTTCCTGGGACTTCTTGGCAGCAGTGATGTTGATCATGTCCAGTGGTGTGTGGTACTTGGTCTTACTCTTCTCGTAGTTTTTCTTGTACTCGCGCTCAGACTGCATCTTGGCTACATGCATGGAGTGGACCAACTTGGGGTCATCCTGCAGGCTTCGGAAGCCCACGTGTTTGCCCCTGGCCTTTTCATAGGCCTGTTTGTACTTCACCTGTGAAATGGTGAGAATAATAATAATAATCCTTATGTTTGATATAGTGCCTCATCACTTCTTCCAGCCATCTCAAAGCACTTCACAGAATATACTGTAAAGTGAAATGATTGTATATTTTGTGGACGAAAAGCAGCAGCCAAGTGCGCACAGCAGTGTCCCCACAAACAGTCCAGGATTGAGTGACCAAGTTATTATTATTTTTACTTTGAAGAAATTATTACTCCCGTAAAAGGATCTAACAATCTATAACAGCAATGGACTACAACCCGATGGAGTTAGAAAAGGAAACTTAAATCTGTTATTTTCCATTGCTAGGCAAATTCGAAAATATTAATCGCCATCCGTTTTACTCAGCAGACAGACGGTACAGTGCCTTGACAACCCGATGCAAGGTGTCAAGGCCTCGAGCTACTGGTACCCAGATAGTGAACGCTCATTCCCTTCTCCCGGGACTGCCAAACACAGAATACATTGTAAAGTGGATTGACTGTGTACTGTGTGGGAGAATCACAGCAGCAAATTGCGCGCAACAGTGTCTCACAAACAGTCGTGGATTGAGCCCCTTTTTGGGGGATTCGTATTATCCCGAGAAAGCAGTCGGCCAATTGACTAGCAACCGGATTCCTACTTACTGCTCGGTGAACAGAGGCGTGAGGAGTAAAGAAACTTGCCTAAGGTTTCGCCCTGCCCGGGAATCAAACCTGGGTCTTCACGCTTGCGAGGCGAGCGCGCTAACCACTGTGCTACGGCACCGCTGATAAGTTCTTTAGACGGCTTATCAGGAATGGGGTGAATGATACATGAAAGAAATGCATGTGAACAAGAAGTAAATAAAACAGAAAATATGAAAGGATGCTTACGTCACTGGCGTGATTTCGGGCAGCCTTAGCAGCCAGGATTGGGATAGCATCGTAGGTGAGGTGATATCCTTTTGCTATGTCCTCTTTCCAAGCATTTTTGTAGCAATTCTGCAAAGAAAAGTAGTCTTTTTACCAAACTATTCAGTCAGAGGTCACATACTTTTGATCACCCCACTCCAGAAAGGATGTCAAGGGTAATGAGAAGGTGCAGAGGAGATTTGCTAAAATAATACCAGGAAACTGTGGTTTAACCTATAAGCAAAGACTGAAGGGATTATAATAATAATTATCCTTGCATTTGATAGTGTTTTATCACGTCTTCAAGATGTCTCAAAGCGCATCACAGAATATACTGTAAAATGGATTGACTGTATATTTGGTGGGAGAAACATGGCATCCAATTGTGCACAGCAGTGTCCCACAAATAGTCATGGATCGATTGACCAAATTATTATTATTTTGAAGGGATTATTAAACCAGAAGAGCGATCTGCCAATCGACTTAATGCGAGGTAAGCAGAGGTGTGTAGTAAGGAAACTTGCCTAACGTTTTGCCCTGCCCGGGAATCGAACCCAGGTCCTCTCGCTTGCGAGACGAGTGCTCTTAACCCCTATGCTACAGGACTCCACATGCAGGTTTGGTTCAACAACAGCAACAAATTACATTTGTACAGCGCCTTTCACGTCGGGAGGACATCCCAAAGCGCTGGACAGTCAGGGGTTTGGAACCTGAGCTGGGGGTTGGGATCTGGATGGGTGGAGGGCAGAGAGAGTGGGGGAAGGAGGGTGACCGAAGGCGCGGTCGAAGAGAAAGGTCTTGAGACGGGTTGACTCAGATTATTTAGAATTATGGGATGAAAATCACATGGTGGGCGGTCAGTTTGGGTGGAAAGACGAACTATTTGAGCGGATCAGCTGGAGACCATCGAGCTTGTACTTACGTTACTGCTATTATAAGCGTTGACTCGGGCCTGGATGAACTCCGGCAGATCTGGAGGGTAGGTGTACTTGTGGATAATCTTCTCTCCTTTCTCTTTGTATTTCAGCTAGATGACAGAAACAATACAAGAGATAGGGGGATGAGAATGCCTTGGTTCTCACAAAGCACAGAGAGATAATTGGGGTCTGATAACCGAAACAATTTGTGAGACTTTTGTCATTAAAACAAAAAGGCAAGAAGCAAATACATAGCGATATTTTTTTTGCTAATTTGGAAGTTAAACTGAGGCAATATGCTGCATGAGGGGAGGAACTGATACACCTTTTAAATTCAAGGTCAGTGATTATTATTTCTACGATTTCAGTTTCTAGGGCCTGGAATTCGAGTTATTCTTAGCCTTTAAGGCCACTTTGTCTTCAAAAGTGTGGACGTCTTCTTAAACTCGACTGAATTGCGGAAGCCGACCTTTTCCAATATTGTCAAGAAGAACCATCTTACAAATTAAGACCGAATAAAGGAAGAGTCATCAACAATGTTGACAAGTGCCACCTTCTGTTTTAAAGACCAAATGATCTTAGAGGCTAAGATCAGGCTAAGGCAGGATTTCAGGCCTCTACTAGAAAAGTTACAATTCCTAGAAAAATCAATTCAGTTGCAAATGTTGTCTGATTGCAAACGGTACAGTTTAAACACCTACATTTATCTTTTCTTAGAATCTGAGCCGAGGAACAGTGTGTCTTGACCTGTGGACGGTGTACTTACGTCACTCCTCTGTTGCTGGTTAATTTTCGCCAGGACCACCTCTGGCGAGTCATCAATTGACGTAAATTTGATGGTGTCTGGAGGTTGGCGGTATTTTTTCTGTTACGGATTTGCAAACAAAGACTCTTATTTAGCGAAATTAACGAATGGCATTGCCCTCTGTACAGTAGAGCTAACATTTATATAGCACCCTTAATGCCGGTGGGGTCCCAAAGAGGTTAGACTACGTCATACGCCTACTTATACACTTTAATGGAATGGTTTGCCAAGGCTGGTTGCTAACACAGAGTTGGTTCGGGGGCCTTTCAAAAAGAATTGTGGATAATCTTTAAACACAGGAGTTAATATTTCATAATTAAATAAAGATCCTGTACTGCACAATGTGAACCAATGTTGTGCCAAGACCATCTACTTAATGCCACCCAACAGCAGGTTCAGTTTGGGATTATCCTGATCCATCTTAGTTCACGGCGTACTTTGTTTTCCCCAGTGTAAAAACCCTCAGTATAATCCCGGTATAGGCTACTAGCTCATCTTCCATTCACCTGGAATTTTACTTCTACAGTGAATTAGCAGGGCAGAATGACCCTTTGTAGCCCTTTGTTTTTGGTAAACCTGGTGTCTGACACATATTTTGTGGTAAACCCATCATCATGGCTTTAAAGAGTATCCAAACCAAACGGAGATTTCCACGCATCCGAACTACACATGGAAATTCCAGGGATAGATCTTTGGAATGGAATGCGCACTCTCTCTCTCTCTCTCTCTCTCTCTCCCTGGAGGGCGCATCCTGTTTACCTAATCCCGGAAAGTATTAGGCGCAGGTTGGCAAGAGCCAAGGGAAATTGCTATGTGTCGCAGAGCTCTTCATAAAGACTTGAAGCTAATAAAAAAAAGACTAAATGTAATGCATTGCCAGCCCATGCAGGATCTGTCCGGGTCACGTCTAATCTTCCAATTCTAGCTGGTGAGTCAGGCAAACTGGTCAACTATCCACAGAGTGTTGGATAACATCCAGGTACAGCTCCACAGAGTCTGTTCGATCCCTGGTTACCTTCTCCCCGAAGGAAATTTCCCCGTGTCTGGAATGGAATGCACACTCTCCCCCCACCTGCCCAAACCTGGAGAGAGGCAACCTGCTCACCTGATCCAGGAGGGTATAGGAAATGGAAAGAATCGTTGCTCCCAGTACTAAGTATCAATCAAATGCTTGAATTGCTGTCCTGTACCACTGTGACTTACTTCATTAAGGATCTCCATTCCTCTCTTGGCTTTTTCAACATCCACAGAGCCAAAAGGAATCCAGCCAGTCCCCTTTTGCCCTTGATTATATTCGGATTTATATTCAATCTGTCAACAAGTAGAAATGCATACATAGATATTAAAAAAATGCTATTCACCGTTTACTAAATTAAGTAATCAATAAATCAATTAATTAGAAGTATTTAATACAGGTATTAATTGTAAATACAATTAAATACAAAATACAATTTTGTAAATAAAATTGATAAAATTAAAAAAATTAACAGTTAATGGGGTAAGGGCTCGTGAAATTCAACACTGTAGCACTGCGGTACATATGCAAGCTATGGATCAGAACCTTCAATAAGGTTATTCTTTGCAAAAACATGAATTTACATTAGATTGTGAATATCTCGAGTGTTTACACCATTCATGGTCCGTGGGAGGGCGTTTAAGCAATCTATTGTTCTTTTGGTGGTGCAGCCACTTGCGACAGATAATAATGATAATATTAATTATAATAATAAAGATGAATCGAGCTGCCCATGGATTCATAGAATCTTACAGCACAGAAGGAGGCCATTCGGTCCACCGTGCCAGTGTCGGCTCTTTGAAAGAGCTACCATCTAGTCCTACTCCCCCCACTCTTACTCCATAGCCCTGCAAATGTTTAAATACCCATCGAACTCCCTTTCGAAAGCTGTTATCGAATCTGCTCCCACCACCCTTTAAGGCAGTGCATTCCAGACCATAACTCTCTCGGTAAAAAACAAACTCTCCTCGTCTACCCTCTGGCTCTTTTGCCAATTATCTTAAATCTCCAAAACAAGGGGGAATAGTCTTAAAAATACAACCAGGCCATTTAAGAGTGAAACCAGAAAGCATTTTTTTCCATCAAAGGGTGGTAGAAATCTGGAATTCTCTCCCCCAAAAGGCCGTGGACACTTCAAGAGTGAGGTTGATAGATTTTTGGAAGGTCAGGGTTTAAGGGATAAGGGGAGAAAGCGGGAAATTGAAAGGATTAGTTGTGGTACAGTCATTTAATTAAATGGCGGAATAGGCTCGAAGGGCTGAATGGCCTACTCCTGTTCCTATGTTTCCTCTGGTTACCAACCCATCCGCCAGGGGAAACACTTTCTCCTTATTTGCTCTGTCAAAACCCTTCATAATTTGGAACACCTCTATTAACAACGACAATAACAAGATGGAATCTCCCCTTAACCTTTTCGGCTCTTAAGGAGAATAATCCCAGCCTCTCTAGTCTAGGAAATGGTTAAACTCTGCACTCACGTCACTCTGTAGACCATAGGCCTTCTTTGCCAGTTCCAAAGACAAGCTGTCGGGAGGCAAAAAGTAACGATTTCTCTGCTGTTTGTAGCCCAGGTTGCTGGCAATGTCCTGAGACTTTTTGGCATGCGAGACCTGGATCATGTCGAGCGGGGAGTGATACTTGGTCTTTGTCTTCTCGTATTCCTTTTTGTACTCGCGCTGAAAACAGAAAATAGGAAATGCGTCTTGTTTTCGGGATTTGCTATTGACTCTGAATGAAACTTTCCCTCCAAGTGAAGTAGTGACCGTAATAATCCAATGAAATAATAATTCTTGCATTCAGTATACCGCCTTGCAGGTCAGGAGGACATCACGCAATCTTTGACGTCCACCCGAACAGGGCGCCGACGGGACCTCGGTTTAACATCTCACTCAAAGGACAGCACCTCTGACAATGCAACGCTTGCCCCAGCACTGTGTTGGAAGTGACATTCTTCACACCCAATACAGTGCAGGGGAACCCAGCCTCTATCTCACCACGACCCTCCTGCTGAGCGCAACACAGTGTTGTCCCGAGCACGTGACTCACCTCGCTCTGCATCTTAGCCACGTGCACAGAGTGTAAGATCTTGGGGTCGTCCTCTATGCTCCGAGCTCCGACGTGTTTCCCGCGGGATTTTTCGTAGTCTTTTTTGTACTTGACCTGAAAGGGAAGCACGGCTGTCGTTACTAAGAACAGGGAGGGCAATTTCAGCAACTCATTAGAGCAGCCCGCGGGCCGATTTCACCCCCTCCCTCCACTTCACCTGGCCCGCCGCTCCCTCTATAACCCATAAATGTTATGTTTCTCAAAAGTTTGGACCGCTCTGCATTGAGAGTGTTCACAAGACCGCAAGGTCAATTTGGGTTGAAGAAGGCCCTTCGGCCCATTTGATCTCAACCTTCCAGAACACCTGGCCTACCTTTAACAGGAGTTGCGAGCGACAAATCTTTGCCCCCAGTCCCTCTGCAAATCCTGATGACGAGCCAGGCTGACGATCCCTGCTCAGCTGTACCCTGGAGTTCCACAGACCACTCGTCTTATAAGCAGGAATGACAAGACCACCACAGAGGACTGACTCGATCTGATATTCCCTTTGCCAAATGCGTCACCTTGGAGGCAGTTCAGCTCCAAGAAGACTCCGCAACCGCCTCTTCCCCACCTCCCCCCAACCCACCCATCCCCCCAACGAGGTTAGTAAACATCTTGTTTACTCCGCGTCTCAGTCAAGAAATACTCACATTGCTTGAGATAATACTCTGTGCTTTGGCTGCAATCAGAGGGACAGCATCCAGTCTGATATCACAGTGCTTGGCTTTGGCTTTCTCCCAGCTGTCCTTGTAACAATTCTAGTAACCGAGAGGAGGAATGTAGTGAGAACCAAAACACTGCGGCGCATAAATGCATTTGGATTTATTCTTTACAATAATCAACTCGTCTCCAAACCCCTTCACCCCCTGGCACCTCCTTACCTTTCTGTCCTGCTTTTTCCCCACTTGACTACCTGCCGTCTCCGATTGGCTGGCTCCCACCTCCTGCTTGTCCTCACCCACCTCCGCTTCACAATCGGCGGCAGTGCTATCAGCCACTACACCCCGAAGCTTTGGAACTCTCCCCCCCACTCCCCAATCCCTCCACCTTTCCCCCTCCTTCCTCCATTCAGATCGCAACTGAAAACCTTCCTCTTCGACCATGCTTAAGGTCACCTCCTTGTTCCCCCCAGCTCAGTATCAGGCTCTGCCACTGTTAAGCGCTCCGAGACACTGGCCCTTGTGAAGGGCGCTATATAAATGCAAGTTGTTGTCGTTTTGCTCACCCCATTCTTCTCCCTTCCTACACTCCTGAAGACATTGCTTCCTGCTGGGAGGGGTGGGACGGGGTAACACTTAAATAATAAGAATAATCCTTTCGATCGATATAGCGCCTTATCATGTCATGATTGAGACGTCTCAAAACACTTCACAGAATAAAACTGTAAAGTGAATTGACTGTATATTTTGCGGGCGAAACGCGGCAGCCAATTGCGCACAGCAGCGTCCCACAAACAGCCGTGGATTGAGTGACCAAATTACTATATGCCCTCTAACACCGGCGGATATTACCTTCCCTGGCCCAGGAGCACAAGGGTTAATTATACCTCCCTAACATCAAGCTAAATGCTATCAAGCAGCCTCAAGGTAACTGTGTTGGGAGATAACAAAAGGTGACTGTGTGGTGTATTGGCTCCGGTCTACTTTAACTGTGCCACAGGGTAGAGGAATTCAGTTCTGTAACTCAGATATCCTCAACAGTCAGTGTCTGTTCTCAAATGGGTCACTGTGGGGTTGAACTTTCCTGCACCTGCCCTGAGTGTGAGGAGGTAACTAATCACAGTGGATTCTTAATAACAGTAATCCTTGCAATTGATATAGCGCCTTACTACATCGTCGAGACGTCTCAGAGTGCTTCACACAATACACTGTGAAGAGAGTTGACTTGTATATTTTGCAGGCGAAACACGGCGGCCAATTGTGCACAGCAGCGTCCCACAGACACTTGTGGATTGAGTTATTATTTTTTTTAAAAAAAAGAATTTATTACCCCAGGAAAAGCGATCCTCCAATCGACTGACAACTGGGCTCCTATTGACTGCTAGGTAAGCAGAGGCATGTGGAGTAAGGAAACTTGCCTAAGGTTTCGCCCTCCACGGGAAATTCCTCTCGCCTGCGAGGCGAGTGCTCTAACCACTAATCTACAGGACTCCAGAATTATGGGCCTCACCGCTGGAAATAGAACTGACTCCCTCCACCCCTTGTGCCTCACCCTCTCGCTATCCATCTTCAAGTTCTGCCTTGAAACCCACCTCTTCGATGTCCCTATGGTCACTTCCCCATTCCCACCTTCCCACCTTCACCCTTGCTCAGTACTCTAAAGCCCTCTGAGACTTTATTCTACGGGAAAAGGGGAAGCGAGGGAGGGAGGGAGGGAGGGAGGGACCTGAGGAAGAGCCCAAGCACTTACGTTGCTCAGGTTGTAGGCATTCACACGTGACTGGATGAAGAAAGGATCGTCGGGGGGGACATTGCATTTGAATTTTCCCTTCTCGTAAGCTGCTTTGTAGTTCAGCTGGAAGAAAGGAGGGCGTTAGAAGCAAGAGATGGTGGAGCTCAAGTGGTTTCAAACAAGAGATACATACTTGTATATGCATTGCTGCAATTTATTGATACTAATAATATCCTCGCATTTGAAATCTGCCTTATCACGTCATTGAGATGTCTTAGCACTTCACGGGATACACTGTAAAGTGGATTGACTGTATTTTGTGGGCGAAACATGGCAGCTAATTGCAATGTCCCACAAACAGTTGAGGATTGAATGACCTAATTATTCTTTAAAAAATTTTTAAAAAGGGCTTATTGCCCACGGAAAATGATCCGCCAATCAACTAACCAACCGGCTTCCGACTTACTGCTGGGTAAACAGAGGTATGTGAAGTAAGGAAACCTTGCCTAAGGTTTCACTCTGCCTGGGAATCGAACCCAGATCCTCTCGCTTGTCAACCAATATGATGCAAGACTTCAAATAATCAACATAAGTGTGAGCTACATCAGAAAACCTTTGCGTTCAAACAAGGCCATCGGGTTGAACTGACTCCATATACGAGTGCCAATATTGTGACTGACCTAAACGGCCTGAATTACTGGACATTCATGGGTTTCTCTAGACTGTGGCTCATCATTTAATCGATTTGCAGGTCAGCATTGCCAGGAACTGGTGCTTTCGAACACTGTGAGTTTCACTCGCACAGCTCTGTTTGACCTTAAATAGCCACAAGCTGAATATTCGCTCTCTATCTGTTTGGCTTGGGGTTCAGGTTCGAGGAAATCCTGAGCGGGGGTGGGGGGGAGCAGAGGGAGAGATAGCACAGAGTGGGCATCGAGGGGGGAGCGTAGGGGAGTAAATACAGAACAAATCTGCGGAAACATTATTGAGCGAGCGAGTACTAAACGTGTTTAATAGACTCCCCTAGGGAGACGGTGGAAGCAAAAAGTGTGGATTCTTTCAAGAACAAATTTGATAGATTTCTCTTAGGATATAATATCTCGGGATAAAGTACAGAGTTTAGGACACAACATGTCAAGCAACTGCCAGGATGGTGGAAAGCAAACTAGCTGGATCTTGGGCTTCATGGGAAGCGAGCGGAATGAGTGACAGCAAAACGTGATTGCCGTTTTAGTTGTAAAACTATGATCAAAATATGGCCAATCACGATCCCCAGTAGAATGTAACGTCGAGGTTTCCCAGAGAAGGTCGATCACGAGTAGGTCACTAACTGCATCTCTAGATACCCTGGAAGGTTCACGGGCACTTACATCACTCAGCTGCTTAGCATTGATCTGGGCTTGCACCATTACTGGAGTGTCAGTGACTTGGGTGAACTTGATCGTGTCAGGATGGGACCTGTAGACATGCTGGAATTGGAAAGGAAATTGTTAAATGAATGCGCTTCTCCAAGGATTCACACACACTATTTTGTTCCAACATTCTTCTTAATTTTGCTGTGTTTTTTTTTGGGGTGGTAGGGGGGGTATCTTAAGATACTTGGATACTCTTAGGTATGGTGATGTCAGACTTATGTGGAAACCCATCACCACGCTTAAGAGTATCCAAATCAAACTGAGTATTCCATGCATCCCACCTGCCCATGGAAATTTGTGTGTTCGGAATTGATTGCGCACTCTCTCGGCAAAGCGTTGCATCCTGCTTACCTCATCCCAGAAAGTATTAGGCACAGGTTGGCAAGAGCCAAGGCTTGGGGACCTCAAAGTGTCTGTTGGGGTAACTGCTAGAGTCTAAGCAGTTAAAACCACTGTGTAGCTGGCTACTGTGAGCATTGCCTGGCAAGCATGCTTCTCGCTGCTGTTCCAGATAGGACCACCCTACCCATTAGGGCCTTGGTTTGTAGAGTTAACAGGAGCGGAGTGGGAAGAGTCCCTGGCCCCAGTGATTGATGTGTCCCTACAGGCTGGTCAATGTGTCATCCCTGAAGTATTGCAGACCAAACTATCAGAAACTCTGCATGAGACCTGTCATTGAAACATTAAGTCAGATGCTATTTATCTTTCCTACTCTAGGTGGTGCCATGCTTCCCCTCATAGTATTATCAATAAATATATTTACCATTCACAGGGGGATTAATTTCATCCGAGTCTAGAATTATTCTCTTTCATGTAGCGGTTCAGGGGGTCCAGAATTTGGCAAATTCTGAATAACAGGCTTTTTTTAAATTTATTTTCAAGCCAGCTTTCCGTAAGGTCTTTTAAGAAACCAAACTTCGAAGTTCAAAGTGAATTCATCAACTTGCCAAGATTTGAAACCCTGCAAACGTGACCCCTGTGGTCCTGGGCATCTGATATCTTAAAATCCAAGAGAAAAACTTGAGATTACAGGCTAAGACTGGTGGAATTTCAGACTTCCCACCTTCACGTGGAAATCCCAGAGATTCCCTTTGTTGGAGTGGATTGCGCACTCTCTCTCCCTGGAGAGACGCATCCTGCTTACCTAATTCCGGAAAGTATTAAGCCCAGGTCGGCGAGAACCAAGCCTTGGGGACCCCCGAGTGTGTGTTGGAGTAACCGCTGGAGAATTCATGAGCTGAGCAGAACAACGGAGGCATTAGATGCTGTAGGACATTTTTGGCTACTCACGTCTTTGCATTGGTAAGAGTGCTTCATCGCTTCGTACTCTGGAGTAACAGTTTGAGGGAAGTAGCAGCATGTTTTGTCCAGTTCGTAATCTGCTTTGTAATTTTTCTGAAACAACAAAGAGAGAGAGAGAGTGTGTGTGCTGTTTCTGCTTCAGTTATCTTCTTCAAAAGAGAACTGGATAGGGATCCAAGCTTACAAGCAGCACAACGACAGCAAACAACAACTTGCGTTGCACGAGTTGCATCTTCACAGGTCTCAGAGCGCCTCAAATGGCAGGGTTGAATGCCGAGCGAGAGAGAAGGGAGGTGTGGAGGTGACCATAGGTGCAGTGAAAGAGGTAGGTTTTAAGGGGGGGATAAAAAGACTGATAGAAAGGGAGCGAGGCAGAAGGTAGAGACAGGGAGTTCCAGAGGATAGGGGTGTAGTGAGTGGAAGCTTGGATATTGATGGTGCCGTGGAGTAGGAGGGAGGGAAGGGTTGTGGAGTTGGAGCAGGCGACTGGTAGCTGAACCAGTGGGGGGGCGAGGAGTGAGATGTGAACAGGTCAGAGAGATAGGGAAGTTCTAGGACGTGGAGGGATTTACACTATCGGAGTATATAGCGATTAGGTGTGGCCTGAAGCTAACAAACACTGTGTTTATTAGGTTATAATCACGAGGTTAAAAAAATTATTCGTAAGCAGTTTTCTCCTGAATTCATTAAAAAAAATCTTGATTTCCAAATTAAGACTGAATTCAAGAATGTTCTGTGATCTTGAAATGTAAGACACAGTGGTCTGACCGGCTAAGACTAGGGTGAATTCCAACAACAACAAATTACATTTGTATGGTGACTTTCACGTCGGGAGGACATCCCAAGTCGCTGGACAATCAGGTATTTGGACTCGAGATGGGGGGGGAGTTAGGATCAGGAGGGGTGGAGGGCAGGGAAGGTAGGGGTAGGAGGTAGGAGGGCAATCGAAGGAGCAGTGGAAGAGGAGGGTCTTGAGACGTGCCTTGAAGGAGGCAAGGGAGGGAGCGAGGTGGAGGGACTGTGGGATGGAGTTCCAAAGGGTGGGGATGTGGAGCAGGCTGTTGGAGTGAGTTGATGCACCATTGACCGAGTCGCGATGGTTTCTGAAATAGGATTTTTTCGGCGCCCACTTACATTACTTTTCATCTGTTCAACCTTCATGCAATGAAGCATGTATGGATCCTCATAGCTTCCAATGTAGTGCCCCCTTATTTTATCCATGTAGTTCTGTTTGTAATTTTTCTGAAACGGGGAAAGGCCGAATGTTAACGTCAATGCTTCGAGCAGCGCTGTGGACCGACAAACCCCGCGACCATTCAATAAACAATCAATAAACACCAATAATAATCACTTACATCAGTGAAATTGCTCAATACTTTGTCAAGTTGGAACTTGGGAGTGTCGCAGTAGTTGATGCTCTTGCCCCGAGCTTTCTCATAGTCACTCTTGTAAAGTTTCTGTAGAAAGAAAAAGAAACCACTGTGAGACTCTCAGAATGCAATCATAGAATAGTACAGCGCAGAAGGAGGCCATTCGGCCTATTGTGCCTGTGCCGGTTCTTTGAAAGAGCTACCAACTAGACCCACTTAACTCACTCCCCCGCTCTTATCCTGGAGCCCTGCAAATTTTTTCTTTTCAAATACCTATCCAATCCCCTTTTGAAAACTACAATCGAATCTGCTTCCACCACCCTTTCAGACACACCTGGTCAAAGACTATTTGTGTGTCGGATTATTAAAAGATCTTTTAAAAACTGTGCAAACGTATTGTTGCGAATACTGACCGGGGTGGGAGGGTGGGAATGGGGAGAGGAGAAGCTTCACATTTTTTCCAAGGTTTCAATGAATTTTATTTCAACAAAATATAGAGAGAGGGGTCTCTCTCCAACATCCCCCAGTTCTGCCGAAAGGTCATTGACCTGAAACGTTAACTAATTTTCCTCTCTGCAGAGATGCTGCCTGACCTGCTCCGGGTTCCCAACGACCTCTCTGTTTATAATAGAGAGGGGGATGTGGAGGGTGGACGCTACTTACATCGCTCAATGCTTGTCCAGCCGATTTCAACCGTTGAAGAAGAGGATTTTCCGTAGCGGGAAGGGTGTTGTAGTCGGTCTTGTCTTTGTTCTTCTCATAGTCCGCCCTGTACTTTACCTAAACAACCCAAAATGTATATAATCAGCGGAGCTTTAAGGCTTCTGTGGAGTCCTATAGCAGAGTGAGAGAACCCGGGTTTGACTCCCGGCTGAGGCGAAACCTTATGCAAGTTTCCTTACTTCACGCGCCTCTGTTTATCCGGCAGTAGCTCAGAACACAGTTCTTAATTGATTGGGGGATCACTTTCCGGTGGTAACAATCTCTCTCAAAAAAACATTGGTCACTCAATTCCACAGCTGTTTGTGAGACGCTGCTGTGCGCAATTGGCTGCTGTGTTACTCCCATAAAATATACAATCAATTCATTTTGAGGTATATTCTATGAAGGGCTCTGAAACATTTCAGCAATATGATAATGCGCTATATCAAATGCAAGGATTACTATTATTATTATTTTATCACGGCTCAAGTGAAATAATTCATTTCAAAAACAGCCAAGAAAGAGAGAGGGACTCGAACACTTCGGGTCTCACTTACCGAGCTGGCTGCATTTCTGGCATTCTTATTGGCCCTATATTCAGGAGTATCCGTTTGCATGAAATAAAGTTGGTCTTTCATGTCCTCATAAGCCGCCTGATATTTTTTCTAAGATGATGGAGAAAAAAGAAAATGCGTTTTTTTATTTTTGGGGCCGACAGCAGTTTAAGATTGTTTCTCTTTATCTCTTTTGGTCAGGACTGGCGTCTGACACACGCGGAAACCCATCCCCCTGCACGAGCAGCCAAACCAGACTGAGAGATCCACACGTGTAAACCATCTTCACTGATGGCATGATCCTTCCCTTCTGAATCTATGTGGTCTACTCCTTGCATTGTCCACAGAGAAGTACCAATAGCATCTCGTACAGCCCTTTCACGCATCTTTTCGTCCTCAAATCCTTTCATACCCTGGCACCTGCCTACCCCTCCAACCTGCTTACTCCCCAACCATCTGCTGCCTCCGCTCGACTGGCTCCGGCCTCATGCATGCCCCTCGTGCCCTCCGTTCCATCATCGGTGGTCATGCTTTCAGCCACTACGCCCCGAAACTCTGGAATACTCTTCCTCTACCCCTCCGCCTTGCCCCTTCCTTCCCCATCTTCAGGTCATGTCTGAAGCCCTTCCCCTTTGAACGTGTCTACCGTCGCCACCCCCCCCTCCCCCTGACTCAGCATCGTGCTCTGCAACTGTCAAGCGCTCTGAGACCCCGCCCTGCATGAACGGCACTATATAAATGCAAGTTGTTGTTGTTTGCTTACTGATATATCAGGGTTAACACCAGTCCATTAGGTTTAACATGAACTGTTTGTTAGCCGTAAGGAATTTGTTATCACGCACTGACAATGGGAAATCCGAACTTGTAACAAAATCGTTAACACGGCTGCCGAACAGAGTATAAACCATACCCCGGCACTTCCAGACTCATGTCTCACTCACTTGAATGAATTTGATGCCCTTAAACCCTGAGGAACAGAAGATGAAGAAACCTAGTGTTTCTCTATTTCCATTTATAGGATCAAGAGGAGGTTATTCGGTCTGTTAGACCTGGCCTGCCAATTTATTGTAGAACTTTTAATCCAATTTCCCTACTTTATTATATATTCTCTGTGTGCCTTATTGACCCCTAATTCCCAATTTCAGTTTGGCTACAAACTACACTTTACAGTGTATACTGTGAAGCACTCTGAGATGTTGAACGTGAAATGCATTTCATGAAGGTTTCACCTTTGTGAATTTTTCCCCCACCCCACCAAAGCGTTTACATAAATGCAAATGCACCTCCAACTGCCTTCAGTACCTAGTCACTACACTTAACAGCAATCAACTGTGACAGGGCTGCCATTTCAAAGATTGTTATCATTATTGAGTTAAAGCTCGTCGACCTGAAACGTTAATTTACTTTCTTCTCTCCATAGATGCTGCCTGACCTGCTGAGGGTTCTCCCTGCGATTTCTGTTTTTATTTGTTATTATTATTATTAATAAACATACTTACTGCGCTCAAATTGTCAGAATTCATTTTGGCGACAGCCACATCATAGCAAGGAGTTTGACTCCATTTACCGTTACTTTTCTTGTGGTCTTCATGGTATTTAAGCTGAAAGAAAATACAGTAGGTTAGGCTGTTGTGTTAGCTTCTGTGTGGTGGATGATACTTGGACCAGTTTTTATCCCACAAAACACTTTTTCAACGTGAACATTAAAAGCACAAAAGGGGAATCCGGTTAACTGCTTGGGTGATAAAGTAAAATTTGGCTGGTGTCCAAATGCATCTCAGGAATTCTTTATCGCAATAAATAATTTACGGTACGAGTGTCAGGAATTGTTTCTCTGACCGTCAGCTCCATTAAACATGACTGGATTTGCGCCCCTCTCATTTTGTTTCTGTAAATAATTAAGGCTCGTATTCCATTCGGTTACAGATTCTCTGTGCGTCTCCATTGGATGCGGAGCAGAAAAGTTCCAAACTCTCGAGGTTCCTCTTGCGATTCAGACCCGACGCTAATGAGAGATAGTGCATTATCCATGAGAGTAATTCATGGCAAATTGAATCCGATAAGGCCCATCTCTTGATACCCTTGCCTGATATTAATATTGATAACTAATATTAATGATTTCCTCGGGATAAAACTGCAGAACGTTCTATGAACCATAGAAGATACTGAAAACTTACCAAAAATAGAGGGTAACCAAGAAGCTAATGTTAGTGAGCAATTTAGGGAAATTAACATCAGCAAATAGTTAGTACTGGGATACTGTTGGGATTGAAAAATGACAAATCCGCTGGACCTGATGGCCTGCATCCTAGGGTTTTAATGAGGTGGCTGCTGAGATAGTGGAGACCTTGTGTTTGATCTTCCAAAATTCTCTGGATTCTGGAACGGTTCCCATTGATTGGAAGATCGCAAACGTAACACCACTATTTAAGAAGCGTGGGAGAGAGAAGATGGGGAACTGTAGACCAGTCAGTCTGACATCGATGGTACGGAAAATTCAAGAATCCTTAATTAGGGACATCGTAGTGGGGTACTTAGAAGACCACAACATAATTAGGCAGAGTCAACATGGCTTTATCAAAGGGGAGCCACGCTTAACAAATCTTTTACAGTTTTTTGAGGATGTAACTAGCAGGTTAGATAGGGGGAAACCAGTAAGTGTAGCTTATTTAGATTTTCAGAAGGCATTCGACAAGGTGCCACATAAAAGGCTGCTACACAAGATTAGGGCCTGTGGAATTAAAGGCAATATATTAGCATGGATCGAAGAGTGGCTAACGGGAAGAAAACAGAGAGTACGGATAAACGGGTCCTTCTCAGATTGGCAGGATGTGACTAGTGGAGTGCCACAAGGATCAGTGCTTGGGCCTCAACTATTTACATTCTATATCAATGATCTAGACGATGACATAAAACTTAAAATATCTAAATTCGCGGATGATACTAAGCTAGGTGGGAGAGTAAGCTCTGAAGATGACACAAAAAGATTGCAAAGGGATATAGATAGGCTAGTTGAGTAGGCAAGAAGGTGGCAGATGGAATATAATGTGGGGAAGTGTGAAGTTATTCATCCAGGTAGTAAAAACAGAAAATCAGATTATTTTCGAGAGGGGCAGAGACTAGATAGTGGTAGTGTTCAGAGGGATTTGGGTGTTCTTGTATGCCAGTCACAAAAAGTTAGTTTGCAGGTACAGCAACCAACTAGGAAGGCTAATGCCATGTTGGGTTTATTGCAAAAGGTTAGAATACAAGAGTTGGGAAGTCTTGCTGCAACTGTATAAGGCCTTGGTGAGACCGCACCTAGAATATTGTGTGCAGTTTTGGTCTCCTTATTTAAGAAAGGACGTACTCGCCTTAGAGGGGGTGCAGCGTAGATTCACTAGGTTATTTCCTGGGATGAGAGGTTTGACCTATGAGGATAGGTTGAGTAAACTAGGCCTATATTCTCTAGAATATAGAAGAATTAGGGGTCATCTTATAGAAACCTATAAGATTCTCATGGGGATTGACAGAGTAGTCAGTGTGAGACTGTTTCCCCTAGAAGGAGAATCTAGAACTAGGGGTCACAGTCTTAAGACTAAGGGTCAGCCTTCTCGAACAGAGTTGAGGAAACACTTCTTCACTCAGATGGTAGTGAATTTATGGAATTCTCTAGCCCAGAAGACTGTGAATGCTCGGTCCTTGAACATATTCAAGACTGAGATTGATAAATTCCTAAAGAATAGAGGGATTAAGGGATATACGGATAAGGCGGGCAGATGGAGTTAGGTTAGAAGATTAACCATGATCTTATTGAATGGCGGGGCAGGCTTGAGGGGCCGAATGGCCTACTCTTGCTCCTAATTCCTATGTTCCTATGTTCCTATATGCTTGTACATGATGCGGGTGTCTAATATGAACATTCATTCGAGTGCTCGGTCAAGGATACTTACGTCACTGAGCTGATTGAAAACCTTTTTGGCAAGCTCCACATCTGGTGGGTTTGCCAGCGACGTGTATTTGGCCTTTCGCTCATTGTGTCCTTTCTTGTACTGGATCTGGTAAGGAAGAAACAAGAGGGGAGGGTGGCGGGGTGGGAGGGTGAAACAGGTGTCTGAATCACGTGGAAACCCATGACGGTGCTAAAGAGAATCCAAACCAGACTCAGAGTTCCAACGCAAGATTGCCATCCAAGTATGGAAATTTCCCTGTGTCTGGAATGGAACAAGCTCTCCAGATACAGTAACATTAGCTACACTGTGAATAATACCTTCTGCTGTTAATAAGTTATAAAGTTCCCTCTGAGATGACTCCTTGCAAGACTGATGAGCCCCAGCTTCTCTAATTGTTCCTCTCAGATCATTCCACAAACACATGGACATCAACTTTGTTTTTCTTCTCCTCATCATCCCTTTGAAACCTGAGCAGCCCCATTATATTGTGGTGACTAGAAGCATATGAGTACTTTAGGTTCGGCTTGACCAGAGCTCTGTACAGCTGCGCTCACTCTCCTAATCATTGCAACACAGCTGAGTTAAATGCAATTGCTAATCTCATGTTTTAATTGGTCTTTTTTTTAAACTGCTAACACCCAACTTCCAACTCGTCTGAATATCGAGGGCATTGAAAAATTCTGCTCTTTTGTCGCAGGTAAACCAGCCTGGGAAGTAAAGGGCCAAGGCTTTGCCTTCTGGTTTAATCTTCTTTGGGCCCGAATGACATATTACTTCTATTACTGAACCACGCAAACCAATCAAAGCAAATTTTGAGTTCTGACAAAAGTTAACTGAAACGTTAACTCATTTTCCTCTCTCCATAGATGCTGCCTGACCTGCTACGTGTTCCCAGCGACTTCTGTTTTCACTTAAGTAAATTTTTGTTTTATTTTTCAGCTTTTTGATTACCCGACGCGCTCTTACCAACAACACCACCAATAAAAAAGCAAACAAACCACCTCATTGTACTTCACTTTGTGCACTAAAGATACTCACATCGCTGAGGACTTTCTGAGCATTCGCAACTCTTCTGAGCTCTGGACTGTCAGAGTAAGGAAAGTAGAAGACTTTGTCCTGTTCCCAGTCTTCCTTGTACAATTTCTTCGAGGGGAAAAAAAAGGAAAGGAAAGACTTTCAAGCAAAGTTTCCATTTCGAATCTCAAGAGCGAAATAGACATGTACGTGAAAGATTAAGACTTGAAGGGGCAGGGCAGTGGGAATGAATAATAATAAACTTTTCATTTCATATAGTGCCTTATCAAGTCGTTGAAATCTCAAAGCGCTTCACAGAATATATCGTAAAGTTAATTAATTGACTGTATATTTTGTGGGCGGTAGCCAATTGAGCACATCAGTGTCCCACAAATAGTCATGGATTGAGTGCCCCATTTTTTTTTTGGAGTGATTATTACCGGCGGAAAGCAATCCACCGATCGACTAACGATCAATTAACTACTTACTGCTGGGTAAACAGGGGAGTGTGGAGTAAGGAAACTTGCCTAAGGTTTCGACCTGCCTGGGAATCGAATCCAGGTCTTCTCGCTTGCGAGGCGAGTGCTCTCACAAATACATTACAAGAATCCATGTGATGGTTTACGATAGACTTGAGATGTCACTAAGAGGCTTTGCTTACCGGGCTGAACATTGCGGCAAACTTCACAGCTTGCACAAGCTCAGGGGCGTCCGGGGGCAGCTGGTACACGTCTTTGGATTCCTCCCACTTCTGTTTGTACAACACCTGGAATAGACAGAGCAGGTCATCCGGGTGTCTGACGCACGTGGAAACCCATCGCCATTGCTTCACAGTATCCAAACCAAACTGAGAATTCCATGAGTCTCTCTCTCTCTCCCCTGGAGGGAGGCATCCTACTTACCTAATTCCGGAAAGTATTAGGCGCAGGTTAGCAAGAGTGTGTTGGGGATGACTCCTGGAATCTAACTAGCTAAAACCATGGCTTTGCAAGATTGGAAACCCTGAGCTGAGTAAGCAGAAGGTTAACCCTCTGAAGATATCTGCAGCAAGACCTGTATGTCAGTATGATTGATGTTTTTTTTAAGAGCAGCTGTGAAATTTGACTACTATTAAATCAGCCAAAGTGCTCTTCAATCCGGCATCATGTTGCGTTGAATTGAATTGCTACAGTAATAATAATTCTCGCATTTGATATAGTGCCTAATCAAATCATTGAGACGTCTGAAAGAGCTTCAGAGAATATACTGTAAAGTGAATTGATTGAAAATTTTGTAGGTGAAACGCAGCAGCCAATTGCACACAGCAGTGTCCCACAAAACAGTCGTGGATTGACCCAAATTTTTTTTTAAACGATTATCTCCGCCAGAAAAGTGTTCCACTAATCAATTAATCAACCGGGTTCCCACTTACTGAAACTCTTGTTCATAACTTCATCACCTCAAGGCTCGACTATGCAAACGTCCTGCTTGTCGCCTTTCCCAACTCCTCCCTCCACAGGCTGCAGATAATCCAGAACTCTGCAGCCCGTGTCCTCTCCCGCACCAAACTCCGTGGTCCCATCTCCCCTATTCTCGCCCGACTCCATTGGCTCTCTATCCTTCAGAGGATCCAGTTCAAAATCCTGGACCTCACCTACAAAGCCCTCCATGGCCTCGCCCCACCCTATCTCTGTGACGTCCTAACCCCCTACTAACCCACCCGCTCCCTGCGCTCAGTCAGCTCCGGCCTGCTCCACATCCCCCGACCCACCCGCCCCACCATTTTTGGGAAAGCCTTCAGCCACTCTGCCCTCAACCTCTGGAACTCCATCCCCCAATCACTTTGCCTCGCCCCCTCCTTCGCCTCCTTCAAGTCGCGCCTCAGAACCCTCCCCTTCGACCATGCCATCGGTCACCCCCCTTCCCCTCCCCTCCCTTCTCCCTCCTGACCCCAGCTCGGGTCTGAAATGTGGTACACTGTCCAGCGCCTTGGGACATCCTCCCGACGTGAAAGGTACTATACAAATATAATTTTTTGTTGTTGTTACTGCTAGGTAAACAGAGGCGTGTGGAAACTCGGTAAACAGAGGCAAGGAAACTTGCCTAAGGTTTCGCCCCGCCCGGGAATCGAACCCAGGTCCTCTTGCTTGCGCTAACCATTAGACACCGTAAGAGGGAATGTCAATTAATGGTGTGTAAATCGCAGACTACGTTGTGATCTCCCCTCTCTGTAGGGCTGTTTATTTCAACGTGTTGCTGTGGAGGAAACTGGTAGCTATACCAGTAACATAGAAACAGATGTAAGATAATAATCCCATCAAAAACCTGTTCCACTATTTTATCAGAGGGTGATATTCTTCGTCTTGTACCCTTCCATACGGTACTTGATCATTGAAACACAGCCTTTTCTCTATCAGTACCTTGCTTTCCAAGTGACTACCTTTTTGTTTCCATTTTTCCATAGTCTCACATCGTTGTTTTGTAACATGGGCAGGAGTGGGGGGGGTGGTTGGGGGGGGCGTGGGGTAAGAGGACATTGTGGACACCCTGTACAATACTCACCTTGCACCCCCCCACATGGCATGAGTCCATCCCACGTAACATTACCTGACACTACTGCAGATATAGTGCTAAAGGGATGGAAATTGGGGTGAACTTAAGAACTGTGCGACCTTCATTAGTCGCCTTCATTATGGGACTGAAGGGATTGCTCTTTGAAGAGCCAGCCCAACCAGACACGATGTGGCAAGTGGGGCGTCTTCTTCTCAGCAGTTGTGTCGGACTCACCTTGCTGACTAATTGGGAGACATGTTTGGCGTGGGCAACTTCCCGAGATAGTCCATCGAGGTGGCTGATATTCTTCGTCTTGTCTGCTTCCATACGATACTTGACCTGGATTATTGAAACACAAACCAGGGGTGGACAATATTGCCAGTGTCCGCTTACGTACATTTCAGTCCTATTGCAGGTGAGAGCCTGCCCTCAAGCCACCTGCGCTACAGGGTGGACACAACACGTCTGCCCAGGATCCTATTGCACCCGCTGTTTGTCCAACGATCCCAATCAATCGAAGTCTCATTTATAAGTGCACATCAGCGAAGCCCGGTATACTTATTAACCAGAGAAGGATAAGCATCCTCTTTTTATTCCTCCCCTTCACCACCCCCCCCCCCCCCCCACTCTGCATAGCGCAAGTTTAATTGTAAGGTTATAATTCAAATTATACCCTTTGGAATTCCATCCCACAGTCCCTTGGCCTCGCCCCCTCCCTTGCCTCCTTCAACATCTTCCTCTTCGACTGTGCCTTCTGTCACCCTCCTACCCCCACCCTCCCTGCCCTCCACCCTTTCTGATTCCAACGCCCAGCTCAGGTGACATCCTAGACCGTCCAGGACTTTGGGACGTCCTCCCGCCGTGAAGGACGCTGTGTGAATGTGATTCGTTGTTGTTGTTCTTGTAAGATGATGGTCCTGAGATGCTGATCGCGTTGTCAGCCAATGAGCAATCTGGAGCATTAACATTAAGCATTAACATTGTGTCTGGTAAAACCCCAGTCGTTTTCACATCGTTGCAGTCAGTGTGAACGACATTGCCCACCCGTAACTTTGACAAGCAGCCTTACTCACATCACTGAGCTGCCTCTGCACCTTGCGAATCCTCCTGAGTTCTGGCGTGTCCGAGGTGTGAGCGTAAGACTTTCCTCTTTCCTTTTCGTACATTTCTTTGTATTTGTTCTACGGATAAATGCACAAAGAATGAAATAACAGTTACTGACTGAGCCGGGCGAATTTCTTTATTCCCCCCCCCACCAAAAAAAAAATCCTGGGAATTGTTACCCTCGGTAAATTGTATGACATTTTACAGGCCCTGCTTGTGAGCTAATAATAATAATAAAAAGAATAATTTTTGCATTTGATATAGCTCCTTATTATTGTTGTGGCGATCAAAGCGCTTCGCAGAATATTTTGTGGTCGAAACGCAGCAGCCAATCGAGCACAGCAGCGTCCCACAGACAGTTGTGGATTGATTGAAGTGACCAAATTATTATTATTGTTATTTTCTATCACCAAATGGTCAAGGCGGAGAGCGGAATGTGAAAAGAACATAAAGCAAACGGACACGCAAACAGCCGTGAGACGTGAAGCAGACTGGATTCACCCCATACCTGGCTAAAAAGATTCTGCATCTTCTGACTGTGCGCAAGGTACGGTGTCATGAACTTTGAGGTGTCAACCTTCCGTTTCTTTTTTACCTGTCGGACAGGTAACCCAGTTTCGGATAGCACCTGCTGGGTCTTGAAGCACCCAAGGAAAAGACGGCATTAATTTTCATCCAGCACTTTACGCAGAGCACCAAAAACACTGCACAATCTCAGTTTTTATAGGGTCTCACCTGGGTGGTGGTCGTGGACGGATCCGAAACCTGTCAAGAAAGAAAAACAGCCTTCAGATAAGCTCAATTCAAGTCGCTTTACCTGCAGCAAGCTTGACATGAAGAGCGATGATAATTTCATGGAGCTTCGCGTGAAATGGGTCGGTTGAAGAAAAAAAAGCTGCTATTTGAGAGGTATTTTTCAATCTTATATACTTTGGAGACTAAGGTTGCATGAACATGATAAGAAGCAGGAGAAACATGCTCCAGGCTGTATGCAGCTCCTTCTCGACAGCTTAGTATGTAGCACAAATCGCTGTGATGTTTCGTTAGTCAGGGACACTTTTTTTTTGTTTTAAACATCATTGATATTCTCACCCGTTTAATGACAGTTCGTGGTTCCGAAACCTTGTTGGGAAGAAAAATAATCAAACCACTAAATAAAACGTGAGGGTTAATCTGAACAATTTTTGAAAACAGTCTCTCTGTCAGGCCAAATCTCTGGATTTTTATTTAATGGGATCAACATCTTCTCTATTTGTTGCAGTAAAGTACTCTAATATACGCAAATCCCATTAAATAAAATGGAAATGCAAACGTCAAGCGACCAAAAGAAAATCTAGCCTCAGCCTGACAAGATTATCTTGTCTTGAAACCTAAGACTGGGCAGAATTGTGCAAAAATTCTTGGGTTAGCTTTAATTTGGAAGCCAATTTTTAGAACTTCTTAAAAAGTATGGGTTTCCAAATTAAGGCTAAATTTTAGTAATAATAATAACAATGATAATGATCCTTGCATTTGATATAGCGCCTTATCACGTCATCGAGGCGTCTCAAAGCGCTTTGTAATAATAATAATAATAATCCTTGCATTTGATATAGCGCTTTTCACGTCGGGAGGACGTCCCAAAGCGCTTCACAGAATATACGGTAAAGTGAATTGACTGTATATTTTGTGGGTGAAACGCAGCAGCCAATTGGGCACAGCAGCGTCCCCACAAACAGTTGTGGGTTGAGCGACCAAATTCTTTGACAATGTTTCCGTCGTTCTCCCTGATCTTAAATTTTGAAGTCAAATAGTCACAAAGGCTGAGACAAGGCAGAATTTCAGGCCTCTCAGGAGCGTGTACGTAAAAGTCATTTTTTTACACAGCTGAAGAAAATGTCTATACAGATACACCACAGGAAAACAATTGTGTCTTATTCCTTTTTTCACATTAAAACAAAAATAATTTTAAAAAACAATAGAATTATGTTCCGGTCAAATATGTCACCAGATTTGTTTGTATCACAAATTGATTGACTGCGCCATTTTTTAAGCTTTTAAAGCTTTTAAAACCATTGCTGTGCTCACCTTTGAAATAGTCGTTCGTGGTTCCGAAATCTTGCGGGGAAGAAAAATTGTTGATCAAACGGCTAAATGAAAGGTGTCACATTTACTGCAGCAGACTATACTTGTGTGGCATTTGCCGGCAGTAAATGCTGATCCACACACAGAGTAGCCATGCGACATGAAGCCCCTTTACAAAGCGCTTCACAAAGCTCAGGATAAAAGCTCGGAGTCATCTCCCTACATGTCAGTCCGTCCCATCTCATCCTCCAGACCATCCTTGACCCCTGGAATTGGGGCTCCAATTCGCCCTCTCAGGTCGGTCCGCAGACGTTTCCTTCAGACCGCCTCTCCCACGCAGCCCCCCAACCCCCACTTTTGATTACCATCGACCCGGCCCGTGCTGGCAATCACAAAGAGGCAGAGCTGCTTGTCAGCCATGTTCCAGCGCTTGCAAACAAATCAACCTCAGGCAAAAGAGCAAAGCTTCCAGCGAAAAGTGTCGGTGGGCCAACAAGACAGACACAGATCATGTCGCCTTAAGACAGACTGAGCGCACTCTTACCCAGGCTGAGCAACACAACGCAACACTACACTAATTTGGGTCGAGAGCCATGGAGTTCGCTGCATTGTAGACACCCTCAAACTCAAAAAAATTGCAAGGTTATGGGGTAAGTGTGGGGCAGTGGGACTGATTGGGTAGCTGGGTGGCTCTTCCAAAGAGCCAGTACAGGCACGATGGGTTGAATGGCCTCTTTCTGTGTTGTAATATTCTATGATTCTATGATTCAAGCACCAGTTAGCACTTCTGTATCAAGGGATTGCCCTCTGCTCTACTCTGCTCTACAGCACCAGTTATTATGGTTCCGCTGGAAACTCCAAGTGCAAAGTTTGGCTCATGCATATTGTAGGGTCATGTTTTAAACAGTTGTTGCATTATTCCTCCCCCAGGCTACAAAGTGACTATAGTGACATTTATGCAGCAATAGCTGGGTTGGAACAGGGTTTGGGTTTGGCTATATTGGCTGATCATAATCCAACACGGCTGGTATTCAGCGTCCAGTGTTCACACAAAGAAATGCTCCACTTCTCACTCCTTCAGGACCCACCTCAAGATCCTCCTTTTCGACCATGCTTTCGCTCATCCTGCTGCCCCCCCTGCCCTCTACGCTCCTCAATCCCACCTGCCAGCTCGGGTCCGAAACACTGACTATCCAGAATATGCTGTAAAGTGAATTAACTGTATATTTTATGGGGGGAGATGTTGGCAAAAATAATAATAATAATCCTTGCATTTCCTTTAGAGCTTCATCACATCATTGAGACATCTCAAAGCGCATCACAGGATAACCCTACATGCAAACTGACAGAGCAGCAATTATCTTTATGCAAGTAACACACACACACACACAGCGGATGAAAACCCTCTTTTACCTCCTTACTCAAGTTCCCCTTTCTACTTTCCGTTTCTTCATATGTATGGTACTACAGTCGGGATAAAGTTCCATAGAGAATGAGAATCAGAAATGATAGCATTACCTGACTTTTTCCTAGTTGTGTGTGAACTTACAAAGACCTTCAACAGCCCTCACAATAAGCTTCCTGTGTAATGGAAACTGGCCCATCTGTACAGATTATATCTAACCTGCCTGATTCAGAGCTCTCTCTCTCGCACCTTTCGGTGCTCACAATTCCATTGTGTTAAAAATAATTGGAGTTGAAGTGCAAATCAGCCATGATCTAATAAAGGATATCGTTTATTTTTAAGAATAATTACTTTATTTCTTCGGCCTTTCTTTAAGACTTATTAGACATGGGAATGGCATCGCGACTTTTTGGTCACCCTGTAGAATGACAGAACAGGCTCGAGGGGTTGAATGGCCTACTCCTGTTCCCGTACTTCAATTGGCCACTCTGTTAGTAAAAACCCGATCCATTATCAAACCTACCAAATCTCACAATTCAGTTGCAAGGCAAGTTTTATCTTTGCCACGTGCGAGTCCAACATGCGTTAGTTATCGCCATTGTGTCCGACTTGATTTAATTAAGGGCAACTATTCATTACACTTTCCATCAATATAATCTTTGCTGGCAGAGAGACACAATACAAGAGGCAAAATCTTACGTGTGAAAGCCAATATTAAGACCCTATTTAGATGTCCTACGTAAGTGCTTTAGAATTATCTACGGAAATGCCAATTACTTAGTCATGACTTCAACTGCAGAACTGAGATTACATGGATACACATTACAAATGACCTTTCATTTCAGCCCCAGCCTTGTCTACTGCACATTGTGCGCATTTTGAACCTGTTGTTATTATTTGTCCCATTCTATTTTAGTAGATTTAGCTGATTATAATCAGCCTGGGGTGGACTCATATTTTCTATAGTGTCCTGATACTGAACTAAAATCACTCGATCTTCTACAAAGCCCAACTAAGCGTGCAACTGTGAAATTGGTGACTAACAAAGGCTGACGTGGGTTCACTCCAGAACTGGCCCAAAAGTAATGAATGGTATGTGGGTGAGTTACATTAAGCCAATCTGCTGGGGATGACAAATAAGACACAGTTCACGATGATGGTATGAGAGGAATCCTTTTTTTTGGATGACTTTTACCCAGTGTGCAAAAAAAGCAGTTGTGTTGGAGCGCATTTGGAGGGGTGAAGTCATTTGAATTAAATCAACACTGGATATGAGTTTAACATTAAGAATGGCGCAGGATGGAGATTGGAAACCTGGGCTCTAAGGAGATTAGTGACCAGATGTTACATGACCGCCCTGTGGAGAGTTCCACGAGGGCAATGAACATGTGGAAAGAATGCACACAACACATACAAATATGAGTCCGCCCCAGGCTGATTATAATCAGCTAAATCTACCAAAATAGAATGGGGCTGTTTCAGTTACATTGCTCATGAACAAACACAGAGGGAATTAAATCAACTGAGACATTTTTGCAAAGGAACACCGCTTGCCATGAAAGAAAAAGGAAATAGAATGATATTGCAGTGACGCTACCCCAAATACAAAGCACTTCATGACACAAAGTACAGTTTGTATTTATTTAGCGCCTCCATGCAGGGTAGCGTCTCAGAACGCTTAACAGTGACTCCGAGCTGGGGTTGGAGGTGGCCGTAAGCACAGTCGAAGACTGCAGATTTTCAGGCGGGACTTGAAAAAGGGGGGAGAGGGGGGCAAGGCGGAGGGATTAAGGGAGTGTTCCAGAGTTTCGGGGTGCAGTGGTTGAAAGAGCGACCTCCGACGGTGGGGCAGAGGGTGCAAGGGACGAGCAGGAGGCCGGTGCCAGTCTAGCGGAGACGCCGGGCGGTGGATTAGGGAGCGAGGAGGTCGGAGAGGTAGGGAGGTGCCAAAGAGTGAAGGGATTTGAACACAAGAATGAGGATCTTGACGTTGGTCCGTTTGGTGATGGGGGGCCAGTAGAGCCTGGCCAGAACTGGTGAGATGTGGGTACGGAGTTTGGTCTGGGTAACTGTGCGGGCAGTAGAGTTCTGAATGAATATTTCGGTTGAACGAAATTAACTGAATGAAATCGGTTGTCTGTCGTTTCCTACAAGAAACTCAAAGAAAACTGGCTTCAAAATTAAGGCTGTATTTAAGAATTTGCCAAATTGTGGATATGCTCTAAAACACTACACGAATAGAATAAATCCAGATGTAATCAGAAAGACCTGCTCATAAACACTTTTTTGCACAGTGCCGGTATCAACATTACACAGCAGGGTTTCAACAGCGGACAAAGTAAAGTTAGATTTTTGGGGGATGAATAAATTATAAGAGGGGGATGAATAAATTATAAGATAGGTAAGTGTGAATTCAACACAATACAATATTTGTATTGATTTATTGCACTTAAACATTGAACACTTGAAACTATTTACTGATGTTTTTAAATTCACAAAGTGTCGGACTTCATTATTCTCTGAGCATTGCTGAGTCGGAGATGATGTCTCCTAAATGGCTGAAGTACATTTCTTTTAATAAGAGTCACAAAACCAGGAATGATCAACAATGTATGGACATTTTCAAGGTATGAACGATGGATCAATCACCAGAATATTTTAGGTCATGGAAATTAATTGCCTATAAAGTTATTGTTTTAGCAGACTCCACCGAGGTAGGTATGTTTTAAGGGACTAGCAATCGCTTTTCCTATTGATTACAAGCCATTTAGTTCTACAGTCGAAGCTTAATATAATCCATTAAATACTGGGTGAAAATGTGCTATGTAATTATCACATAGCGCACTGAATGCTAATGCGCAGTACAAACACCGGTACGGACGAGTTGGGCATTATGGCCTCTTTCTGTGCTGCGATCTATTAATTCTATGTAATGTAATTCCCTCACTCCCCCACGCCAGCCCCATCTTCGCCTCGGCTGAAAATCTCTCACTTGGCACAATTGCCGTGCGTTTATAGTTCCAGTTTCTTCCCTGTTCCCTTTTATCCGCTGATAATAATATTACTCACTAAAGAATGGAAAATCAAATCGATTGGAATAATCCCCCGACCACATTTCTTACCCGTGACCGACAGATACATTTCAAAGCTACCCTCAGGAGAGGTAACAGTATCAAACCAATGGAGTCAATATTTATCAGATTCGTCATGCAATTAGAGCAATGAAATCCCACCCACCCCCGGTCTAGGATTTGAAATGTTTCCAACCTAAAACGTGTTAGAAATTTGCATTTGTAATCCACTGTACTTGGTGTCACTGCAAACTATTGGGGGAAATTCCACTTTGGGACGTCCTCCCGACGTGAGATAACAATCCTTGCATTTGATATAGCGTCTTATCACATTGTTGAGATGTCTGAAAGCGCTTCACAGAATATATTTCAAAGGAACTGACTTTGTATTTTGGGAGACAAATAAAAGCCCGATAGCAAATGTAAGCATTGTTAAGCATTATTATTATTAATTACAGCGCTGGCAGAGTGTCAACCGCAAAAGTAAATCAACGTACGCGAGTATATATTTCTAAATATTCTCAAACGGTCAATTCCTCCCTGCAACTGATGTCTAGCGCCAAACACGAGAGGCTATTTTGCTGAAACCGACCTTATATTAGGAGTGCCTTTCTACCCTGGCAACTGACTGATCAGAAATGACTGATCAGCCTGTTTGGAGCTCGGGCTTTGAATTCCTTGTGCAAGCTCAGCATTTCTTTTATAACTGCTTCAGTATTCGCAGTGCAGTAAGTGGTATAGTCGCCACTGTGAGCCAGGAGAGGAAAATCAGCAGGCAGCTTATCATGACGTGAGGACAGATTTGCTTCTTGAAATTTACATCCCCTACGAGAATGGCTCGAACAAATATGTTGGGATCACTTTTTAGCCTTATTTTAAATTCTTTCTCTCTCTCTCTCTCTCTCTCTCTCTCTCCCCACGCCGAAAATAAATTGAAAAAAAGTTACATGAAACAAACGGGAGCTCTTTCAAGAAAGAAAAAAAAATCTAAATCAACGTACAAAACACAAAAGAAGCGTTTCCTTTATTATTTGTGGGTCCTGCATCAACGTCTGCTCTTTCAGAACACACTGTACACGACATTTATAGAATTATGACAGGCCATTCAACCCAACTATCTAATGACGGTGTTTATAATGTATTCCACACATATGGGTGAGTCTTTTAACGTGACGTAATAAATAATTAATAAATAATTGACTCATCCAATTTTTTTTAAAAAAAGATTCATATCTCTCCACAATTCTTATGTTTGTTAAGATTGAATTCGGATCGAGAGGGGATCCGCAATTACTCGTTCAACGGGGGTCGAAAAGAACTTGATGAAGACACCTCAGTGGTAGAAACTTCAATACGCCTTGATTTTCGTCCATCACCCCCCACCCACCGCACCCCCATACACACGCACACATCCTTCCTCCCTGGGTATAACCAAAGGTCTGCAACACTCAAGCATCTTACCGTGACAGTCTCCTCCACTTCATACTCTTCATATTCAGTGTACTCTTCCTCATCATCCTCCATTGTTACTGCCTGTCACTGAACGGGTTAGCCTAAGGGAACATTAATCAGTCAGAATCTCTCCTACAGACAAATGGGTGGAATAGACACCGGGTGCAGACAACCGGAGTGGGGAAAGGAGCCCGAAATTGGAAATTGTATTTTGAAAGGTATTTGTAACGACGCTGGGCGAAGAATATGAGCTTCGAGCCAGACTGGATACAATTCTGGATAGCGATGTAATGTATGGAGGACATACCGTGCACAAAAATACTTGCTAGACGTCAGCAATAAAATATAACCGCTGACCTCACAGAAACCAGGCTGATCACCAAAGGCTTGTGCCCACTTCAGTTCCCGCAGCACTTTATTTAAAGCTGTTAAAAGCGGGGTGGAGGGGGGAGGAGGAAAGGGGGGAGTGGGGTTGAAACAGGTTACTTGTAGTTATCAAAGTAAGCCAAAAGAATCCTGGTTATTTCTCGGCGCAGTGTTAAATCAAGGGATGACTTCTGCTTCTGTCACTGTTTGAGAACTTCAAGGGGGAGAGGAGAGGGGATGAGTGGCACGGCATTGAGACTTGCAACAGCTGTTCGTACGTCTCCAGTTATTTGTCATGTAAATCAATCCCACTGTAGGATTGGCTCGTCTAGTTTAGCCAGCTGAGCTCTAATTCCTTCTGAGGCAAGCAAAGTCCACGGTAGCTCGGTTAAAATTAGGCACACCGTCCCGTCGAACATTTTTTTTCTGTCTCCGTTGAACGTTGTCGCACCGTTACATATAAAAAAAATTAGTACAAAACCCAACCCCCCCAAACTGGTTATTGCTTATCTGGTCAACTGCTGAATAGATCTCCATCTGAGAAAAGCTTTATCTACTGGAATCTCCCAAGCAAAGGTCAACACCTCAAAGTCTATTCCGCCCTTATCGAAAATGCTCAAAGGCAACACTGCCATTGATGCAATCAACACGCTCACAGCAGACAGAGACATATAGAAACAGATTCTTACCCGTAACTTTTCAAAGCAATGTTTTTGTCCCCCAAGCCGCTACAACCTTCCCAAGAAGCTTCCCTCCCAAGAAGCTCTGGGCAAGAGCAACTGGCTGCCTCAGCGTCTAAAATACCACAGGGTTAGGCGGCCCAATCAGAAAGTACCTCTCTCAGGTTTCAGATGCTAAATATACCCGCTGACTCCTTCTTACCCCCCCCACTACCACCCACCTACTCCTCCCCTTTTAATAGCCACCTGTTCAGCAAACCTATAGAGGGACACCAGCAATTCTGGCCAAGGAGCTTAGAAGGTCCCAGACGATGTGAAGCAAAGGGTTGAGTTTTCAGACTGGGAGAGCTTTTCCTTTCTGCTAAACCATTCTCTCCTCCTCTATTGAAGGCAATGGCTCGTGCACTGAGTTCTACAAGCCCTCTTACCATGGCCACTAAACCCGCGGATGGGAACAGCACTGGAACCGTGGCTGACTTTACGTGGGAAAAGTCCCGCAGTGATTTTGCGAGAGATTTGGCAGGAATGTGATGGGAGCTGTCCATTGTGTCAGCATTTGAAACGGTGACATTCAGATTGTCCAAAATCCTCCACTTTCAAATCTGGTGACAATTAGCCATCGAGACAACTCTAATGTGGGCTGAAAACATTGCTCTAGTAAGATAGCGTTTCAGAGCATCCAGAATTTGAATGCAGCCTTAACTCTGCAAGTTCTTGTAAGAAACTGTAGAAAACCACGTTTTAAGTTAAGACTGAATTAAGACGGACACTCTACAATGCCTCATAAACAGATTAAATCTGGACCTGGGTGGAATTTCTCAGGAAGTGTGCGGTATTATCCAATTAGCCCCCGCATCCCATTTCTGCTGGCAATGGATCACCCTCCCTGCTACATTTTGTCAAGTCCTGACTGTAATTTTTTTTCTAAACACAGTAGAAAACAAGCGAGCAAACCGAAATCGTGACCCCAAGAGAAAGATGAATATAATAACAGGCCACTTCCAACATTAAGCTGCGGTCTGAGCTTTCATTCGGTATGGATGCGACCTCAATCAACGGGCCATCACCTTTTATTAAATCGTGTGATTTAGGTAACAACTTTCTATAATAAAAGGCGCAGCCCAAAAAATTAACACCATGCCTTTCACGTCAAGGGGACGTCACTCAGCTTCACAGGATCTTTACTGTTAAGCGGTAATGGATCATTTATTTTTGTAGGCGAACACTGTCGCCAATTTGCGCACAGTAATGTGCCATAAACAGCCATGAAATGAATGATTGACTTTGTCTGGAGCAAAGATGTGGTGCAAAGCTGTCAATAATTCTAACCAGCTTCAGGACTGAACACCTCACACTTTGCTGTGAAGTGATCAACTTGACAGTAATTAACTGTGATAAACTTTCTCAATTAAATTGGTGACGAGCTTTCTGGGCGTAAGAAGAATCCCTGTTAGTCGATTGGCGGATCGCTTTTCCAGGCATAATAATCCTTTCAAAAATAATAATATTATGCTCACTCAATCCGCGACTGTTTGTAGGGACGCTGCTGTGCGCAATTGGCTGCCGAGTTTCACCCACAAACTACAGTCTTTGCAGTACATTCTGTGAGGAATTTTGCGATGTCTCAACGACGTGATATGGTGCTATATCAAATGCAAGGATGATTATTATTATTATTATAAGTGGAGTGACTGTGCATCTTGCAGGTGAACGTGGCAGACTGGGCCTTGGTTTGAAGGACAGCCCCCCCTACTCCCCCCACCCCCCAACCCTCCCGACAAACAGGGTTTCCCCAGGACTGTATTGGAGTGTCAGCCTAGATATACTTTGAGTCTGGACTATATAACCTCAACGTAAGAGAATGTTTCAAAATCCATTGCAGTGCGTGGTCCCGGCAACCCCAAATGTTAGCAAGTGGGTTAAAGGCAGTGACACCCACCTCGGCGGTTAAAGAGATTAAAAAATTGTTTTACGCTCAACCTCTTCATTGCTGAATGCTTTGTATCCGACTGCATGCATCCAATGTGTCATTATCATCTGTGTGAGCGCGTGAGGAGGATTCAAGTTTAGAAAGCGGAGAGAAATTTCTCTGACACGTTTCACTTTGGAATGTTTGAATACAAATGTAATGGTTTCACGTGTGAGTGCTCAGCCATGTTCCTCAACCGTAGGCTCTGTAGGAGCTCTTGATGAGCTCCGAGATCTTGCTGATACCAATTTGTGCTAAAGCAGGAAGGCGTTACCGGCAATACCCACAACTGAGGGCTCCTGCCCCTGCCATGAGAGAGGGGGAGGGCGGGGCGCGGGTGGCCCGAAGTTGGAAGTAGCCTCTATCCAGATAAAATCATCCGCTGGGCCGGATGTGGCCCACGGGCCGCCTGTTGGACCACCCTGGTCTAGATCATTCACCTCATGGCTGCCTGTAGGACATTGCCGTGCGAAAATTATCAGCCACATACGTTCAGCTGCGAGACACACAGTCACTAGACTTTACAGTAAATCCTTTAGAGGGGCATTGAGATGACTCGACGACATGATAAGGGGCTGTAATAATAAGGATTATTATTCTTACAGTACAGTTCAAAAAGTTGAATTTCTTGATATTGAAGATTGGTACTCGGTTATTTTGACTGACTGCTTGATGACATGTTGACAGCTGCAATGTGTTCTCTCCCCCTCTCCCCTACCCCCCCCCCCCAACCCCACACTCTCAATTTTATTTCTTAATTCTGCAGCAGATTTCCATCAGTGCCTGGATCGATCAGCAACAAAGAACAGCATCGAGCGGGGCTTGGCAGTTGGAAGCTCAAGGCGTGCCGACTTGTCAACTAAATTATACATTAAAAAAAGACTGCTCACTCTAGCTCTCCTCCGATTGAGCGTTCCACAAAAATAACACAACCCATCAGCCGCGCCAGTTTATAAATAACTCCGTTGGTGCTCAGGGTTCACAGCCTCGGCTTGGACCCAGCGTCCAATTTTATAACGCAAGGAGAAATTCCCGTGTGCGTTAGGCCACTATTCGGGGGGGGATTCTTTTTCTGCTTTTCACTGGTTATCGGGACGGTTTTGTAAAACCCCGAACCATTTTTCAAGGTTTCTTCCCCCACCCCCCACCCCCCCCACCCCGCCAGATTAGCTCAGTTCCGCTCACCTTCTTATTTTAATGCCGCTGTGTAAGCGTGGAATGATGGATAGGAGCAGCTGTCTGTTTTTTATCTGCTGTCGGAAAAGATACATCACTGTTGCAGCTGTAGCTATAGCCCCCACTCTCTCTCTCTCTCTCTCTCTCTGGCTTGTACTCGAGACGCATTCGCAACGCAAAGGGTCGTGGCAGCAGAGCTGTCGTGAGAACAAACAACAACAAATTACATTTGTATAGGCGTCTTTCACGTCGGGAGGACGTCCCAAAGCGCTGGACAGTCAAGGGTTTGCAGCCGATCAGGAGGCTGGGGGGTGGGAGGGTGACCGAAGGCGCGATCGAAGAGGAGAGTCTTGAAACAATAGCTGAGATGAAGCTGAACCATAAATCGCCGCACTTCTCCACCAAACCCCCCACCCGCGCCCCCCCCCCCACCCAATCTAAAACACTCGGGATGCCATTTTATTGATTGTCAGAATTATTTTTAAATTTGACATTCAGTTCATGGCTGTTTGTGGGACATCGCTGGGTGCGATTTGACTGCCCAGTTTCGCGTGCAAATATAATAATAATAATAGTTGCATTTGATATAGCACCTTATTATGTCATTAAGACATCTCTAAATGCTTCACAGAATATGCTGTAAAGTGAATTTACTGTATTTTCTGTGTGTTTTGAAACATCCTCCCGATGTGAAAGGCACTACATCGAAAGCAAGGATTCCTCTTGGTATTTTTCTCAAAGTAACCAGGTATACAATTTCCGTCACTCACAAAGCAGCCCACGATGGATTAAAAGCAAATTGCATAAGAAGCGATGAATAAAAGCTGTTCCGACAGCCAGTCTTTTGTGCATCAGTAAGTTCACGATAAGCAGTTACTTTAACGTCCCCTTGAAGTAGAGTTAAAATCAAACGGACGTTTGTATGTTAATAGTTTTGTTGAAGCAGATTAAGCAAAAAAAAAACACAAAGCGCTTTTTAGATTTGTTGGATCAATTAACAAACCAACGTTACTCCAGCCCCGTCTCAAATGGAATTCAGTAGCCCGACAATAAGCCATGCCTATAAGAGAATTACAAGATACTAATCCAATCAAGGAGTGCAGACGGCAAACTTTGGACCACCTTTGAACACTGCGAGTTTCTGAATCCTGACATTCAATCACTCGGTGACTGTTCATAATCATCTGTGGACGTAGCGTTCCAGACCTCCATCCTGCGTGAGGGGCATTATACAAAAGTTAGTGGTTGTTATTCAAAGATTTGATGGGCCAAATCATCTTTTGTCCCCGTTTCGTTTTTTTTTACTAATAGTAATAGTCCTTGCGTTTGATACAGCGCCTTATCTCGTCATCGAAGCGTCTCAAAGCGCTTCACAGGGTATACTGTAAAGTGATTTGACTGAATATTTTGTGGGTGAAACGCAGGAGCCAATTGCGCACAGCAGTGTCACAAAAAGGGATTATTACTCCCGGAAAGGGATCTACCAATTTACTTTCCACTGGGTACACAGAGGCGTGTGGAGTAAGGAAACTTGCCAAGGGTTTCATCCTGCCCGGGAATCGAACCCGGATCCTCTCGCTTGTGAAGTGAGTATTCCAACCACTACGCTACAGGATTGCACCCCACCTCACAGAAAATGGAGCCCTAGTGAAGGAACAAATAGCACAGTTGTGACAGCAGTGAAGGTGGAAGGTGCAAGTTGGCTTGGGAATGGTCGAGTTGGGTTTGCGAAGGACAAAACAAGTTTCGTAAGAGTTTAAATGGGGACATGAGACAGTTGTTTGGAACCGCGTGGCAGCTAAGTGAGAGCTAATCGGATAAGAGAGAGCTTGTTAATGTGACATGATGTCACTGTTTAACAATGGCGGAGACATTGGATGCTGACAGTCGCTGTAGATGCAAAGTTAGTACCAATGTGGACTTCTGACTGATTGCAAAGGTATGGATTGTAAACATGTGGGTTTGCTAACACGCAAATCAAACA